TCTGAGATTGAGAGCTGGAAAGCGAGATGGTCGGTCGGTTTCTCCTGTTCTTTGGACCTACCAGATGACAAAGTGAAAAGGAAAGGTGGCAGAGGAAAAGTGTTACATTTTGACATGATATTGTGATGGAAGATTAAACTAGCCGGATTCTTACCTCACGATCCGATCCATTGGCTTTCACTTCCTAGCAACAAAGAACAGAGTCAATTTACAATGAAATCGAAACATGAAGCTGACCTTCACCGAGTCATTCAAGTGGTTGCGATGTACGGTGCTCTTTCCAATCTTTGCTCAACTGAAAGCATGTGTAAGAAAGACATAGAACGATAGATTTTATGACGTTCGATCTTCGAGCTCATTCAATGATTTCTCAATTCCCGGGCCGATGGCCTCCACTGCAGCCGCCTATGCCTCTGCCCGTATATCTCGCGCATATCTGCGCGGTTCTAATCAACGTCGTGACCATCATCTTGACGTGATCAATGTTTTAGCTCTAAGAATCAAGCTACGATCTGGAAAGTTTGTCTAGGTCAACATTGTACACAGTGCGCTGCAACATGTTCATCACGTGACCCAGCAGATATCATTGGATTTCAAACTTGAAATATTATATGATCGAGTATCCATGTCCGTACCACGTCAATACCATCAAGATCTTCAAACTTAAAAGGTAAAACTCGAGCATCCATGTCAACACCCCGTCAAAACATGCTGATATATGCTAAGGCCCCGCCGCGCCTAGGGATCTGCCACTATCACAAGGTACACCGAGTTCGTTTTTGAAGAAAAATGGAGGTGACTCGTGCCTGAGATCGACCATGAGTACATCAATATGTTTGTGATTGATCGAATTCGGTTGAGGGCACCATCTACTTCCCTAGGTCCGCGTTGCGTTATGTTTTACGACGACAATGCTCTGCAACGTGCAACAAGACTCAAAAGTGCAGAAATGGGTGCTTGCAGTGAAGCATAGCTTTTTCGTTGCAAGCGGCTTGCTTGCTTACAGTGATGGTGCACCTGGTTGTTTCTCTACTGTGCCAGAGTTCAATGTTTCAGCCGGCCGCCTTCTTCGTGAGGCTCACCTTTGGATTCAATGACCAAACCTGATTCACTTTTGAAGAATTACCTGGAGATTTGGAAAACCTACACCTGGAGGTCTTCCGTATTCAAACTTAACCTAACCCGGTATTGCATTCCAAAGCACGATTGCAGCGCAATAAATACTACCCCGTCTAGCTATCATCATCGTTTCACTTTCAAACCTGGTCTCTACTCTGCAGCTCTGCACCGGCCAGAATCAGTCACCTTCAGGTGACTCACCCGGAGAGCCGGGGCAATTAACAAATGGACAGATGCTTGCTCTACCGCAGTCAATCACCTGATCTTATCATCAAAAGAGGGCCGTGTGAACAGAGAACCGTGGCTGAGGTGGTCAAAACTCGGCCCCCGGGTACTCTCCATGCCCATGAAAGAGAAATTGTGGGTGCTTCCCATCGTCTGGAAGGAATCGAGACCTGCAGCATGAGGAAAGCAGCGGAGGCTCGTAAGCACTTGAAAGGAATATCGCTTCCTTTCCCGCTACAGGTTTGCTCTACGCATGAGTGCACGAGGAGTCCCTGCAGCAACCGTTGACTAATGCTTCAGTCCTATCACACTGGTTGCCTTTTGCCGTCAGCAGACCAGCAGATTGAAGGGCTTAGCCGCAACAGAGAGCCTTCACCCATCGAGCCAAGTGCCTGCTCTGAAACCGTTTCGCCTCTCTTCTGTGTCCACTAGTCTTCTGTCCCTAGAGCCTTACTCCGCAGAAATCCATCGAACATGCACCACATCCACGGCGCTGCACAATCCGTAAAGCGCAAACCGAGGTGTCCCAACTTACCATCGCCTCTCCGCGGCAGATCCGCGTATCCGCCAAAAGCCGGCGGCTCGGCTCCTTCCGAACCCGAGAGAAGGCGCACCAGATCCTCGAGTTCGCTCACGTTCAGCGACGGGCCCATCAGGTTGGCCGGGCTGTGCCCTGCACAGTTACGCACATTACAGGTCACGACATGCTCTTTTCAAAGCGTCACTTCTGGAGCTATAAATGCTTTCGACACAATCATCAGCTGGCAAAATTGTATTCACTCTTAGACGAGTCAGCGAGGGCAGTACTCAAGTATTTCGAAATGTGTACAGCCTCCCCGTGGCCGTACGCGCTGCGAAGTGCTTCAAAGACGGCCACAGGAGAAGCGCACGTCAGCATGATGACTTTGTAACCATCGCTTTGTCTGTGACTTCGGAGGTGAGAAACGGTGGCCAACTCTGCTAACTGCACTTGAAATGTTAGAAGCCGACTACCGATGGGGACCATGCCTTGAATCCTCGCAACACGACTCATTACCCTCCGTAACACTGACAATATATTCTTAACCTACTTCCGTTAACAGCCGCGTACGAAATAGTGACAAGCCCGCAAAGTGCTCACCTAACGCAAACCCCCTGCGATCGTCAGCCGCTGCATGTACCGACGACATCAGCTGGCGCGGGGAGGGACCGGTGAACTTGAACCCGGCCATGTTTCCGGGAGAGGGGGTGAGCCTGGCGGGGGTGTTGCTGGCAGAGGGGAAGGAACTAGAGGCGAGGGAGCTGTTGGCGGTGCCGCTGGCGGTGCCGGGATAGTGCGTGCTGGGGGTCGGCGTCTGTGCCGTGAGCCACCCCATGACCTGATCAGGAAAATCGGCAGAAAGCTTACGACTTGACGGCTGAAAGCGCGCAGAAAAGCCAGCTCCAAACCTTTTGTGTGCTTCCCCGGGCCAAAGCCCCGAAGCTTGCATGCTGCGAAGCCATGCCGTAAGACTTGCGGGCACCGATGATGCACGTGGCAGCTCGGGGGCTCTGTCGAGCTTGGATCTGGGACAATCGTTAGAGGCTTGGGTTTACCTCCTCCATGTCGATCGACTCCCTGGGTGTGTCCGTCATGGAGCTGCAGAAGAGCTGCTGGATCTGCAGACGGCGAAGCATGCCTGTCAGCGATATGCGACGGATTGAGCAGTCGACTCTCTCACTCGTGGGCTTCCAATCGAACTCGGTGCCAGCAGGCGAGAATGCGAGAGCGGTCTTGCAAAGTCCTGGATGCGGATTCGCGTTACCTTTCATCGCCATGGATCACCCAACAATTGGCCCGAGCTGCTTCAACGGAGGAGGAGAGGCAAGATTTGCGAGTTCGAAAAGCAACCTCACCGCTTCGCTGGACATCATGTTGGGAGTCATTCTCCCAGGGAAGGAGTACGCTAGTGGTTCCGGGATGACAGGGGGGCCCACAGCTGCAGAAAGCGACGTGACAATATTTCAACGGCCGTATTGATTTCGAGATCATTCTGGACTTTTGGAAGCCTCATCGGTATGCACTATTAAGTGTGTTGGCTCCCTTAGCACTGCTCTAACCAAGCTTTGCGTTTGCAGTAGAGTCCTTACCAAGAGGGAGGACTGGAGCCGCGGAGCTGGTGGAAGGGATCTGGATGGACAAGTCTGGCCGAATGCACGGCTTCTTGTCGGCATGGCTGAAGCCGCTCCCTGAAGTGGAGGGCCTGCAAAAGGACAAGTCGACACCAACTTAGATCTCTCAATACAGCGACTTAGGTCCCTGTCAAAAATTCGAAATAGAGGCTCTGCAATTTAAGCACTCTTGCTCTGCAAAAGATACCAAGAAGGAACCGGGCATGGACCCTATCGTCTGCTTGAAACGCACCCGTTTTGAGTCCACGGCTGGCCCTCAGACCTACTCTCATGATTGACCAAATCGAGCGTTGAACTCACCCTATGGGAAGGTCTTCCTCAGCGATGACGCCGAGAGGCTCCTTGTTTACCACCGCCCGTTTTGTGTACTTCCTCTTCTGCCTGGGTTGCTGGGGCTCCGGCGGCCCCATCAAAAAGCCGGGCGCAGCAGCTGTGGTGGTTGGCACTGGACCTGCCGCTGCGGAAGCCTCTTCGGCCTGCCGCCGTTTCAGTGCTTGGTACCGGTTCTTAACGGCGTTGTCAGTTCTGCACGAGCGCAGGGGCAATATGAGAGTCAGCAAAAACCTTGCAAAGCTAACTATCTTACATGAAGGCTGTGCTAGTTGATCCCTTCGATCATAGGTAGCTGTTTGTCCTTTCAATCCTGGTAAATGCTCAGTGTTGAAAGGCCCTTGACAGCCCCACTTTTATCCATTACATTTTCAGCTGGACAGGCAAGAGCTGAAAATTGTGACGCACCATAGAAGTACTAGTGCCGACTGGTTGCGCTACTGAAATTCCTTCCCGTTTCCTTGGTTCCTTACATTAACCCATGCCCTCCATTTGGTCTACTCAAGCAACCCTCAGGCCCCTACTTCGAGCTAGAAAGAATCAAGCAGCCAAGCGATCCCTTTGCCAGAGTGGTATTTCCGTACATGTTGCACCTGGGGCCCGGCCCTTATCCCTCACCTTCCTGGTACTCGTTGCGCAATCTCCATCCACTTGTTGCCGCACTCCTTCCTCGCCTCCAGCAGCTTCTTGTCCTCCTCCTCTGTCCAGCTGCTCTTGTTCATGGACGCGTGCAGCTGCGCATGCCACCGCTCTTTGCAGTCTGGAGCAGAGCGGCCCGGGAGGCGTGCCGCAACTAGGTCCCACCTGGGGCAAGACATGTGCTGGTGTCAGCGGCTAACACTCTGATACACTGCCAACAACTTGCAGTGCGGATGAAGAGTACACTTGTACAAGGTAGCGAGTCAATAACAAGAAGGGAGGTTGAGAGAAGTCTTTCCAGCATTGGCACCAAGCAGCAGCGGGTGTTTCTCGACTAGAAGGCCAAGCACTGAGCAGTAGGGATGGCGCTTTCAGCTACCGGGTGACATCTATCAGCGTCCTTGCATTCAGGGTTATGCAGTCCTCCTGCTCCCGAGTCAAGGCTGGTGTTGTGCCATGAGACCCCAACTGTTCGGGCCACACAGACCTTTGTTGTTTGACATCTGCTTGGTTGCTCCGCCAAACCATGTGTACTCTTTAGAACTTGTCTCCATGTCATTGCATTGCAGAGTCTTGTTTTGCCTGCTTATTACACAAGTTCTAGCCGCTGCTCTCACGGCTGTTCCAAGTTGCAGTCCGTGTTTGACGTGAATAGTAGACGGCTAGCTAGGCATGTCGCTCACTTTTTACTTCCATGCCTCTTCACCAGCTCCTTCAGGATTTCATCTTCCTGCAGCACACAAAGTGTTCGTGTTACAAATCAAGCGGCGGGCATCAAGCTGACTCCTGAAGTGATGGCTTGGCGCAGTCATTCCTCATGATTGTTGCTTGCTCAATTTCTGGATTTGGGAGGCCCAAGGCATGTTCTGGACTTGGATAAACCAGAGTCGCTCTCGTAAAGAGATAGCCAACAAGCCACAACAACTGCAAGTCGAGTTTACTCTGGCTCATACCAGGACCTAATTGTGGCTTGCTTTATGAGAACTGCTTCAGGCTCTCACTCTAAGCTCCATTTTCATGGCAGCACATGGTTCTCAAAAGTCCTGGCCCGGAAGGAAGCGTGATGGCCACAAAGTAACAAAAATGTGCAAACTGTAAGTCCCAACCTCCTCAGCAGTGGGAAGAGGTTCTCCTCTCACCTGCTCTTGCCATTGTGAGCAAAGGCCCTCATCCTCTGATGAGGACTTATCTGGGACTTGACGAGATGAATGCACCAGCTCGAGTACTCCCATTTTATTCTTGACCATGGTGCGTCTCTCTACCTCACCAGAGACTCTGGACAATCACAGAAGCTGGAGGCAAATGTCACAAAGCGAAGCAGATCCCACACCGTGTTTCTTCAAACGTTCCTTCCAACAAATTTGGCTTGGGCAGGAAGCCACCAACGAACAAGCAAGGCTGCCAGCCTAGGAAGTTCGCTCTCTTTATTGCACAAGGACTGGTCCACGATTGCTCAAGCATCAGGGCTCCTACTCTTGACCTGCATAGGCTAACGTACTGCAACAATCTGCTGGACCCTGCCTGATCGCCTCTCAGCTAGATTCTTTCCAACACATTCGAAGAGGAAGGCGCGGCACCCTACGTCGGTATTATGGTTCTTGCATCCTTCGCCAAGGCCCGTTTGCAAGGATGAGTTGCGAAGCCGTGTGTGCTGCGCTTCAAAATTAGGGTTTGAACAGCTGCCTGCTAGAACTATACCCAGTATGATTGCACAGTGCACAGCTAGCATGCAACTGAGGTCTCAGCTCCATGTGAACCACGTGTTGCTATCAGCGAATCAAGCAGCGTGTTAGGCGCTGCTGGCTGATTCGCCGGTAGAACTTCCCAGGTATTAGGAAAATGTCCCCGGTGGCCTTGGCGGAGGCCGGATACAAATGCCCCGGGCCTTGGATCCTGTACTAAAGTGGTCGGTTCAAGCAGGTTCAAGCACCGGAGGCTCTAGATTTAGGTAGGTTGCTTTGTGCAGGCCAGAATTTGACACCCAACCTTGGAGAGTATCCCGGTCCCTTTTGTAGTCAACCGGCCGCATCACAGGCCAGCACGCGACGCTCGGCAAAAAAGAAATGCCAGCTGGCCAGCAGCGGTTTGGTCATACAGGCGGTTGCACACCATGTGGTGGCAACCATGGCGCGGTGTGGTGGGAGCCAGTCGAAGAAGAGACCTAACACCGGGACGCCGTTGGCGAGGTCATCATTCGATGGTTACGCTTGCTGGCAGCAGGGCGCTCTGCCTATTGTCTTACTTGCAGAAGCGCAGTGCGCATTCTGGTGATTAAGATTCACCCAGCTGACTGCGCCAAGATCATTGATGTATTGCAGTATTGCGCTGTTGGCACTCGTCAGACTCGTGGCCAGTTTGAATGCGCGGATGCGATGGCTGTGTCTCGCGCAACTTGTGAGTGGCACATAACGCTGGCCGCGCGGCTTCCGCTGAAAGCACCCGGGACGTCAACCAGACCGTTGCGCCCCGCCAGCTGCCACCCCTGAGTGCCGATCGTCGAGTGGGCCAAAGGCAAAGGAATCCAAAATCTACGTGACTGATCAATCACATGGCCAAGCGTGGCTGCCGACAGCTGGAAGTACTCTACGGATGAAGAATGATGAGCTTGCCAGCTGGCTGGACTATTCGTTCCTGTCCTGCTCGGGACGCACACAAAGTCGATGAAGTTGGAGATCGTCCGCCCAGATCCACCTTGCGCGTCTTGCACTCGCCCTGCACTCGCTAGCTTCCGTTCTCTAAAACCAAACGTTAATATGTAAACAGGAGCAGTGCCTTCTTGCACATCCTGAAAACGTCTTCAGCCAGAAGCCCCCCAGAAGCAGCAGTGCCACAGTTTAATAAGCTTAATGCTCAAATGCATCGAACTATCAAATGCGGTTCAAGCCTATCTACTAAGACACGTCTAAACCGTACTTCCTTAGCGAGCTGGGTTGTTGGGAAGCGTATCCGTTCGTCCTGATACACGGCCTCAATGGGGTGTCGCACTGAGCACTAGGAATGCGAGAATATGAGCACAACTCAAAGCTCAAGCTATCTTTGTGCAGGGCCTGGTGTTTTGCAGTGGTTACAAGTAGCACAAAGGACGTCCACACAGTTGGTTGGCTGAGTCAAACGCGTTTATTATAGTACTTGACGCTGATCATCAGACGTCACTGGACGCATATGCACAATTTCAAAATGGGCCGGTTGTCTGAGAGAATCGACAGATCAAGAGCTCGAGCGCTTATATAGATTTGAAACTCAATGGCCTTTTCATGCTGCTTATAATCCATGGCGTGTATATACTACATCAGATGGATGGCCGTTACCGTTTACAACACTTCCGTCAAGAAGGAATATACCATCACATATGGGCTCTGAGATATACGTGCATGCATGCTGCAGGATTTCGAACAATCATGAGGGGTATAATCAGGAGATTTCAGATTGCCCCCGACTGCCATATTGAGCATCAAGCTTCGCATTTTCTGGTGACAACGGCCCACTTAATCTGGATGAGCCATCCATGCGGATCATTGAAGTGCATGAAGTTCGTGCCAGGCGCCATCATCTGGCCGACAGGACGAATAAATGTGAGCGACTGAGGGCAGCGTTGCTTCGTCAGTCCTCAACCGCTACTTTTCCAAATCTTTTTTATGTATCAAGTGCGCTAGCTCAAACTGTCCGACTCCCCTCTGAAAATTGGTTGACTTCAAACAGTCAAGAGGGGCCGGTTGCAAAGCCGGCGAACAAGGATGTGACTCAGCCAAATCTAGCTCCCGTTGACCCCTCAAATAACGTTGTACTGAGCTTACCAGCACGGCACAAAAGAATCAATCTGTTGGTGACCCGGACAGTCTTTAGCACAGGGGTCAATTCAAATTCAATGTGCAATGACTAGACGCGAAAACTTCCAGGGCCCCAAGTCTATGGCTCTCTCCACGTGGCGTCACGTTTGGCGTACTTCGAATAGAAGTCGATCACTTCCTTTTCGGAGGGCATAGCTGACTGAACACTGGGCAACGCGCTCGCTGCTTTCAACCATGTGTGGTAGACTGCAAACTCGTCGGTGTCCGGCACTGTGAACCCTCGGTAGTGTTCGAGGGCCGGGAATCTGCAGAGTGTGCGGTCACGCAGATTGTCAAACAAGGTCGAAGAGCGGCTCCTTCAGTGGAGCCACCTTTAGGCTAAAGCGAAAAATCTGTGGATTCGTAATGCCATCAAGTGAGCCAGGAATGACAGTTGCTGAGCCGTGAGAATGAGAACCGATTGTCCGGGCGGGTGCTGACGAGAGCTCTCAGAGACATGCCGCCTCCCGACATCACCATCACATCAGCAGTCAATCCGACAGCCCTAACCTTCAACCAAAATCCCACAGCGGCTTACCAAAGCATTGCCATTTCCCCGCTCTCTTTCCCCCCGTAGAGTCTCTCGCATTTTCGTCCCTCAGTTCAAAATCAAGTAACGGCAGTTCGCCAAGCCCACTTCGTACCTCACAGCGAAGGGCAGGAAGGCGATGTCTACAATCCCAAAGTGCTCGCCCATGAAAAACGGCCCCGATGCTGGGCTCGACTGGATCTCAGCGGCCGCTTTCGTCCACTCTCTCAGACTGTCGAGCAGCTTCGTCTTCAGAGCTTCCTGCTCCGACTCGTCTTGAGCTGCTAACAAGTCGAAGAAACCGCGCACCAGCTTATCCTGCAACAAGGAGGCGGAGATCTCCGTGAGCTGGTAACACAGGAAAAGCCAAAAGGCGGAGCCAAAAACCTTTCTGAAGTTCGCGTTCAGTGTCGCTGGTTAAGTGACTTCGAAGTTGTTCCGAATCAAGTGCCCCCCAATTGACCTGAGGTAAGCGGTCGGCCGGAATGGAGTTTGCGGCACATGACGACGAACTATAACTATATTCGTCCTTCGTTACAAAGGAGAGAAACATGTTGCCACTATGACTGGTTGACGATGATGCAAACTTGGCCTTCAGGGCAGAAGGAGAGGCAGCGACGACAGTTTCCTTAAACTTAGGTCCCGTGCTTTTCCTGGGCTTTCAGCATTCTGGTCCTGGGCTTTTAGTGGCTTCCACATATTTTGGTTTCCATTTCCAAGAAGGTGGGCTGGAGTCTCGATTGTAAGTGCACTCCTCAAAGGAGCACAGCTGAGTATCTGCTTACCGATGTGACAAGCCGAAATTAGTGCTTTCCAACAAAGCCCATTAGAATTGAACGATGAGTCCGTGCTCTGGGACGCCTTAAACCACGTCCGGCCGAATTGACCTCTTCACAACGCAGAAGACCTTCGAAAGAGAACAAACCAATTGACCTTCCACCAGAGACTGGTAGCCATTCCTAAAACGGTTCTCTGAACCTTGCCCTGAAACAGTTCATTTAAATCCGAGCCATATTCTAGCTCTCTGCTCGGACCGCCGGTGCTGACCTGGACGAATGTCGTCCAGATCCTGGCCAGGGCCCGTAGGTGCACGTCCCTTTTCGGAAGGAAGTGAAGAGTCGGCCCGTGCACGTCCCCTGGCCAAGCCTCGTCCACATACTCCACCACCACCAGCGACTCGTACACGCTCTTACCTGAGGAACATTAAAGATGTGAAGTTTAATAGGAGAGCCCAAACAAGGAGAGGCTGATTTTCTGCTTCTCTCTATAGCCTTTTCGTAATACGTGACATTGGACTCGAATGCGACCTGGAATGTCTCTTCAATGCTTGAGATCAGATAATAGTTGATACAGCTTTCAAGCATCCAAGACTTCAACGCTTGCAGGGACACGGTGGTCATTGACGTGGTGGAAAGAAAACCAAAGCTGAACAATACACGAGAAAGAATCGGACTTGTTGATGTTCCAGGAGATTTAAGCTGACTCGAAATTGACAAAATCCACGCGGGCGCCCCACTTTTTGTTATGTTTCTATAATTCTACGCTGAATGTGTCTCGTTTTGGCAACCCACAAACTATAGTAGCTCAAATCTATTGCTACAACTCAAAGTCAGCCTGGCCACATATGACCACCATTTCAGAAGTTAAGCATCAGAAAGGTGCAATGCTGTTCTTGATTGTGGTACTGATCGCCAGAGCTCTTTCACCACTGAAACCAATCGCAGCAGCTACCCCACAAAGATGACTTAGATCAATGGGGAATTCATATCAGCGCATTAAAAGCAGATTTTAGCCAGCGAGCTGCAGCGCCCAAAACTCAAGGTTACGTTGATTTGAGAAACAAGAACCCAGACCGATCCACGAACTACTGCACAAAGCTGTGACCACCGCATGTAGCACATTGTCATAAAAGCTGCTGTATCTCATGCATGCACCAAACTAGAAGTTGGACTCCGTTGACACCACTGTCGATCTGAGTTTGATTGTCCCTCACCATTGTGCACTAGCGTCGGCACCGCCCCCCTGGGGTTGTGCGCCAGCAGATCCTCCGGCTTAGCATATGGGTCCGTCTCTCTGTACTCGTACTTGAGCCCCTTGGAATCGACCGCTATTCTAGCGCGCTGACTGAAGGGACAAGTCTGAGCTCCATACAGAACAATCTCATATTGCTCAGAGGAGTCTGGCGCCACTGGGTGATCTGCGGCGGTGTGCTGCCGTTCTCCCTTCTGGGCTGCCATTGCTCAAGTTGACCAGGAAAGCTTTTCGCAAGAAGGAACCTTAGTGAAGTTAACGCAGAAGAAAGGGTGGTGCAACAGTGACTACAATCTCTACTCCAGCTGGGAGGCCTTCCGAAGACAGCAGTACCTATTATGCAGCGACTCTTACCGTACTGCCATTGTGAATTCGCATAAAAAATAATTACTCAAGGCCAGGTCGAAAAATTTAAGAAATTATTTCCTGCCTGGTCGAATAGTTGAAATGCAGATACAAACTTTTCAAGGCCAAAAACAGGTCTTTTAGCAGGGAAAATGGGACAAAACGAATTTAAAAATAAATCAGTTTGGTCGATGCGAAATCGTAAAAAGTTTGAAATTAATTATTCGTGGCCTAGGGGTGCGAATTCGAATGGCAGTACGGTAATTTGCCAGGACACTGCTGTTGATCAAATGCATATCAACCTGACACTGACGTCGACCAGTTTCACGGCACTGGAAAGACTGATGAAAGCACTCGAGACTGTGCGGTGCTCGGATCGCCTCGCGACTCATCCAGCCAATCGCTGCTGTGCATGCAAGCGCCGGATGGCCTGCAACCGTGACATGGAGGGCTGTATGCCGTCGATAAAAAGTCTGCGCGTTTTACGAATCGTTGTATACAACAAATGATTATGCAACACGCGGCCCCTGCTTCAGTATGTGCGCGGGCCCTTTCCGACTTGTCGACTTGTTGTACACTAACTAGCTGCACAGCAGCGCGCATGCCGCTTGGACAATTATCAAAGCTCTGGCCGGCGCGATTTGTTGTAAGGCTCCATATTGAATAAGCTCCCTCACCAGGTGCAGCCGGCCTATGAACGGCGAAATAAAGTGCATCCCTTGCATGTAAGTCTGTCGATGCTTCAGCGTATAGAGCTGCCGGCGCGCGAATGACAGGCCATCATGCAGCGCGCAGTCTTCCGCATTTTCCGCTTGCGCGTCGATGATGCGCGCATCAGCCAAGCTGGTACGTCTGCCACAAGCTAAGCTTGAGGGCCAGCACAATCAAAGTCGATGATTTGCCAAAACTTTACTTTCTAATCCTGATCTTCACTGCATTGATTGTGAAGCCTCAGTGTTCGGAAGGGCTTTGCAACATGCGATACAATGGGTACTTCGATCTGACTCGGACTGTATTATGCTTTTCCTGCAAGCTCCACCAGACCTTTTGCAAATCCCAAGCAATGCGCTGGCGTCGGGCAAAATCCATCAGATTTGACAAGATCAACACTCTTTCAGTTCACAATCCTACAAAACCTACTCCGAACTGTTTCTATCTCCTACTTTTACAGGGGCAAAAGGTACTAACAAAGGTAACACTGGACTTCAAAGTCAATTGAATGAATATACCGACGACTAGATTACGACCTCATACAACGTCTTGAACTCTAATACTGTGTGCTGACTGGTGGCGGAACTCCCTTCTCATGGGGCGTCGTGCTTATTCCTTGACCGTTGAAGGTCATATAATTTAGGACGAACAGATTCTTGGCGCCCGCAACCGCCGATCTAAATGTGGTATACAAGGTCACATTCCCCGGCCGTTGGGACTCCCCGGTGGCCCACCGGCTCGTTATGTTGCCATCCAAAGCCTGCTGAGGTGGCGTGTCCGACGCTTGCGACGACGCTGTTGCGACCCACTTTGCGGTTCCTAGGCTCACATTCTTGTCATCAAATGCGCGCAACTCGGCGACTGACCACCACGACGTATTGGCTGCGGGCCCGATGTTGATGATTTTGATGAACCGGGCGCTGACGGGGGGATTGAGCGTGATGTTGATGACACCCGTGAAATTTTTCGCCACAGTCCCGTTGGTGAGAGTGTATGGCGGAGGGTTACCCTGTCAGAAGCGAAGCAATCTATTAACTTGTGGACGCGTCCAAGTGATCGTTGCTTTCAGAAACGCCTGTACGCCGTATCTTCCATCATCCACATGACTGTCACGATTGAGACGGTTTGCTGGATCGACACCTGACGTCAAACAAAACCTGACTGGATCTGTCAGCATAGGCAGCAACCGACAAGAAGTTGACCAAGAGGCGTAGTCAATGAGGCGCTCAAGCTTTTGGCACCCCTCGACATCTTGTCACTTCGAAGTACTTCACAGAACAACCAGAAGGCACACTTCAGCAGTGCTTGCTCGGCGTGCTTGCCACAACAACGACCATGCAAGACGTCACTGAATTCTGCTAGCCACACTGCCATTGCGTCCCAGACTGTATAGAAAGACACAGTCCAAAGAATGAGAACACTGAAAGAAGACGCTCAACAAGGGCTTCTTATGCCCCGCATGCCTTCGAAAAGATTTTCTTCCTCTTGAACCATCTAACGTCCTGTAAAGCCCCAGCAAGGAGACGAAACTCTTGCTCGGACGCGTGGTTCGTACCGTGGCCAGAGGCATGATGGGTGTGCCCCAGGTGGAGTTGTCGAGCGACGCAAAGACGGCGTAGCCCCGCAGGTAGTCGGTCGCCCACTGCCCGGGGTCTAGCTGCAACCAGGAGATGGTCCACGCGGACTGCATGTCCACCTACACGTGGGCACGGAACTTTGGAGTCAGAGTTGAGTCTCTAAACTTTACGGGAAGCAATTTGCGAGAAGCAAGCGGATCTCCGGGAAGGAGGCTGCCGATGCTGAGGTGGAAGCCCGCTGATTTCGGTGCTTCGCGAAGAATGGCTGCTAAACAGCGGAAAACAATGTCAGGATTTATTGACGAGCAGTTCTTGCATAGCTGCCCGTTGGTTCATTGGTCAAATGCAACAGCGACTCGAAATAAGTCGTGCCGAAGCGGATACGTTACGACAAGATGCACATGGGTCAAAACCCTGTGCCACTTTCAACGCCAATGCGAGAGCCCAGATTAAAGCCCGTCCGGCCTTACCATGAACCACTGGTTGGTGTCCTGGATAGGCACTTGGAAGTCAGTGTATGTTCCCGCCCCGGTTGCAGCAATGGGCACAGTGGCGATGATGCGCCCGGTTGGCGACCCAATCCGCACGTCGATGAACGCACCGCCAGAGGCGCTGCAGAAAGGTAAGCAGAGGCTCTAGGGAATCGGCGGGACCGTAACAGGGGGATCGAAGCAGGAACACGTGTTGTGTCTCATAGGGGACACTGCCTTGATATAATATGCCTGAGCAGCTATGGTCAAGAGGGAATAAATCTTCGGCGCTAGCTTCAGCTACGTATTAGGGACGGAATCTCCACGGATCCGGGCAGGCAGTGCCTTTTGGAGTCAGCGAAACCAAAGCTCTTCACGGTCTCTTTCGGGCTCAAAGGATCGCTCCACCGACCTATTTTGATTCCTGCCTTTCAGCGATCGTCTCTAACCCCGTGCAGCTTCAAACTCATCCTCCAACGACAAAGTTATTAGAGCAGACGTTGGCCGATCGCAGAGAAGGGGCCATACCTGTAACCCCGGAAGGTGATGCTGTCGATGTTGAGCATGTTGAAGTTGTCGTACCGCAGCCAGTCGCCGTCGTTCAACCCGTACACGTCCAGGCCACCCCCGATCGTGTCCTTGGTCGTCTGGGTAGCCCCCGTGGCGTTGGAACTCTGCAAGATGGGGTCCAGATTAGAAACAAGTCAAGAGGACACATCAGCAGACGGGGCTTTGAACTCCTCCGGAATTGGGTCCATCCTACGCTCTAACTTTGAAGTCAAGAGGGCACGTCAGCAGACGGGGCTTTCAACCTGCAGATTGGGTAGAAGGGGACACATTAGCAGATGGGCTAAACAGACAGCCAGGAGAATATGGTATGCAAGGGCAATGTCAAAGGCTCCTTTTACCTCCGCCCACTGCAAGTTGGAAAGGCCCGATGCATTTGCATTTTGTTCTGGCCACGCCACAAAACGCGGCGTAGACACAGATTTCAGTGAAGAAGACCATGCTTAGACGGTGTGCACCCTTTTCCTGAATGATGTCAGATGACAGGGTTGCAAATGGCAGCAGTGCTTACCGAGCCATCGAAGAACTCCAACTGCCAGACGGACGGCTTCAGCTGGGCAAACGTAAGCCCGATCATGGGGGCGGAGCCGTTGGCACCACCGCTGCACCAGAGAAACGCAAACACTGCGGTCAGATTGTCGACGAAGGGGATGCGGAGATTGACACGTTGCAAGTTCCCAGCTTCGAGGGCAAAACCGAATGGCAAGAAACCTGGTCCTCTCAAGATTTACTTTATTGAGTACTGCAAGCGCATGTAGTTGCTCCTTCTGCCGCTGAGAGAACCCAGGCCACAAACGGAGCCCCGTCGACAAATAAGACTCGATACAGAACGATACCACGAGACAATCATGGCATCCGCTTGCGCCAGACACGAAGCGGGAACAAGAAGAAGAGACCTCAGATTGGACACAAGAGCGCGTAACATACAAAGCCCAGACAGCGTTGAACGCGCGGAAAACCACTGGCAGAAAGTGGAAACGCAATGGAAGTCTCCCAACTGAGGACCTGCTCATGGACGCGAAGGCCGCAATCTAGAAACCGCCTCCGGTGGGTGCTTACCGGTCGGGGTAGAGCGCCTGCACGAAGTAGTAGAACTTCTCCCACGAGTGCTCGTCCTCGACTGGCCCGAAGGTGCCGTTGCACGCGTAGTTGGCAATGCTGTTGTGCACGTGGCAGGGCGCCAGACGGCCGGGGCAGTGGCCCAGGCCAGGTGTCACCTGCAGATTGGAGCACGGGATGCCGCCGTCCGCTGTGCTGCCGTCCTCCTTGTCAATCACCGACACCTGGGGAGGGGGGGGGAGGAAAGGGTGAGATGAACAGGAGTAGGAAAGGGTGAGATGAACAGGATTTTACCACTAGGATTTTGAGAGGTTCCACCGTTTGGATCTGCGCCCATCCAGAATCGCATCAGGGTACAGGAGGAGGCCGCTAAAGACTGCCTATCTGTATCCGCTCCTCGACGAAGCAGGAAAGAAGGTTGATAAAGATGCACGTCGCGTTTGCTCCTCAGCAACGGCACTAGCGAAGCTTCCGACTAGATGTATACGATTTTCACGGCATTCCCTGAAGCGGTAAAAAATCAAAGCGCTTCTCACATGCAATCCTGAGTCTTGATACGGAGCTAAGGTCGGAACCGAAGTCAATGGAGGCTCACCGAGAAGTCGATCACGTCGCCCCAGGTGTAGATGCCCCCCTCGAACGGATAATCCACTGTGACCTGCGGCGGGCTGTTGAGGCTGGACGCCACGTCGATGGGCACCGTGCACGACTTTGTCGCTTTCGACGACTTGAGCGTTAGCGTCGCGACCGCGACGCCCTCTCGCATGTACGTGTGCGTCGGGTTCGCGCTGGTGGCGCCGACGGTCCCGTTGGAGGTGAAGTCCCAGAAGTACGTCAGCGGAAGCCCGTCGCTGCAAATGAGAATTGTCAGGCTTAGAAGCCAAGACCTACTATCAGGGACCTGAAGGGCTAGGGAAAAGGTTTAATGACTCGAAGCAGCTCAACCGCATCTTTGCGGTTCGCTTCTGAAAACAGCCTTCGCAAATGCGTGACGTGTCGTCCTCCCTATAATCTATACTTTCGCGACCCTTTTTGTTTTTGGGTTTTTGTTATTGACCCAAGCCCCCTGTTACAAATAGGCGCAAAGCACATTCCACTGCATCAGAAGCATCAGAAGCACCGGTTCTCCGACTAGGCGCCCCAAACGACCACGAACTCTTCACTCGAACATTCACTCGAACATTCACCGAGAAATTCATTCGTTCCCCCGCTTTGCCGCTCACCTGGACGTGGTGCCGTCTGTGGAGAACTTGACCGTGAGCGGCGCCTGCCCCGAGGTAGATGTCGCTGCCACCTGGCAACTGATGGGGTTTGGCGCGCCCAGGTAGCGCATGCGGCTTAGCTGCGCGCCGATCAGGTTGAAGCCGTCCCCGAACTCAATGATGTAGAGTGAGCCGTCGGGTGCGATCGCCATGTCCATGACGGACTTCCAGGAGAAGGTCGGCCACAGCTTGGTGATGCTCAGCAGCGTGCCGTTGCTGTCCATCTTGAGCAGCCGCGCATAGTCCCTGCAGAGGGAGCAGAACGCTGCGTTTGTAACAGGGCCGAAAGAAGACAACAGTCGTGTTCACACAGAGTTACTTGAGTACAAGCTTTCAGACAGGTGACAAACCAAGATCTACACTAGACTTGTAATGCAGCGAGGAAGTCTGAGGCAGTCTGAACATTTGAAAAACGATCATGATCACCATGATTGCTACCGCATGAAATTGAACAAAGACTGGGGAGACCAAACTTCCAAACCAATCAGCCACTCTGAATCAAAAGCAGGTTTTGTTTGACTCACCGGAACCAGTCAAAGAAGAAGAGCGAGTTGTCATAGTATTGCGGCAGGGCGTAGGGCGCGCTCGCGTTGACGCTCACGCCGTAGCGGTAGAAGAAGGGCGCGATGGCGGCGCGGCCCAGCACTTTAGACGTGTCGTCCGGGTTGAACTGGGGGAAGTCCGTGCTGTTGTTGTAGGTGTAGTACGCAATGGCCGCGCGCGAGGGGGGCAGCCCTGGGGCACAGAAGAAGGTGGGCGGATAAGAAGACAGTGACAGGGACAAGAGATGGGGAGAGAAGGAAAGCGCTTGGTATGTTGAGGCCTCAAGAAGCGGTGCATACACTCCCAGCAAAAACGACTGTATCTAGAAGCTTTCGTAAAAAATGCTTTAACTGCAGGAAACGAGGCGCCTACAATTCTGCAGGGGTTTTGAACGCTGTCATTGGTATATAGCCTGCTGCTCAAGATTTAGAATCCATTATTAGCGCAGTGCACTAGCAGGTAAACGATTCTCGTCCTCTGGACCACCCCAGCTCGCCTCACCTGTCTTCTGCCCCGTGTTATTGGGCGAGTCGTTCTCCGGGTTTGCGCAATCGTACGGAACATTCAGAGTGGCTTGCTTGACGTAGTCGAACTTTACGTACGGCATGTTGGGCCCTAGGCAGTAGGGCCAGCCGTAATTCCCGGGGTCGTTGTACTTGACCTTGTTGATCTCGTCCATGCCAATGGGTCCCCTCGTTGGGTCGGTGGCAAGCTCGTCGGGCCCGATCTCCCCCCACCAAACGTCGTTGGTTAGCGGGTCCACCGCAAAGCGGAACGGATTGCGCAGGCCCATTGCGTAGATCTCGCCCCTGCGGGTGAGAAGAAGGCAAGTTAAGTTCCAAACTTCCTACTTGCAAGTATCATTATTTTGTTGGTGGGACGTAGATGAACCAAGAACCTTCAATTACAAGGCGTGTCCAGGAATGTGAATGACAGTGCGAACAGCGGAACAAGACTCGTCCTTCATCTTCTGACGGCACAGGCTTCCACTGTGCAGAAGCAGCAAGAGAGGAGGCGCGTATTCAGGAGTTTGTAAACGGACGGCAGCACGGAGAAATGCGTCATCACAGAAGTCCGTCCAAGTCCCACCGGCAAGAACTGGGCAGAAGTCTGAGGTCACTTTGCTCTGGGTCACTTTGCCTTGAAGGCGTAAAGATCGACTTTGAGCCAGCAGCAGGAAGCACCATCAACCACTTGCCCGTCATTTGAATACCAAAAAGTAGAAGCAAAAGCAGAGACTTACTTGTGGGTTGCATCTGCCTGGAACAAGTTGTTTGCTGGGATGGTATAGTTGGTGCCGTTCGGCGTGATGCGCAGCAGCTTCCCCCGCAGGTCGTTCGTATTGGCCGCACTCTTCTGGGAGTCCATCACTGAGAAGCCGGGGCGGACATCCGTGGGCGCCCAACCTCTGTCGAGCAGAACGGATACAACCCTGGGTTCAGAACGAGCTACGAGCGGCTGGCGCGCAAGTTCGGCTTCTTCGTGCACAGGGGCCGCCTCCTTCCTGATTAGCAGCCGTGCATCCTTACCCCAGCCAGTCGCAAAAGTACAAGTAATTTTGAACTTTATCTCTTATGGGGCCCTGAGCTGACTTTACAGAACTTCGACAGGCTTTGTTTCCGCAGTGTATGTGTCTGAGTTGGCTGAAAACCCTGGAGACGCGTCCATACAAACAAGTCACCATGCAGAACGCAGATGCACTGCCTGCTTGCACCGCCGATTCAGATTCGAAGATCAGGCATCAACAATCAAACAAAAATAACAACAGGCACGAAGTTTCTGACAGCTAGGAGCGGCTCACATTTGGTAGGTATTGTCCCCCACGCTGAGGATGAGGTTTCCGGCCGTATCAAACTTGACATTGCCTCCGCTGTGGCAGCAGGCCAGGCGCTGCACAAGAGACAAATTTCTAAGTGCAAGGAACTGCAAACCGATGGTAGGCTTCGCCTCCAGTGCGCAGAAAGAGACCCCACTCACACAGTGACAACTAAACCGAAGCGCGGCTAATCACGCCGACCGACATCAACCCTACAAGCAGCGAACATGAGCCCTCATTCAGAAGCCGCTGTTCCTAGGGTGTCCGTACGTACTCCCAGTACTCCGAGCGGAACGGACTATTGTCGCTTTTCGGTGTTGTTTGTCCAACCGACAGGCGAATCACAGGCGCGCACTCTACTGGACTTGACCACGCATGCGTGGAAAACTACACAGATCACTCGGGAAAATCCACCAGAGAAAGGTGGTACGAGTTTTACTGAGGGGCAATGGATAAACGAGCCATTCGCTTATCCAGCCCAATCACACAAGCTACATAAGCAAAGAAAAAATGTTCCGGGATCCAAGTAAAGACCTTCAAAGGCCGCCAGTGCAACCATCTCCAATCGAGCCAACGAATCAGCTTTTGAACACGACACCGAGGAACCGGCCAGCAGTCCTCACCTGGGTCCTGATTGAGATCATGCGTACTTCAGTCGTAAGGTCCACCTCGTCCCCACGCATCGTGTACCGCGAGAGCACGTTTTGCGTCGGATTGACGAGCGCAATCGGTGAGTAATAGACGTACAGGAAGCCGTTGCTGGCGAAGTTGGGGTCCACCGCCACGCCCAGCAGCCCATCCTCGTTGCTGTTGGTCACGTTCCAGCGACCACCTGTGGGAGAAGGGCATAAAATAAATGGTCGGAGATCCTTCGCCATACAAAGCTGCCACTTACACTGGAGCATTCCCAGGGTGAAAAGTCGGATACATTTTCGCAGGACAAGGAGCCACGTGCGTCGAAGCTTGTTCAAACGTCTTAAAGACGCCCATCCTCGTTGGTGAGGTTCCCGGCTCCCGTTTTCCTGATTGCTTACGAAAAGGCGGATGTCCAGATAGTTCTCTGAGTGACTCGTCTGGCTGCGAGCCGCTTTTCACCATACATCTAAACATCACAACGTATAGCAAAGGGCCAGGTTATTCATTTGAAATCTTACACACGGACTTTTACACACTGTGTTTTCATGTCAAGCTCGGATCTCAAAGGAAACCGGAACAACGTTGAACATCCGGACACAAGCAGAGGGATGTCAGAATTCCAACGGGAGAAGAGAAAAATAAAGAACCAATTGAGCATCTTGGCAGGACTTCTGGCAGGACTTCAAGGCCGAGTCGGGCTTGTATATCAAACCAGATTATCAAGGAAGAGACGACTTACACAGCACGACCGTGTTCACATCCGGTTTGTAGAGCAGGAGGGCCCCGTTGCGGACAACCAAGAGGACGCGTCCATCAGGGAGGACAGCCAGATTCATGGGCTGCAGATAGGACACAAGGTTCAGTCATCTGATGCCAAGGTTGGCATCTATGTTGCGATCAAAAGGTGCTCTTGGCCAGCAGAGGACCGAAACCGGAACAACAAATGTACTGTGCCTACTTGACAGGATGGGGGCGTACGTCCAACATAAACCAGTCTTCGTCTCCTTGACTCTGCCTTTGACTGAGTCTGATTACTTTATTCCACTGCCTGGTTCACCCAAAAGAACACCACATTCTTAGCTGTCAATCAAAGATCACAAAAGGTGCGCACCGCAAGGCACCACAAAAATCAGAGGAGGCAACAACCTCTGGAAGTAAATGAACACACATGAATTTCAATCCTCTACATGAAGCTGGTAGAAGTTTCCAACATGAGCGCACAGTTGAAAATTGAAGCCCCTCAGCACCAACCTGCTCGCCCTGATTGAAGCTGTAGAGCGCGTCCTTCTGGAAACTGGTGTCAAGCCCCGCAGCGCCGTCGTCCTCGGCAAGGAACCGGCTCTCCCTCTGCTTTTTCTGCGCTTGCATTTCCTGCTCATGCTTCTCGCACAATATGCGCGCACGGGTGTCGCGCACAGCACTGGGGGGGTGGGCCATCTCTGCTTGAGCAGCCCAGGCAATCCCCCCAATGACATGATCCACCAGCAAGGGGTCTGCCCAGGCCACCGAGCTATGGCCAAGGGCGGTGTAGAAAGCGCGAGAGGCGAGCGGCCTGCAAGAGGAAAGGTTTGACAGTTCAGATTCAAGCAAGCGAGAGGATGTAGAGTTGGGAGTATCGAGAGAGGTGAATAGGGGGAGATCAGCTTCCTGACTTCAATTCTTCACAATCTTTCAAACATATCTTAATGGAGACAAAAATGGAGAGAAGGGAGGTAATGTGGAACATCCTGTTGAGGGTAAGGCAACCTACAACTTTCAAAAGTTGAACCTCTGATTAACAGGGTACATCTCCTGCATCCTGTGGGGCACGCACGGTAAACTTCTTCACTGCACCACCTGTCCCAGTGCTAAATTGCACTCAAGTAACGGCAGTTGCACTCGGATGGCATCTCAACGTCTGGAGAAGGACCCCAACTGGGCCCAACTGGCTGATTTTGTGGAGCTGCAGGCTAAATGTCCAGGATGACAGGGGGGCACTGCCCCAAGAACAAACCAGTGGCCTGACATTCAATCACTCATCATCAGGCAGACACATATCAGATTCTGCAATCAATCAAGTCAGAAAATAATTGCCTATCATGCATGCATGTGGGCGTTGATGAAGTCAATAGTATACATACGTGTGTGACAGACCAGCGCAAGCGACACTGGCATTGACTGACTGGTATGATGTAATTGACTGATATGAGTACTGTTGGCCTTTCAGGACACTGCTCTCAATCCCCCATGGGTTCTTCACCATTGGCCAAAGAATTGCAACATCCTGCTTTCAAGGAAACTTGATAAACAGTTGCTCACCGGTGCGTCCAGGCGATGGGGTGATCAAAGTGCATGCTGCCGTCCGGCTGATCCCGGAAGTACGTCTTCTCATCAACATGTGCGAGCACGTGGACCTTCCCCACCGGGTTGTGGTCGAATGTAAGCCACTCATCTGCTACAGACCACCGCTCCGGGAGAATTGCGGACGCAGGGTGAAATCTGCACGGGAAACCAAGCCTCAGTTCTTGGCGGCTTGTCGTGAATGCTGGCTCGAAAGAATAGGTCAACTTCGGACCTGAAATGTGCAGGGTGTTGAGTCATGGGAGTCAGCTTTCACCTTCAAAATGATTGAGACACGAGCGACAGTGGTTTCAATACTGGTTGTAGAAGGATCAATTAATTATCTTCATAGCCCTTCCCTATAGTAATAGATTGCGACATGTTGTCTGCAAAAGCGCAGATTGCGCTCACCTTGAGAGAGATTTCAGAGTAACATTTCATAGTTGGCGCCTTGTTTAAAGTGCCGTGGCTCACAAGGAACGTGTTTAACGTCAAAGCTGGTGCCTTTCCAACGGGGTACCTTAAGATTACTGGTCAAGTATGTTAAGTGACTGAACCACCCCTTTGCTGTAACATGCCAAAGCAAGACCAGTGATTGTGACACCACTCCTTCAGTAGTATGACGTCAGTCATTGGCCAGAAAAATAACCGGGCAGAGTCTAAGGACAGCTCAAGCACCATGTAAAAACTAGTTGAACCAGCATGAAGCGGAACCAGCCTTAGCCAGACAATTTCAGAGAAAGGCGATCACTGATTGCTTTCTAAAGAAGCTCTGGTGGTGCAAACTTGCAAAGAGAGAAAGCTTCAGTGTTTCAATCAGGGAAACGATGATGGCGAACCACTCTGGGACCCCACAGAGCTTGAGCTTGAACATGTAGATTGGCCAGACTGCTTGAAAGTACTCTCGAAAAGCACGACTCTACCTCGTGGACCTCACAAGAAAGGGACTACAAACCAGTATGCAACATGAAGCGCTGATATAGATCTGGACAACCAGCAGGCGCGCAATACCTGTCACTGACGATGACTGTGGCCTGCTGATCCTTGTCAGAGGGGCTATTGAGATACCGTGCCCCCAGCAATTCCCCAAACCAGTCCCAGTCTGCGAGAGTGTCCGCTGCGGAGTGAACACCAACGAAACTACCCCCCTCATTGACGTACGCCTTCAGCGCCTCTCGCTGTTCGGCTTGCTCAAGGACATTCCCACTTGTGAGCAGGAAGACAACACTATCATATCCTCGCAGTTTGTCTGGCGTGAATATCGAGCTATCGTTTGAATCCACCACTGTCCACCCCCTCTTGAGACCCTCAACAGTCAAAGCTGTAATGGCCTCAACCACTGCCTCGTGCTTTTCCCCTGCCTGCCTTGTAAACAACAAAATGTTGGTCGCCACAGCATTGGAGGAAAGAAGCAATGCCACCGCTAAACAGAGCGCTGCCCTCAGGCCGCAAGTTGGTGCGGCCATGATCTCAGCTGCTCGCCTTGCTCAACCAGATCTTACAACTTGCTGTAGCTCTAACGCAGTTGCCAGAAGCTGGCCGCCTTGGCTTACCGTACCTACTCTCAGGCTCCTGTCTGCATCCTTTCCTGTTCCACAGTGCATGCTGCGAGTGCGAGTCCTTTTCGAAAGAGGCGCACGAGATCGGGTGATCCGGGCCGGAGCAGGTTAGTCGTCAAAACCGTTGGTTAGGCTTTGTCCTGGCAGAGCACTTTCCTAGCTCACTCGTAACCCCGATTCCGAACCTGGTCTGCAGATCTGGGCATGTTGAAACTCGAAGCCAAGGCTAGTCAACGCGTGGACTGCACTGGGCAGCCTTCTCGCCACATTTGAATCGGAGGGACGCGATGACGTGTCGCCCTTGTTGCGGGCGGTGAATGTTGCAGTCTGAGGACGCACGTAACGCACGTCAGCCGGCACATCGACGCGGCTCTGTCGAGCAGTGTGGTCGAGAATACAAACCTTCGTTGCGTCGGATATCATGTACAGGGATTACCAGAGGAAAGACAGTCTGGGAACCGGTGTTTGCAAGACGGATTTGGACCCGTTGACCGCCAATGTAGGCAGATCCTGGCCGTCCAACTTGTAACTTCCTGCATTTGCTGGACGCTGCCGCTTCCAGAATCATCAAGGATCGATGGTGAATCGAAAGACGGTTTTCGAAATGTACCTAGGTATGATGGTCTCTTTTCACACGCCGTACTACAGTACCACTGATGATTCGAAAGAAATAACGAAAGTGAGTCAAGTGACACTTCTTACACTCGAGTCCTCAGTGCTCACCTCCTAGGTATTCAACCGTACTATCCTCAGGTCTCCTGTCATCCTGGCTTCCTGGACTTGACCATTCGCAAAATTCACTCGCATAAAAAAAACTATGTTCTTTGCACGTCTAGACGTCTTTTGTCAACTGTTCATTCGGTACAAGTTTTGTTCATTGCGCCATAGCCGTGTGAAGTGTACACTATAGGCCTTGAAAGGGCTCCACGGCATACAATACGAATGGCAGAGCCGGATTCACTGAAGGTCGCTTACTATTGTTAACCCACTGTGAGCATTGAAAGCTCGGTGAGTCCGGGGTACAATAGTGAGTTGACTCCACAGCTTGCTACGGCCACAAGTCTTCCCTTAAGTCCTAGATCATACTACCTACAGCATCCAATCAAGCATCCAAACATTACCTATCATTGCAAGCATGCTTACATGCTGGATGAATCAAATTTCCAATTTGTCTAGCTCAGTGGCGCCAAGTGCAATGTTGACCTCTTCTCTACTAATAATACATCATTCAATGACGAATTCGGACTACGCTGCAGCAACTGGAAAGTTAAAAGGATAACCCGTCTCCGACGTAACTCTATTGCAAGAAGGGCCGCCGGCGGGGCGCCCGCAATTCCGTTGGCTTCCCGTTTGATCGTAGATTGAAGCGGTACTAGAACTTAGCGTATCTACTCATATAAAACTCATTAAACCATATACCTCTACACCAGCGGGTGACCCACTTCGCCAAAGGATCTTTAATCTGGTCAATTTATAAGAAGTCCCATTCCAATGACTCATTAATGCTAAGCCAGCTTGAGGAGTCGCTGATATTATTGTGTGCTTGTATTAAAGGTTTGTTGTTGAAGGGAGTGCATATCCAGATATATAAGTCCTCCGAAAGCTCCATATCCATGATAATCATACATCTATGGCCCGTGTGGACATGCCAGTGGCTATTGCGTTTTGAAAAAAGGGAACAAGAGAACATGCCAACCTACCAGTATATCAACATTTTAGCTAGCTAAGGACAATGAAAAACGAGGTTTAGAAGTTATTACCATCTTCGACGTACTTTAGCTCCCGGAGAACCATACGAAAACACACGTTTCAAACTCCAATGTATTGCAAAAGGCATGGGCTACGAGGCTGCAGGCTACAGCTTGTAGTCACGTGAAATGAAGTAGAGCCGGTGAGCCTGTGTGTCTAAGGATGGGTCTGTACACTTCGTTAAAGGCAGTAAATCTCGTTTCAAGAATGCTCAAGAACACCAACGGTACCGTCAAAGACTCATAATGTTTGATCAAGCCAAGCCAAGTCAGAGCCGTACCATTCTGAGTTACAAGTGATGACGTTCTATAATCATCACACGCTCCCATTCAAAAGATTCATGTACTGACTTTATAAAAGTTGTGTTTACAACATGAAAAGGGCGAAAGCTTGAATCAGATGACATAAACTTGAATAGGCACCGCACGACCCGCAAACACATTCCACATGCCTGCAATGGGATGCAACTCCCACCCTGTAGTCTTCATTGCTTTGGGCTTTGTTCGCATTTGCTGAAGTTGACGATTGGAGAGCTGAGTGGCTCGTGGGCACTGACAATATGCACTACACGGAGTTAGGCCCATGGCAGATGTGTCTCCCCAGATGGAGGCGGTCATACAACTACCTTCTCGACACTTCGTGGGCCAAGTACTCGCATCATACCTTACTTAGTGCCTTTTTCAACCTTTCTGCCTCCAAGTATGCAGATCCAAATGGCAGATTGAACTCGCTTGCATGTTCTTGGGCAACCTCATAGGCCTCTTCAACAAGTTTTATGATGCCAGCTATCTCGTCTCCTGCAAAGCAGTATGAACGATTGACGTCGCGCATCTTGCCAGCGAAAGGACTAACAACGCTGGGGTCCAGTCTACATGCTTTGTAAGTGAGAGAGCTTCCATTTCATTGCTGCGATCAATTTCATTGCTGCTGGACCAACTACACAAACTGATTGCCAGCATCAAACTTCTCTTCCTGCTTAAAGCTGCTCGTTGCCAGACCTCTAACGAGACATCGTAACATGCAGCACCTTGACCAGCATGAGAAGGGCATCAGGCATGCAGCACAAGGCTGTAGCTCGAGATGGAACCCCGTACTAATAGAGACTAGGGCTTGGAAGAGGCTCACCTTGAACTTTCCGTACAAACTTTGCCGGCGTCCCCGCCCAGACCTCTCCTGCTGGAATTCGTCTGCCTGGTGGTACCACCGAACCTGACCCGAGAATTGCGTGCTTTTCCACCAGCGAGCCCTCTGCCAGCACGCATCTGCTCCCAATAACCACCTCGTCCTCAATTGTACACGAGCGCAAGCTGCAATTTGCCCCAATCACAACGTACTTGCCAACTTGCACCTCTGCTGACAATCCTCCCGGCACGTCTTTTGCTGCATGAATGACGGTCCGCTCCCCGAGGTATGAATAAGGCTGGATTGTAATCTTGTTCAGGTCACCCCTCAGCACCGCCCCATACATCACGCTGACTCTGTCCTGCACCTCCACATCGCCAACCAGGACAGCATTTGGTGCCACCCAGGCGTCCGTGGCAACCAGAGGCTCCTTGTGCTGGAGCACTAGGATCTGTCTTTGTCTGTTGTAGATTTCAGTTTCGGCCACATTCTGGGAATGAAGGGGACTGGAGTGAAAGCTCTGGATCGATACGTATGGAGCAAACTCAGCAATGGCGGGCTTGCCAGGATCACTGAAGTGCGAAGCATAAGAAGAGGTGAACTTGGAAGTAGACAGGATCTGTTGTGCCCGACGGGCCAGCGCTGGGCCTCTCCTCAACAAGCCAGCCATGGCCCGCCCTTTTTGGACCGCTCTTGGTCAACTCAGCCGCCCGCCTGCAAGGAGCGTAAGATGGAAACGGATGCCGCAAGAAGCAGTGCGCACCTTCCTAACGCAACGACTTGTCACACGCTGCTATTACTACCTAGAATCGATCGAGAGCTGGCTTGCTCCTGGATCCTTGCGGCCTGCAGCCTGCAGCCACCCTCAGACGAATCAGGCCAGCTTGCTACAATGCTAGCTTGGTGTTTGCAAGGTGCAACGAGTAATCATCAAACTTCCGCGAGAGTCGGACATTATCATTTTCAGGCGTAGCTGCCACCGAGCAACTTGTGCCAAAATTGAAGAATGGAAGCAAGTTTGAACGAATCAAAGCTCGTCAATTGAGATCACTCGAAGAAAGGTCCAATTCATTGGTTGAAACTTTAGCAAGTGCCAACGACCATCCCACGTGGATGTGCATCCACCAGCCTGCACCAGATCGTGGGGCAAAACCATGATGTCAATGAAACATTGACAATGTCATTGTTAGGGTGTCGTTCCACGAGCGGTGGAAGTAGAAATATAAATTCCCTGATTGGCCCAAAATGTTTCTGCCGTCGGTCAACGGGCGGACTTCCGGGCAAATAAATGCCACGTCGCCGGCACAACTTTTATTAAAACTCGACCCGAGTATTTGTAGGGTCGAACGAAAATATTGTTCTGTGCCGGGACGTGGCACTCAATCAGCGAATGAGAGGATGCCATGTCGGATTCTGCAGTAAGTGCAATTTTTTAAATGCCACTTAAGTGGAATTCCACCGGCGAGCTGTTCCACGAGCGGCCGGAAATTGGTAATACCGTACTACCAAGGTATGATTCCGAATAATTAAATAATTATTTGCATTCGGAAAGTTGGAAACTCGAAATAAGCAGTCGGAATCTGCTTTTTCGGAAAGGGAAAATAATTGCAAAATCCGATTCGGAAAGTGATGTCAAAGCCCATATAAACTAAGGTACGTACCGGTACCTTGTGAAAAGCCAGAAAGTAAGGGTACCTGGGTACCTTTGAGCCCATTCGGATTCAGAGTCGGATTCTGGAAAATAATACAAGATCTGGACTCGCATTCGGTAAAATAATTGCATATTTTGACTCTTGAGCATTGGGAATCATACCTTGGTAGTACGGGTATATTGAACTTCCAGGCAAATTCCGGCCTCTTCAGAGCCACATATTTCATTTATTTTGCTGACTTCCACCACCGCCCGTGGAACGACACCCTTAGAACAATTTCTCATGCTCAGCTTTGTGGGTTCTTTGTCTTTTGGAGCTGTGCAGCGGATGTGACGCCTATACCAAAGATCAAGCTTCTCCTTTTCTTGCCCGCAATGTCCCCGCCGGAGAATCAAGCTGCGTGGCTTTACGGGGTGGATGATCTGCGGATCCTCCCGTTCACACTTCCTGACTTGGGTGAGTTGGGCCAGAATTTGAAGGAAGAAAAAGAGAATGCAGTACACCTTCTTAGACCTTGAAATCCGGCTTCAATGCCTTCGTGCGGCAAACCAAAAGTTGTGGTGGTGTAAGACGTAAGTTGTGATTTCCATCGTGCAGGTGCGAAAGATGTGCGCGTGCGGGTTAAGGCGGTGGGAATCTGCGGAAGGTCAGGACCACATTTGCTGCACAAGCACCTGCCTGTGGCCTTTTGGGATGATGAGCTGTTGTAGCATTCATAGTTGGCAGTAAAAATCTGCAATACATGGTCCTCCTTAACACAACAATGTGGACTCCTCACACCATCTCCAAAGTATATTAAAAGTGTACTCCTTTTTGAAAGCGCGACATTCAGTGATGATTGGGGTTGTTTACTTTCATGCCCAATCAATAAACCCAATCAGAGAGAATATCAATTATATCGATTCTCCAATTTCAAGGGGCCTGTGCGCTGGCGTTTGTGCTGAAAGAAAAGGAAGCAGGTAAAGCAAGCAATGATTTTTTTGAGAAGTTGCATGTGCGTGTTCACGCAGCCTCTATAAAAACAAAAAGAATCACATCACAACATCTAAAGCAAGGGAGTAACACTTTCCTTGGCTCTCGCTCAAGTGGTCCCAGTCCCCCCTCTTTCTTGTAAGAGATTGTCAGAGCCAATGGAGCGCTCTTTTGGGAGCCCAAGACCATTTGTGCTCAAAACACAACTCTTCATTGCTTGGTTTTGCATAATCCGCAAAGGAACAACTCTGACCAGCATATCAATTTCCATACAGAGCCAACAATCGCAATCGTATCAGGTGTCAACCAGCGCTCATTGATAGGCATATGTTGGTGGATGTGGCTTGCTTTTTTGGACAGCGAAACTTGATTGCCACCCTGATGATCAGCTGAAGGTGTTGTTTCTTTCATGCAGCGATGTACACTACTTGAAGAAGATGGAGTGCGCTGGTTTTGTGGTTGAATCTCCAATGGTGAGTCTGCACTACTGTGGCTTTGCTCGCTGATGACAACCTTGAGGTTGTCATCTTGTCTTTGTTCAACGAGACATCACATCAAAAGGAATGCAGAAAGTGTTTGTATTGACTTCTGGTTGTGACGATGTCTTGAGGGCAGTTGAGCATGATTGAAAAGATTGCCAAGTGATCAGGTGTGATGATTGGGACCTAAGCCATAGGAGAAATTTTTGCTGCCTATAGTTTACTTGCTACTCCAGGAGACTGGTATCTTTTGCAGGCTCCATTCTTTCCCCCAAGAACCCAAGCCTTCGCGGGACATCCTGCCTTACGTATGTCATAAGATTCCCCTTCTTTGCTGTTGTCCAGGTCATCGGTCATGAAAGTGCCGGCATTGTTTCCGAAGTGGGGACATCTGTGAAACACCTGAAGGTACGCCTCGTTGCAAGGAAGTCTTCAGATATCTTTTGCGGACAGTCTTGAGCTCTTCTCTGCAATTCGTATGAAGTAATCTGCAGCCGTCCTGCCTCTTGTTCTGCCAGAGTGCAATTGATCCACCTCAAGCAAGAGAAAACCCGCAGTTGTGCCAGAAAACTTTGCAGCTGGATCTTCAAACCCTGCAGCCCAATTTAATGATGGCATTGTTTCAAGTGTGTAACCCTGCCTTGTAAGGTACTCGCGGCGAGGCTCTGGCTGCTTCAAGGTCGGGGAAAACTTCGCGTCCTAAAGATGTTATATACGTGGCACCTAACACATGTGAATATCGATTACGGCAACAACTTGGCGTGCAGGTTGGCGATCGTGTTGCCATGGAGCCCGGCATCGCTTGCAACACCTGCACAGCCTGCAAAGAAGGCCGCTACAACCTCTGCGAAGAAATGAAGTTCTTTGCAACCCCGCCCGTACACGGATCTCTGGCAAACGAGGTGATCCATCCCGCAGGTGCGTATCACGACAATTTTCTTACTCCAGTACATAAAGTGCATAGTAAACAACCGGTCTTTAGTACAAAGGAAACCCTTGCGGTTGAAGCAAGGTAGGCCTAACGGGGAACCGAAGACCACTCCATCGCTGAAAACACCATCTTTTACGTCTATCAGTTCCATAGTTAGCGGGCCGCAATTAAGCGACATTGACCACCTTACTTTCGACGTTCACATCCCTGATTATTCACCCCGGTTATCCTGTGACAACCCGCGTTCTGATCCTTTTGTTTCCTCTCGCCAGACCTATGCTTCAAGCTCCCAGACTCCGTCTCCCTGGAAGACGGCGCCATGTGCGAGCCGCTGAGCGTCGCCGTGCACGCTTGCCGACGTGCCGAGATCGCCCCCGGCAAATCCATTGCGGTCATGGGGGCCGGTCCGATCGGCTTGGTCTCGTTGCTGGTCGCAAAAGCGTTTGGGGCGTCCAAGATCGCAGTGACGGACGTCGATGACAGCCGGCTCGCTATGGCTAAGCAGCTGGGGGCGCATGCGGTGGTCAAAGTGTCCAATAAGATGGAGGTGAGTCCAAGAGAAGTGATCGTCAGAACGGAGGGACTTTTATCCGGTTCTCTGTTCCTATGTTGCGCTTTGATGGACGTATCCTTTGCCGCTTCGACTTGTCGCGAGTACTTCTGAGCGTGTTGAGCGGCATTAAAGGTTGAGTTTCGAGTCATTTCCGGTGGCTGCCTGAGACTGTGATTCGAAAGAGGGAGGAGGGACATCAAAGACTCCCCAAAGAAGTTTGTCCATGAAATGTGCGACTTCTTGATCGGAGCCTTGTATTGAATACACTGGCAGCATCAGAGGCAACTCTACCAAAAGGTACGAGGCCTTGGACCGGCTAGGGTTAAAGGTGCTAGAAACTAAGTCTCGTTGTTGCCCGTTAGGAACTCACCGCCTGGCTCGGCTGTCCCGAAGTCTGGCAAGAAACGGTTACAACGCTCTGCCGCATTTGCGCACGTGCCCTACTTAGAGTTGCTCGCATGGAAGGGTATGCTTTGGGACCGGATCTGAATCTGCACGAGTACTGACACAGACCGATATCTCGCCTCAGGGCTAACTCACTAATCTATTTTGATACTTCCTCCTTTAACTCGGATCCAGCTCGATTCAGTGCCTCCACTCGAGATACTTGCCTCTCGTGGATGAAGGGCCGCATATCATCGCAGCCACAATCAACCACCGTCCTCTCGAAAGTCTTTCCTATCTCAAGGACATTGCAACATCTTACACTCCTTTTCATCCACGGCGTCCCCTCTTTTTCACAAGCAGGACGTTGAGGCGGAGGCCGAGAAGTTGCGGAGCGTCCTGGGCGGCAAGGTTGACGTCACCCTGGACTGTGCGGGGTTCACCAAGACCATGCAGACCGCGCTCGCGGCGACCAAGTCGGGGGGGCGGGTGTGCCTGGTTGGGATGGGCCACACGGAGATGACCCTGCCCCTGACGCCGGCAGCCGCCAGGTAAGCCCCGGTTCCGGCTAACACCAAAGCTGGGGACTCCGCTGTGCGCTTTATATTTGGCTTCGAGATGTCCGAGTCGGTAGTCTTTACTGTGCATTCTCAGTCGTCAACTTCCCAGACTGCCAGATCTTGTTCGGCTCGATGTCGACCGCTCAGATTCCGAGAAGTCAGGGCGTCCCTCGTAGAGCTCTGATTGCTTGCGTCGGGCAGACTCGGACGACTTTCAGCACAGATGGTTGAGAGACAACTGCGCAGACTGCTGTCAGCCCTCGCTTTTGATCTGGTTGAGAGTAATGTAGTTCTTCGATTGATTGTAGGAGCTAAATTTTGCAAAGTGCGGTTCCGCTCTCAAGGAGTCCCCTGGCGCTTGTGCTCTCCTGAATAGCATGGTTTCTGTCGTTGACCGACTGTATCGCTTCAAAATCCGCAGTTCGCCTGGAGGAAGCTTCGAGCTCACGCTTTTTGAGGACGAAGCTGACACCAGTAGGTATGTTTGTTTCGGAGAGCCGCCCTCTTGTTGTGCGTCTCTCATCAACCTCTGACTGGGGGACCCATTGTCGCGTCGTTTGCAGGGAGGTGGACGTTGTGGGGGTGTTCCGGTACCGCAATACGTATCCCCTCTGCATCGAGCTGCTCGAGTCCAAGCTGGTTGACGTGAAGCCCTTGATCACCCACCGCTTTGGCTTCTCGGATGCCGACGTCAAGAAAGCTTTTGACACCAGCGCAAAGGGGGGCGAGGCGATCAAGGTCATGTTCAACCTCTAAAGGGCCAAATTACAAGGCTGTAGCGAGGCCGCACTTGCTGATGGGGCGGAAGAAAAGTTTGCACGCTTTAAGACGAGATCATGGATTGTACACTAGAATCTTTCGCTTCCGCGTTGGGCGAGCACCGGTTCTTTTAAGGGTGTGAAAACTGCTGATAAGCAAGGACGCAGTGTGTTGTGATGCTATCAGGTGTTTGATGTTGCGTATAATGGATTGCGACCTGGAGATTGCTGGGATCTGAGCGAGGACTTAATAAATCTGTGAAACTATCAGGTGTTTGAATGTTGAACGTCGGATTGAGACTTATTCGTGATGAACTTAGGCCTTGTTGTGCAGCTATATCTGTGTAAAGCTGGAACTTGCAGATTCACACAACCATCAGAGTGCTGTAACGGGTCTCATGCAGTTGATGAGAGCGTTGGGTCTTCGGTCCCTCAAGCAAGACGACGAACTGAAACGTACTACGATGCACGCACTTTCATTATATATGATTGGCCTGTTCGTATCACAAGATTGATCTTGCGCGTTGCATGATGCGTTTGGCAGTACATTATTGAATATCGTGCATGTTAAATCGTATTATTGATCAGGCTAGGCATTAGCCGGAAGCAACATCAACCATGAGGGCCGTAAATTAGCATTTGATCTCAATCATTCGATACCAGGCCTGAAATTTTGCAACACTTCAACTCTGGATATCGAGCTTCGTTCGAGTGCGTGTCAAAGACGGTCCATGTCCAGGCTAGCTTCATAACTATATACAGGAAACAAATCAGACCGTACCGGTAAAACGGTAGCTAGTACCATGTGTGTATAAGAACAGGCCATGTCAGATCTCCGAAGTATGGTACCCTTGCTATATAAGATGGAGGTAATCTGCAACAAGGCGCTGCGATTGGTGCGTAATGGTCGCAAATCCATGGCCGCAACTTCCGCTGTGGCCCCCACGCTAAGCCTGGCCGCCACGGCGGCACGACTTGCACGCTGTACGCTGATTATTGCATTATTGAAAAGGCATAATCGTTGAGCGCGTCCATTTAAGGCTCTGAGGCAGGTAGTCAGAAGGTCCTAAGCTATTGAGCTACGTGCCAGCATAAGAAGCATAAGTTTGTGCAGATTCCGCTCAAAAGCCTGTCAGCTGCGGTGAGGCAACTTGAGGAGCCAGAGACTTTTGTCAGGATTTTTTTAGGCGCTTGGGAGGGATTTTTGCTACAGTTCAGGTAGAGCTGCGCTGACAACTCCTGGAGACTCTCAACATTCAGAAAAGTGTTCCCATCCATCCTGCGCGTACCAATCAGACTTGCGCAGATTATTCACAAGCCTGCCGCCAGCAGCGACCGTGCATGCTGCGCGTCTTCCGACTGCATGTTGCTGGGCAGTGCGTCAAGCTGAACCGAGTTGTAGAACCAGTCTTCTGTGGGCCAAAGCGGGCAACTTTGTCCGCGTGGAAACTTGATGCACGAGCATGCGGGATGTGCAATCGGATTCCCCCACCTCTGATGTGGCGTCGAGGTAGACTTGATTTGTCGCTTTGCGGCTCACTTGCTCGTGCAAGTCAGCTGGTTTGAGCCGGCGCTTCGAGAAACAAAGCACGAGCTGTGGATTGTTTGGCTCAAATGCCCAGCTGAAGTCGCGCTGTGGGCTGCCTGGCCTGTCTCCTTTTCCAGATTACAGTCACTCACGAAGTCGTCAGACCCACACTCGTCTTTCCTACCAGCCGATTGAGAGCATTTGCAAACAGCGGCGCTCGCTCTACCTCAAAAAGCTCCTCATTCAAGCGCTCCCTCCACCTTTAGCAAGAGCTCTCCCCATCTCTTTGTGACTCCCCCCTCTTCGGCTCTTCGCCGTTCAATCAAAGGCGTGACGTCAGCATGTCGGGGACGGACCGCGGCGAGGTGGGTGACGTGCCCAAGGTGACGATCAAGTACAAGGAGAACCCCAACAAGCCTATGCACGCCGTGGAGTGGCACGGCAAGAAGAACATCAAGGTCAACTCCAAGAGGCCCAGCCCCGAGATCACGGACCCGGTGAGTGGCCAAGGGGGGAACAGGGGGGCATGCGAGGGGGGTGCTGGGGCGGGGGAAGGGGGGGGCTTGAGGGCAGGTGGGTTGCTTTGTAGCTGCTGCAATCGACAATGGGCGAAAAATGCACTCTTCGAAACCTGCTGTTAAATCGAAGCGCCATCTCTCCTCGCTTTGCAGAGAAGGGGCCACTATGGGTTGTCGCTTTTAGTCCAGAAACGTGCATGCGCTTCAGAGTCTGGTCTGTATTGTTCTTCCAGATGTTACAGTCGGCAAACATTTTTGTTTCTTATAAAGTCGAGACTTTCCCCATCAAAGACCTTCTTTCACACTTCGGGTTGGCAGCCCAGACCTTCAGTTTCCGGTTCCTTTCGGAGAGGCATGCAGCACAATGTAAAGTAACGGGGTGTTTAACGCATGCCCAAGACTGACGTCATACTTTCATTCTGTCCTCCCAGGCTGACGCCCTGTTGAAGGTGACGTCGACATGCATCTGCGGGTCGGACTTGCATATCTACAACGGGACCATTCCCTACATGACCCCGGGGGACACTCTCGGTGAGTCATCAGCAAATATTTTGTTGGCCCCCCTTTTCCGTCACATCTTCGACGTTTGTATGTACTCCTAACCTTCTCGAGAGTCACGCTGTATGACAAAGGTAGCTTTGTCTTTTTAAGTCGGAGGATATTTGGGTTTTTTGAGAGAGCTATCCGTTCAGCTACGTAGCCACCACGACAGCTTCTTCTGTTGCATTGAACTCCGAACAGTTGTTCTGATCTGGACAGCAATCTTCTTGTCGTCCTGCCTGATGTCGTATCTGGTCAAATAGAAACTCCCCCCTTTTGCTTTCTTTTGCAGGCCACGAGTTCATGGGCATTGTGGAGGAAGTGGGGCCGGAGGTGAGCCGAGAGTTGCCTTGCACGGGTGCAATTTAGACCCTTGCCTTTGGCATCTGGATTTTTACTATTTCTCTCTCTTCTGATCCGAGTTGGGTTGTCTGCTCTTTTTCCAGCCCAGAGCATGGAGGAGTGTGGGCTCTTGCATTCGAGGCTTTTATCATTCTGTGTGCACGTTGCGAAGCCCCGGCACTGTCCAACCCGTCTGCGTCCAATGCTTGAGATGCCTGCCCCGTAAGAAACGCAAAGATGTCGAAGAATTTTGCCTCCGTTTTTTCCCTCCAGCCCCTCCTTGCCACGTTTGCATCCCCGCGCAAAACATTGTGATTTCTGAAACAGGAAACGTTCCTATTCCCCCCTGCTCCGAATCACATCTCCTTCTTGCGCTCGTGACGCCAGTAAAGCCCCCCATACCGCACTCCGCTAAGCCCTCCCCTCGTTGCTAACGTCAGGTGAAGAACATCAAGAAGGGCGACAAGGTGGTGGCGTGCTTCGACGTAGCGTGCGGCAAGTGCTGGTACTGCAAGCGCGAGTGCTACTCCCTCTGCGACGCGACCAACGACAGCAAGGAGGAAAAAGAGCTGTACGGCTACCGCACCGGCGGCTTCTACGGCTACTCCAAGGTCACCGGGCAGTGGCCGGGGGGGCAGGCGCAGTACGCGCGCGTTCCCATCGGTGAGAATAAAGATTTCCGTTTGTTTGCTGATGAGAGGAGCGTATGCTTCGACCAATCTTTAAGTTTGAGGCCTATCCCAGAGTAAGCCCATGATTTTGAGGCCTATTCGAGAGTAAGGCTATGGTTCAGAGACGTAAACACAACCCAACGTGGTCTGTTCCAATTTTTGAAGGCCGGGGACGCAGCCGGTGCACCGTTCTTTTACTGTGGGCTACTTGGTTAGAAACTGCACCGGCGGATTTTAAAACGTTCCAATCTGTCGTTATTGAACGGTTCATCGGACCAACATGGTCGGGGAAGAAATTCTGACGGTTCGAGTTGTCGCCTTTACATCGAACCCGGGCCATGTGTGTGTCGCTTCACCACGTTCAATCATTCCAGGGCCAGTCAGAAAACATGTGGGTTTTTCTTCTCTGATTCATTCAAGGCCAACTTCGTCAAGCTCGTTGTTTCTTCTCTGTGCCCGGTATCGTACAAGTTAAAGGCCCGCAGTGTAACGAACCACATTCGAGCTTCTTCGTCCGTCAGCAGCCGTTCCATTCACTAGAATTGCCGTCGTGTCATGTCGATCCATCTTGAAATCTATCTTGCGCGCAGCTGACGTCAACCTGCTGAAGATCCCGTCGGACGCGCCGGACGAGAAGTACGTCTTCCTGTCCGACATCCTGCCGACGGCCTGGAACGGCCTCGAGATGGGCGAAGCCGCCGAGGGCGAGTGCGTCGCCATCTGGGGAGCGGGGCCAGGTGCGCGCGCGCGCAAAACTCTTAACACACATTCTGAGGTTGCGGCTCAAATGTGCTTACACTTGTGACACCTTGACGATTCAGTTTGTTGCACGTAAATACCCGCTCAAAAGCAGATTGAGGAGACAAAAACTTTTGTTGAACTGGAAAACGTAAGTGGGCTTGTTTTGTAACAGCTGAAACCACATTTGAATTGTTTTCTCAACAACGAAATCTTCTTTCCGGTGTGTCGGACCGTCCTGGTCTTAGCCGCAAAGTCTGATACTCATCCTTGGCAATTCAGCTCCCTCAACGGTAGCTTCAGACTCCAGAAGACAGTCGTTTCCTCGTTGTCTAGCACTCCGCTCACTGCGTTCCGGTTCCGCTCGTTCCGCGCAGTGGGGCAGCTGTGCGCGATGCTGGCCAACAAGGTGCGCAAGTGCGGCAAGGTGATCGTGATCGACCAGGAGCAGTACCGGCTGGACCACCTCAAGAAGCACTGCCCCGAAGTCGAGTGCGTCAACCGCAAGGGCAAGGACTCCAAGGCGGTGAGCCAGTTCTCGCAGTTCTTCCTTGTTCTATCTTGTACCTAACCGTTTTGGAAGCTCCTTTTGAGTGTTTCGTAGTATATATTGGGCCTATCTGGAAACACCGACAATGCTTCTCGGAAGCCCTGATCTGTTTGATTCCAAGATCTGCGAGGTCTGTTCTCGCGGATCTTCAAGCTGAGTACAGATGACTCAAGCGCCGTCAGAGACAACATGACAAGACTGGGCTACAAAAGAACTGATGTTTGGTCTGTTCAAGTCATTTACAACTTATGTTTTGTAAATTGTTCCCATCATCGGAGAATTCCAAGCAGAACGCCTAAATCTCGGTTTAAAGTAGTGTCTGAGGCCTCGTCAGAGCATTAACGAGATTGTCCCCGGACCGCGCAGATATACGAGAAGCTGCTGGAGATCTGGCCGCGGGGCCCTGACGTGGGCGTGGAGATGGTGGGCAATCATTACGTGAGCAGCAGCCTGCTGCAGAAGGTGGAGCAGGTCGTGGGCGCGCAGCAGGACCCGTCCGAAGTGCTCGACGAGATGATCTACTGCGTCCGCAAGGTGAGGAGCGGTCCGCTGAGATTGAGTGCGGAAGAGAAAGCGGAAGAGGAGGCAGCGGGGACGGAACGGGCGGAATTTGCTTGAAAAAAGCGAGTTCGCTGCTTTAATCTGCTTTCCTGGACGCAGAGCCGGTTGTCTGAGAGATAAGGATGCTTGGATACCGGTCGACCAAAAATGCTGACTGTCCATTGTCAGCCCAACGAATGTCGTTCGAAGCCTCTGCGTCGCCAGTGATTGCACCAAGTTTCTAATCCAAGTTCGACCATTATACCTTCTTCTTACCGGCTACCTGCGGTTTCCTTCCACCTCAAGCCAAATCTGAAAGCACCCCCTTATATATTTCGCAATGGCCCTCCCAAAGTGGGTCCTTCTGCTTTGATCAGGGATACAGTCTTGCTGGGCACCCTTCAAATCAGTCTCTCTTCTTTCTGCGCAGGGCGGGCGCATTTCCATCGTGGGCGTGTACGTGGGCTTCACGAACCACTACAACATCGGCGCGTTCATGGAGAAGTTCATGACGATGCGCGGCGGGCAGACGCCGTGCCAGAAGTTCTGGCCCAAGCTGAAGGGCCTGATCGACGAGGGCAAGATCGACCCCACGTTCATCATCACGCACAAGCCGCCGCTCGAGGAGGCGCCGCACGCGTACAAGATCTTCGACGAGAAGAAGGACGGCTGCGTCAAGGTCGTCATGAAGCCGTGGGCCAAGCAGGAGACCTAGGGAGCAAGGGGGAGAGAAACGGGAGGAAAGAACGTGGTCGGATGAGGGGTAGAAATACTAGGAAGTGAAAAAAGAAGGAAGTGATCCGAGGAGGATAACAGTGCAAGTACTCCAAGCTTGGCCAACGAGAAGGCGGCAGAAGAGTTTAGAAAGCGAGTGCGCGGAGATGAGAGCAAGAAAAGGATTGGTGGGTTGTAGATAGAAAAGGACGGGAGTCGGCGGGCTAGGAATTCGATAACGAGAAACAGAAAGTAGTGGGAAGCTGCAGACTGTACATAAGCTCGAGCGCTGTCCGCGCTAACAAAGACCGTCACCCTGGGGGGTCAACTTTGCCCCTGTTTCTTTCTGTAGCTGCGGCAGAATGGAAACTCTGTAGACACTCTGAATGCTTGCAATCGTTTGTAGCCTATGCATTTGATGCTTCAACTTCTAATCACTTGATACTTCATGCCATTCGAACAGCTGTCAAGCAGAAGCTAGTTGGCCGTTTCCAAGGTACGTATAGCACCGGGCCCTCAGTGCTCTGTTGCAGGCTTGCCGGGCGGCAGCCCAGCAATAAGTCAAATTCTTGACAGTTTGCCTCTGGGACATACATGCTTCGATCTTGCACGTGTGACTCGATCAGGTAATACGGAACAATGTAGTGTGCGCATGCATACGTGTGGTGCTGGGTGACTGTCACGGAGACATACCGTCGTTGCCGTTATTCTCGCACATGGAGTCACTGAGCTAGTGAAATGATTCAAAATTAAGGATCTATAGCTTGCAAGCACATGCAGGCACAAGGATTAGTGTCTGTGCTGCAATAACCGCCCGGATCATCTTACTGAGCGGTCTCCAAAACGAACCGGTTTGTGGGCCTTTACTGGGCGCCGGACTCGAGCCGCCGCAGCGCAATTTCTGTTTCGGAGCAGGACTGCTACAACATTCTCTGGTCAATTTGGCAAGGGATCTAAGTGCTCGTATGCATCCGAATCGTTGGCAAAGTGACTGCTCATAGATCATAATATACATCATATATTGCTAGCACTGACGGGTCCCTGTGATCCTGACGCTAACTAAATCGTGATTGGCGAAGGTCGAACACAAACCTTACTCGCAAGCTCTGTCACTGCTATCCTTAATCTCAGCTAGTCTCTCAAACACACTACAACCAGGCCTAAAATTGACCTGCAGAAAGTCTAAGGTTTCTAACTAACCTCTCCCTAGCATGCATCTCGCTACTCCGCCTCAACCTGTACAGAGCTCTCGTCTACTCTCGTCAGAAAAGACATCGTCGTCTGATTGCCTCAAAAGGTAACCCTCCTAGAGCATTGCTGAATACTCAAAGCTCCCCCGCGATGGGTTGTCCTAGGGGGATGTCCGGGTAAGCCAAACACAGCATCATCTTGCAACACGCGCACTCGGGCGTCATCTACAGGAATCAAATGAGAAACTTTTGATCAAGTGGCTACGAATTGGGCTTTTAAACTTCCAATGACGAAGCAGGTAACTTAGCAGTTGCAGAATACGCCCGAGATGGATCTGCTCAAAGCTTACGAAGGACCTGTTGCAACGGCCGCCCTCCGCAATTGAAGCACCAAAATATCGAGTTAGCTGTGCCCATTCAAGCATTCAAAGGCTTCGAAGAGTCGAATGACAAATACATATCAGCCAGACTTGAAACACAACTTTTACGTGGTCAATGCGTCGAAAGAGATTTCGGCTTTTGGGTTCTTATTGCTGTCAGAAGATCTCTAGCGCAGGTGTGCATGCTTACTTGCGGCCCTGCTTCTACCCCCAACGCGACAGCGATACTCCCGCTACGGTACAGCTCTGGATGGAGATACCCAATATCACACTGCGTGCTCAAGTATACCTGCAAAGGTAACAGAACGACAATTATTGAGCGATCAGAACAGCGATACAGCAACACGGGCTAAAGCATGCGACCCTGCGGAAAGAGGGGCGTCCGACCTCCAGACGCATTTCGCCACTCCTATCTGGATCCTCGAGAATCGAGCGCAGTTCTGAAATTGCGGAGTCCTTTTCGGCAAATCGGAAACGGACACTTTCAAAACGGGAGCAATTCAATGGACGCCTCAGAAACGCGTCATCCAACTTTCCTTACGCAGATCCGACCATCCCCAAAACCCAGGGCCAACGCGTGTATCTCAAAACAAAGCGCGGCACATGCGGCGACCAAAACAGGGAAGGTGATTTTGTCAGCGCCCACCTGCATGCCCTTTTTCCGCTGTTGCCGCAGCCAGGGCAGCCAGCCGTGGCGCGGCGTGTCCGGCATGTTCCCCACCCCAAACGCTTCCAGGATCAGGCCCCGCACGCCCCGGGCGTACAGGTCCCCGTACGCTAACCGGGGATCGCACCCGGGCACTATGGGGATGCGGATGACGTTGGGGTTGAGCTCGAAGCGCGGCCGGTAGACGCCCTCGTGCTTCAGCAGGGCTTTGTTGTCCCACTCGACCTGCGGAGGAATGAGACGGCGTAGTTTGAGAAGTTGGTTTGAGGAGTCGAATTCGTAGGCTGCTTTTGGAAAAAGGTCAAAAGTCGAAGCAATGAGCTGAGTGTTGCGCAAGGCTTGAAGGACAATCAAACAGGGAACACTGACACCACGTCGGAGGCCTTCTCCAAGGGATTTCGACGCCTGCGCTCTGCAATCGCCGTTGTTAATACCGTGGTTTGGGATTCGGTCACAGAGGATATCGTGAGATGGGAGTCAGCAGCGCCACGGTCCGCAGTTCGAAAATCGAGGACCGCCCAGAACTGCCCGAAGATTGTATTTGAAGCAGACGCTGGGGCTCACCTCGAGGCCCAGGCTTGCTAGGTGCGGGTACGTGGTGGAGGAGAAGGCTCGGTATACCGACGCGTTGGTTTTCTGCGCCCGGTTGCCGCGCAAGAGCACGCCCCCAAAGCAGATGCAAACTTCCTGCCAACAGGTGAATGTCAGCGAGAATTGCATCCGAAGATTGATGACGAGTTGACATTCCGAGAAAGACGTTACTGGCGGGCTTTTGAAGATTGGTTTGATGTGTGTGAGGAAACCAGGTTATCCCTCCGTTCGGATTGAACGGTCCATCAATTGACCCAAGTCGTCAAAGGCCAAAGTCGTCAGTACTAGAGAACCAGAAGCGAGAGAAGAGTAGAGGGGAAAACAAGGAACGGCTCACCCCTAAGGGGCCGGATGTGGCACAGCTGATGCTGTCGATGAGGTTTTGTCGGGCGTCGGAGCGGGGCATGGAGAGAGGGAGCTGGGAACCTGGGGCAGACGTACAGGGTACCTCTTCAGCGAAGGATTGGAGGTTTGCCTTGACTGGATACTAGCGAAACCATTCAACAAACATGCCTGATAAAGTCAACGGTTGAAGACAACAGACGAGGAGTGCAATCAGTACATGACAGCCTTAGAAGAGAAATCGTGAACCTCTTGTCACCATCAAGCGATGTATTGTCGAAGTCATGCAGCCATGTGTATCTGAAGCAGCGAGCGTACCCACCTGTCAAGACAATCGGTTTACGAAAGCCAGCGAGCTGCAACCAAAGATTGAGGGGTGAGCTTTGAACGATGAGGCCAGGATCAGATAAAGATTCTTCTCTTCCAGGCCGCTTTGAAGGGTCAGCAAAGCAAGCCGCCAATTCGATTTGACTGGCCTCGTGAAGGACGCTTCGGCGAGCTACAATCACTTGCCTGCTAAGGCTGTGCAAGACAGATTCTCAAACGTTCTGGCTCCTTGCCCGCAACATAACAAGAGCTCTAAAAGCTCGTCTTTCGAAAGCAAATTACCATATTTGAGCCTCCCTTCATACTATGGGAACCGGAGACTGCACATATGACCCACCCCAAACCACTGAGTGAGAGCTCACCATGAGGGAGAGTGCGCTTGCGGTGTAGGCCATGGTGTCGGTGCCATGCACGACGATGAAGGCGGAGAAGTTGTTGCGCTGCTGGTGCAGAATCTTGGCGAGGCGCACCCAGTCCTCGGGCCCCACGCGACAGCTGTCCTTGTTGAACACCACGCGCACGTCCAGGTTCGCAAAGTGTTGCAGCTCAGGGACGACGCTCAGCAGGTCCGCCAGCAGGCCCCGCGGCTGCGAAACGAAGGCGTTTCAACCTGTCGTTGGGGCTCGACTCAGGGTTGTCAGGAATCGATTCAAAGCGATCGAAATCGAGTTCAAGTCAACGGCGTCACGGGGAAGATATCACAAGTATGAGCATTACTTGGTTTGATTTCAGGCTACAGACTTTATTAGCGTGTCATCTGGGGCTAAATCAAATTGCTTCGCTTTCAGGCCCACGGAGGGAAGAAAAGACCAGAGCAACAATCGCATGCCCACACAGACAACAACTCATCTCAGGCAACTCAAGGGAGACATCTCAATGTAGACAGACTTCGGCTCCAAGGCGGGGCACTCGACGACTCAGAAGAGGGCGGCTGGCAAAAGTGGTACCTGCAGGCTCTTCTTGTACGTGCCCCCCGTGCCCTCCCGCAGGTGCACCCCCTGTCGGTCTTTCTCAAAGCTGAGGTCAGGGTCCATGCCCAGGGTGCCACCTGTTTCAGCAGACAGTCTCAAGTTCACGAGTCTATCCCTTGAGTTGGTTCAGGGAGAAGAGTTATTTACAGTTGTAAAGAAGGATGGCCGTGCACCGTGCGCAGGTCGAGAAGTAATCATCGAAGCGTGTTGTTCTTTGACATAGATGTCCACCACCCAAACTGCCAGTTTCTCTACAGAAGCTGGGCGGCTGTCCTTACCTGTGTGAAGAATCAGAACTTTGGGAAGCGGTTTGGTCACCTGCATGGAATAGTGACAGGATTAAGAAAGTTGTTCCTTCTTTGGCTTCCAGCTGCACGCATTGCCAACGACGTCCTAGGTGCCCAATTTCTTTGAAGCAGGCAGGTTTGGCGGAGTCGCTCACTGTGATTAGCGGAGAGAGCCTCTTTGCCCTTGCAACGCCATTGCTCGACGGCTCATGATGTTTTCGTCCCGGGGTCTCTTCAGGACTGGAGGCCTGCTTTCCAAGCTCTCTACCCTCTACTCTTTCAGCAACGCTTTCTGCTTGCTCCACAGCAGCAGCCAGCTCCCCGCTTCTTCTTATCGACCCCGGTGCTTCTTGGTGTTCAGCAGCAGACTTGTTTTTTTTCTTCCTACTCCTTTTTACAACCCCGTTATATTCAGAAGCAGCTGGGCTAGATGTTGCAGCACGGAATACTGATGTAGACTTCATGTGTCGCCTGCCTAACGATGGGAGCACTCCAGCTGCCTTCCAATCAAAGTGGTTCAGAAATCGTTTATTGTGGACAGTATGTATCTTTGCAAAGCAACTAACTTTGTCCAGGCGATGCAAACAGCGGTCCACTTTGAAAACATTAAGCCAGCAACTGCCCGCAACAAAGCTAGAAGACAGGGCTCCCGCCATTATGCAGCTGGAAACGAAAGCTCATCAGTCATGACCCCCTTCCACCTGCCAAGCTCCTGAAACAAGGACCTGCGCCAGCAACCAAGAGCTCAATCAGTTCCACACATTGAGGAGCCAGATTCGGTACTGTGCAAGCTCGCCTTCAAATTTAGGGTTTGAAACTTGCAAAAGTGAACCCTACCGGGTCGCCGAGAATTGCTTGACGCGGGAGACAGATGCTGCCGCCCTGTCAAAATCCAGGCGCTCAACTCCCGCCGTTTTCCGGAGCTCGTCTTGACGATTAGAGAGGGAGGGCGACCAAACTCGGGGATGATCAATCTGCTACACAGACCCAGGTGCTTTTCTGAGCTGGCGCCTTGCTGGCCTGGCTGGCTCCACGGTCCAACGCCATTTTGCCAGCACTACTAGTATGTGGTTATTCCCTCAATTGCCCAGATTTCTCCAGCGCAGCTACTGGGAGTCTCCTTTCTTGTTGCAGTGCTGCCACGAGCAGCAGATGGTCTGCAGGTTGAAAGTTCTCAGAGCGCCAAGCAGATTGCGCACCGATTGCTTATGCTCCAATCCCCCAGCAATGCGCTTCTTGCACGCACGCTCCCCGCAGTTCAGGCCCTTGGACTTGGATTCACGCAGCCTGGCCACATTTGGGGCCGCACAGCCAATCGCAGGCATGCTCAGTGTTCCGGACCTTGAGGGAAAAGTGAAGTCTGGGGAGATTGACACCGTCATTGTGGGGATGGCTGATAGGTATGGCCGCATGGTCGGAAGAGGTATGATGCAGGGTTCTTTCTGGAATCCGCTGCGAAGGAGGGCACGCACGCCTGCTCCTACTTGCTGGCGACAGACATGGACAAGAGACAGCGCCGGAATACAAGGTCAGCGCCACAGTTGAGCTGGAACACTCCTGGTGCAAGTGGTGTATGCTGAGTGCCCTGATCAGCAGTGGCTGGATCACCGTTGCAGAGTTTCTTAGGGCCCTAATGTGAGCGATTATGTCCAAAACGCCCATGAAGGCTGTCAAGAGCAGACATGTTGTCAAGACTCTACTTATAGCAGCTTGCTGTCAATCAAAGTTGTGCTCTAACATGTTGATGAGAATGCAAGGGGGGCATACAATCACTTGAGTGCAGACCTAAGTCCTGAACATTCTCTATCTTCGTATCTTACATGGATCCATATACCCCACCGCTCATCTTTGTCAGTCCCCTTTCTCCAGGTTGCCGATTGGGCGACAGCTTCTGGGGACGACCACCTGCAGCCCGATCTTCTTCCCGATCTGCGCTTTGGACGTGCGGCTGGCTGGAGAAGACGGCACTCGTCCTGTGCGACATTCAGACCGAGAGCCATGAGCTGGCGGGCCATGCTCCAAGGTCCACTCTGCAGCGCCAGGTTGCGGAAGCCAAAAAGCTGATCTGTCAGCCCATGGCGGCGACAGAAGTGAGTCAGATGATTCCCTTTAACAAATTACCTGGTTTGGACTGAAGCTTTAGAAGGGATCGGATGATTCTTCGGGTCTTTGGGGCTCAGTGTTCAAACCTGGTGCGCCAACAGGACTTTGTTCCCATCCTTAGTAATGTTATGAGTCGAGTAGGACTCTTCGGAAGGTAGACCGCATTCCAGATCCTGGAGAGCCAGCTAAGCAGTCCCTGGAGGTGGTGGCTGTGGATTGAGGGATCCTGTGACCCACCCTCCACCAGCTCAGGAAAGGTCCTCATGAAGTTTCCAATGTCTCAGTGGGGACTTCAGGACGACTCCTGTCGGCCGCGAAGAAAGTCTGCTCCCAGTCTGATATCTTGAAGCATGTCCCCTCCAGGAAGCTTGCAATCGAAGGGCCTCCATTAACTTCTCAAACAGCTTGCTCACCAAAGAAGCTTCACAAGAGTAGGCTGGTCTCTGGCGTCCAAGAACTGGCTGCTTTCTCTTCTCCAGGTTGAGTACTACCTCTATCAAGACTCGTTTGAGGTCGCCTACAAGAAGCGGTATGCCGGTTTGAGTGCTGTGGGGTGGCATCGTGAGGACTACCACATTGCCAGTTCTGCAGGTGAACAATGCGCACCTTCCCCTTTCCAACTGATCATATGAAGCATCTATTCCAGCTGGCGCTGGCCCAGCGCCTTTGTAACGTGGGTCTACCCGAGCGTGCTTGTTTGCGTTTACGAGGCTCGCTTGAACGCGTTTACAAAACTTGTTGATTGACTGAGCGGTTGAACATCAGTCTGCTTCGAATACGATAATCCTTGTTGCCCCCAGCAGCGGTTGTTTCGTTGTGGAGATTGGCCTTCTCCACAAATTCATCCCGCTTTGAGACAGTCAGAGTCCATCATCATTGCCTTAAAAAGCATGCCAGCTCATAGAATCAGCCCGCCGGCCATCTTGATGACTTCCCCGCTCTCCCTTCTTGCAGGGCACACGTGAGGAATGCTTCAACGGCACTGCGCGGCGCCACCTGGCGGCGTCCGGCGTGCCCGTGAGGGCGAGTTCGAGCTCGGGCAGCACAAGCTGAACGTCAAGTACTCTGACGCGCTCGACATGGCGGACCGCCACGTGGTGTACAAGCAGTGCCTGAAAGAAGTCGCGGAGAGCATGGGCGTCAGCGTGACGTTCATGGCGAAGCCGCACGTGGACCAGGCCGGGTCGTCGTGCCCGTTCACATGAGACTGTGGCGGGTTTTAGGGGGACAAGCAGCTCGGGCCCATCAGCCACTACAGGTGCGCACGGCAGTTGTCGTTCTTCATGTGACACGAGCAGGTTGAAGCTGCATTTGAGCCGTGTATTTGCTCGCCGTTCGTCAAAAAAATTGTCGTTGGCAGCCCCTCTGCGAGGCCTGGACAGCAAGAAGTTTCGCGTTCCACGTTTGGACGACTCGGGATCGCTATAGATGGGGAGAAATAAGACTCGATCGAGAAGCTCTAAATACGTTCGTAAGCCTTGCCCTGCTTCGTTTGCTTTCCAATTGCAGTTGAAGCTCACATCGGCTGCCCTCTGCCTCCGCAAAAGCAGTTTCAAAACACAGCAAACTCAGTCTTTGAAGTCACTCAAATTATTCAGTTTTGTGCAGCGACGAGTTTTGAGTGGCTCTCGGGCGGCTGGATGAAGTACTCGCTGGAGTTGATGGTCTTCTACGCGCCCAACGTCAACAGCTACAAGCGCTTCCATTCCGGCTTGTAGGCGCTTACCAAGATTGCGTGGTCCGAACCGAAGGGGGCCGTTCCGGATTGTCGGGCTGACTGTAACCCTTACCTCGGTTTGGCGGCCAGGTTAGAGTCGGGTTTGGAAGGAACACGGAGCAAGATTGACGCCGCCTCAATCACGAGTGATGTGTTACGTCGGAGAGTGAGCTGCTGTCCGGACCGCAGACGTTGAGAGAAGCTAAAGACGTTTAAGAAGTGCGAGTTTGCCAGCAAGATGCTGACGGAGACGGCGCGAGAGCACAACGCGCACTTTTACCAGACAGAGCAGCGGGCGTTTGACAGGGCCGTGACCGACTCAGAAAAGACAGGCAATCGGAATAGATTAGTAGCTAGGAGTTATACGATGCGAACTCGCTGCATTCTTGTGTCTGCTTTTAGTTGCATGAACCCGCAAGTAGCTTCAAGCTCATCAGCCCCATTACTTGTCTGCTAGCGGGCCGACTGTGCTGTAAAAGCAGGAAAAGAATTGGAGGCGCAGATTGTCGCATGAAGGTTCATGATCGTCAACAGAGTTGTATAATTGCTATAGCTTGGACTCAGTCCAGACATCTTCATCAACAACAAATGGTTGTTGGTGATATCTGCCTGAGGAGCGCTTCCAATCAAGTTGAGTTGCAAAATGCAGTATCACCTGGCCGTTTGAAACTGGTCATTTATATGCATATGCGTTGCAGAACCTTTGCGATCCTTCTACGGCTACGTCACCCAGCTCATGCTATAAGTCTTAGGTAAATTATGGACGTACGGCCGTCCAATAACCAGGCTTCCCTCGGCGCTTACGTTCAAATTGATCAACACCATGCACATGTGGGGCGCGCGTATGCTACGGCATGACAAATGATATGCGCAACTTCGTAGCTGCGCCGCGAGCATGCAATCCCGGAATGCATGACACTACCCGCATATGGGCCCTATAGTAACCCGTATGCAAAGAATATGATTCTTCCAATTATCAGTACTAGTCAACTGAATAAAGAATGCAGTGTCCACTTAACAAATGCTTTTTACCACGAACTACACCCACTGAACGGGTTGCCTCAGCAACCATAAGGAAAGCTTTTAGCTGCGAGAGTTGCTTGCTTTGTGTAACGGTCTTTCAACTTCTTTTGAATATCTGTACAATGGCTTTTTCTTTCTCCAAAAGGTAACGATCTAGACCTAGTTCCATCAAAGTGGCCAGGATCTCATCCACTCCAACTTGCACCAGAGAATCTGCAATGGGTGCCTCGACGTCCTCGGATCCAGATTTCTCAAGATAGTCATGTTGGATAGCCTGCAAGAGAGACGAACTTGATGATTGTTCAACTTAAGTGCATCTTCTTGATGTCTTGAAGAGATATGTGCGAGAGGGACACATGAAGCATCCACGTTTCTGCTAGAGTCTAGTTTCTACATCAAGATGCTTCTCATGGTCTTGGAAAGCCATTCAAAGGTGTTGGTATTGTTGGTATATCAAACCCACCTTATGTGCAGCTTTAACAAGTGCATGTGCATCAACCGTGCAGTCTATGTCAAATGTTTCTTGAACCTCCTTCAAAATACTCCTCAGATCATCTTCCTGTACCAGCGCCAGCACCTGCAAGGAAGACACACGGGGGCTCAAGATTGAAACCTTTCTGCATGGTCCCAGCCAATCCCCTCATGCGTGCTGAACAACCACAGTCAGCAAGCCATTCCAGAAGTCACTGTGTTCTCTCAAAAAATGCAGGCCTTTGAATCTGTGTTCTCTAAGTGGGTTTGAGCACCTTCTTGAATGTGAGCAACTAGCAGCATGACAATCAATAAGAGCTGCCTAGCGCAGGCTGCTGAAAGAACAGAGTCGAAGTCGAAGGAGGCTGGTATAGAAGATAGTACCTCTCACAACTGAGTAATATGAAGGGCACTGTGTGAAATGCAGGTTCTCACAACAAGGTTCTCACAACAAGGTGCCAGATACCTCGATGCGACCTGCTTCCAACTTGCTCATGGTTCTGAAAGATAGTTGAGCAAAAATGATCCTGACCTCCCGCTTGAATGGCTCGGACTCAAGCACTGAGTCCTCCAGCTCTGCGCCTCCCATCTTACGACTTGCAGACGGCGTCTGGGCCTTTCTCTTGGTGGGCTTTTGAAGACCGGCTGTATCAAGGAACCCACGCATACGGTGATCAGAAAACTTGCAATTCGACACTGGCCTGGGGAAAAGTGACAGCTCTTCAAATCAAACCTAACAGAGATCAAACCTAACAGAGAGAAGTGACAGAAAGCAGTTCAAGAGAAACGACAGAACTCTCTCAACCACTGACGCTCCGGCTACAAATCCTGTATGAATAGGAAAAGATTAAAGCATAATCCCAATGACCTGCATACATTCCCATGCTCAGGTTGGTGTAGTACCTGAGGAACTCCTACAAGTACCTGCTCACCTTCCGGAAGCAACTGAAACACCTTCTGTGCAGGATGTGACGACCTCGAGCTGCAAGTCGTCTTCAACGAAGGGCGTGATCTTCTTGTGATGTGCGCAAAGGAAAAATGTGCCCTCCTTGTAACCGTTGGCTGAATGGAAGCCACTGTGGCTTCAAGGTGCGAAAGAAAGCCACCCAGCTGGTGCTGAAGGGATGGAGCAACGCTGGCCATGTGGCACCCCTGGCAGATTGTACATATGAAGCTCAATGATCGTGTACAAAAAATGCATCTCTACCCACTTCGAGTCTGAGGGGCTCTGACAGCAGTATCAAACACAGCGACCGCGGGTGCCAAGTCTGCGAGCGATACGGGAACACGTGGGTGATTCAAGGAGTGCCCATTGTGGGCAAAATGTATTTCTCTAAGAGAGCTGTTTCTTTCCAGTGGGTGCAAATAGTTGTTCCCTTGGAGGACATTACGCCAGCGACTCCCTGGAATGAAAGCAGAAGCCAGAGCTCGCGCCATTATGCAGCTGGAAAACGAAGCTCATGTGGCGGACACTTGAAAGCTTTTCGCATGCTGCCAAGCTCCTGAAAATGAAGTTGAAGGGCATGCCAGCGTGCGCCGTAATTTAATACACTGACAGTGCACGGTATTAGAGGAGCCATTGAAAGTTTGCCCCCTGCTTGAAATTAGGGTTTGGAAGCTGCAAAACTGAACCCTACTGTGTCGCCTGGAAATGGTTGACGTCAGGGACAGATACTGCCGCCCTGTCAAGTTCGGCGCTTTATTTGGCCGCCGTCTTCCAGAACACGTGTTTCCGGATTGAAGGGCGAGGGCGACCCAATCTGGAGGTGATCAGTTGAGACTAGTGAGGTATTATACTAATACGTACTCTGCAGTCTGCTGGCTATCTCACTGATTCTCAGTCTGAGCTGGCGCCTTGCTGGCCTGGCACCAGCGCTGTGCAAAAGCCTTTTCCCCATGCAGCGAGCTTGCTTAGGATTTTGCGTTCTTGTTGCAGTACGTGCTGCCACGAGCAGCAGATGATCTGCACGTTTTCAAAGAGCTGAAGTTTTCTTCTTGAAAGCGGTATTGGGGCGACTGAGCAAAGTTGCAGCAATGCAGGGCGGTGTATCAAGGCGGGCCCTGTCCTGGCTGGGCCGGCTTGCCGCTCATCGCACTCAGCTCCGACAAGGAGCCGCTTCTCTGCACCAGCTTACGAATGCAGATTGCGCACCGATTGCTTATGTTTCTGATCGCCCACCAATGCGCTTCTTGCACGCAAGCTCACCGCATTTCAGGCCCTTGGACTTGGATTCACGCAGCCTGGCGAAATTTGGGGGCGCACAGCTGATCGCAGGCATGCTCAGTGTTCCGGACCTTGAGGGGAAAGTGAAGTCTGGGGAGATTGACACCGTGATCGTGGGGATGACTGACATGTATGGTCGCATGGTCGGTAAGAGGTATGATGCAGAGTTCTTTCTGGAGTTCGCTGTGAAGGAGGGCACGCACGCCTGCTCCTACTTGCTGGCGACAGACATGGACATGGAGACAGTGCCCGGATACAAGGTGAGCACCACAAAGGAGTTGGAATGCTCCTGATGCAAATGATGACTGCTGAGTGCCCTGATCAACAGTAGCTGGATCATCTTTGCGGAGTTTCTCAGGGGCCTATCATGAGCAAGTTGTTTCAAACCAACGCCCATGAAAGCTGTCAAGAGCAGTCACCTTGTCAAGATTCTACTTATAGCAGCTTGCTGTCAATCAAATTCGTGCTCTAAAATATTGACAAGAATGCGAAGGCCGTTGTCTGGGCAAACAATTGCCTGAGTGCACACCTTAGTCCTGAACATTCCCTATCTTCATATCTGACATGGTTCCGTACATCCCACCACTCACCTTTGTCAGTCCTCTTTGTCCAGATTGCAAATTGGGCAACAGGGTATGGGGACGACCACCTCCAGCCCGATCTTCGGACGCTTCGGACGTGTAGCTGGCTGGAGAAGACGGCGCTTGTCCTGTGTGACGTCCAGACTGAGAGCCACGAGCTAGCAGGCCACGCTCCAAGGTCCATTCTGCAGCGCCAGGTTGCGGAAGCCAAGAAGCTGGACTGTCAGCCCATGGCGGCGACAGAAGTGAGTCGGAGGGATCTGGTTTCGAAATTACCTGGTTTGGACTGATGTTCAGAAGGGATCAGATGATTGTCCGGGCCTGTGAGGCTCAGTGTTTGTACCTGGGGCGCCAACAGGACTTCGTTCGCACTGTCAGTAGAGTCATAAGGTGAGCAGGACTCTTCAGAAGGTAGATGATGTTCCAGATTCTGGAGAGCCAGCTAAGCAGTCTCTGAAGGTAGTGGTAGTGGAGGGGACCCTGTGAACCTGCTTCCACCAACTCAGGAGCGGCTCCTCATGAAGTTTCCACTGTCTCAGTGGGGACTTCAGGACGACTCCTGTTGGCAACGAGGAAAGTCTGCTACCATCGGCGATTTCGAAGCATGTTGCCTCTTTTTCGAAACTCGCCATCGAAGGGCCTCCATTAATTTCTTGCTTGCACCCAAAAAGCTTCATTAGAGTAGGCTGGTCTCCGGCGTCCAAGAATTGGCTCCTGTTCCTTCTCCAGGTTGAGTACTACCTCTATCAAGACTCGTTTGAGGATGCCTACAAGAAGCGGTATGCCGGCTTGAGTGCTGTGGGGTGGCATCGAGAGGACTACCACATTCTGCAGGTGAATCAAACTACGCACCTTCCCCTTTTTAACTGACCATATAAAGCATCCATTCCAGCTGGCGCCAGCGTCAGGGCCTTGTTTATGGGGATCTGCTCGAGCTTGCTTGATCGCTTTTGCAAACCTTGTGATTGACTGAGCGGTTGAGGAATACTGTGAGGGACGTCAGGGCAAACTTGGAACAAGCTCTTTGCCTGCAGAACATACCTTTTATATCCATCCATCTGCTTCAAACACAAGCTGATAATCCTTGTTGCCCTAGCAGGAAATGTGTTTTGTTGTGGAAAACGGTCTTCCCCAAGAAGGTATCTCGCTTTGAGACAGTCAGTTCCATCATCAGCGCCTTAAATTAAGCACGCCAGCTCCCAGAACCAGCCCGACGGCTGTCTTGATGACTTCCCCGCTCCCCTTTTCTGCAGGGCACCCGCGAGGAGTTCTTCAACGGTACCGCGCGGCGCCACCTGGCGGCGTCCGGCGTGCCGGTGGAGAACAGCAAGGGCGAGTTCGGGCTCGGGCAGCACGAGCTGAACGTTAAGTACTCTGATGCGCTCGATATGGCGGACCGCCACGTGGTGTACAAGCAGTGCCTGAAGGAAGTCGCGGAGAGCATGGGCGTCAGCGTGACGTTCATGGCGAAGCCGCACGTGGACCAGGCCGGGTCGTCGTGCCACGTGCACATGAGCCTGTGGCGGGACGGCAAGAACGCGTTCGTTGGGGACAAGCAGCTCGGGCCCATCAGCAACTGCAGGTATGGACACGAGTTGTCGGTCTTTGTGCGAGGCAAGAAAATGCAGTTGCGTTCAAGCCGGGTTTGTATGTCTTTGATTTGCTCAGAGTTTGTTGACACGTCGTCGTTCTAGCCCTCCTGCGAGGAAGAGGTCTGGATGACGAGAATTCGTGCACGTGCCGTGTCGGAACTAGTCAGAATTACGTTGTTTGTGGGCGCTAGCCATCACTCGAGAAGCCATTTTCCTTCGAAGCTTCTTACCGTTCTCCATTCGCTTTCTGCTTAAAAGACGACGCTCGCAGCGCCTACCTTTTGCACCCCAATAGATGCAGTCTCAAAGTGGGGGAGTCTCAATCCCTTGAATACTCCTGAACATCCAACCGGTTTGTGCAGCGACGAGTTCAAATGGTTCCTGGGCGGCTGGATGAAGTACACGCCGGAGCTGATGGTCTTCTATGCGCCCACCGTCAACAGCTACAAGCGCTTCCAGTCTGGCTCGTGGGCGCCCACCAAGATTGCGTGGAGCAAAGATAACCGAACGGCGCCGTTCCGGATCGTCGGGTCGGGAAAGGGCCTGCGGATAGAGTGCCGCCTGCCCGGGGCCGACTGTAACCCTTACCTCGGTTTGGCGGCCGGGTTAGCGTCGGGTTTGGAAGGGATACGGAGCAAGATCGAACCGCCGCCCCCGATTACGGGTGACGTGTACACGTCGGAGAGTGAGCTCTTGTCCATACCGCAGACGTTGAGAGAAGCAATAGACGTGTTTGCGAAGAGCGAGTTTGCGGGCAAGATGCTGACGGAGACGGTGCGGGAGCACTACGCGCACTTTTACCGGACAGAGCAGCGGGCGTTTGACAGGGCGGTGACCGACTGGGAAAAGATTAGGTACTTCGAACAGATTTAGTGGGAGCTGCGATGCAATTCGGCTGATACATAACGTCTTCCTTAAGTTGCATGAGCCGCAGGTAGCTTCGACCTTACTGCAGCCGGGATACTTTCTTTCTCAGCCGGCCTTCGTCGCTTCATATACACAGGTGCCTTACCAGACAAACAGACAGGTGGCAGGTTTTGAAGAAGGTCACAAGTTCATGAGCAGCAAATACATACTGTACAGATACCCAGATCTAATTGCGCTTTTCTAAACCTCAAGTGCCCTTTATTTTTACGTGGTCAAGGCGACCAATGAGTTAAAGGCATTGGCAAGATCGACTCGTCAGCGACTCGAGGAATGGAATCTGATCGCTGTGCATGTCGATCCTGCACGCCGCAATCATGTTGCACCGCGTGCAGTTCCAAACGATCGAATCGGGTATAGCTGATCTCGGACCTGGAAGAATTTGTTGTACAAACCTGACAGACTCGCCGCACTTTACCTTGACGGCATGCTGCTTTGCACACAGCCCTATGGTTCTACAGCTCTGAGGCTGTAGGTGCCTCATTAATTTTGGTTGACAACACGTCGGATGCTTGAAACGCACGTCCCTTATACAACATAACAATATTACAATGCTTGCAAAGCCGTCGAGATCACATGATCGGCATGTTCAATGACCTACAGTGATAACGATTCCGCGCTTCAATATATATATGAAGATCGACGGCACCTATAGTGAGACTTGCGGATGCGGCACATACAGCGAAGCTTGCGAGCGGGCTGCGCAACCTCAGCTTTGACCTTTTGACGCGCTCGGCACAATCAAGTACATGCCGTCAAAATCAAATCAACTGGCTCGTTTGAATCTCGAGTACGACTGCCGACCATGATTCCGGCCAGCAAGCCATGACCTGGCGTCCGTAAAATGGCTTTACTTTTAGATCAATCCCTCTATAAAGGAGACCCAATCTGCGATATTGGAAAATTGCTGCAAGGATGGATCTCAAAGCCTGGAAACTCAACCCATGAAGACTCATGGTTGGCGGGAAGAACTTTGAGGGCTTTACAAAACTTGCTGCAGCTGGAAGCGCACTTTCAACGGGCGGAGGCATCGGCGGCTTGCTTAAAGCGTACTAACGTTGAATTGAAAGGAGAGGAGGATTCGCGTCCAAAAGTAAGGGAGGATGATGTTGTGGCCGGATCAGCTGTTCGTATTCGTTTTTTTCACACTACCTAGAGATATAGTGGGAGGTTTGCGAAGAAGCTCCATCTCGAAAGGACAGGGCATCGTGCTAGTACTAGCAGGTACCGAGTGCGGGGTGCCCTCCCCAGCCTTCGCATAGCCGGCCGCTGCCATCATAGATTGCAGAGTCTCCCAGAATCATAGTAGGAATGGCATTCCAGCGGCCTCTCTTGGGTTAGATCCGCAAAGAAGCGCTCTTTTCATGAAGCGAGCACATTTTGATCAGCTTCCCAGCGGGTGGCGAGTGACGCAAAAATGACAAAGTTTTAAGTATGAAAGGTGCCCTTGACTCTCCTGTGCGAGAGGCGTCGTTAGAGCTACCATAAGTATCACCGTTCTCTGATGATTGCATTTTTGGGTGATTACGATCGCTCAAATCTACGTCAGCTTCGAAACAAGGATTCTCTAAAGCATGTAGTATCCAAGGTTGCTGCGACATGCATACTGGGATTCAGCCAGGGCGCAAATCTGGTGCAAGAGATCAAAGCATTGACCTCCATGGCGCGCGCTGGGTGCCCGCCCGTTGCTTGCGGGCTCCGTCTGTCTTGAATACCAGCTCTCTTGAATCCACAAGTCTTCCGGAGAACGAGGGGCTTTGCGGATAGGCTCTACCTATCAGCCAAAAGGTCAGGGTTTATTCAGACCCTCTCCCTTGCTGCACCTTTTGTGCGTGCGTATCAGGGTCTGACTTTGAACAAAGCTTGGATAAAGCGGCTCAACCAGGGGTAGCGGGAACGGCCTTCGAAAAGTGTTTGTGCAGCGCAGCTCCTTGCTGTAAAATCTCCCACCTTTGACTCAAACTTGAACAAACGCAAGGGGCGGGTCTAGGTATACAGGACAAACTCCACAACGTCCAAAGAGTATCGGCGGGTATCTTCCCCAAAGCTTTCATCTGTAACATGAATTTGGTCTGCATAATCGCATGTGCTGATCTACTTTTCCATCCACAAGACGAGACGGAGTTGGTGAATCCTTCCGGTGATGGTGAAAGTATATGAGGGACGGTGGTATCATGATGTGTATATCAAGATGATGAGAAGAGCACACAGGGTCCCGAGTGCGGCCAGAATGCTTCCAACTGCGAATCTGAAAGCCCACGTATGGGCTGCGGACGTGTCGGCGCAGGACGTATCCTGCCGAGGACTCTCGGACGTATCCTTTTGCCTCAATGTGAGGGGTTGCCCCCACTCCGTCACTCGGGCCGAGGCCCGCTGAATTGAGCCAGGCTTCGTTCTTATATAGCCGCTGGAAATGTTGTGCCCTTGTGGGCTAGACGACACATTACATCTGCAGCCGTTGATTTTCCACGTGTCCTCATCGGACGACTCAACCATGTTCCGTCGTTCCGCTTCCGCCGCACCGAGCCATGTGAGTACAGCAAGCCGGAACCGCTAGATTGAGCCGCAAGAAAGATCGCAAGAAAAAGCGGCGCATCTTCGGTGGTTGACTCAGCGACAGATCTTTGGCTCTTTGAAAAGATAGCAGTATATCCCACGAGCAGCTGATGCATCATGGGACCCTCCCAAGATTAAGTGCCTGGCTGCACAGTATGTCAGAAAGAGACTAGCGTGCGTGCTGTTCCAGGCAGTATCTGGTGCTGCTGTACTCGTTTTATTTCCAGGGAGCCAAAGTTTGTCCCTAGAAGACCTTTTATATATGACCTTTCTTCAAATTGAAGCGGGGCAAGAGCAACGACCCTATGAACCGTAACTTGATTGCTTGCACCGATGCAACGGTAGGCAAGGTCAGTCGTCCTCTCCGAAGCAAAATCTTACAAGAGTCGGAAAGTCGCAGGTATCGTTGTTAAGCCTGTTAGCAAATCAAAACTTAGCAAGTCCCACTTGCATTCATTTCCTAGAGCGCGCTGCACAGGCCACGCGAGATGATTTCAAAAGTGGACAAGGAGGATTTAAGGCCGAACTTTGCAGGACACGCAACTCTCAGAGTATCTTCTCACGAGAATCTATCAGTGACGAATTCGTGATGGAAACAACTGAACCAGCCAATGTCTCTAGTTGAATGGTCACGAAAGCAGCTCCATGTGTAAAAGAATTCCACGCAGCTCGAGCTCAGCTAGAAGGCGTCAATAAAGCCCGGTTCATTGCCTTCTCTGACTTCGAGTAACTTTTCGACATCCAGGATTCAAACCTGCCATTCGGTTGAATAGCACGCCTGGACAGAAGAATGCATATTGCTTGGTAGCTTCGACGAGACCCGGGCAGTCCCCTTTCCTGAAATGATAGGGGAAAGGGGACTCATACAGTAGGTTTGAAAGGGAAGACTTGTCATCCAGCTGTGTTGGAGCTTTCCAAGGCCATTGTCAATCTTTAAACCATCAGATCAAAAAGGATCGGAGCATGAATGAATGACGAGAAGCCAGCTGACGAGAAGCCACTTCATTCATAATCTCATCAGCTTCTGATCAAAACATGCCTCTTTGTTGATGGTTCCTACTCAACAGCTGTATCAACATGATTACGTAAAAAGCGCGCAAACGCTACCATTGAGTCTTCAATTCAGTACCTACGCATCGCGCTTTCATTCCGGCATGGCGTCGGCGGCTTTTTGTTTTACGGTCGTTTGCGCGGCTACTTGAGCTTGCTTTCCTGCACGAAGGTGAAGCCGTCGAAGAGGTTGCCCTCCTTGGGCCCGTTGCTAAGTGGCTCCGCCATGGTGTCGCGAACCACCTCCTCGGTGAACGTCTTGTCGAAGTTGCCCACGTCCTCCGCGCTCTGCGAAAAGTTCGACGCGTCTTTCGTTCTCGGCTCATCTTGTTCTTTCTGAAGTGCAGAGGGAGAGCTTTTGACTTCGAGCCTCTTGACAACCTTTGTCAAGAAGAGGGCTCTAGAGGAGCTGTCGCAATGTTTGTACACTACATTCACCTCGTGAGAGTGAGCGATTTTGTACGCTGCAAGTACCTTCAAACAGTGGCAAGCAAATAGCATCTTTAAGACCAAACATCGCCAGGCAAGAGCTTCGGCTGGAGCAGCACGACCTTGCAAACCGCCCAAAGACACCGAAAACCGCCTTATTTCTTATCTTTGTTATCAGATTCTTTAATTAAGAACCCTCACCCTGACGGTGGGCACGAAGGGCACGGGGATCCTCTTGTTGAGCACGTCGTCCCACTTGACGTCCTTGAAGAACGCGTGCGCCTTGATCTCCTCCGCGTCCTTGGGGCTACTGCCCAGCCGCCGCTCCGGGTTCCGCTCCAACAACTGCAAACGGAACGGAACGCGCTATTCTTTGACTGGCGCGTAAACCGCTTGGAGAAACTTTTATTTCGTTGTCTGATTAACAAAGTTGCTTCAGAAGCAGGCCCCACGTTTGCCTAGCGAGCGTGTCACTTGCGGCTTCCCCGGACGGGAAGCAAAAACCTGTTTCGTCTGCTGAGCCCGCCAGCACGTTCCATTTTTGCATCACAGCATAATCTCCGAAAAAACATTAATCTCAGATCAAGTAAATACATAATTCTCGAAGAGGTCTTGGGATAGTAAGCAACTCGCAAATTTGGACATCTCTTGAGTATTGCTCACGGTAGTGGGCTAGCATCATCCTTATTAGAAGAAGGCAGGAAAAGAAATAGGTGAAGTCGCTTACCCGGGCGAGCAGGTCCTGGGCGGTCGCTGAGAAGTGGGGGGGAAAGACGAGCTTGTCGTTGAGAATCTTCTTGTACATGTTGCTCACGTTGCGGTCATAGAATGGAGGCTGCGGACAGTAACAATTATTTGGTCAAAAGCACGCTAGCTAAAACATCTTTCGTGCTGAAAGCCGCGAAGCTCTGCTCAAAATACGTATACACCCATGCTTTTGCAGCTAAAATCGATGACGAAGCGTACTTCGTGTGAAACATGCTGCTCCAACATGACGGAGAGTGGTCAAAACGTGTTCAGGAGTTGCCCCTCTGATACTTTCTCTCTTGTATCTGAACTCTTGTGGACCCGAACCATGTATACCATTCTGCAAATCAGCTTCGGTTATCGAAGTTCGTGATGATCCGAAATTGCATTCGTATCAGGATTTTTGAGGGAATCTTCTGCCCAGTCTGAGGCCCTTACCAGGCCCGCGAGCATCTCGAAGAGAAGCGTCCCCAAAGACCACCAGTCGACGGCACGCCCATGGCCCTTGCCACTCAGCACCTCAGGGGCTGCAGGTGGAGAAGGGGAGAGCCTTTCAGTTTTCAGTCGCGGTGTATTTGCGCGACCGAATAGAACACTTGCCACTCCTTTGAAGACGTTCAAGAGCTTGCTGCCAGGAAAAATCTCTGCGATTATTATTAGGTGTTTTCAGTTTCTTCGTCTGATATGCAGTCCGACGCCTGAAAAGTAGTTGGAACTTAACAACGATATGCTTGACACCGTTGGTATGAGGGAGTTTGAAAGAAAGCATGTCTGCCGATAATGGAACGCAACAGATGTTTGGAGGCAGGCGGATCTGTGTACCAACGTCAAAAGGTTACACAGAACAGAATTGACCGAGACTGACCCAGGTACTCGGGCGTCCCGCAGAAGGTCTTGGCCGACGAGTTGTCGGTGATGTCCTGCTTGGCCAGCCCAAAATCGGACACGTGGATGTGGCCCTGAGCGTCCAGCAACAGGTTCTCCGGCTTCATGTCTCTGCACGCACAATTCGCTTTTTGTAACGTCTTTCATTGTCGTCCGAAGCCGAGCTTGGAGCGCTATAATGGAGACGCAAAAGGTAACGCCTACGATGTTTGAAGCAAGCAAGCCTTGCTTCGCGCGCGCCCTTGTGGGCTCTTCGGAATGAGAAGATTCATAAAAACCGTTTAGGACTTCCATACTTCGAAAAGTGAGGTGAGTCACTGCTCGGCTGACTGATCTGCGCGCGCACCTGTAGACGATGCCGAGCGAGTGGAGGTGCCCCACGGCGAGCAGGATCTCGCACGTGTAGAAGCGCGCGCGGTCCTCCGAGAAGCGCTTGGCCTGCTTGAGGTGGAAGAACAGCTCCCCGCCGTTCAGGTAGTCCAGCACCAGGTACAGCTTGGCCTCCGTCTGGAACGCGTACCGCAGCCCCACCAAAAACGGGTGCTGCACCGCCTGGAAACGCGGGGGAGGAGAAAAGGGTTGACCGACTACCCGAAGGTGTTGAGATGGCTTTTCACATAAAGACCCCTTATCGAGGTCTTGCAGAGAGCTAGTAAGGATATCTGTAGTCACCATCTGATATCTTGATGGCGCAGAATGAGCATCGAAGCCGCGACCTGGCGGGGTCGCTTGCTCACGGAGAGGGGATCATCCGTCGACTGGTACAAGCAGCTTCTATCGCTCTTTCATAGGTTTGCTCTTTCCCTTCTGAGCCTCAGGCAAAGTCGCCCAGAACGATCAACTGTTGCCAAGTGCGTGCTTCCGTGTTAAGTGGCCGTTCCTTTTCGTTTCCGACGCTGACCTGGAGGATCTGGCGCTCGGTCATGGTGTGCTCGAGCTGCTTTCGCTGGATAACGCTGTCCTTCTTGAGCACCTTCATCGCGTACACCGCGCCGTTCTTGCGGTACCGCACCAGCATCACCTGCGCCCACGCACGGGAACAGTCACTCAAAGACCGAAGACGCAACGAAGCTTTGAATTTGATCATGCAACGCGTAGGGACTGCTTTCAAATCGTCAGAAGTAGCAACGATGCCTCGAGATTTCATCGATCTTTTGTGGGCAATTACCTTTCGGTCTGACCATTCGATTTTTTGAACTGTGCTGGAAATGAAAGAGCGGACCGCACTGCAACCTGCCTCTTAACGTGGGAGCGGAGAGCCTTTCGATCTTCGTTGTCAGCTGGCCCGACCTCCGAAACGATACACTTCCAATGTAAAAGAGACTGGTCACTTCCGGGGCTTGGCGGCTGACCTTTCCGAAGCTGCCCTTGCCCAGCACCCGCAGGAGGTCAAAGTCCTCCAGCTCGACCTGCTCCTTGTTCTCGGAGAAGTGGGTCACCTGCAATCAACCAGCGACAGGACCCCTGTACACATGACAGACTCTAGCAGAAGGAACTCTGGCCAGAGCAAGTTGAACGGCTCGAATCTGTACGCTTTACGTTGGTACGATGTCCTCCAGGGAAAGGTCGTTTGTATCGAGCTCGAGAAAGTACTCCCTTCATCAATTGTTGGTTTTGGTGGGCATTTTTCGATCCGACGGATCAGCAAAAGGGGCACGGGTGCGGCTGATTGCCAGCGGCCTCAGCTCCAGAACTGCTCGAGGACAAGCACCTTCTGACGTCTTCACAAAAATCCGCAGTTGAGATTAACGAGGCGACCAACTCGAGATCCAGGACACCGCTGTCTCACGGTGTTGGTGCGCGCGCGGTCGATCTCGCCGCCCTTGGTGTTCATGGCGGCCATGCTGGAGCGCAGGCTCTCGATGTCCTTGTTCATCTTCTTGGCCTCCTTCTTGGTCATCACGTACGGCTTCAGGTCCTTGGCGTCCTGCCAACAAAAGGGTAGAGGACTGAAGCCCTCGGATATCGCTCGCTTCCGTTCCTTTTTGCATCGAACTTCTTCTTCTTCTTCGTATTCGCTTTGGTTTCAAAGCAGAATCCTCCTGTTGAAGTCTTACTTATGATCCTGAGAAGGCAAGCAAAGGGATTGAGCTCTCAAAATGGGCAGCTTTTCCTAAATCAAAGCGCCGTAATTAACAGAGTTCGTGTCAGCAAAGTATAAGATCGACGGCTGCAAACATGGGCGCAGACTCACCACCACCTTGACTTCCAGGGGCTGCCCGCCCTGGACCTGGTAGTTGGTCGCAATGATCTGACAGATGTCGGCCATGTGGGAGCTCTCGTACAGGTAATCATACTCCTGACACACAGAAAACTTTAGTCAGATTAGGATTTACTTAGGAAAAGTGCCATATCCGATACAAAGAGCCACGTTGGCGACAGAGTTGTTTATCCAACGGAGCATTAACGAGATTTCCCCTGACACGGAGATCGATCAACTCTTATGCTGCATAGAACTTCCAGAAACTTGCCAGAAAGCAAACGCGAATTGGCAGATCTGGTCAACCATTTCTCATGTCTGAATTTATAGACCCGTCCAGCAAGCCCCTTTCCGATCTGAACCCTTTCACCGCCCACCTCGGGCACGTTGAGCACAAACTGGTACCCCGTGGCGCTGCGCACGATCTTGGCGATGGACTGGAGGTCGATGCGGCGCTTGCACTTGGAGTTGTCCACGTTGTACAGCCCGCGGTCCGTGATGATGAGCACGCGCTTCTGGCTCTTCCCGTACGCGTTGATCTTGTCCACGTACCCACTGAACACCAGCACCTCGTTCCCAGCGCCTGAGGGAAGGAGCAGAATGGCGAAGTCTGAGGAACGACTTCAAATGAGGGTATAGTCAGATGCTAAGCAAGGTGCTAGTCTGAGTTGGCACGATTCTGAGTATTCTGAGGACGTCCAGGAATGTGGGCTTTTATAAGTTGGCGGCTGTTCACTTGAGGAGGAGAGAAGGGCGCTGATTGGAAAGAAGAGACTACAACTACAAAACCCTTGTGTTTCCATCATTATCCTTTCAGTAAACTTCAAATGCATGTACCAAGGCACAACGTGACCGCATACTGTTCCCTTCTTGAAGGGTTTCTTCAAATCCAGCTAATTGGTAACGTGTATAAATGTAATAGCGACCAATTTGATTCAAGAAACTAAAGCCAAAGAAAGTCGGGGCTTGTATGCTGCAAAAGCTTCCTGCCGGTGGTCTGATGCTCTAGTTTGTTGATTGCATTATCGACCAGTGAAAAAGATGCTTCACAGGATTCAAGAGGCTTCCACGTGAGGAAGAGGTGACCACTGCAAGACGGCATCAAATTCTTGACAGAACAACGAAGAAGGATTCTCACTGAAGGAACTCAGCAGCTTGAGAGTTGCCGGGTTGTCCTTGAGCTTCAGGTGGTCCGCCATGGTGCGTGTGTCTTGGGAGGAGGGAGGGCTCAGAAGCAAAGACAACGCCTTTGAAGCGTCTTTACTGAAAACGAAAGCTCGCTAGCAACCCGTCGGAGTAGGAGGCTCTAAACCCGGTGAGGAAATTGGAGAGAGTGATAGCCGAAGTTGTCAGGAGAATCGACTCTGATAACGTCTTCACAGAAGCTGATGCGAGGAACCGCACGTATGCAACTGAGAAGACTGCTTTGCCTCAGTCGTAGGATTCGGTTCGAAGATGGTCCACGTTCTCGCCGAGCTTGCCTTGATCTGATTACTTTGAGGTGCGCACTGACTACGAACCTGTAATATGTGGCGCACTGCGCAACAAAGAAACCAATCACAAGATGCTCGATACTGACTGCCTGGGCTGCAGCTCTATTCTGAGAGACTGCAGCCGAAAGCCTTGCAGATGTATTTCCCTTCACTCCACTACTGATACTTCTAACTACAGCCTCAGCAGTTTTTGCCGTCAGATAGAGCATTGCACCTTTTCCTACTTATCTGGTTGGGATCTGGTTGGCCCTGCGCTTTTTCCAGTCAGGCCCAGCTGAGAAGCCAAAGTACTGCTTTGCACCGTGTCGGTAGGAAGCACTGGAGTCTGGATTGCACCTCATTTGAACTGGTCATTGAACCGGTCCGCATATCAAGAGAATGTGAAGCGTCGCGCGCCCGCGTAAGGTTCCGGTCGGATGTCGGGACCGGAATGGACAGCCTACAGGGACTCCGGCGGACTTGCTATCCATTACCTACGTCCGAACTGTACTTACTCTGATACGGAATAGCGGTTCCGGCGTCCGCGGCCGAGCCTCAGTGCATCGCCGACCGTGACACGTACGGTACACCGAATACTTTGCATGCGCTGCAGCAATGGAGTCCGACGAAGATTTGGAGCGCCAGCGCGGCCGGTTACGAAGCCAGGCATACGATCCTGAAAGAGCCAAGGGAAGTACTTATCGTTGGATGATGGAATCGAGTTAAACTTGCTATGCTCTCGTCTTTGACAGAACTCATGCATGTAGCAACTGCTCCGAGATCAAATGCTGACGATCGATTTATTCATCAAGACCTCTGTACACGTGTGAGAACAGGTCGAGGACGACAATCCAACAGATGCAATTGAAGGACAGGTTGCAGTATTTGTCCAAGAACTTCATGTGCGCCAGCATCAGGTTTTCGCCGCTGACTCATCAACTTTATGCGATTATTGCGATACAGTACTTTTAGGTTGTCAGTTCAAGTACAGTGTCGTCGAACATTGGGCGCATGCACTCATATGGTAAGTGCGACGGAATGAAACAAATTCTTTGCTGGCTCAGTCTTCATTTTGAAGTCTGACAGCTGTGGCAAATATGTTACAACTGTGAGAATGCAGGTAGCCTTACGTACGTGGTTACGCAAGGACCACCAGCTGGTTGATTGTAAAGTCTAATAAAATCTTCAAAAGCTTTTGAAGAGTGTTCCTGATTGTCTACTTGAAAGAAGCACTGAGCGAAGTCTGGTTATGTATTAACACTGAAGACCTCAGATAAGTTTCCCTCACGTCTTGGATGTGCACGCCGTTTCCCGAATTCGTTGCAGCGGACTCATGGATTGGGATACTTCAAAATGGTATGGAGTAGGCCATCGTGCAGGACTGGTTATTCTTGTTTTGAAGTAGGATGTCAGATGCAATAGCGGAGTGATACTCAGCTTAGCCCTGACTTTACAAATACAAACACATAAGAATAGTGCAAGCTTCAGTAAATATTTTGCTTAGCCGTGAGTTTGCTTAGCCGTGAGTAGTCGTCTAGTAATGAAGATGTCAGACACGAAAGTGAGTATAACCGTCGATATTGGCGGCAGCCTCTCTTAAGATTTTCAATAACAGAAGCGTAGTCATAAGATAGTACAGTTCTGTCTTTGACCGTCTCAACTCGCCAATCTTCTGCTGTACGGGAGCTACGTCAAACGCAAGACAGCTCCTGACACTGATCTGTCTATGCTACCTGCTGCTTATCATCTGGTCTTGCTTGGCTGACCTGCTATCTCGAAACCTGCAACGCTACAACTGACGCTTCTGTTCTATGGATGCGCTAACACCTGTCCGTAAACGGTGACCTGGCCTGGCGTAACCTGGCCGGGCTGGGCTCCGTAACCGGTGGGCTGTCCTCCGTAACCCGCAGGCTGGCCGCCATAGCCCGCAGGCTGGGAGCCGTACCCCGATGGCTGGCTGGGCGGTGGCAGAACAACCGGGGGAGAGGGTACGATCGGGGGAGTGGGCACGATCGGAGGAGAAGGCACGACCGGGGGAGAAGGCACGACGATCACAGGGGGAGGGGACGGCACGACCATGGCAGGTGAGGGCACGACGGCGACCTGAGGAGCTGGAGCCGGCGCAGGGGGCAGCACTGCAAGAAACGGAGGGCAGTCAGTGCTTGTATTTGCCAACAGCAAGTCAACGCAGATCGTTCGTGACCACTTCAACAAGAGCAGAACTTCAAGAATCCAGCAAGAAGAGTTTCATCTGACGAGAATCTGTGAGGACGATGAGATCAACGAAGCGCACGAGATCAGGAAGCAATGCGACACAAAACTAGAACTGGAACTTCGAAGAGGCCAACTCGCATTAAAGTTCTATGATCTACCCCGTAACAGAAAGCCACGGGGTCCTCACCTGCCGCCACGACGATGTTGTCGAGGACCGCTCCGCAGGAGGTGCTGGCAGGGTCCTGGGAGGCGAAGCGGATGGTGCTCGTGCTGCCAGCGCCGGCGGTGAAGGTGAAAGTCTTGGTGACGAAGCCCATGTTGTTGCGCGTCTTGCCAGAGATGTCGAAGGAGTAGCTGTTGTTGTAGTACACGGAGCTGGGGCCGGACACGGACACGTCAACGCTCTTGATACGGGGCGGGCCGTACACGTTGCCTGTCAGAAAGAGAAACGGAAGATGAGGAGAGCACTCTTGGCTGAGAACAAAAAGTTTCTGCAACCGGAAACAGAGATTGATCGTCCTCCAGAGAAAGAGGTTTGTCCGCAACTTTGAAAAGCATACAAGGAGCTCTGAAGGAGAGACGACAGATGAGGAGAGCACTCAAGGAATGTGAATAAGAAAGCTGCATGTCAGTCTGAAACTGGGAACATTATCGTGCTTCAGGGAAAGAACTTTGTCTGCAATTTTCTTAGAATACAATGTAACTCTGGCAAAAAGGGTAACACTTGCAGTCCCAACAAAGGCAAAGCAGCGCCTAAAGAATTGACTGCCAGAAGAAAAAGGGAACATTCTTGCCTGCGAGAATGAAGGATCCCTGGTAGAGCTGGCCGGGGACTGTGGCGAATGTCTGCACGGAAGAAAGACCAGTTTCAGAAAGCTGTCGAGACCACCTCCTTCTATTTCAGAGTCTCCATTCCATGTTTCAGGGTTTCAAGGCTCCAGAACCACATCTCAGATTTTGATCAGAACATTCAGGCAGATTCACACCACGAAGGTCCTTTTGAAATCCCTCGAGGAGCAAGAGGATGGTGGAAATGTGCAAACAGGACCGTGCAGCAAGCTACCACAGATCAGTAGTCAGAACCGTACCTGAGAGATGACTCCAGGCCCATCCCCTGCATCCAAAACACGGGAAACTCATCAATTAAACCTGATTTGGAGATCCATGATGACTTTCAAAAGATTTACTTCTTTCTGGATTCACTTGCCTGAAACAGAAACCTCTTAACTCTGTGCAGAAGTTTCCATTCCATCTTTACAGAGATTGACAAGCATACCTGTTTGACTTCGACGATTCACGTCTGTTGCAGTTCTAGGGAAGCTTGAAGTTCTGCTCACCTGAGATGTCAAGATCCCACTTGGAGCCATTCGGCTGAGCCCACACGAGCTGAGAGTCGTCCAACTCCGCTGTGCCATTCTCAATTGTCCATCCGGGAATGGCAGAAGCTGCCGTGGCAGCGGACCAGATCTGCAGGCAGCAAACAGGAACAGCCCTTAATACAGCAGGCAGGAGATTGCTCAATTAGGTGTAGGGACTCGAAACTCCTGTTCTGAGTGGATCAGAATCTAATGGCCACAGAACGTCTTCAGGCATCAAAAACAGCATGATTCAACGATGCATTACTGTGGCTGTATGGCATGCATCAACAACCAGAACTCTACTGTATGGAAAAGCAGCTTGCCTTGTAGTGGAGGTCAGTTGGGGTGTTCTTCGTGTAATCCTTCACATTTCCAGGATCTTCGAAGTCTCCGTTCTCGAGCAGATTGGCTGCAATCAATGACCAGAAGGAAATAATTCATTCAGGAAAGTCTGATGCTTGACACTTTCAGAACAAAGACCAGAATAACTTTTTGAGTATCCAGTGATTCCCAATTCCTTAGATTTGCCCGCATAAAGTTGTGTTCACATTGAAGAGCTGCATGCTAAGAAATCAATGCACAAACCCAGGTCAGATCCGTTCGTGCCAGATGTCAGCTTGCTCACGTCCGAGATTCGAGTTCTGCAGCAGGGTTCTTCTGGAGGTGGAGAAAGTCTCAGTCTGGCCAGGTAGCGGGCGAGCGGCGTGAATCTGGCGAGAAGAACGGAAATCTGGTTAGGAGGGATTGCATGGTCAATGCAGCAGCAAATCGATGGAATGGTGAAATGCAAAAGCAGAGCAAAGAAATCAAGAGGAATGTTCGTGCAAGGTAGCAGAACCTTTGCAATGATAGGAACTAAATTGAAGACAACTGCTGATCAATCAAGAGTTGATGAGAAAACATGAGTACAGATCAATGCGCAGATGGAAGGTGATTGCCAGCAAATGCAGAAGTGAATTTCATTCGACATGCAAGAGATATCCAAGCAGATCAGAAATGTGTCATTCGAACTTCCACCCAGATATTTCTTGGACAAGTTCGAAGATACAAGAAGGAAGCCTTACCTCGAGTCTAGACACAAGGAGCAGGAGGAGAAGGGCTCCGAACGCACCACATCCTGAGCGAAGCCCCGCCATCGTGCTCAATCCAGTTGTCTTGATCTCGATAGAAAGGCAAAGCGACAAGGGCGTTCGAGCGAGATGCGAATTGGTTTGAGCGGCTTGCTTGAGCTCAGAAGAGTTTGGAAATGCTTGAAATGGATCTCTGTGTTTCTGAAATAACCCCTGCCAATTGCTGGCTTTTTGAGTCGTGCTGGGTGGACGGATCTCACTCACTCTCGCAGATTGACCTGCCCAGTCAGCCTCGCAGGAGCATATGGGTACTTGATGCCCGCCGGTAGTGGAAATGCTGAGCCCATCAGCAGACGCGTCGGAAGACGAGAAGTACCCAACTGGAAGGAAAGCTAGGCGAAGAAGCGCAGTGCAGATCAGCTGAAGCGTTACGATAGATTGTCCTTGTAAGCAAGTCCTCAATTCGGACTACAGCGGATCAGATCTGCTGTAACGCAGAAAGTACCTCCTTTCGATGCGATTTCCTGCGGATTCTCGACTCTCAGACTCAACAGAAAGCAAGCAATGGTCATGACGCGGGATGCATGCACGAAGCTTCTCACGTGTGGCAACCGTCAAAGGACATTGCAATCAATGCGGCTGCTGTCCAGATTCAAACGACGAATCCACTCAAAGTCTGTGCAGCAGAGCAATCTTGCACTTTCTGTCTGCAGTGCACGCCGCGCTGGTCTCGAGACTGCAACAAAGGTTACAAATCTGTCCTCGAATGAATCTGAGATTTAAATCTGTGGGCTGCAATCTTTTGTCCCTCTTTTTAACACCTCATCGGCCTATTTGCCCGCCAGGCGTTGTCGCAATGCTGTCGGCCCTAGTTATGTCTTCTTTACAGGCAAAGAATGAGTCCACCTCAAAAGCCATGCATGGGCGATCTGATCACGGTACGTTGCGCGAGAAGTTATTCTCAAGTTAGCACCTTACCTACCTATCATTATAGCTTGACACCGTGTACTGCGTGTTTTGATTAAACCGTCATCGTTGAAAGGAGATGATGCTAGCTTATTGTATCTTCATGCGAGCACTGCGGCAACTTCAACGTCGGCATGGCTCGCGGCGATGTTCAACGATCACACGTAATAACCAAATTGAGAACGGGCAGCTGCGGTCATGTGTAACTCGACAGGGGACTAAGCTGCCGTCACGGTGGAACTTAGTTGCAATCACAGTACGCGGACAAGAGCGCGGCAGTTCGACATGCCCGCTTCCCATGAGCTCCGTCGGATCATGCTCATGATCCTGCGTGCGAATCCTAGAGCTAGCACTCACATGTTCGCTTCGTTCAGTAAATATTCACATGCACACGTGTGACATGTTACGAAGTTACGAACAGAAAAGTGTTTTCCTCAGCGGACGATTGAAGCGCACTGAGCTAGCTAGGGGCGGCTACGTAGCTTGCGCATGTTTGTGAAAGCACCTTTTCAAACATATGTCGAGCGCGCCACTGCAAAGATGCGCAATATACACGGTGGGCGGTCACCCGGCTGAAGAGTACACGAGTCAAGGTGGATGAAGGCACCGATCATTTTTGAATAGAGTTCAAACGTGTACCGTATGGAATAATACCGTTCGTTCAATTGCCCGTGGACAGCAAATGATGAGAAACTGGAGGGGTTTGCAAAAGACACTTTGACTTGAAAGTGCACGAGCGGGCCGAGTGACTGCAGCATCAATCTGCAGCATGCCAGATCCGCTTTACATTTTCCTCTCGGAGCCTCCTTTCGAGATAAACGTCTTGCAATACGTCCGTTGTTGACCGGCATTCGGTCCCTACTTTTCTGCATTGCTTCTCCCGTTCTTCGGCTTCCCGGATAGCAAACATAACCTGCGAAGATAAGTTGATCTCAGGAATCCAGCTCGAGACCGAGGACAGGGTTGTCCATTGCCTCGGGACTGTCTCCATGATAAGAACTGTTCTTGCCCTCACGAGCGCAAAGAAATCTCCATTTCCATAGATTTGAACGCACATCCCTCAACATCAACGTAATCGGAGCCTCTCACCTTAGTTGCGGCGTAAAATGAGAGAAGTATGTAGAGCATGAGGGCAACATCTGCAGACACAGAGTTGGGTTTCAGAAGTATGGAGAAAAGCAGGAACACTCGGAGTATCAGAAACACACTCCAATTCGTCAGGCTATAACACTCAACACATAACTGGAGAGCCATTTTGCAATGCTGGCACACGTCACTTACTCGAAAGGCTGAGCAACTTGAAAAAGAACGCGCGCAGGCCCTGCGGGCCAATGACAAAGCCAACGAGGTTCGCAGCCTGCACGCAAGACAGTGGACCCGTTGGTTGAGTGATGCGGTGATCCTCATGAAACGAACAACCGTTATCTCTAACAATCTCTGAGACACTTTGGCTGTTCTCGCATCCTCGAACTGAATGCGGAACGCCGGAACGCCTTCTAATGTGCGCCTACTTTGATTCGTCGATCAGGCAAGCTCTTAAGCCGTCCAGCAAACAGGGACTAATGCCTCGAAAAGTCGACCGATTGACAGCGTTGTGGGCGAAGGGCTCACCATGAGGCCTGTGATATTGAGCGCTCCTGCAGCGGCCGCAAGCTCAGAGTACAGCCAGATCTTCCGAAAGCCGGCCAACTGTACCACGGAAACGGAATGCAACTGTTAGGCTCTGCTGACAATGGTCGAAACTGGGCGATCGACGGAAAGCACAGTACTTGTGGGCAGCAGAGGCACAAATCGCTTGTCTGGAAGCGCGCAGTCGCTCGTTGAAGCAGTTACACCAGACTTCTGGCTAGATGGGCCAGTCATCGACGCTTTGAGTAGAAGTTCGTTCTTGAAAGTCGTATCCGTGGCTTCGACTCCTCCCTTCGAGCCATAAGACGCGACATACGAAGAACCACGTGTAGGACCTGTGAGGTGAAGGAGAGCTCACTCTGGGGGAGCGTACGATGCTCTTGACTACCAGCTCCGGAAGCCCCAGGAGACACGTCAGCCAGGCCCAGGACAGGAGCTTCCTGCGCTACGCAAGAGTGGGGTCATGTGCGGAGTTGGCATCCGTCCCTGGATCGGCTAAGACTTGGCGTGCTGAAAAACCGAGCAAGTCACACTCGTCGACGAGAGCAGATGCGCTAAAAACATTGATCGAAGAGGTACCGTAATCGTTACAGACTATGCTCTCCGTGGTGACGGCAGGAACTGGTTGGCCCCACGCCGCTCCTTCTCCTGCCCTTCAAAAGCTCTCAAGACATGGGTTTGCCAGAAGAGCTTGCGAGAAAGAAACTCCGTGCAAGTCCTCACCATTCGAGGTCGTGCCACAGAGCGACGAACGTGAAGATGACCCAGATGTTGAGGAACCGCCATTTGGCGCCACCCAGGGGAATGTACAGGTACCTGCACCCGGGCACGACTCAGATTTTTCCGCGGTACACTCTTCGCCCACCCTATCGACCGCGCAAAAGGTTGTTTTCTTGCGCAGCTTCCAAATGAGGGTACACTCGTCCATGACTCGAAACGTGGGCTGACTGAAAGTGGGCCACGCCGCCGACCCTAAGATCAACACCGTAGCCGGCCAGTGTTTTTATGCATCCCGGAGCCGGATTTCAGCAGAAAGCCATTGCCCACGAACGATGCTGTAAGCCCGCCAGGCGTCTCACCTGACGAGCCAGCGGTTGTAAGAGGCGTGCCAACTCTTCCAGAAGCCCTCGATGTCGTAGTTGTTGTTGACACAGCGGAGCATGTTCTCGGGAGGGTCGATCCCGTCCATCTGGCCAAAAAGAAGGAAGTAGGTTCTTGCACTGATTAATAAACTGCGCGCTGGGAAACCAAGTCGCGTTGAATCTCCTATTCCTTCTGAGAGTAAACTATTCCAGGTCGCGTTGGACCGCGAAACCTCAAACGAAGAAGGTTTAAATCTCAATAATCTACTGAGACTGAACTATCAGACTCGTCAGCCACAGAAGCAGTCTCGGAAGCGACGCTTTATCTGGTGCTGGTCAAGTACACAAGTCGTGACGCAGGCCGCTTGACGCTTTGCCAGTTCGTGCTTAAGGACCAGCTCTCTGCTGAACCATTGGAAACCAAAAAAGAACGGATGCTCGGGCACGTTCAGCAATGAGCCCTGGTAGATCGACGGTTCGTGTCAGCTCACCAGGGCCCACAGCCGGAAGAAACGCCAAATGATGAGGAACTTGAGCCACATGAAGTTGAGCACCTGGCGGAAAGCGAGGAAACGGGGCACGTCTTAGCACGTTCTACTGTCTGATTATGGAGGTGGTCACATCACAAGTTTCTGTGGAGGAAGCGAGGGATGAGCCAGCACTGAATTAAGAACCACAGATTACACTGAGGAGAATCTGAAGAGATGGAGAAAGCTTGCTGGAGATGCTGTTGTGGTGCTCGGCTTCCCACTACGGCAGCACGAGGTCTGGAACCGGCACTCACCCCGAAGCCGATGCAGCATACGTCAGCCGCCGGCAAGTCGAACCTTTGCCAGACCCCGCTGCAGGAGCAAAGCGGACACAGGCATGAGCCCAACCCTCAAAGCGCGGAAAACAAACTGGCAAACAGGTCGGATGACGTACCCTCTGCAAAATCGTGCAGACTCTGCTTCCACCTTGGAGATCATGGGACGCAGATGCACTCGTGCAGTCGTGCGTACCTGACGGCGAGTGCGTTGAAGTAGGTGAAATGCAGAAGCAACTCCATCAGGCCCCAGCAACCCGCCAACCGCAAAGCGTACAACGAAACGGCCCGCCCAGACGGGCGCTGTTGAGGGGTAGACAGCTGCAGCAATGACGTGAATGACTGGTTCTTCCGCAGCAAACGACGTTGGGCTGACGAGTAGTACGCGTTCTTTCCTGCTGCAGCCAATAAGGCATATCTCCCCAGGAAGTGTCAATGAGGCAGGAACGTCAGCAGCCTTCCAACGAGATTCCCCTTGGAACGACCGACTCGACCAACTTGCGAAAAGCCGTGCTTCTCCCGTGCTAAAAGAAGGCTACAAGAAGAATGACGGGTGTGCAAGTCGCCCTTCAAGCAGCCAGCGAAAGCGCACAACTCAGAGGTAACAACGCACACCTGAGAAGCGAAGGAGTCGAATGTGATGGTGGGCCCGGCAATGTAGAGCGGTGGGTACAGCAGGTAGCACAGGTATGTGGCAAAACTGTAGCTGCCCCAGGCAGGATTAAGGGCCTGCACGGATGCAAGCCAACAGTTGTAATCCGCAAAACCAGCGCACTGTTTTTTGAAGCACCGAAGATGCCCGGTACACTCCCAGCAAGGCGGATGGGCTGGCAGGCTTTGTCTGCGCTGACCTTTTTGATGTAACTTGAAATACAGTAGCTGTTTCGTTGTCGGCGTATTGAGACACGAACGGAAACGACAGGGCCTCTCAGAGGACGAAAGAAGGCCCGCATCGACAGCTCTGATGAATCACGACTCGATGCCTTGCGAACAAATGCGTGGGGTCCAGCAACCTTGCCAAGTCTACGCAAGCATGTCAGGACTCTTCTCTACGACCTTCGAGTTGCTTGGTTAACGGGATGAAGCAACAGCGACCTCGAAAACAAAAAAGACTTACCTCTGGTTTGTCGAGGCTTCTCGCGTTTGACTTCGTTTGCTCCAACTTCGCTTTCTGATTCTGCAGAACGGCGTTTATCAGTCACACTTGCTACACTGATCAGGTCGTGGATGCAACAATCATCAAATGCAAGTCATAAGTCGTTGCCGTCAAATTGCTCAATGCTGAGTGAACAGGTGAACGAACTGCAGGGTCTCGCAGTACTCTAGAGAGCAACGCGAGATCCCTCTAGAAGAAAAGGGCTGAAAGAACCCTGCATTCATCTAAGATGCAGATTGAAGAATTTGACCGTCTACACAAGGGGAAACGGGATACAGCAATCGACGAACCTGAGGGGCGAAGCCGAGCTTCTTCCAGTGATAGTCGAGGCCAAAGCTCAGGATTCGGAGCATCACTGCAGAAGCCACCGGGATGTCAGCCTTCTGACTTCGTCAACTTCGGATACGAATTTTGCAAAGGAAAAGTTCTAGGGCCAAACGCGAAAACAACGGCGGTCTAAACCCTCCTTCTTCGAATGGTTCTGCATGGATTGCTTTGCTAGCCGACCAAGAAGAAGTGAAAGACCCTAATTAAAACTGTTGCTTGATCGAGCTTACAGTCAACATGGGTACCAGCCAAAACATGCGCCTCTGCCATGACACTTGACCTACTCAAGCTCAAAAGCAGATGCTTCGGTGCGAAGGCTCACCTAAATTGAATCCAATGTGCCACCTAAGACTTCCCTTATGGTAATCCAGCCACTCCCAGGAAGCCCTGTGACATGCAGCGAAGCAGCTGTTAGATTTACGCTGGCCGAAAAGCAGCACCGAATCCATACGAGATGCAGACCCAGCTCAAGTGCGAACACTGCTTATTGCCAGAGCTCAGCTGACTCTTATTAAGAAGCACTATATACCGGTTGGGATTCAAGGGGCCTAAACGCAGCAAAGGATTAGGCAAGTCGCTCGTCCATTCAGGAGGGCGGTATCTCGATTGTTTCAACAGCAGATCAGTACCTCAGTTTCTGTGGAGGTGGTATCTCTCACCCGAAGGAGCTGAAGCTGAAGCCGTCCGCCAGTCGGATGTACACCAGCATGGCGCAGCTTGCGGTCCAGAAAACAACAGGACAGAGGCGTCGGCCGGCAAGCACCTGGCAGGGAGAAAGGTACCTTTGAAGTTCTTCCGATTCGATCCCAAGATGGTGAGAGCATCCGCAATCACTGAGCGTCGTTCTTTCTTCGTTTTTCTCCGGATTCATTTCACTCGGAATGGGGGGCGAGTATCAGTTCACTGACCATAGGCTGGGCAGTCTAAGATCTTTTCGCAAGGAGCTTGACACTCATCAGGGCAGAGATAGAAGGCTTGTGACTGGCAAACTCGTAGGAAAAAGAAGACCTCCGTTTCCTTACAAAACTCAGCCCACCTGCCCACCTTGACGAGGAGAAAGTTGGCGGTCGCAATGACCAGGACAAAGAGGGAGCTGCAAAAAAGGGGAGGCTTGTGTGTTTCAACATATACACGGGATCGAGCAGCGGGGCCTCTTCAAGGGCTCCAGCATATGAGAATCGCTCTGGTGACAGATGCGCAGGCGTGAACTGTTTCCACAGTATAGTGTGCCAGGAGAGTAGACGTCTACCCCCTAGTCTCAACAGCCAACTTCATTGTGTTGAGAGAGCCAAAGTTTGAGGCGCCCACAGCCTAGAAGTGTGCTTACTAAGCTCCATGTAGTTGGAAGTTAAATCCCATTCCAACAAGAAGCCAGTAGAGCGTGCGTGCTCGGGGTGTGTTCCTGAAAAGCGACCCGAGTAGTGTCGTGCCAAGGGCGGCAGCGATCAGAATCTGAGCACTGCTGCGGAAGTTTCGCCATTGAGCATCCGACAGGTCCTGCACAACCAGTCAGAAGCCGTCTTATACTAGCAGCCAAAGGTTTGAATGCAGCCAAGCCCCATTTCTGCTCATACTCGCCTCTCCAATAGTTGCATGGACTTGCTAGAATTGGACGTACAAAGCCCCGACTAATAAGTTGGATCACGACAGTCTGGGCAAGAAGACCATGCCAGAACCTGTGGATCAGGGTGAGAAATGCTCACAATCTGACGGTTCAACAGCCAGCCTTCTTGAAGCCCAGGCAGGTAGCCCTTCCATTGCCCTTGATCAAACTCTGCAGTTAGAGCCGAGTCAGATTGACGAACTTTGTGCAAACATGGCAGCTCAAAAAAATGGATTGGGCAGGACATCCTTGATCTCATTAATAATGTCAAGGGACGAAGTTTGATTGTTCCCAACATGGGAAAGATGGTCGATGTGGTACACGGAATCTGTGTCCTTCCTGAGCTGCACTTCAGGGCAAAGCCTGTTAAGGGCACTGGATTGATTGATGCAGCAACACAACTGGTGGATTCAAAGCCAATCTCTTGGAGCCAACCAGAAAGGACCAACAACAACTCAGACCAGATGCTTAAGTTTGTGAATTAGTTCCATGCTGCTGGGGAACTTCCTGGTCCTGAAGACAACGTTGAGGTGAGGCAACGGAATACCTTTCGAAAGACGTACCACCCGCCTGATGACAGTGCCAATCGTGCAAAGACATAGAAGGCAGCATGCCACCAGCTGCACTGACCAACGCAGCTGCATCTTGCTTCTGTTATGTCAGTGGCTCTTGTTAAGCGGCTTGCTCAAGACAATGGAAAAGTTTTCCGGCTTAGCCTCAATTATCTGCCTCTGCAGTGGTGTTTCTTAGGTCACAAGAACCCCCAGCGAAAATTGTCTCAAGTTCTTGCTGCAGCAGCTGCGCAGATTCATTGTCTACTTTGAAACAGAACATGGTCAAGTCTTAGGTGGCAACCACGTTGCGCCATTTCCTGAGTGCAAGCGCCGTCACTGGCGTTGGCAACAGCATGCTTTCTGATGTAAATCAGTGAAACGCACAACGCCAATGGATGCCGATCTCTGCCAGTGCTGCGGAAGCCGATGCTGGCCGAGCTGAGAAAGTGCGCCTGCATGCTGCAATGTGCCAATAATAATATTTAAATATATATGGTGGCAACTTGAGAAATCGACCCTCTTCACGCATTTCGCCGACTTGCTAAGCTTTCCCGCAGCGAGAAACGGCATCAAGTATTGCCATGTCAAACATCCGTCCCCCGTCAAAGCTGCCAAGAGCAGCTTAGAACCGGTAGCCAAGGCGTCAGTGTGAATACGGAACGCCTTAATAGCTAGCTAGCTTGTGCCAGCTTTTGGCAAGCTAGCATTTACAACTCGCAGCATGGAAGCGGCGGAGCGCCATGGCATTTCTCTCTTCATGTAGGCTCCTTTTCAAACGTTCCACTAGCCCCTGAGCCTGCTGATAAAAAAAAGCTGTACGCTGCATATCCCACAAACAGCACGCAGGGTCCGATAGAGGTGTTTAGGGCTGTGGAATCATGGATACTAGCCAGCTAGCAAACGCTGTACTTGCTGAGATCGGACAGGTTTTCAGCAGCTGTACCGCCAGCACCAACAGCTCTGAAACCGATCCTGCTGCTAGAGTTGCTGGGCTGATCGAGAAACACCGAGAGAAGCGCATCGTCCTCTATGGTGTGGGAAGGGAGGGCCTGATGATGCGCGCTTTTGCAATGCGGCTATACCATCTAGGCCTTCAAGCTCACATGGTAGGAGATATGAGTTGTCCGCCGGTTGCAAGTGGGGATCTTTTCGTGGCAAGCGCTGGCCCCGGAGAGTTTTCGACGGTGAACGGTCTTCTTGGAGTTGCCAATTGTGCAGGGGCAGCAACGCTTGTCATTACTGCTCAACCAAACGGTGCGTCCGCAAAAAATGCACAATATGTAGTGCACCTTGCAGCACAGACGATGGCAGACGATCTAGGATCGGAGGGATCGAAAGATTCACTTGCAGTCACAGGACCTATAGAAAGCTTGGAACAAGTCAATAGTTCCCCGCTCCTGCCAATGGGCAGTATCTATGAAGGTGCGCTGTTTGTCTTGTTCGAAATAGTGATCCTGATGCTCAGGCCACGCCTTGCAGAAAGTGCAGAAAGCATGCGAGCAAGACATACTAACCTGGAATGAACATGTTTTGAGTTTTGTCAGTGCTGAGCCGATTTCTAGCATGGACGGCAGACTCTGATGGGCTTGTATCTTTGGATGTGGTCAAAATCGAAGCTACTTACAATCAGTGGAGCTGAAGCCGAACCCTGAAGTGCGCAAACGGTTGTCACGTGGAGTCGAGGGCCATATTCAATCGTTGAATCGGACTAGTCAACCATGCGTCATGATGATTCCCGTTGAGTGCTCACATATATTCTGGCTTGGACTGGTCTTGCTGACTTCAATGATGTGGTGGATTTCAAGTTTGCAAACGCTGGCGGTCCACAGGATGCCCTTCATCGATCGTCGTTAGGGCAAAGGCTCCATGTGCGGTGATGCAGTGCACAACGTACCTCTGAGGCGCCATGAGACGAGCCATGATCGATTTCAAATGCCGTCTATACCATATGAGGATGTCGCCTATGAAATCTACATTTGCGTATGCCTGTACATGATTTCTGGCAAATCCAGCTCATGGTGCGATCCAACAACTTGATGCTTTCAAGAAATTCAATCATGCATGATCGCAAGACAAATCTGCACATGAGTAAACTTTATTGCAAATGCATAAGGTTCTTCTACAAGTCAAAAATGAGTGCAGCTTTGCAGATTAAGGGGTGCACTAAGGACGGCAAGCTGCGGAGCGCTAATATGCAAAACAGGCACTGTGCCAATTAAGCCGAGAACGCATCATGTTCACCAAAATTAATTGAAGGCACATATGGCGACAGTCCAACTTTCCTGTATTGATGCGGTGCTCGAATCTGACAACCGTAGCTCAACACATCCGCGGATGATCGAGCAGGATAACAGCGTGTGGATTGGAAGCAATTCCACGAACATGAAAAACTACACAGCCTTCCACTGCCGAAGGTCTAGCTTAAGTCCACCCCCATGTCTTGCAACTGCTTCTCCGCAATACCTGCCCACCCCGCATTCGTTGCAGGATTGGCGGGGCTGGGATGCATGACCGTCCCTGTTTTTATATCTCCAGCGCACCGCCGTACTCGTTCAGACGTGTACTGTCCTGGAGGAACCAATAGTGAACAACGATAAGGCTTCGAGGGACGGTGTGAGCAGAAAGTTTCTCGACAACGGCAACTGATTTGGCCAGAAACGAAGTCCAGCACTTCGACATGAATATAGCCACCATAGTGTGCAGCGCTCCTTACTTTTGGATGCATCTGCAGACATCAAACGCAGAATACGGATACGATCCTTACCGATGCCAATAACAAGCTTCGGTTTGAGGACTTCAATGGTCTTTGTGAGGGCTTCGTCGCAGATCCGGACAACAGCGTCCCTCTCTGCGGCCGGAAGCTTGTCGGGAGTTCGCAACCTGGACAGGAAGAAAGAGTCAAAACCACAAAGCGATACAAGCTTGGAGATGGTCCTGCAAGCAGCTGTGTCTCGACCACAATGACACCGTTACATGAATGTGAACAAGTAGGGGTGATGAACGGTAATTTAATCGACGTTTGCGTTTCTCGATCCGTATTTCTTCAAAATCCGTGATCATCGCCCGCCCGTCACATTCCAAAGCTGCTTTGACGACTCAGCGAGACAACGAGTAATCATAGGCACAGGAGATGAAGCTTCGCTGCGAAACTCTAGGCGGAACTCTCTTCGCAAGCGAACCTGTTATTGATAGCTCCTACAAACACTCCTGAGGTATATACACGACCAAATCGCGGCAATGCGCACACAAATATTTACTACTTACTTCCCGTTAGGTCCTTCCATGAACGCAAGAGGGCAGTAGTTCATAACGTAGAACTTGTTGAAGAAGGCCTCCGGGTCCTTGTACCTATCCCGGGCCCACCCCCAGATCCTCTGCCCACTGACCTACGCACATAGACGGAATATGCTGGTGTCACAAGCCTGGCCGGTGTTACGGCGCTGCTTCTAATCGCTCCTCGTTTCCAGATTGAATGGACTCTAATAAAAACGGAGCGCTCCAAAATCACGGCCGCAGTAAGACAGCTAATACACGTTTTCGTGCAACTTTGAAGAAATGAATGATGCAGTGTTTTCAGTACAACGGTGCAGAGAAGCTCTCAGGACGCTGCATCCGCGTGTCTCCAATACACAGAGAGTGCCCACACGATCTTACAACATAAGCTACTTTCGTTTGGTACTCTCACAATGGTGCACGTTTCAGGCCGTTGTGTTTGAGTGGCCTCCTCACCTCCTTGTAAGGGCAGCTGAATCCGTACACCAGTCTCTTGGGGTGCACCTTTGGAGGCTGTTCCACCTGCCACGCACAAGGAGAGCTTGTCAGCTTGTTGGGAAATCAGCTTCAAGCGGTGACCGCTCTTGAGCTGGGAAAACTCTCGATTCGCGGGTCAGACGCCACCGAGCGCCCTCCTACCGATACTTCATGCTTATGCTTATACTTCAGACAGAAGATGCAAGAGTGGCAATCGAAGGTTCTACCAGAGAGGCAGCAACACCGCAAGAAAGGCACGCAACATAAAGGGCACGAGTTCGCTCTCACCGGTGCCATGATCCCCAGGAAATCCTTCACCATTGAGGTATCCCCAAAAGGCACCCCAGTCTGTAATTCAAGAAAGACAGCCATGTTTTGAAAAACCCCGAGGTCCATCCTTCGCTCATTTTCCCATCATTCAGGTCTGCTTTCTACAGTGTGCACTCATGGACAATGTTGTATTCAATGCTGCTCCAGAAGCAAAAAAGAACTCTTGAACAGAGGGGCTTGGAAGGCTTCGGCTTCCCCAGCAATTCACGCAGGAGTGGGAAGTCCAAGCTTGAAGTCAAAGCTGCCAGGTCAAGATTCAACCAACCCAACAAGGGCAGGCTCAGCAAGGTCACCTGTGCCATCCCCCACGGCCCTGGATTCAAGCCCACCAACAGCACTATTCCTGAGCGGCCTCCTGCAGACCCAGGCGAATTTCTATTTTTGGTGATCTTTAGTGGGCTGTTTCAATCCTGGGGATCATTTGGGCGCACCATACAGAGAACTGATTTGTGTGTTCACCACATTTTCAAAGACATCTTTACCCAGCTTTGACCCCGCCACTTCCACCACCTTGAGCTGATTCTGAAAAGTGCAACAGAAAGGTGGCAGCAGGCATAGCACAGCTCTGCCAGTGCCACCCACCATATCGTGTGACGTACTGCATGTAAGATTTCATCGCATACTCCAGCGGATTGTACCTGCAATTTGATTGTGGGTCACCTCAAAAGTGGAAAAATGATGGTGGTCAAGGGGGAAGTTCAACTATCTTCGCTATGGCTTGGGACCAGCCAGAGTAGAAGCCCTGTGCAGCAGGAACGATGGAGACTCAGCACTGGCGCACAAGCACAGGCTGCAGGAAAGCCCCTTGCACAATGTCTGCCCCCTCTCTCCATGTGGTTGAACACTGGGGCGACCTTTCTGAAAGGGCGGCACGTGTTTCTCTTGCTAGAATGAGAAATTTCTGATCACAGCCCGCAGACATATTGTACTTACACATGGGTCACAGGGGCCTTGAACTTGAGGGGCTGCAGCTGCTTGACTAAGTCCTGTGCAACCTCAAGCAAGACCTTACACCGCTCCTGCACGTCCGGTTGCAATTGGGTCGCGTTTGGTTCTGAAGCTCTGCTGGGACTGCTTGATTGCCCGGCAGCATTTTCCTCAACTCGTGCACGCTTTGCAGCAGGCAGCAACTTTTCGGTCTCTGCATGGCCAGACTCTTCTGGCACACCGTCTTTCCTTGAGTTTGGGGCCAGAGCTTTCTGAGCAGCCGCTTGCTTTGCAACTCGCCCCCGCGCGCGACCTCCATGCATCTTGTCTGTGTTCTCTTCTACTCTGGCAGACCCTGCACCCCTCTCCGGAACTCCTGATGTCAATCCGCCGCGCTTGACTGCCTTCCGTGTCATAGCGCCACCAGCCTGCTGTGCAATAGGGGCTTTATACATGAAGTGTTGGAAGGGATTCACCTTGCTCATGACGTTCAGCTCATCAAGTACGGCCCCTCGAGAACAGTCAACTTGAACGCAAAAACATTGAAGATGATCCCCTCCCAACGTTCATTTTGGCCCTCTGGAGAAGTCGACTGCAATTAAACATGACGTCAGACCGCAACTTTGTCCTGAGCAGAGCCTGTGCATCATAATGCATGCAAGATTCAGAATGTCGAATTTCTGTTGTACTTATGTGCAAGCTCCACAAGCTGCTTAACTTCCAGGCAGACAGGTGCAAGTCAATGTAGGTAACCAAATTCTCGCCGAAAGCACATTGGTGAAGGAGTGGCCTCAGCCCATATTGCCATGAGCGAATGGCGCCATGCTACATATCGACTATGACGAGCTTGGCTCGCTACGTTAGATAAGACCCGGCCCGGCCGTAGATAAAATTGAAACATTCGGTTCATTAGCATACATGCCTTCGAACATACGATTCGGACCCAGATGTTTTTCTTGAATGCATGAGTTTGCATGCAGGTACGTTGCACTTTTGAGTTGCACGCAAACGACCCCAACTCCAAAACCCATGCAATCTGCTATTGAGAGTTCATTTGTAACATATCAATCCACCATCTGCGAGCAATCACGAGCTTCTTAATTGCAAGATGCTGAAAGAGTCGCCTTATCAGGTCCTCCGCTTCTCCCAACCAAATTGCAATTAACAACCCTCGTACAGGCCTGGTTGCATCTTCCAAGAACAGACTACCAGATTTCAGATCTCTTCAGAACTTTAAGTTGTTCGTTCGTTAAAAATCGACCAACTCAATGCTCCTCGAACTCCACAAAACAATCTCATGTGCCAACTTCTGGCTCCTTAGGAGCATCTGGTGTTGAAGATGCGTTCTTAGAATCCCCGTCATTGTGCACTTCAATCTCTCCTTCCTCCCCTTCCTCGTCAGCACCAGGCTGTTGGGTTTCCTCTACATCTGTCCTCGCGGGCGCATCCCGCAAGGGCCGCTCTGTATCAGTGAGCCTGTCTTTGCCCTCCCCGCCGCTTGGCTGACCGTCCTCTTCCTGACCCTCTTCCTCGGTCCGAGGCCGCTTCCGATCACCATCTCTTTCCTTCTCGTGCTCCCTGTCCCGGCGCTTCCCATCTCTGTCGCGGTCCTCCCTATCCGAGCCCCTTCCATTACGATGGGAGTCCTTTTCCGGGTCAAGCTCTTCTTTCCTTCCGCCCTCGTCGCGCTCCTTCATTCGCTCCTTCGACCTGTCTCTGTGCCTCTCCTTGTCACGATCGCCCCTCTCCCGTGAACGATCCCTCCTGTCCCGCCCCCGCTCATCCTTTCGCTCTCTCGACCGATCGCGCCCACGCTCTTTCCTACTGTCACGATCTCGGTCCCTCGACCTGTCCCGCTTCGCCTCCTTCGTCCGATCAACACCTCTCTCCCGCGATCTGTCCCGGCCTCTGTCGTCCTCCCTTCTAAGATTCCTCTCTGGCGACCTTTCCGGCCTCCGCTCTCTATCCCGATCATCCCTCCTATCCCTCGACCTGTCTCTCACTCTTTCCGGCTCGACCCGTCTGTCCCTCGACCTCTCCCGGTCCCTCCTACTCTCGCGTTCTCGATCGCTCCTCCTGTCCCGAGAGCTTTCCCTCTCCTTACGCCTTTCTGGCGACCTCTCTCTCCGCGCAGACTTCTCTCGCTCCGCCCTCCTGTCAATAGACCTCTCCCGCTCGTCCTTCCGATCCCTAGACCTTTCACGGGCGACCGGCATCAACGGACTGCGTTCCTTGTCCCTCGTATCCCGACTCCTGTCCCGCGGCTTAGCTGGGACATCGTCCCACTCGTCGAGCCTTGCGCTGCTTCCCCGCACGCGGTCTGCCGTGGCCGCTTCTCTCGCTCCAGACCGATGAGGGGCGCGCTGGCCAAATGCCACTGAAAGAGCAGCTTTCACCGAAGGTGGGCGTCGTGATTCTCCCTCCGCTCCTCGTGCTGTCTTGCCGCCAGCGCCACCGGCCCCTAGCCCCTTGGTAGGCAGGCCACGCGACTCCAAATTGGCGGTAATCTGACGGGCAACGGGAACGGGTATCCGAGGGAAAATGGTATCGAAGTAGTACTGTAAGGAGAGTAAGAGCAGAGTTTAAAACACTCAACCTAAAAGCGGAGGAGTTTTCAACAGCAAAAGGTGCTCGGAGACCAAAAGAAGGATCATTCCTCTCCCGTGTAGAGCAGACTTGAATTTTTCCTCAACCTCAACTGCTCAGGGAACCAGCAGGACAAATCACTTTGACACCTTTATCATGAGGAAGTCCATCACAATGGTTCCATTGGCAAAGAAGATGGGTAACAACCTTCTTGGGTAATACGATGGAGGAACAGCACGGTCCTCATCTGATGAAATACATCTTTCGTGGGTAAGCCGTTATATCCGGTGCCAACGCTCACTCGGAAAGATAGAATCGACAATGCCTAGATCAATTGATGCTGCGGCTATGAAAGCATCGTTCGGAGTTGCTGTGCTATCACAATACTTTCTAACCGCGCGGCATGATCAAGTCCAGTATACGAGACCTTTGCCTATGGCCAACTTACCAACTCCAGAAGCAGGTCCCTCACATAAAGGCCCATGGTGACCATCTTCCCATTAATGCCCGGGGCAAATTTCTGCATGAAGAGCAGTGGTCCAGTAAGTACAGCTTCCTGAACTCGGAAAGGTAAGCAACTTCATCCAACCTAATGCACGGCAACACTAAGGGAATCCCAAAAAGGCCTGGAGCAGGACGCATTAGCAGCAAAACCAAGGGCTTGCAACCAGAGGGGAGAAAATGCAGGTGCGTGCTGTCCGGCAGCACTGCATCACTCACCCACCTCGTCGTCCTCGAGGTAAGGCTCACACCAGTCCCACAGCGTCTTGGGGTCCGCGATGTAGCGCAGGTACAGGAAGCCGACCTGCACGCACAAGGAATCTTGCTCTGTACTCTTTATTTGTAGGGTGGTTGCTTCTTGCACCGTATCTCAATTCTCTGTTAGGTGCACAAGCATGGCTCCGTCAACGTTTTTGAGATGTTGAGGTGTATGCTGAGGTGTATTTCAACGGACTGGCAAGAAAGCTCAGAGGGGCGTCGAGCTACCGGCATAATTTGGATATCTTTGGTAACCGAGCCAAACAACAAAGTGGGCAATCATTGGTCCTGTCAGACGCCATGACATTTAGTGCACCAAGGCTGTGCTTCCAGGATCAAAACTGCTCTCATCAAGTTCAGGGGCACCTACCGCTCGGATGTACGGTGAATCCTCATGGGTAATCAGGTCTTGCACCTGCTTGATGTTGAGCTCCAGCGTGAACAGCTTGTACAGGAGGCAGAAGGCAGTGGAGGAGCCGCGCGCATTGCCACTCATCCAGGGTTCCACATGCTCCACCTGATTGTAGATCTCATCAATTACCTCGAGGTGGTTCTTGATGCTGTTGAGCTCCTTGTAGTACTCCTGCAGCAGATGATGCCGCAATCATTTGGTGCTGGTATTTGATGGCAGCGCTATTGGGATGATCTCAAGTGCAGCACACTGGTAAATTTATGTGGACTGCTGTGAACTGCAAGAAGTACCACCAGAAAGAGCGAAAAGACCAAAAAGCCGAGCAGCTCTGCCACCGTCCTGCATTTCTTTTCTACGACGCAGAGAAGCACGGACATCAAACACTGCTCAAAGGGAGTGACTTGGCGGCAAATTACCACTTACCGACCCCACAATGTTCATCTGCAGGACCCGCTCCATCGCAGAATCATAGTGCCTCCCACTTGTTTGGAGCGCCATTTCTGTTACAAACCTTCCGAAAGTAAGAAAGTCTTTCTTGAGCAGGCTCCTCCCAGGCAGCAGCTATACAACTCGATGCAAATGAAGTCGTCCAACCACAAAAGCTTTTTCCTTGGAGAGGATTCCTTGCTCTGCAGATACTGTCAGCGCATCATCAGTGTCCAGCAACCCCCGCAGACGCTTGAAGCTTGTGAGGACAGGAAGAAATCGAGGTCGCACTTCAGATGCTCGTGCCAATGGCCACAGCGTCCATGAGCGCCCCAACTACTTTTAGCTGTATGACCCTTGACGTTGAGATCTGAGAGACTCCTGCAGAAGGACGAGGTAAAACGAGAGTGATAACATAACCCGAATTTTCTTCAGGAGTCTTGGTTTGATAATCTTGGTTCCAGACTATGCCGCAAACCGGAACGTATTGACTACATTTAACCTTCCTGCCTAGCGCCCAGCACGGTGGAGTGTGAATCAGACCGTGGACTTCAGCGGAACGGGTTTGGGAAGATCGGTCCGAATTGAGTGACCGGATACGTTGACCTTGGGTTCCTGATCAGGTTTAATAGGTAGGTACACTTTGACAAACTCAGCCTGGCCAGGGCAGCTAGGACTCATGCAGGAGGCCATTGGCATGCAGCAGCAGTTGTGTTGATCAGCATCAATCCATGGCGCCCAGGCCCAGGGGCGTGGGCTCAACGTCATGGTAGGGCAGACAATTGAGCTGTACTGGTACTGGCAAGTCAGACTTTGCTTTGAAAAGGCAATCCTTGAGATCATGTTGTGATCAAATTGATCAGAGCCAGTGGAATGGCGGACTTTGGCGAGCAAGCGGTCGGTAGAGAACTCCAGCAGCTAGTAGCTGGGGCACACGCTGTATTGGCAGAGCTGCTGAGTTTGACAGCGGCGGTGCCTGCTGACTTTACGGAGCAGAGCGGCAGGTTTGAGCACGTGCTTTTGGACTTCAAGTGAGTGGCATGTTCCGCACCACTCAGTTGTCGTTGGGCTGGAGACTCTGGGAATCATGCATGCCCCCAGGACTTAGTTCGCTGGTGATCAATCTTGTTTTGATGGATCAAGCACGCTGTAAAGCACTGGGAACATCTTTCTTCTGTGCTTGCAAACGGGACTGAACTCCGGACAATTGTGGTCCATGCAGATACTTCTTGTCACCAGAGCACCACGAGAGCGTGATTGATGGGCAGCCTGCATTGTCCGCCCTGGATGCGGAGCTGCGCGACTGCCACCAGGCTGCCCTTCAGCAATATCTGCGGCTGTTCAAGGGGCTCACGCAGTACCACCACCGGCTACACGCATTCCTGGGGGACTTGCAGGTGCGGGCACTCCAGTAGGGAGCCTTTAAAATCTGGGAAGCTCGGCGTTCAGGATTGTTGTCCTGAGTCGGTTAACACAACTGCCCCTTCTGGTTTGAAGTTCGACGATCACTCTGGGTATTACGGCCACTTGCACCACCTCTTGAAGCCTCAATCTCATAGCGGCTCACCTGTTGTCACATAATCTTTCATTGCAGCAATTAAGTTAATTTTTCTATTTTTTGTTGCAGACTGGCGCCTTTCTGGACTGGAGCCTGGACGCTGTCCTGGAAGACTCGGACGGCCAGCAGCTGCTCACTGAGGCGGTCACCCTGCACGGCCTCTTACTCCTGCTCCTGCACCACCGTCTGCCCGGCCTGTTGCGGGAGCGCATCCTCGTTGCCATCTCCCGCCACCTGGACACGGGGGATCCCTCTCACCTGGTCACCCTCCGCAAGCTCTGCGCCGCTTCCTCAGACGCCCCGGCGCCCTCCCCAGGTCTCCTAGCATCGCTCCAGCAGAAGCTTCGGGGTCAGATTACAGGGGCGGAGGGCCCCCCATTCGTAGTTGATCTTCGGGGAACCGAGCAATACCTGGCACGATTCCCTCTCCCCGCTTCAGTCTTAGAAGCCTTGATCACCCGTCTGCGCTCAGAGGATATCTTCCACCAGAGGCAGCATTTCCCCGGGCCTGAGCACCGGACCACCGCCCTCTCGGCGCAGTCAGCATGCCTAGTGGTCGCTCTCGTCTCTTTCCCCCAGCTGTTGCAGCAGGACGCCGCGGCCATGAAAGGCATCGTTGGGAGGTTCTTTGCGGATCGCTGGGCCATCTCGCTGTTCCCGGGGTTCGCTGTGGATCTGTCGCAAGCCTGGGACCGCTTTGGGGCAGCCAGGAGCGCGCTGAATGCACAACCTCTGTCGTCAGTCAAGGCCCTGGCTCAGGCATACAACACAAAGGTGAGCCGCTGTCGCATCTCCCTACATGCAATATGGTTTGTTGTCAATGAGGACTGAAGACTTGAGTTGAAGAGGCGAGGTTAAATGACTCATTAAAGGAGGGCGTCTTCTGTCTCAATAAAGGAAATCTGGCGGGTCCCCATGTCTACAATTCCAGCATCTTTCCGGAAGCTGCCTGGTATGTTTCCCACGAGCTCACGAAGAGGCACAGCTTCTGTCCTACGCATAGTGGTTCCATCTGAATTCCTGAACAAGAATTCCTTTTCACCGCCAGAAGGCCTCTCAATCAGACACTGCCGGTCGGCGGTCCTGACTTACCCATATCCTTCTATCCGTCGAAGTGGGGTTCCTACTTGCTTTTTGAGCTGAGAACGATTGGAGCGACACATTTCGACCTTCCTGCAGGCTCGCCAGCTGTTGCTCGACCTCAAGAGCGAGCTAGCGGAGGGTGTCCTCGCCTCGTCCTCTCTGCTGGGCGACATGCCCCGCCTGCTGCGCAAGCTGCGCGACGCCAACGCCACGCTGCGCTGGCTCCTGCTCCACCGCACAGCCTCCGCCAACAAAAAAGTCCGAGACACCGTCCGCTCCGACCTGTCCGACGCTGACATCATCGAGCTGCTTCTTGACACCGCCCAGCTCGAGTCGCTGGTCAAGGGGCTGTACCAAAAGCTGATGGAGAGCAAGCCGGCCAGGTGGCAGCGCGCCAGCGAGGCTGTCGCTCGGGGACTGGAGGAGATGGGGCAATTGTTTGGGGGGGGTGCGCCGCTTTTGCCGAGCATGCAAGCGTCAGCCGACCCCCGGCTCGCGCAGTGGTTTGGCGAGCTGGCGGCAGCGGTGCGTGGGCTGGAGCTTGGGGCGGCGGCGAAAACGGCGCGCAAGCTGCAGAGGATGACGACCGCACTCGAGGAGGCGGGGCAGCTGCACCAGGTCGAGGCGAGCGGGCTGCAGGTAAGCCCATCCAGACTTCCTTGAGGTGCTGGAATCAGACTGGTTGGAATACGCATAGGTAGTAATTGGATAGAGGAGCCAAAAGGTTCGTGCGTTGCTGGACAAGATTTAAAGTCGGGAGGAATTTGACTTGAGAGCTTGTCTGAGAGATGGACCGAGCTGGGGAATGTCAAGGAACGCAATGTCCTCGGCCGACTCTGAGCTTGTAAGTGCGATGTCAATTGTATATGATCGAGGGTGCAGATCGAACCAAGGCTGCGCTCTTGGTGTTGGGGCGTTTCGCGTTACTAAGCAGATACTCGGACATCACGTCTTAAGGTGTCGCTGGATTTCCTTCGTTTGTTCTTCCGAAACAAACAAACTTACGAAGTTGGGCCATTAGATATAAAGGGACAGGTTGCGCAACCTGCCGTTCGCCACAGTGTGATGACGTGGCTTCCATGCTGCCCGCAGGCGCGGCACTTTCTGGAGGAGCTGCGGCGGCAGATGCAGGACATGGTGCGCACCATCGGCATCAGCGAGACTACGCTGGCCACACTGGCGGTAGTCGGCGACGATTCGTTCGCATGGGGGATCATCCAAGAGCACACCCCGCTGCTGCACCGCCTGCTCGAAAAGGACCCCGGGACTCTGCCACGTCTCCAGTGTTGGTTTCTGAAGCTCCGGTCGGTTTTGGACTTGCCCCTCCTGCGGCTGGGCCAAGTGGGCAGCAAAGATTTGTACCCAGTCTCGCAGTTCTACTCGAGCCAGTTGATAGATTACATAAGCTCCGTACTGGAAGTGATTCCCGGGAGGATGGTTAAAGTCGCCGTCGGGATCGTGGCGAAACAAGCGGAGAAGATGGGGGAGGTGCCAACTAGGCTCGAGAGGGCCGCCGTGCCGGGACACGTGTTAGCCGAGGAACGGTTACAGCTGGCGAGAGCCGCACGCCAGCTGTCGGCGCTCTCCTCTGGCGTCTTAGCGATGGAAGGGGTTTCGATAGGAGTGATTCAGCTGCGGGCGAAGAGCCTGCTAGAGGACGGACTGCGGAACGAGCTGCGGGCGTGCATTGTTGGCACGTGCAACGACTTCCGGATAGAGGGGGGCAAGGAGGGCTTGGAATCGCAGTTGGCTGCGTTGCGGGCGCGTTTGGGTGCGCTGCGGCGCGCTTTTGAGATCTGCCAGGACCACATGCGGGTACCGGTCGTGATAATTTGGGACGAGGAGTGGAGGACGTACATACGGGAGTGTGCGCTGGAGGAGCAAGCCGTGCGAGGCGCGAAGAGCACCGTTGCCAAGGACAAACCTGCTTCGGGCTTCTTTGCGAAAGGGAAGCAGTCCGGTCCTACAAGCTTCTACGGTCAGCTGTTGCATGCTGTTTTAGCGCTGAGCGACCCAGCCACGAGCATGTTCCTGCGCCCCGTCTCCGGTTGGTTCGACGCCAACGGCGAGAAGCGCGTCGGGCTGCAGCTGTGGGCCGCACTCCGCAAAACCGTCGGCGTCGAGGGCCTGACGTCACTCGACCACCTGCTGGCCGTCCGAGCGCAGGCGAGCCTGCAGAAGGCTGCTGACGTGGCAAGCGACCTGGCGGGCGGGGACGCGTCCCCCGCGCTCGAGTCTCTGTCCAAAGCCATAGCACCCTTTCCGGGTTTGCCGGAAGACGGCGCGAGGCGGTACGCGGAAAGCGGGCCGTGGCAATTTGGTGAGCTGGCGCAGGCGTTGGCGGCGGTGGGGCAGGCGGTGCTGTTGCGGGGACAGGTGGCGGCGGAGCTGGCGGGCGGGGTGAGGCTGGAAGGGGGAGGCCTCGCGGGGGCGCTGCAGGGCCTCGACGAAGCGACCAGGGTTAGCGTGCACATGCGCACCCAATCGAGGTGCGCATCTGCACTCAGGTCAAGGAAGTAGCGTCAGTTCTGTGCCTGGTGAACGCACTGCGCCTTCCTGGACTCTCGAACGATATTGTCAGGTGGACATGGAGGAGGGCTTGTGTGCAACAAGAGTCGTTCTTGTCGAGCACAATTCCGCTCAGATCAAGATGCTTTTCCACCCAGATCGAGATCCTTCTCGGTGCTCAGATGAGTGACTTGAAGCGACCGCTCCAACAATTCTGACTCGTTGTCCTTCAGGACTCCTCATCTGGCGACCAGCCCGCCACCAGACCCCGTGCAATCGCCCGCTGATCTGTCTTCCGTGGTCGCCCTCCGGCCCCTCCTCGAGCGCAGCGGCCTCGGGGACCCGCAGCGGCAGCCCCTGTTGCGCATTGTCGGGCCGCCCCGCCTGTTGCCGCTGTTGTTGGCGCTCTTCACCATCGCTCAGCTGGAGCGATACGTGTACGACGAGCGCCTCGCCGCGCTGGCGCACCGCAGCAGAAAAGCGGCCCTCGACTGCGCGCCCCTGGTGAGGCCCCTGCGCGACAGCCGTGCTTCGGATACATTTGTGCGTGCTTGGGTGTGTTGCGACTTTTGGTTTCAGTTTGGGAGCTGACGCGATAAGCTTTCCTGTTTTTGCTCCTGAAGAGTGTGAGACCGAACAGCGAACTCTTTTGCCGTGTAGTCTCGCAAGGATAGGGCTCGAAAGTCATGTTTCGCAATTGCTCTGGTCATATATGGTTTGCAACATTGCTCTGATAGTTTTCTATGCATGTTGACGCCCTGAACCTCTGCGGTCGTTGCTTGCGTTAGGTCGTCGGAATGGTCACCCTCTTTGGGCATCTCGAGAAGCAACACCTGCATACGTACCTTCGGGTAAGGAATTGCGTCCGCATCGACTCCTATGCTCTATCATTACGTTGTCAGGTCCCAATAGCCATCTCGAATGCTACTCGTTACATCTGCCTTGAAATTGACCTAAAGCCACTGGATCTGTAAGTAGACCTGGATTGCCTCCTGACCTTACTTTCTAGGTCTGTAGCTTGTCTCGATCCTCTGTGCAGAACCAACCCCTTCAAAGCCGCCCTTCTATACACATAGTTCTGATTGAGATCCTCAGCGTCTTGAGAGTCCGGCGATCTTCTTTTCGCCAGGTACTGAGCCAGTACGTTCGTATCAACGTTCTTCAGTCGGCGGCTAAAAGGGCGGTCGATACGAAGAGGAACAGCTCTGTCAGCTTCTCGACAGAAGTAAGTGGAGGATCCCATTGATGGTGCTCACGAGCAACTAATCACGGCATTGAAACGAAGACATAGAAGATACTTGACCGATCTAGTCGTCCGTTTGCTAGTCTGTGCGTTGGGCAATGCTCCGACATGCTTGCACTTGTCGCTTTTATTTCGCGCAGGCAACAGCAGTCAGTATTGACGGTTCGCCTACAAAGCAATCCAAACGAAAGACTTGTCCTGTTGCAGGCTGTGAACGCGGTTGCTTGGCTGGAGGAGATGTGCCACTACGGAGGTGTCTCGAAGGACCATCTCCTGACTTGCATTCCTGCTGTGTTACTGGACCTGATTCGGACTGGAAGTCGAGGTTAACAAGATTCAAAGTGTATGCCCTCGTCAACCCAGATATATAGCGCTCAACACACTTGCTGGCAAGTTTCAGTTTAAGCGTACTGATCGACAGAGATCAACGGCACCTTGCGGTCAATGACACAGAATTTTGTGTCACAATCACACCAGAAGTTGCGATTTGAGCCTAAAGAGATCCCAACAGTATACAGCCACGTCAATTGAGCTTTACACCCATAGCTGCAGCATATAAGAGTACGGCGACAAGATGTACCAAAAGGTGAAAGCACCAATGGATCTGGTGAACCTTGTACGCTTTTCTAATCGGGCGCCCTTTGACACGTGGTTGCGTGCAAGACATCGGAAATTGCAGATGTGGGTGGAACTGATTGACACTTGCATAGTCCGTAGCTGATTGAACCCATTGAATCGTCGATCACCAAACGGGAGTGGAACCATTTTTAACTGCATTCTGCGGACAATCTCGACCACAAGGCTTCTTCTTATATACACGTGTTTTCTGTTCAACTCGAGTCACTATTCGAGCAAAATTGGGCACTTAACGCCGACGGGGTAGCTGAGCATATTTTCGCCTAGCAGCTGGCATGGGCGGCCCATGCACTCAGTCACGAGTACCACGCAGGATTGATGCCAGCCGCGCGCGCAGAGCAGAATGATCTTGGTTGCATGAAATGATGACCATGCAGGTGCCAGCAGGCTAGATCATGCAAGGCTTGTAGTAGGCGACTGCCGGCCTGCGCTTACATGCGGGGTCATATGGTGATGACTAGCTACAGCTCCGAGTCAGCTCCGTAATATGCACCCGGCCAGCCCAGCCTAAATACACATCATCCAAAAATGCACACATGCTCAGGCGCCGCGCGACAGCTTGAACCATCAAACGGTTATTGAGAATCACCGTTGATTGTAGCTGCAGTGCTCTTGTTCAATTTCGCAGTCCGCGCGTGATGACCTGAATCCTCAAATTGTCTTCAAAGTACAGAAAGGGACGAAGCGCCGCACACAAAGCCGCATTGAAAGCGTGAGCACGCTTGATCGGCTACGTTAAATTTGGCTGCAAACCCCGGTCACACATTCCGCTCCCTTATAACGCTTATGGTATCGCGACTTGCACGATATCAGCGAGTAAACAATGCTCTGACGTTAGTCTACACTGTACCGGCAGCTCGCCACTCGTCCCAGCGTGACCCTCAATCGCATTGACTGCGTATAAACTTGCAAAGCTGGACTCAGGCTGTGGCTGCCTCGCATGACCTCACGCAACAGTCAGGTAGACCATTTCCCCATTCGGTCTACCTGATTACTTCAAGTAAGGTAGACTGATTGTTTGGAGGCGCAAGAAGAATCTGAACACCTTGATCTGCCAGTTTTGACGTACGTGGCTAATAACAGTCGCCTCAAGTAAGCCTCAAATATTACCTCGTGAACTTATCAAGTGTTGAGTAAAAGCTGTCTTTGCGAGCTCGCAGCTAAGGGGGGCATTTTGTGTCACCAATTTAATGCTGTCCGTATCCAATTCTAGAAAGAATTTGCGCGCACGTGTGTAACCTTCTGTAAGCTCAGATTGACATCGATGTAAGTGCCAAGAGTCTGACCAAAGATCAATACGAAATCGTATAAGAAAAAACTGCTGAAATTCAAGAGTATCTGCAAGATATAAGCAATGGTATCAATCTATGTACCCCCCGCACGTTGCCACTATGAGAACGGTGTCTACCAAATCTCGTGGTCTCAGGGCCTGAACGTCGGCGCTTGCTTTCCGCCCCACGTCAGCTCGTACAGGGCCCTCGGGATGAAGTCCCGATAAGGGTCCTTGGCCCTTTTGTCGAGGAGGTACGCGATGCAGCCCTGCAGCTGGGCCTTGACTTCCGAGTACAGCTGCTTCACTTGCTCGCGGTCCTTGCCCACCCCGGCCTCCGCCATCCCTGCACAAGAGTAGAGTTCTCGTGAGAGGGCAAGAAAACGAGAAGCAAGAGAGCATTGACAGCCACCCACACGACTGCGGGCGACGACACCTAATGAAGTAGGTACCGAAAAGGCAGAAGGCGCCCACTAAGATCCATCCGCCCAGCCGATGCAAACCTTACTATTAAATCGAGCGAAAAATCAATTCGCCTGTTTTTAGGACGATTGAGACGCCAGAGGTAGAATTGTGCTTTAGAGCGACTCCACAAAGTCAAAACAGTCAACCCCAAAGCGCCCAAAAGATACTGAGCAGCATAGGACAGAGGACCAAGAATGGGGTCCCCGAGAGAGCCAGCAAGAGACAAAGGGATGGACCCGCACCTCGCGTAACGATGGGCTTGCCGAACAGGAAGTAGTGGCGAGAAGGCAGCTTCGGGGCGGGCAAGGGGGCAATAAAGCGCTCCGCCACGCCGGTCCTGTAGGAGCAACGGCAGAGAGACTCAGAAAACATACGTCCTAAGACATCAATTCGTCGAATGCACGAAATTCACTACAAGAAAAATGAAATTGTTCATCGTTTGCAGTGATACCTTCTGCAAACCGCGCACAATAGCTGCGGCTACAGAAGCAGCAAGATAGGGCGCCAGGACAGGAAGCGTTGCTGCGCACCTGACGTTCGGGATGCTTTCCGCCTGCTTCCTGACCCGGTCCCCGATGATGGGCAGCTTCAGTATCTCGTCAGGACCCAGCAACTGCGCCAGCCACAGATGACGTCAGCAACCATCGTCACGTAAGAAAGCTCAGCCCCAAGGCTCTCAGAGGAGCGTCCAACGGGAGGCTAGCCTTCGCACTACCCGTCATACTGTGGCGAAAAAGAAGCGCTTACACGATAGGTGGAGCATGTAAACTTTTGGCGGGGACGTCACAGCCTCTGAGAGACCGCAGAGCCACGAGGGATCGACGAGATTAGACGCCCTCCTTTCGTTACTCTCAGATGAGAAATGCGTATGTCCCCAAACACGGCGAGTGTCAAGAATACCGAGAAACAGGGGGTAGCAAAAGGCGCGACTTGACGGGGGGCTCACCAGGTCAATACTGTCTGCCGAGCCGACCCCCGCAATGGGCACGATGGTGGCGCCGAACTTGATAGCCATGCGCACGAACTCGGGCTGATCCGGCCAGAACAACTGGTACGCCTCGTTCTGCGACCGGAGATTAGGGGATTGATGAGACGAACGCGAGAAAGGGTTGGGAACTGGTGTGCGGGGTGGTATATACAGATTGCTCAATTAAAAGTTACCACAATAAGCATGTAAGGCCGAAGCGGTTGGTAATATCCTCGTAGAAGGGTGTCCCCTAAAGCAAGGGATGCCGGCTGATCCAAAGTAGCTCAGCAAGAGAGGAGAGCGCTTCCGAGACGTTTGAGAGTCTCAGGCGCCCCCTGAAGAGTGCCGTTGCCATTGCAAGCTCACGACGGCCCCCGACCCTTCGCCCTGGTTCGCTTAACGCTGATGCGCGGCCGGCTGCGCTCACCTTGCCGTGGTACGCCTCCCGCACCCCACCCGGGTACAGCAGGGCCGCATCCCTGTTCTGGAGAAGCTTGTACAGATTCGGCCCAGTCGCCTGCAGCGCAACGATCCGCGTTCAGCGCCAACCATAGTGATGAGCATTAACAAACGCCAGAGAGGTTGCGGGTCCTCTGCAGGCAGCACGATTGCGGCAACTCTGAGCATCGCGTCGTTCTAGTTTTCGCTCGAGCTCTCTCGAGAATAGCACCGTGCGGACAGGGTTTTTAGGGGGATAACGTCCTTTGAAGCTGGCTTTCGGCTGACTCACGTTTACGGCGCCGAACGTTTTGAAGAAGTCTGCCAGCTGGTTGGGGTCCTGGGTGGCCGCCGCAGGGTTGGACCCCATCACGGCCGGATGCGCTGCACGGAAGAGATATGTTACGTTTCATTCTTTGTAAATTCATTCAGCCCGGCGTCTGACTACAAGGGAAGCGAGCCAATTGTGGCCGGCCGGTTTGAAAGGCCACTAGCTGGCTGGACGAACGAACGACACCAGAGTTGTCAAAGGCATGTTCGGTGCTGGCACGTGCCTCCTAATTGCCATTAAGTTCTTCACCGGTCAACTCGATCGGTTTGAGCGCAACAAGAGTCCAACACGCCAAAGACCCCAGCATTCGGTATTCGGAGCAATATGGCAGAGCGTGGAGACACGTGAGCGCAGTGCGGAGAAACCTCTGACCGCAAAAATAATAGATCTTATCCGGGCCAAAGTGAAGGGGGCGTGGACTCCAGGCTCCAGTCGGTCCCGGCGCTCTTACCTAGTCCGCGGAGGAGGAGGCCCTTCCCGGTCAGCACTCCGTCCACCAACAGGCCCAGATCGAACGCAAACAACTGCAAAAACGAGTGACGTGAAATCAATATGCACAGGCAAAGTGAGCGCAACAACAACTCTGCAGGCTTTTGAAATTGTTCACATTTACTTAGTACGAAGTCCTGCCTCCGATCTGTCATTCAACGAATCGGTGACAGGATCTGAAGGGAAAAGTAAAGGTCTCCCCTGGTAAGAAACACGAGACGAGGAGTGAAGTCCAGTCACCTATCTCCTCAGCATTGCTCACCTGGTGGTTCCCGACGAACAGAAGCGGTCGGTCATCGGGGATGCCATCGAAGCCCTGCACCACGGTGCCGTCGGACTTGGTCGAGAAGAAGACGGGGCTGGTGGTCTTCTGCAGAAACCTGCAGAAATAGCAAAGGACGGCGTCAAACGACAGAACCTTTGTCCGACCAGCTTCTTTGAGAACCGCCAAGGAACACCCACGTTGGGAGTCATGTTGCTGAGCCGGTATCATCCCGGAACCAGTCAGCGGCTGTACACAACTTGCTCACAGGACAAAACGAGCCGGAAGGGGTCCGCGGTTGGAACGCAACAGGTCGACGTCAGCGAAATGAGTCCCAACTTGCACAATTGCCACTCTCAATTGATCAACGGGTCACGGCCGCGAACTCACTCGATGGCCCCCTTGCGCGCCTTGTCTTGCTCCTGCGGCGTGGGCGGCACGAAGCCCGAGATGGGATTTTCATCGGCGCGGGAGCGGCGGTAAAAGTCTGCCGTGCGGATATTGCCCACCAGGTCCACCCCCTCCAGCAGCAGCGTGTGGCCGTTGTTGTCGAAGCGGCGCACCTTGCACCGCGCGAGCGCCTTCTGGAGACGGGACGCCTCGTCGCGCGACGGCAGCAGCCCGTCCTTGCCGCTGGGAACGAGAGAGCGCAGATGTGGGCGGGCGAACAAGCGGTAAGAGGGGTTCGTGGCGGCCGACTAGAGACTGCTCTCGTCAAGGGGAGGCTGAAAATGTCCTCTCGAGGAAGACCTTTCCTCTTCAAATCTCGCAGAACGGAGGGGGTACATATCGAAAAGACGTTTCTCTTCTGAGAGAGGGTAAGTGACGATTTCCGAATAGAAATAGCTTCTCAATCCCTTCACAAGGACCAAGCCCAGGGTCCAGCAGCGGGGCTCACCTAGCCAGGACCAGCACTGGCGCTTTGACCTCCTTCAGCCTCTCGTTTGCGTACTCGCTACCAACCTTCAGGAGGTCCAACCGGTGGTCGAGGGTGCCACGTGGCAGAATGTCAGCCATAACCTGCACCGTTAAAAAGGGACAACCTCTTAAGGGTGACGACAGGAAAATCTACCAACAGTAGGTTTGATTGTCGAGCAAGGCGCGAAAGTCAATTTCAGAATCACCACAGAAGATATCATTATGGTGCCTGATTCAGCCGACAACGTTATGACCACAGTCCTGACGTGCCGTCGTAGTAACGACGTTCACAGCCGCAATACGTCAGCGACAACTTGAGAGGACCAATGGGAAATGACTTTGGAGAGAAAGTTTCGAGGATGACAAAGTTGCGGCACAAACAAAGTCAAAATTCTGACGCTTCGCAGCAGATAACATACCGAGAGCGATGGGAGCTGACGGACGAGCCAGTCTGCGAGCGCCTGGGCCTGTTGAAGGGGGGGGAGGCCTTGCTGGATGGTGGCCAGGGCCATCTGCACGGGGTCGCCTGCGCAACCAGAGAGAAAAGCTCAGGTTTGTGTGGAAAACAGGGAGGTGCTACGCAGTACATGCACATTTGTGCTGTTGTGGGTTTGTCGAGCAATCTGGAAGGGACTCGTCCTCGTGTACATAACGAAAAGCGAGGGGAAAGCTGCCGAAAACAGTATGATTTGTGCAGAAGCCTCCTGCATAAAGTAGACGTTCACAACAGCGGAACATCCACACAGCAGCAAACCTGGTGATTCCATCGATCCAGTTGGTGGGCGCTCACCCAAGGTGGTGCTTAGCGCGAACGGGACCAGGCGGTACGCTTCGTCGGGCAGGCTCTTCAAGAGAGGCAGCAGAGGCTGGAGGCTGGAGCGGGCAAACGCAGTGGCTGCACCAGCAAACACGAAGATGACCTCAGCTTGCTTATGATGCGCCAACGTTTGTTCAGAAAGTAAAAAACGATGTAAGTGACATTCCAACAATCTGTTCACAGAGGGTTACCGTCTCAATGCGCCTCAAAAACGGTTTGGCTTGCCGAGCATTTGCCGACAAGGTTTGACAAGCGAGATTTACCTGGATTGACGAGGACCAGATGGAGGTACACGTCTGGGTTTCTGGCCGCCACTGCCAGCGCGAGTACCCCACCAAAGCTTTCGCCCATGAGGTAGATTGCTCGGTCCGGGTTTCTAGCTGCTTCCTGCTTGACAGTCTCATCCACAAATCTCACCAGGCCTGCAGCAAGGAAATCAAGCTGGTCAGCCCGCACTTGATTCTGGAAAGTTGTCAATTCTATGAAGCATTACAAGCAAACGAAGCTCTGCCCTGTAGTTCACAAGACCAGAAAAAGTGGGTTACAAGCGTAGATGGCAGACTAACAACCAACTTAACTCACCCTCAAACCCAGTTCGATCTTGCGCTGGAGTGTGCATACACCAAAGCTCGAAGCGCCTGCAAAGAAAAGAAGCCCATCAGCCCAAAGGGAGGCTTGAACGCAAGTTGGTGTCAGGGGCAATCAACGGCCGCCCTGGTCGTTAAGGCTTCGGAGACATCATCAAACCCCTCACTGCAGTATAAAGCTTTTCTTACTCTTGGCAGACACGAACTAGGAAGCGGCGAAGAAGCTCAACGATTGGAAAATCCTTGTGATGTCAGAAACCAACAAGTCTTTCAAGCAACAAGGATGCTATGATGATAGAAGTAAAACGTGAAGAGCTCGATGTGGTGGTGGCATCATCAGCCAAATTGTCTTTCCATTCTTTTTGAGAATACTGCACGTTGCCAATGGCCTGCTCAAAATTGTTGAAACTCTCTGCTTCCAATGCCAAGGTGGGCCCAAACAGGCACCTTTGGGTGCTTCGCGGGGGATACACCTGTTGAATGTATCACAGCCCAGCTCATTGAAAAGCTTGAAGCAAGGCAGAAACAATGAGCAGTGAACACTTGAAATGGAAGCAGAGTGATCTAGGAGAAAAAGTACGAGCTCAGTTTCATGATACCTTACTCAGCTATAGCTTCTTCCTGAACGATTGCGCCGAGACCCGTCCCATCGATGCCCGGAAGAAACAGCATGAGCGGTGCGTTCGGGAAGGGCGGCTTGCTGTCGATCGGCGAGAACCATCGCGACGGCCCCCCATCAGGCTTTAGGTACTCTGCCACCAGCTGCAGCATCCCCTGTTTTTCGCTCATGGCTATTTGCGCCTTATCAGCCCCCTTTTTCGTCTCTGCCTTGGACTCCGCCAGATCATCGATCAGGTCTAGACTGTCATTGCTGGACGACCCCACCGACAGCTCTTCTGATCGCCGCAGTCTGTCCAAGTCCGCAGCTTTGCTCTCTACGGAGCTCTGCGTGCCTTCCAGCACCCATGCCTTTTGACTATCACGGTCTACACCTAATACTGCCTGGCTCTTCTGACTTTGAAACTTTGGTGGCGCTCGCTTACGGCCATGGATCCCACCGTGCTTACCACCTTGCAAAAGCTGTGGTGGCATCCTTTGAATACCGCAGCTTCGGAACAATAGACTCTGCAATGGTGTGGTCAACGGCGATGCCACCTGACTTGTTGAACACACGTTCCTGATGACGGTTCTGCCAGACCCGTGGGCCCGCGCCACAATCTCCATCGTGGGCTGATCACAGATCTGAAGTTGTTCCTGCTAGTGGTTGCTGCACAACCTAATTTTCTGCTTTTTAGAAGCTGATGGTGCTTCCTAAGGCTATGATCACAAGCTTCAAGGACGACACAGTCAGTTGAAAATCTAGCGAGGAAGTACCCTACCGAATCAGTGATTGGATAAGAGCTCTTCTTTTGCGTCCTGCAACCTGTTGCAAGCTGATCTCTTCAAAGCTGCTTTAATTGAATCGGCTTGCATGATGCCAGCTACTACCTTGCTGCGATAACCGAAATACTTCACACTGAGACTGTTTCGAAGTTTCACAATGAAGTAGCATTTAAGGTGAATAAGACCCTACTGTTGGACATATCCGAGGCCTTCGATATCTCAGAAGTGCATCCAACGGTCCTTCGATCTTGGCAGGTTGCAAATCGTAACCGTCAACTGGCAACTCGAATCGGACGCTTCACATCAGATTGAGGCGTCTGCCGGGAACGCGTACTCGCTGCTGATTGGTCAAGGTTTTGGATATTCGTTGCGTGAGCAGCACACGCCGTTCGCGAATCCGACGCGAGGACGCTTCTGATCCGCTCAAATGCCGCCATGCAAACCAACCGTCCTCTTCGGGCCCTGCGGGCTTCATGGGCTTGAGAACCCATACAAAGCAGATAACTTGAAGAGGAAGGCTCCGGCACAGGTTCTCAAGTCCAAGAAGCAGAAGTGGCCAGCCTGACTCAAGTTCAAAGAGCAAACCAAGTTTCTTGCACTGTTTGTTGCTGGCGCTGGCGCTTGCTATTCAGGCAAGCTGGGGAGGACGACTTCTGTGCAAGCACTGCTGAGGTCTGCAAGCTGCTGAGCTTATCTATTGACGTATTTAACGCCTTGCTTCGAGAAAGTTTTCAGGTCCTTTGTGATACATTAGTCGAGTCTTGCAAACCCTTGAAACAAGAGACTTTCAATCACTTGGCAAAATGGCCGCGAATACAGAGTCAAAGCATACTTCCATAGCCATTCCTGACCCGGAGCCTCTTGATAGACAGGCAGATGTCCCAGCATCCCCGAGCCCCTCAAGTGGATCAGAGGATCCGCTGCACCCCTTCGGCCACAAGCATTACAGTCAGAGGGCGCCATGGCTGCGAGCAGCGGTGCTGGGGGCGAATGATGGACTGACATCGGTTGCATCAATCCTGGTAAGGAACTGACCCATTCAAATGGCTGTGGAATCAGAGAACAGGTGCTCATTGATAGTGTCTTGGCTCATATTGGAAATAGCTTTTTGTCTTACAGCTCACTGTTTTAACACCAGTCTTGTGCGTGACTGTGACTCACTTATGCAGGCCCTCAGCTCGGCTGTGTATGATGCTATAAGAGCATCTTTTGATCAGTCAACAACGACAAGAGGTCAAGCCAGCTGGTTGCAGTCGCTACCATGCAATCAGCACCTGTATTTCTGTCTTGCAGTTCTTCCACTTTTGCTCCAGACAAATATGTTTCTCGCCACTGTCTTTACTTGCTGAGAGAGGTCCTTTTGATGCAGATTGGTGTGGGAGCTGTCAAGTCTGATGTCAAGGCCATGCTGATCTCTGGACTCGCAGCTCTGATTGCTGGGGCATTGTCAATGGCAGCAGGTGAGTGGTTGAAGGGAGACATACATCATGTGCTCAGATTCCTGTGAATGATGTTAGCACATCTCACGTGATAATTGCATGCTTGGGTGTGCCTACTAGACATTGGGAGCCTCTTCATCTCCAGTTGCCAGCCCCAGGGAGCAACTTTGTTTGGCATCATCCTGCCTATGTTCTTGTTTGGACAATCAACCTGTTCTTGTTTGGACAGGCGAATACGTCTCAGTCTCCTCCCAAAAGGACACTGAGAAGGCAGACCTCAGGGCAGAGATTGAGGAGCACAGCAAGGGTCCAGAGTACGTCCATAAGGAGAAGCTGGAGCTTGCTCAGATATATGAGGACAGGGGCCTATCAAAAGCTTTAGCATGGCAGGTGAGCCAGTTCTTCTACACTTTGCACTGACTCCTACCCTATCTTGCACAAAGGCATCAGGTGTTGAAAGTCATTGTTGCAGTCACAGAAGCCTGATTGCTGGTAAGAGAAGAAACTGCTCATTGAGGCATCCATGAGTACTTGAGGTGGAATCGGTGTGTGTGACGCAGAAACAGGTCACGTTATGGAAGCTGGTTCTATCTGCTGCACGCTCTATCTACATTGTAGCCTTCGTTTTCCGAAACTCCCTGATTCCCTATGTCAATATGGATAGGTTTTCTAAAGTCACTCTGGGCTGCTTGTTCTGGATCTCTTGAAGGCCTGGCAGGATCCACTCAAAGTCGTTAACGTGCTCCAAATGTTTCTTTGATCTTTGACAATGTCGTCGTTTTCACTTAACGTTTTCTTTGCCGGGCCTCATCTCGGTCTGCTCCACCGTTGTCGTTGCCAGGTAGCAGAAGAGCTGTCTGCCCAGGACCCCATCCGCGCCCACGCCCGCGACGAGCTGGGCATCGACATGGACGACTTGTCCAAGCCGTGGCAGGCGTGCATCACGTCAGCGCTGGCCTTTGCGGTCGGTGCCGCCATCCCCCTGCTGTCTGCCGCCTTCATCACCGATTACATCACCAGGGTCATTGTGCTCATCATCGCCTCTACTTTTGGCTTCATCGCGATTGGGGCGACGGGCGCGTGGCTTGGGGGCGCGCCCCTGTTCAGAGCATCGCTGAGAGTCACAATAGGCGGTTGGTTCGCCATGGCAGTCACCTTTGGGATCCTCTACGGGTTTGGGAAGGCGCTGAACGAGAACACACACACTCTATAGCAACACCTGCAGTCTGCTTATCGTGATTCGTAAGTTGCAAAACGTGTGCAAAAAGGGCCCTTGTGTGCATAGGCTTTGCAATTGCGGGCAAGTACAAGCATTCTTTACAAGTAGCTAGACACAGGTGCATATTAGCCATCAGGCAGGTCGCCATAAGGCAGACCGGCGTATGCCATTTTTGGGCCTTCATTGAGCAAGCGTGTTCATGTTTGCTCAGGTACTTGTGAGCTGTGTTATGGATTGCTGAGAAGCTTGTACGGTTTTTAAGCTGAGCGCAGTCGCGCTTCATGATTCCAGACGATACATGCGTGACTCGTTTTTTCATTAAGCCATACATGGCCGATTCTTAGTTGCATTACCTAATTGTAGGCTTACTTCCAACGTACAGAAGCTTTTAACTTCTGCTGTCGATCCGCGATCTCGATTGCAAGTTGATGGATTATGTAGATCCTCGATCACTTCTGAGAAGAGTGTATAGTAGTACATTTGCTGCCCTGCACGTGACGTCTTGACCGCCCTACTACAGTAGCTCGTAAGCTTCCTACTAGATCCGTTGCCAATTGCAGTCAATGATCGACAACTATAGAAGAGACGATCATGAACGTGCATGTATTTGCGTGGCCCATGTCGAACGACTTTCAGCATGTGACTTTCAATATATGTACGTCTTCCAGATGCCCAGTGCACCTGAAAGACGGTAAAAATGTTGACGTCTCATATTTCGAACCACTGAGTACAGCTCTGCATCATTGCCTGCAATCTACTGTAGTTCAACTGCTGTTCATTCATATAGCGCACGTCTGATGAACGTAGGAGTACTTTCTCTTTGAATGTACTGCAGCTTTAAGCTATTCCACACAGTTGTCACCCTTCAAGTTGAAGCCGGCTTGGTGACAGACAATCTTACCGGGCCATTATTGCTTCCTGTGACGTCCAGCGGCAGGCTCGAGATACTGAACCTACATGGTGCACTTAGGTCCAGCTAGAGCAATCTACTGTAATTGCATCCAAGCCCTTATTCTGAACCGTTTCCAAATGGACACAATTGACCAGGCGCCGGAGAAAACACCATGCAAGATCGTGAAAGCAAATCTGTCAAGACAGTCTTGTGTAGTGAACAGTCTTGTGAGTTTCTGTGCATCTTTTAGTGTGCCGCATTGCTCTTACATATCAAAGGAACTTGCCACTCTCCTTTCTATAACTGCAAAGTCTCAGAGATGCAATTCAACACAAAGCCTCCATCGCATCGCGTGCGATGACGTGGTCTTCTAAAGAAAAGGTTTGTTGAGTGCCACTGTACAGGCCCACACTCTATTCCTGTCAACCTCATGACGCCGAACCTCAGCCGTGTTAGATCGTTCCAACTTCTTATTCTAAGAGTGAACGCTGTCTTTGCCAAGCACTGTTCTGACTCCACAAAACTGCGGGAGCTATTGACACAACTCCCTAGGGGCGCTGTGTTTTGCCGCCAAAGCAACCGCCACCATAGTGACCGCTCTGCAGCGAACCCGTTACGGCGCCTCCCAGCCGTAGTTTTACACGTGGCTATTCGACTTGACCCCCTCCCATGTACATACACCTCCGGTAGACCCTTCGTACTTGCGATTAGCAGCTCCTGTTGCTCGCGCTCACTGCACAAGGTGGCCTTGCTCATCGACCTCCTCCCAGTCCAGCTCCTCCTTCTCATCGTCGATGGACGTCCGGATCTCCATCTTCGCAATTTGGACGGGCTTCTCGGGGTCGGGTGGGGACTGCAGAGCAGAGGGCGTCGATATCAATACCTCAATGCCCGTACGTCTGTTCGTTGTCGGCTGTGAGCACGTGTGCTTCAAACGAATTTGAGCGCAGATTCTTTCATGACATGCAAAGGATAACCTCTGTAAGATCACAAATCTTGGTCAGAAGTACGGGCAAAGAAGCAAAGATTCAAGCAATCACAAGTATGAAAACGTAAGAAAGATGTGGTGGTTTTCACCCGTGTGCTCACCCCGAAGCGGATGAGGGGCCAGTTGAGGCCCTCAAAGAAGGGGTGGGCTTTCAACTCGGTCGCTCCCTTGGTCGCCCCCAGTCGCTTATTGGGGTCCCTCTCCAGTAGCCCACGGATCAGGCGCCGCGCAGCAAGGCTGACCTGCAGGATAGGCACACCGGAAATATCGCGTCAAGGAATCAGCATTACTGAGCAGAGAAAATGCACACTTTGAAGAACCCGGCCTTTTCCAAAGAAGAGACGAAAAGTTTCAAACAGGAAAATGTGCAGGCAGTCTCTGAGTAGCCTCGGACTGACAATCCAGGGCAGTAAAAGATGATTAGAAGTCAGTTGCTCCAACGCACCTGGGGCTGGGGGGGGAAGGTGAGGTCCTTGAGGAGGATGTTGGTGAAGGTGCGCTGCCGGTTGCGCCCCCGGAAGGGCGTCTTCCCGTACAGCATTTCGTAGATGAAGATGCCAAACGCCCACCAGTCGACCGAGCCCGTATGGCCGGACCCGCTGATGATCTCCTGCAGAAACAGATTCGCACAAGCAATGAGTCTCTCTCACTGTTGCGGCCGCTGAGCGGGGGTGACCTCATGCCGCCACGCAAGATTGGACAGGAACGGTAAGGACCCAAGATATCGCGCTCGATAGTACGAGCGAGAAACCCGCCCTGTTTTCTGCTTCGGATTGTTTGCACTCCCAAGGCGCCTTACGTCCAAATAACTCATCTCAACAACTTTAGGCAAAGTAATCACCCCAGGGAAATCTGCTGCTGACCTTGCAATCGTTCAAAACGTGTTCAGGCGAATTAATACATTACTCAAGCGCCTTCAAAAGCGTCAGAACATCTTCCTCAAGATCAAAACCAACCGAAGGAGCTTATTTTAGACGCCGAAAAAGGTGGTGAGAGCACATACCGGCGCGATGTACTCTTCCGTCCCCACGAAGGAGTTCGAGTTGGTGGTGGGCTCCGCCACGAGCTCGGGCCGGATGCTCTGGGCGGCCTGCTTGCGCTTCTTCTTGCCGCCCACAACCGCGGGCCTCACCAACTGCCACCACAAACGAAGACTTATGTCAGAGGAAAAGAGATGAGGCGTGTGACCGAGTGCATGGGTTATTCCCCCAGCACAGTGGAGCTCGGTCGAAACGAAGTATATAAAGAAAGGCGTGCTGTAGTCAGCAGCCAGTGCATCATAGGATCAGGACCAATCAAAGCAGGCGTTGACCTCGTCCTTCTCTCTCAAGCAGGGGCGCTCAAAGTGTCCCGTCAAGCGTCCAGTATCCAACCTGCTGGAACCAAAGAACACCTGCATAATGGCTCCAAGCAACCTCGTCCCTACAGAGGCGGGCATGGCGGTGAGGCGTGTCCTTACCATGGGGCTGGAGAAGGTGAGGAAGGACAGGTCGAAGTCCGTGAGCAGTATGTGGCCGTTCTCTTGCAACAACACGTTCTCAGGCTTCAGATCACGGTACACCACGCCTGCAGCAACCGTGGCAAGGGGTCAGCCCAAAGGAATGCAGAACGAAGTCGGTCCATTGATGATGCTCACGTTCTTCAGTAACCTGACTTGCAATCTGTCCCAATGCGTTTCTACACGGGGCTCTGATTGAGACGCCTGGCGCAGCAACGGGCCGGCTGCCAGGAGGGGCAGGGGTGCAGGGGCTTACCTTGGAGATGGAGATACTCCAGCGCTAGGAGCACCTCAGCAGCGAAGAATCTGCAGCAGCCACCACCGCAACTCGTCAACAGAGAAGCTTTCCCAAGTCACTGGAGGAAACTAATGTCTGAACAAGCGTGGTCACATCAGCCACGGCTCCCTCGCTTCAGTGCACAACTTTCTTCCATACGGCAGGACACGAGGAGCACCGGCGGAGTGCTTCACCTGACGACTTCTTCCGAGAACCGTTTCTGCGGCTGCTGCTCCAAGAGGTAGTACAGCTCCCCGCCTGGGCAGTAGTCCGTCACCAGGCACACGTGGGTCGCAGTCTGCACACGCAGTATTGCACAACAATCAGCTTCAGTGCGCACCCACAACTTCAGCCTGTCGGCGTACAAGAAAGCAACGGGTGCCATTATCTACGTGCACCTCGTACAGCATTGAAGAGTGGTCAGAACACTGATTTGACTGGACCATGCTTTGAAAGCAATGTTAGCAACTCCCAGCTCCAACCCCCGAGACAAGTGCCTTGCTTGTGCGCAGAGTGCAGGTTCTTATATGTGGGGCATGGCAGCAAACAACTCAAAGGCAAGAGGCAGCAGCATACCATAGATACTAAACATGGGAACTAAGTGCACATCACCGTTCAGCGCCTATTCCGCAGCGGCTGCTTCCTCGAAGCTCAAAAGCCTGAGAAACACATTATGTGCCTTTCCTCAAAGTTCTGCAGCTTGCAAGTTGCTAGCTTACCTGGAAGGACGCATAGAGGGTCGGCAGGAAGGGATGGTCCAGTGCTGACAGGATGTCCCTCTCCGTGATGGCACGGTGGACCTGCATCCGAGCACCGTTCAAGTTCAGACAACGGGCCCCACAAACAGTCTGGCCATATCTGTTGGTCGTTCCACAACGCGTGACTTCAGCCCCAGAACTTGAAGCCCCTGCCGTGTCCACAAATCGACGTTTTGCGTTCCGTAATTCATGGCCCATCGGCTAAGACAGGTCCCCAGTAGAGAATGGCTAGGTAGCTGATGAACAAGTGCCGAAGCTTCAGCAAGTTGGTAAGAGAAAAGGTCGAGGGCAGGCCAGCCCGTTGTGCGCACCTTGTTCCTGTTGACCATGACCTGCTTGTCCATGGCCTTCATGGCGAAGAGGTGCTTGGTCCCCTTGAGCTCCACCAGGTGCACGCTGCCCGTGTCCCCCGAACCGAGCGGCCGGATGGGCCGGAAGTGCCGCAGCCCCAACCGACCATCCTTCTGCTTGATCTGCGGCGCACAGAAAACAGCGGGTGAGAGAGGGCAAACCATGCTGATGGAGCGAGGAGCGAAGTTCAACTGCCTGTCCGGATTTGACGGCTAAATGAACGTCCAGCGTCAGCAAGACGGCACTTTCAGAAAATTCAAACAGCCAATCGATGCAGATACCAATGTCTTCTGCTGGGTTTGCAAGGCTTGGCTGGACCTTTGTCGTCAGACAAGTCTGCGAGCTTCTCCTGAAAGGTCTGTCCAAACAGACATACCAAGGAAGTCCACGTCTCCTAGGATAGACTAGCTCAACAAGACGCCCGACTGCTCACCTGCTTGATGACCTTCCAGGCCTCGGCGTCCCTCTTGTGGGGCTTGGTCAGCACGGGTTTGCTGTGGCCAGCCCAGACATCCTCGGGTCTCTGCATAGACGACGGATCATAGGACTCAGCCGCCAGCATCAAGCAAAAGTGACAGCACCATCCTCGTGCTACCGTCTTGTGCAGCGTGCTGACATTGACACTAACTGCTGGACAGATGATACAAAATACCTCAACCTCATAAGGAGAAGAAGAGTCTCGTAGGTAGCTCAGCAGGGTCATATGTGGCAAGAGCCCCAAACCCGACTGGCTCAAGTCCAACGATACCATGGTCTCTGCAACCCACCTGGCCTGGATCTGGGAGCTCCTGGACAGCCGCGGCAGCCTCCAGAGCAGAGTCCTTCACCTGTACGGTCGTCACCAGGAAGTCGTCAGACGCGATCAACCCTTTCCATGTTTACAATCTGGATCCAACTGCATATTCTTGCTGGATTTGAGGCTATTCCTTGTTCTAGGAGCATCAGAAACTACGCAAGACTTACAATGCTCTTCTGTGTTTCCTTGGTCTGGGGGGGCGCTTGGGGCGCCTGGTCGCCCATGGAGTCCCACGCACTGGCGTCAAGCTGCACTCCAATGAAGTACTGCAGCTCGCCCTGTAGAAACAACAGAGGGCATGTCTATGAGCGGTGCAAAGAAGGAAGGAAAGCTGCTGGTTGCAAATGAGTCTGTTCCAAACATCCGCTTCAAGAGCAGTGGCCCTGGGGACTACAGGGGAAGAGCAGCACCTGGGAAGGTTATCAATGAAGCGCCTGCTGACAATCTGTGTAGAGAACCACGTCACACGAAGGCTAAAATCTCACAGACAATCCTTCCAAGGGCCTGAGAGCGGTGGTCGAACACAGAAAAGTCCGCTGTGCTGCGGTGTGGGGGCTCACCCTCTTGTCACGGACTGGCTGCAGGTGGAACATGTTCCAGAAGGGCACCCCGCTCTTCTTGTAGTTGAGCAGCTGTACCGTGACATCGCGCTCCTCCTTGATAGCCGCCCGAATTTCATCTACCGTCTTTTGATCAGTCTCCGCCCCCTGAAGAAACCGGCAATTGCGCCCCAGGATCTCTTCTCTTGAGTACTCTGTCAGCGTCAGGAAGTCGTCAGAGGCGAAGATCTGCAGCAGGGGACAAAGAAGGATCAACAAAGACATTGACTTGAACGTCAGCGTCTGCTCAATCGTGATGTCTTTGCAGCAGCCAGGGCTTGGCATCTGGTAAAAGACAGGAACAGGAAGGGAGGGTGCAAAGACACCAGAAGCAACTTAGTCTGCCAGAGAAGCAAGCGCTGTGACAATGTTACACAAATCCTGCTCATTGGATGCAGGATCAAGTATGGCTTGCTGAACCTATCACACTCCCCTTGCTCGTCTGAAAACTTCGGTGAGAGAAAGCAACAGGATATGTCTGCAAATGGCTACTGCAATGTGCGCCGCATATCCCCCTCGAACATAATCGTGCCGCCACACGTTCCTTGCCCATACGATACTGAGACCTCTCTCTGGTCTCTCTAAGACCTCTCTCTGGTCTCCCTATGTCCACACTTTGTTGAAAGTTGCTACAGAAACTTGCAGAGTGTGCTACAGACAAAGTGCTCCGCACTTACAATGGGGTTATCCGGCAGGCGCGGGTCAGTGATGACGAAGTTTTTCTGGATACGCTCGAGTGTAGTGGCCAGGTCGAGCCCCTTCCTTTCCTCCGCGGCCCGGTCCTCGTCAAATGTGAGCGGGCCCTGTCCGTCAGGAGTGATGCCCTGAGTGGGCTGCAGTCCAGCATTGAGTGACAGAGACTGCGGCTGAGTGAGCGCCGCAATCGCTGCAGGGGAAGGAGAGTGCGGGCAATCAGCGAACAAGATAAAACCACAGCATTGAATCGTTTGAAATGAGGAGAAGCTGCGGAGGCTGGTCGATCAGATGCCAACAGAAACAAGAATATCTGATGTGCACTCTGCTTGTCGGTCTGGCGTTCTTCTAATGGATGCTGCATTTCAGGATGGCTTTCCTTTGCTGCCAATTGAGGCGCCTCCGCTCTTCTTCACCCATCTCTACCTTGCATTGATTAGACAAGATAAGAGTGAGGAACATGCTCCGCTGATGACTATTAGCGCTAGCCTGTAACAAGTGCATGATATAATGGTCAACAACTAGAGGCCCATTACAACATAGGTCACACAAACAGCATCAATGGTTCCAACTATCACTCCTAACTGCTCCAGCTTCGCTTGCGAAGATAGGCATGGGAAGCTTCTGGTGTTATATCCATTCTCCTTCAAAGCAGAAAAATTGTACACAGCCGCAAGAGTTGCACTCACAGGACTGCTCCTGCTGCGGCTTTCCCCCCGCCTTGAGCAAGTTGAGAAAGCCCGACGTCCGCCGTTTCCCGGCGCCCTCCCTCCTGTCAGCAAGACCGCCTCCATCCTCGTATAGAGTGGAGAGGTCATCATTCCCTGCTGCCGTCGGCGGCGCTGCTCCCTGGGGCAGTGCTGCCAGGAGGCTGGCCAGGCCCGCCCCTGGCTGGAACGGCTTAGGTGCCCCCTCCGCGGGCAACTTCTTGGGATTCTTCACAGCGTCCACAATGTCGAGGACCGACTCCGTGGCGCCCTGCTTTTGGCGGGCTGGAAGGGAGGACCGGGGGTGACATCAGCGAACCGCAGCCAGAAGCTTGAGCTTTTACAAAGCATTGGGACCGAGTCCCAACTGAAATCTCGGTGAGCTGGCGGTTGCTTCAGCAGTTTGCAGGCAAAGTCAGGGTGACGGGTGACTCACAGTCGTACTTGATGAGGGACGTTGACAGCCCGTTTGGCCGCATTGCCTTCTCCAGCTCGCCCTCAGTGAACTGAGTTACCTCCACTTGCATCCTGAGCACAAAAAGATTGCATTTCAGCCCCAGAGCAGGATTGAAACTCCTCAAGCAACTCTTCAATCAGATTAGCAAGTTGAAAAAGCGCAGCACTTGTTTCCATTGTTTTCGATGGCATCTGAAACGTCCACCTTGATAACCGCTAAGCAGGGCAGGCGCTCACCCAATGAATTTCACAACAGCTCCCTGCTCATTCTTGATTGGAGCTAGGGTTAGCAGGTTCCAGAAGGGGGTGCCGTCCTTCTTGTAATTGAGCAGCCGTCCGCAATGGCTCTCCCCGTTTTTGATGGCCCTCCGAATTCTGGCGACCTCCTCCGTGTCTGTGCCTGGACCTTGGAGAAAGCGGCTGCAAAATGGCACTAAGGCGTTCAGCTGCCAAACTTTGTGCCAAAATTAGATTGTGGCACCTATGCTATGAACCATCGGCACAGAATAGTCCTCTACGAAGCGGAGGCCTTCCAATCGCCAACTTTGAAAAGCACCGGCCCTCCAATGTCAGGGCTAAGGAACATCATTCTTCAAGATTTTCACCAAAGCAACAATGGAGACCCCGAATTCTATAACGGCAGCAAATGAAGCAACGAGGAGGCCCCCATAGCACATGAGTGTATTCTGCTAGACTCTTTCTAGACGAGAATCTTGCTCTTTCTAGAAGAGCACCAAACAGGCTGCTCAACAACTCTACAGACATCCCAATAATGCTTAGCAAGCACCTTATGGCATTACAGCTGCACTTGGCTGCAGAATACCATCTTGCTGATTTGACAAAAACCAATGCTGAGCTCGTCTGGAAGGGGAGGTGATTGCCCACAAGACGAGTCTGTGGCGCAGCCTGTGAGCTCCTCTAACCAATTTTGCTTGGACCACGAAGCTCAAGCCTTACACAAGTCCAAGGAAGAACCAATCTCCTAACAATGCTGACCCAAGGTGCCCAATAGAAAACGGTGCATCATGTCTTGGTGGCTGGTGTCTGCGAAATTCCCTGACTTTGAGGGGGTGTTTCTTTGGACATGACAGTAGAACTGCTAACCCTAAGCAAAACCAAGCCTTCAATCACCACTTAGGTGTTGAAGCAAAAGTCCCAGGCCAAGGCAGCCTTGAACTCAGTTGCCCCAAACTAATCAGAAAGCTGACGTCCCAATGTCTAGCTGCTCAAGACACCTCTCAGACGCAGACTTGAGGTGTGCTGAACAAAGAAGCAGGCTAGAAACTCTTGCCAGGCCCTAGCTCTCAGCCTCAGCCTGTGACTAGCAAGACCACCCATACAACTTTGCTACCACCGATTGTTGTCCTACCTCAAATGACGGGGGTCCTAAATGCACACAGGTTTACCATGCTGTATGCAAGTAACTCAACAAGCTTCAAACAGACTGTGCAGGAACCGAGAAGAGAGTCACATACTTAAGCAATGCAGAAGCCTCTCACCAATTTTTGCCAATGACATCCTCTGGTCCATATTGCGTCATCTCATAGAAGCCCGCACTTGCGTACATTATGGCCATATCCTTGGTCGCATCAGCAACCACAAAAGTATGCTTGAACGTGGAGAGAGCATCCTTCAAGTCATGAGAGATTCGAGGAAGATTCGTTGACCCCGAGCTTCGCTTGCTTCCCCCGTCATCGCTGAACTCTGCGCTGTTCTTTCCTGTGCCATTCACCACAGGGATGCCTCCTTTATCCCCAACATAGCGGGCAGCCATTCTAGCGTTGGTGTAATGCTACAACTTCAGAATGTAGCTGTTACCACAGGTTGCAAAGCACTAGACTGATTTTCATGCCCTTGGAAAAGGAGCATTGCCCGATAAGACCTCTCCTTCCCTTTTCACTTTGTACAGCGTGCTCCAGAGACCACTTTGCCACTCTGCATCAGGTCAGAGTCAAAGCAAACAACTCAAGAAAAGCTGGATAACTTCCACTCGGCTGGTTTGCAACCACAGCCACAGCAGCTCCTTGAACAGCTGATATCTAACATTTCCCTGTAAAGGTCCCCGTCCCAAGCTAGCTCCAGGCCTGCTGCAAGCTGCAGTGACAACTCAAGCTCGTATCTCCTGCACTTTCCTCACTCTTCGCCGCTATCTTCCGCTTCCTTGTTTAGCCTAGCTCCTCTTCTTTTTCTCGACTCTGAAATTGCTGTCGCCAAAGCTTGTCCTCTCTTTCTCTGCCGCTGCTTCTCTCGCCGCCAGTGCAGCTCCTAATAATGTGCGAGTCGACGTCATCGCTTACTGCAACCTGGGGATGGTCATTTTGTGGTCTGGAAGTTCGCTAATTTCCGCTCTGGGTCCATCAGAGGACACTGTTCGTTCGAGTCGGGGAGTAGGGATTGTAACGTAAAGTCATGCTATGATCTGTTCATTACGTTTCGCTTGTGCGATGTTTGGAAGCGGCGGATAAGTTTGAAGTTGCCACGTGCTCATTCCTCTTCGCCACTCTTGGATGGATTTTGGACGAAAGGATCTCATTTTGACCAATTTAAAGCACTTTTTGGGCGTTTACGCCAGTTGGCACCAAGTGCAATCGCACTGGCAAATCACGTCCCTCCTGGATACCTAGGTACTGCTGAAATTGAATCAGTGCACTTTAACAATGCACATTTGCGCGCAGCTCTGCAGCAGTTCAGAATTCGAAGGAGATCAATCCTAAGGCTACATAATCATAGCGGCGCAAAGAATCTCCGTTCTCTTCATCCTTCTCAGTGGCTCCAGATTCCAACCACCATTCCCTAGCTTGTAACAGAATGTAGTTCTGACCAGTCATCTGATGATTCCTTGAAAATCCTTTACCCGTTCAGAAGCTTTAGAGCTAAAGACTACCCGCAGACCAGCACTCCCCAATCCTTTTTTCGCAGTACTTCCTTTTGCTCGTCTCCATGGCATGTGCACATAATCATGACTGCGAGGACAGCAATTGTGCAGCAGATTGGTCTTTGTACAAGAATGTGGACTTACCGAAGGTGAGCACCTTGTGTGAAGTCTGTGTAAGCTGATTGAGTTCTGAATCCTTTTGCCCTTCCTGCATTGAACACATCCTTTGCTGAATTGAGCATTTCGCTGCGGAATCATGACTTCTTTGCTGATGAGTTTTGGGGAATTGAGGTGCTGGATCGAGGCACAGGCTTCCATAACCTCATGTCAATGGCAGAAAACAATGTTATTTATGGCTGTCCCAACCGACATGCTGTTGTCTTCGTTCAAGCATCATGCAGCTTCAAATATGATTTTCCAACCTTCCTTTAGAGACTCAAGAAGTATGGCAAGCTGTGCAATGCTGTGGACGGAGTGCCAAAGTGTAGTAGCCAGAAGCCTTAATTTCAGGCTAGTAGTGCCAAGCAAACAAACAAGTCTTCTCTATGCTTCTCAGGTGCGAGCTTTGAACGAACAAACGGAAGGATCCGTGAAGACGGTTCTGAAACCCTGGGATCAGAGACTGGACTTTGGAACAATCCTCGAAAGTAACCCGGAAGATCCAGAGCTGCTTGTTGTCATTCCGTGAGTTTCTGAGCCTCTATCCAGTCTCAAAGGACAGTCTGCAAAACTAAGGTGTAACTCTGAAGGTAGGATAGGAAAGACCGCACACTGTGAGAAGTATCAACGAAAAAGCTGTTTCTTCGGCAGAGGTAAAACAATTGCATCTTAGGATCAAGTTTTGCGGGTTTTGTCAGGGTGCCAGGTACCTTGTTGGCAGCACGACTATCAGCAGCGTGTTCCGCCAGTTTCTAGATACCGGAATGATCATTCCGTTATACTCTCACCAGCTTTCTCACCAGTCTAATTGCTTGTCAACGTGGCTGCCTCGCTCGACAGGTTCATATCTGACATCAAATTGAAGGGCATTTGCATTATTGGTGGGGCAGATGGTACGTCGCCGACAAGGATGCGTGCGTAAGTACTACACCAGCGGCTCATCATTGTCTGTTATGTTATGCAGTAACGTGAGATGTTTTCAAATCCTTTCATCTATTGCGCTGTGACATGGTCTGTCCTTCAAATGCAAAATCACTTCAGTCGAGAGAAAGTGGGGTCCTTCGAACAAGTCGTACCCGGACAAAGTGCACCACACGCTAACTGATCAGAAACCTTTGTCACTTGTGCTTGTGACTAAACATGAGACCTTTCGTCATGTTGCACATATATGCAGGTTCACCAATCGAGAAGACATCGACTTCTCCAATGTCAATGACCTCACGCCTGTCCAGGTCAGAATACTCTGTTTTATTCACTGGTAAGGTGTAACTTTTCTCACTGCAAGCCGCTTGTTCAGATCCAAGACAGGCGGTAAATGAAAAGGTGATCTCCAGGTGATTGGCCCGCAGGAATTTTGATCAGCTATCCATACTCGCCAGCTTTTTCTCTTTTCATTGTCAGCCTTCTTTCGCTCTTCGAAAGATAATCTTAGACCCAATGCTTAGACCCTTTGTATTACATAGGACCAACTTTTACACCATCGATTTATGCAGGAATGGGAACTAGCAGAGAACGTGAATGGCGAGCTGGAATATCAGACAAGGTGTGCTTTCTCTACTTCTTCAGAATGTACTTCGAGACTGAAGCGGTACCGATCCCAATCGTTGAGGCTTCTTTCCTTCGTGGTAGCATCGCCTTGCATCAATCCCTCTTTACTTCAGCCTTGTACATTCTACAGGCGCTCCCAAGTACCACCTCAATCACGAGATGATTCTCTGTCTGTGACAGATTTGCCCGGTTTCAAGGTGTCTCAACGCTCATTCTTCACTTTCCGGCCAGCATATCCGGGGATCAGACTCGAGTACACTTCATCGGTCTCAAGGGCGAAGCGACACAGGTAAGTCGCGTTTGTAACTTAATTGTTGCCAAAAGCTTACTTGTAATCTCACAGATTGACCGCACATCACAAGGGACAAACTGCCAAAGGGCAAGGATTGTATACTTGGTCTTTAGAAGGCCCACCTTTTTCAGTCTAGTCGAACCGAGAAACTCTGAAATTGCAACAGAATGAAACGATGTTTGTCATAAAGAGAACCGCTGATGATCTGATTGTTTTGTATTAAGAGATGAAGAGATGCCGCAGATACTGAAGCTCTCACTTATCATACCACTCTTGAGAGGCAAATGCCATGTCGTAAAAGGTCCGCAACGATTCTTGCAGCTGCAACGGGACAAGGTCGTGAACGTCGTCTACGAGGTGACACCCCAGCCACAAGATCACAAGTAAGTTGAGCTCCATGAAATCTGATCTTAATCCGAATGTTCAGAAATGAAACCGAGCTTTCTTGTACCGCACTAGAAGCCGTCGTCGACAACGCCGTTTTCCTGCATTAACCGTTGGCTTTGAAGTGTTCTTGTGAAGCACCCATTGTCGGGGATTGTTGCTCAGCGTTCTTGTCGTATTACGGTAAAAGTCTTCCCTTGACGGTTCTCACCTGCCAGTTGGTCACACGCACGGGTCGATGCTTTTGGCACATGTCACCAACCAAAAAGTTCCAACTCTGGAAGGTCGACAACGGCTCGTTTTCTTTGGTGCAAAGTTTCGTGTTTGCAGTTTCCCGTCCTTTCCAGATCTGATTCGTTCCATGAAACGCCCATGTCAAGATTTCCAGGCTGTCAATTATCTGCCACGACTTTTTGTTCCACTTTTCTTGCGCAAATTTTGGCCGATGCATGAGAGTCAATCGGCCGCTTTCTGCAGGATGCCCACTGAAAATCAGGCTCCCTCGATTCTGTGAGTATGGTTGTTAGGTACGGTAGCAGTGAAGCCCAGTTTCGATTGTTCATACGGAGCTTCATTTGGGCAACAAACTTCTGACGAGAGTTAGTCACGTAATCACGTTTGAAATGAACGGCTCTCTTCGATTAGAATGTAGGTGAGATAAGGTGATGGCAAAGCGGATAGTCTGCTTCAGGAATACTTCAAGCTCCGTAGTTACATCAATGCTCTAAATGTATATACATCATTGCTCTAAATGTATATACATCATCAACTTGGGCACCTTGACAATCAAGTCAAATCAAATGCTTCTGTTCGTGTCAGCAACTTTCTTGCATATCTCCTCGTGCAGTATAATTGATCGAGGTTCATTGCGGCTTTCAAATGTATGTGTGGCCTCGGTCGCTTGCAGTCGCCGAGAAGTGACGACGATAGTTGTTTGAAGCTTTTGTATGGATCTGTATCTACCATGTGCGCAGTGCAATTGCATATAATTGAATTCCGCAACGTAGGTTATGACAAACCGAGATGTAGATATATGTGGGCAATGTAAGGGACTGATTGCATAGAAAAGACCATGTCCGGCTGCATGAACATGCATGCATGCATGTGTGCGGGGAGGATCGACTGAAAAGAATCATATGCACATGCAGTCTCAAATCGCAGTGACATGCCAGAGCTAGAGCTTCGAATTCATGCCTGCACTTTTCGTTTAGCGTGTATTGTAGATGATTGATACTTGTTGTTGATACTTGTTGCGCGCAGCTCAGTGATTGGAAACAATTCTACTTGACATACCATCTCGAAGCTACGTTATCAGACATGCACAACCAAGGTGCGTTGGAGTGCTCCGCAGTCAAACTTACTCAACAGTATAGCACGCCTTACGAACCATCCATTTTGCAAAGCATTGACAATCAGTCCAAGGGTCCCTGCAGCATATGTAGCATTTTCAAGCGTAGGTCGAATGTACTTATGACACAGGTTTTGGGCGCATCCAGTTACATTGCGGTCTCCTGCGGCCTACCTATACCAGTTGTGCGGTGTACAGAGCCTGATTTCGGTTTGACCAACGTGGCAGTCCTTACCTGATCTCTGAAGACAAGTGACAAATTGTTCTAGTATCTGGATCGCAGTGACGCCTAGCTCGTTTGACCTAGAAAATCGAATGCAATAGACCACTCCAATTTTTCTGACCAGATCAGATTGGCACAGGTATGTGGAGCATATAATCCTCAGGCGATCCACCTTCATGTGCACGATTTGTGAGCACTTTGAAATTCCCCAAATTGTTCTTCAAGGTCGGCAAAAGGGTCTATCTTATGTTCATCAGCAGAAACCATGTGATTAGTTCGTATCTTCGGCAATTCCGAACTCAGTGACGGTATATTGAGATCCACCGCCCGGCTTTTGTACTTTGGGGCCAAAGCAAAGCTATCGTCCACTGTTGTCTGCGATCCCACGTCTCCAATTTCGGAGCCCTTTCGCGCACTTGAGGGAGGGATTGGTGATCTTTCTGTTGTGAAAAGAGCGGTCGTTCGATGAAAGTTCTCTCGGTCCCCCAAAGCAGTTCTAACTGAAGAATCTGAGAAGTCAACCCTCCTCACATGAATACATAAGGGTATCATGCTGCCTTGTTGATTGCTTCATAAGCTCCACAGAGCAGCGTTCTAGAAAGTGAAAACAGAGATACTAGAGTTTGCAAGCTCGATTCTGAAGAATTCGCCTCTGCCTTTGGGTAGCTGGAAGGCCCCAAAAGAAGACGACCTACCTTGCCCTATTCCCACGATGGGAATCGCTCCCTGCACATATACCGATGCTTGGTCCTTCGAAGCATTGACAAATAGTCTGTGCTCGTACTTCTTCCGGATCCAAGCCTCCACAGCCTCATCGGACGAGTCTGGTCGAACCTTCTGCCATCCGGTCGGTATGTTGCCTGGATTGACATAGTAGCAGCAATCAAAAGCAACTACGGCAAATTGCAACACCTCAACATGGCAAGCTGAAGCCGATACGGCATCAGGTGATGCTCTTATCAAGGAAACTATTGTAGCTTCTTGACTCCATAATGAAAGAACCCAGTCTATTTGCTGCGGAGACAGAACACTGTGGTGATGCAAAGGAAAGGGCCAACCAAAAGGCAATGGCATACGACTACAACATTTTTCCTACCAACTTATCTTGATGGCTGCACACACTTTCGTCAACAATCAAGCGGCTTCAATAAACAAGTTTGATGGTGCGACATACCTTCCCAGTGAGCGTTGGCCCGAACATTTCCTATTCGTTTCATTTTCTCTACTTCCTCTGGTGACCACGCATCCAGGCCTATGCATTTTGTCCTGGTCACATGTGCACCTACTTTTCGATGCAGACCATAACACCTGTTACATAAGAACACCCCTAATGATATGGAAGCGAACCTTGTGAATCGGCCGCCGCAGTCAGCACACCTCTCATTGCCTGGTTGTTTTGCCAAAGCCGTGAGGAGTGTTTCATGCAACTTCTGCAGCTTCATGTCAGTCTTCCAGTTTGGTCCACTTGCCATCTGCGCTCTGAACAGCCCTGGCCGCCACGCTGCCAAGTGGAAAATGCCCTCACAAGTCACCGTGAACTGTGACTCCGAGTTGTGCAGGCTGCAGCAATGGATACGGCCCATGGGTTATGACTCATGAGTTACCGTATGTTGGATTTCTGTGTTTTGCAACTTATATTATCTTGGCCTTGAGGTCTGAACAATTGCATGTTTTTGCATCCCACCGGTACCTCGACCGCCACCCGACCCGAATGTTGACTTCTCTACAAGCCCGTGAACTATCAAAGGCATGGGGTGAAATTTGAATGAAAGGTTCTCTGACTACCGGTCGGTATTCCGTATATTTAAAAAGAATATTGGCTGGTGACACAGACCCTTATGAACAACCAGATTTACAGTGCAAATACAGAGCTCTATCCTACATTTGGTTGAATGAGCTAGGCCCAATGTATCATGCAAGGAGCAAGCAAATGTGGCTCCAACAATGCAGAGGCAATGCACTGGCAGAGGTAATTCCGAGACGGAGTCTCTGAGATGAGGGCGGCCAAGCTCCTCTCATCCTCTTTAGGACTGAATTCGTAGCTGTCCAAAAGAGGGTAGATGGCTCACGCGAGCGTGGCAGCATCTCAATGCGACCTGCCCAACATTGGGCTACAGAGATCTGGCTTGAATAGCACCCGGAGATCACAAGGGCACACTGTACACCCGGTTTCCCCATTGTGTGAATTTGGAAGTGCCACGCAATGCGCATCACCTTTCAGAGTTGGTTGGAAACTTGCAGCATTGAAGCAGTCTCACAGCTGGCGGCCAGATTGTCATCGCTCTCCATTCCAACCAATCAGGGCAGAGTTGCCAGGTGGCAGCTCAAAGAAGACTGTTGTATTGAAGCAGGGCTCCAGAGGTAGCAAAAAAGAACAAAATACTACCGGTGCCAAGTCATTCTGGGACGCAATTGAGCGCGATGAAGATGGGCCAGACGTTGTGCCTTCGGCTGCAGATACAGCGTCTGCACGGAGCAAGTCATCGCCTGCGGTGCATGCTCTGAAGAAGGATGGCAACACATTCGTGTACCACATCAACGGTGGTGGTCGAGTAAGCCAATTGGCATTTGCAGCATCGTTATGGACCAGTCACACGTTAATTGCCGCGTGATGATGCCACATATTGCCAGTAAGAGGTCTGGCTGTGAGACTGCAAGAAATCCAGCACAACTTGAACGAATCAGAATCAGGTTCTTGTCTTTTCACCATGATAGCCCCTTCAATCTTGCGCACCACAACTCTGACAATTGCTCTCAAGCGGAGCTGCCACTTGGGCAAATTCCATATTTCTCACGTCAGGTTCATGTCTACAGGTCCTAGCATCCGTGAGAAAGGAAGCCAGGCGCTTCATGGTCACTCTGGAGGTCAACACCAAGGAGCTGGAAATTGACTCAGCAACCCCCCTCCACTTACATTGGGTAAGTTTGGATAAAAGTGCGACTGGTGGACAGGGCAAGGGGGGCTGTCCAAATCAGGATCGTTCAGTTGACATTGCACAGTCATATCTTGCTCCTACGCGTTTCGAAGGGTTTGTGAAGCTTGTTCCCCTGTGGAGGTCAAGGTCGTTTTTGCGAGATCTATATTTTGGTTTGTGTCGGCAGGGCCTAACACATGAGTGAATGTTTCCCCCAACATTTCAATTGCAGGGTCTTTCCCGATCAGACAGTGAGGACTGGGTGCTCTTGGATGCCAAGTCTGCTCCACCCAACACCACCCTGAGTGGCGGCGAGTAAGGGTCCCACGCTTGTAACTTTCAAAGACGATGGGATCTTTGGCTCAGTCGCTACTTCTGACAATTTTGCCCAGCTCCGATTTCGTCCAGCCCAAGCAGATCAGTGGTTAACCGCACTTGGGTCTTGCTGCTGGGCTTAAATTGCTTCTGGTCCTTAGAAGATGAGAGAATGTCTCATACCAGAGTTTTGCGGAGCGGTTTTTGAAATATCTTCCCTGCAGGACTGAAGCAATGCGGACGCCCATTCTTGAATCACGGCCTGGCGTGCGAAGGATCGAGATTGCACTGGATGCAAGGAAGGCGCCGGTGGAGCTACACTTCGTCCTGTACCAGCCGCCGACAGAGAAAGTCCCAGAGAAGTGGTTCAGGTGAACCAGGCATACAAAGACTATGGATCTTTTGCATACTGGGTGACCGAAAGGACTTACAAATGACATTGCCGTCCCGGATATCTTACAAAACTGCTAGTCATAATATGGGCGACCATATCGACAATCCCCTCCTTTTGTCCATGTCCGCCCCCTGTGTGTAAAGTCCGCCATCGTATCAGCACAGCTGCAAACGCCAGAAATAATACCAGCCCTCTCAATCAAATCTCAGGAGCACCAAGGAGAGCAACTTTTCTGTCCCGGTGGGCCTCGGCCGTGGTTCGCCAGACCCGCTGGGCGCCACCTGGCAGAGCAACGGCTCAGTCAACTTTGCGCTCTACTCGCGGAATGCGGAAGGGGTCATCCTCTGCCTGTTCAAGCCGGGGGCGGTGGAGCCCTCCGTGAGTCTCAGGACTGGCCACTGCCTTGCATTGGAGTAACAATCAGATAATATCTACTGATAGAAGTAAATGTTGACTCGCTAGCCCTGTTGAGCACATTCGTTAAACTTTACTACGATGCTTGTCTATTAACAATAAGATGCGCTTGCACGTTAGTACCCTCGTTGCTCAGCATAAAGACCCGTGTCTAACCCTTGTAATTTTGTTCCTCTGTCCAGACGGAGCTTGATCTGAGCCCCGGCCTGCACCGAACGGGCGATGTCTGGCACGCGCAGCTAGAGAGCGTGGAGGGCTACGACCGCTACGGCTACAGGGTCAGGGTACGGGGCTGATCCTGGTACCCTCTTGATATATTGAACGGGTCCGATTGCAAGGTTTGTGAGCTAAAATGGGGTTAGTGAAATGTATTGAGACTCGCTTGTCCTACTCCTACACTCGATCATCAATGTGGCGTTACGACAGGAAAAATCAACGAAGGCATGCGTTGAAGTGTGTTGATCTGCAAAGGTCCTCGATGCCGGTCTCCTCACAAAAACAACCGGAGTTGAGTTACGCGTTCTTTTGTTCCTGGCAGGGGGCAGTTGGCTGGGCCACAGGCAACCGGTTCCACTCTCGGCCCGTCCTGCTCGACCCGTATGCCCACTTCATCGCCCCTCACGTTCCAGGTCAAGGTGAGAGCAGACTCGCGCGTCAATACACTGAAAGTACAGAGACTTTGAACAATCACGGGCCTATCCAACTATCTCCTTACGAGGCCCAATCATTAACCAACCCTTGTGCCGGGTGGTTAATTCCAATTTGTGCGGATTCTTGGAAGGTGGGCTGTGAGGTGCAAGGGAACGAATGCTTTCGAACGTCAACAATGTACTTGAGTGGCTCTCTAGCATGACAAGCAACCGGCGCCGATCAAAGCACGCAGCGGTTTGGGCGCGGCGCGGCTGTCGACGTTCATAGAGCTCTCCTAAGATTGAGGTGCATGGATGCCATTTTAGACATCCGAAAGCGAGACTCCCAGTGCATTACCAGCTTGCGCAAAGCCAAGATTCAATCCTCTGCAATAGCTCCGCCCCTGCAATGCGCTTTCGCTCTTGCCCTCCCAGAAGACCTGCCCTCCCCTGCTCTGGCCCTCGGACTCCTACAGCCGGAAGAACCGTTCGATTGGGAGGGCGACTACCCACCACTGTAAGCAAACAACCTCGCGCATTTGGCCAGGCGTGACTCCCGTATCACACGACGAGTCTTGTTTTTTACGGCCAGGTTCGCAATCGCGGTGCTATACTTTTTTGAGAGACGACCAGTGTGTGGATTGCTTGGCAGAAGCGACAAGCTTTGAGAGAATGCTGACACCCGGTAGCTATTCGTCTATTTGATGATCGAGTCATCGGTTGCTCTAGGTGCTGCATGAGCAGCAGCAGTGGGTCCGTTCAACCTGCTTGAATCCTTAGCTCCTGAATAGCAATTTTGATGGACGCCGCTCTTACCTCAAATGTTTAGCGGCCACTATTTAGAATGAGGAGGTAACGACTCGCTTGGACACCTGAACGCTTTATCATTCCAAAGAAGATTTCGAGCGGGACTTCAGAGTGCCTGGATGCTTCGCCTTTCCTTACAGAGTGCATCCGTGGTCTTTGCGCCTCTTTCTTTCGAACTCTGGCACCTCGCTCACGGTCTTCCTGTCCGCCGTGCAGGGTCCCCATGGAGGAGCTCATCGCATACAAGCTGCACGTGGGCGGGTTCACCCGGGACGCGTCCAGCGGCGTAGCGGATGCTGCGCGGGGGACCTTCCTGGGGGTCGTCGAGAAGGTGCAGCACCTCGTGGACATGGGTGAGCCGGACTCCGCGGGTGACGTCAGCAGTGACGCAGGCTGCGGGACGATCTTGCCGCTGATGTGCAACACACTGGTGCTTGCAGCACGCTTTGGCAGTGTCGTTGCACCCCCTTCTTTCCCTCGCCTTGTCGAAATAATCGACCGATCGGTGCATTTTTGCCTCTCGTTCATTGACAGAATGCTCCGTGCTTTCTTCAGGTGTGAACGCCGTGATCCTCCAACCAATCGCTGCCTTCGACGAAACGCTGGGCTCCTTCTTCCCCATCAGGTGCAGCCGTCGTTCTTGAGCTTCAAACGTGTTGCAATATCGAGCTCTTGAACAGAGACCTCCTGTGCACCCCTATATTTTTCTGCTGAATGCAGCCAAAACATTCACGCTTCCGTTTGTCCCTATTCTGCAGGTAGAGCTGAATTCCGATCGCTAGCAACTGCTTTTTGATATGTTTGAGATCTTTTTCCTTCCCTTTACCTGTATCTCTCTACTCATTCCCTCGACTTCTGTCCGTCGGATCCTGACCTTCAGCGAACGCCAAGCATGTGTAAGGTTGAGTCAGATCCGTCATCTAAGTCTGTACTGAAGCCTGGGTTTGCAGCTTCTTTGCTCCTGCTTCGATCTACGGCCCCGGCGGCAGCGGCGTGGCCGCTTCCCGCTCGCTCAAACTGCTGGTCAAGGAACTGCACCGGGCCGGCATCGAGGTTAGTACGCTGGGGCCATTGAATCTTACATTTACAAGGACTGATCCAGCTTCACGTTGGACAGAACCTGTTGATGACAGGTTCGTATTGCGGCGTTCTATCCGTGCCAACGTAGCATCTGGGATACGTTGACAGAAAGAGCGCCGTGGAGTAGAGATTGCTCTACTCTTTAATACCCTCCTGCCAGATATGCAGTCCTTTGACACACACACAGTTCCTTGACCGGCGGCAAACCTGCCGATCGCAAGGAACGTGAAGCTCTTTTGCGAGCCTTCTCCTCCTTATTGCAGAAGCCGTCTTCACGAATCTTGCAAAGCGTTCCTGGAGCATTTCGCTTCGCATTCTGCCCTATTATCCTACTGCCGTTGTTGGTGCAGGTGCTTTTGGACGTGGTGTACAGTCACACAGCGGAGGGCAACGACGAGGACCCCAAGACCGTGTCCCTACGCGGCATCGACAATGCGACATACTATCTTGTCGACGAATTTGGCCAGTGAGCAACGGCCCTCAGCCGCCCCGGGTTTCAAAGCACGGGTGTTATACTGGACGCGAAGCTGGTTGGAAGGTGCATGATGCTCTGAACCAAGTTGTTTAGATGATCACAAGTACTTATTTGGCAGCTGGCTTGAAAGCGGTTCTGACGCTGGAAGAGGCTACGCCAAAAGTGCTAGAACGCGACGGGCCTGAGGAAACTTGCCTTCCAATCAAGGCGCAGGTGCAGCGGCTGATTGAGGTGGCAAAGTCTGGTTGTTAACCACAATCCTCACTTGCTGTCTGCAGGTTCAAGATCCCCGAGTTTGGAGTGGGCAACGCCTTCAACTGCAATCACCCCACGGTCCAGCGCATGGTGTGCACTCTATTCCCAGGCCGCCCCCTGCTGAGCTGTGCTGGATCTCATCCAGTTGATAAGAACCGGGCAGTGGCCAGAAACTGTGGTTCGAAAACATTTTGCGGTCTACCGTTGATCGGCCCGGAATCCTGTTGGATATGCGGCCGAAGCAGCTCCCACGCCACAGGAATTATGTCATTGGTCGGTCGGGCACAGCTTCTTGCCACTCGCGACTGCTTGACGACGTTTTTGGAATCTCGGTGCCTCAGGTCGTCAGTCGACCTCGCCCTTTGCTCACTCACCCTGCTCATTCAACGCGCAGATCGTGGACAGCATCCGGCGGTGGGTGGAGGAGTTCCACGTGGACGGCTTCTGCTTCGCCAACGCGGGGGCGCTGGTGACGGGCCCGCACGGGCAGCAGCTCAGCCGGCCGCTGCTCGTGGAGGCGCTCGCGTTCGACCCCGTGCTCGCGGACATCAAGCTCATCGCCGACCTGCGCTCGCCCATCACCGGCGTGCACCAGGTGCGCGGGCGTGCACTCTAAAACCCTAAAACCCGGAAACCCTAAAACTCAATCATAAGTGCGGGTCACCTTTGTCACCTTTGTCCGCAGTCTGCCTCGAAGTGACTGGTTCGGATTTCAAACATCCGCCAGTCCGTACCAGCTGCGTCAGCCTGCGTGGCTTTCACGCATTCATCAAAGCCTCCGCTATCAACCGGAAAAGTCCATCCTGGTTGGCCGTCGCTTGATGATCTGCAGAGTCCTCTGCTATTGCTAGCCGCCTACTGGGCTGACTGGGCTTCCGAACCAGGACTGCTGCCGCTGTTGCCCTGGAGTCAAGAGAAATTCTACAGTGGAAGAATAGCGAGACAGTGCCTATTCTGCTATCAAATGTGCTGACGGTGCGGTGCTGTTGCAGCCGGTGGACTTCCCCCACTGGAGCCGGTGGGCCGAGTGGAACTCGCGCTACCGGGACGACGTCCGGCGCTTCATCCGCGGCGAGGGCGGCCAGCTCAGCTCCTTCGCGACCAGGCTCGTCGGCAGGTGCGGCGGGAAACTGTTACTTGGAACCCCGTGCAAGCGTCCACCGGAGAATGGACGTTACAACCTGGTGTGGAGACATATGCATGCCCGTTCAGGAGATGCAAAGCACACCCGTAAAGGAAAGCAGCTTTGAAGACGTTGCAAGCACTCTTTGGCGTCGGGCGGTCTGCTTCTGATTGGATCCTCAACAGCGCAGATGCGAAGAACTTGGTGAAGAATCCTATGCTGACGTCACGTGGATGTTTCGGTGCAGTGGTGACATCTTTGACGACCGACGCGGGCCTGGTTTCAGCTTCAACCACGTCACCAGCCCCTACGGTTACACCCTTGCTGACGTCGTCTCGTACACGTGAGCCGCAACCAGGTCATGTCTCCCTTGGACCTCTCCATAGACCCACAAAGGAGTTTCTGTACGTCAGATGATCATCATTCCTACTAGAACGGGGGCTAAAGATCCGTGGGGATGTCGCACTCTGCCGGAGAGATTCCATCATTGTCATTCATCGAATCTTTAAATGTGCCTTCCCGGCAGAGTCTCGTTGATCTGTGCGCCTCTATGCGCTTACCACAAACACAATTAGATCTACAGACAAGGCCGGCACTAATTCCTTTTCGGACCACAGCACCAAGTAATTTCGCAAGGCTTCCCTGTACTTTGGCATCCTCCGTTTTTGCGACTATTGACTGGATATGTTCTGCTTCTGCAGTGGGTACCCCAACGACTTCCGGTGTCAGAATGAGTTTGGGTGAGCAGAGCTCGGAGTTTTCCGTCACTCCCTTCACTCGATTGGATTCCGCACATCTCTCATCTGCTTTGCTTCTGCAGGCACTGCGGCCATTTCATTGCCGGAAGCTTGCACAGGTTTCTCGCTAGAGTAATGAACTTTATCCGCACTCCTGCAGTTGGAATGCTGGAGTTGAGGGGCAAGTGGCTGATCCAGGGGTCACAGACGCCCGCCAACGACAGGTGGGTGTCGGCCTCGCATGCCATTCATTTCGCAGTGCAACTTTAAGACGAGATTGAGGTGCCATCTGCGTGTCTTCCTGCAACTTTCAAGATGAATATTGAGACCAAAATACGTGCAGATGATGCGTTTGTGAGTTACATGGGGAATCTCTGTTGCAAAAATAACATAGAGCGTCGCTCCTTTTGACGCTGGAAGCGCCCCAGGCGGACAGCCAGGTGACGTCACTCCTTCTTGGCTGCAGATGCGCACGTACCTGGTGGCGCTGTTTCTGTCGCAAGGCGTGCCGGTGCTGACCATGGGCGACGAGTACGGCCACACCAAGAACGGCAACCTCGACGTGGAGGACAGGTGGAGTCGCCACGCGATGCAAAGTGCACTGAAGCGCACATGCTTTTCGGGACAGCGACACTACAAGGCGGCTTTACCGTACAAGTTCAATCGATGCTGTTTAGGTCTCCGTCACAAGAAGCGCGTGCCGATAGATGTTGGACTCGTTTTGCAGGAACAGCGTTTTCCACTGGGGCCAAATGGAAGGACCTCTGGGCAGTCAGCTGAAGGAGCTGATTGCGCGCCTGGTGGCCTTCCGAGAGGAGCACCCCGAGCTACTGCAGGTCAGTAAAGCGGACCAAAGAAAGTCTGCTTGGGAAAAGCAAGCCAGGAAACGTCTGCTGCGCAAACTTCTTCCGTTGACGCAGTCTCAAAGAGCGCCCGAAGTCGACTGCTGCACGCTTTCCCCGCCCCCTTAGCTTCGACCTACTGTCATTGCGCTGGCGTTCACTTTGGATCGACGTTGACAAACCTCTCCTGACCGTGCTCTTGGATCCGTTGCCCGATGCCTTTTTGCGCGGCCCCGGTTTTGATTGCTATCCACAGGTCTTGATTGTCCCGGATTGTCGCGTGTGGTGCAGCGCCGGGAGTATTTGCTGCCGCACGAGCTCGTGTGGCACGGCTACTGGCCCGCACACCCAGAGTGGGACAACCCCTCCAGGTCAGCGCCGGCTCTAGATTATGTACAATAGAAAGTTATTATTTTGAGACATCCAGCGCTGAAACGAAAGGCCGCTCGCTTCGCGGATATAAGCAGACTGACACTATCCACGAACGCATATCCTCCGGCAGTGACGAAGCGGATAAGCGGGTGGAAAGACTGTCGGTTGCGATGTCGAGACTGTGTACAAAGGGGGGTAGGAGAAGCAGTCCCCTCAACTCACGCTTTTCCACCCCCCCTCGTGCAGCGCCTTCTTGGCGGCCAGCCTGCATCAGTACGTCCCCGTCGAGGAACCGGAACCGGACTCGGAATATGAACCGGAACCGGAACTCGAGGCCCCAGAGCGGGCCCCATTCTCTGTGCCGGGTGTGTCCCTCGAGGCCCCTTCCGGTGCCGGCGAGGACCTTCCGGAGGCGGTGGATCCGCTGGCGGGCCTGGAGCCGGTGGGCCACGGCGACCTGTACATAGCATTCAATGCGCACGGGGACCAGGTGACGCTGGGCCTCCCCGCGCCGCCACGTGGCGCTGTCTGGCACCGCCTGGCGGACACCAGCATGCCGGTGCAGAGCTACTTCGTCGGGGAGGGGGAGGCCCTCCACGCGCCGCCCCCCGGGGCGCCGGACGTGTGAGTTTAAGAACCAATGAGCGCTTTTGCATTTCACCTGTCTTTGTGCTTGCTTTCGGGGGGTGTCGGATGCCGGTCGTCCTTGTTTGGTAGCATGATAAGGAGTGCTTAGTTTCTCAAAGACGGTCAAGAACGGTCAAGAACCTTTAACCTTGTCTGTGTCCTTTCCTGTTTCGTCATGCATACTTTGGTGTTTTCGCTTTGCAAAATCGAAATACGTCAGGTTCAGATGGTCATGCGAGTGGGCCAAAAGACATACTAGAATTTTGCTTGATATTGCCTCCGCAAGTAGATTTTGTTCGTGAAGCCGACCGTCTCAGAATTGCATTTCCGTTGTTGAGATGGAATTTCCTGAAACCTACCTAGCACGCAAACTTAGCAAGTCATCTACTCCTTTGCAGGGTGCATCCCCACGGATCCTACGACCTTGCTCCCTTCAGCGCCCTGTTGCTCGAAGCCAAGTTCCCCAAGGGTGCGGATGGTGTCCGACGGCCTTCGTACGAAATGCAAACAAATAAGGCGGCCCCCTTTGCAGTTAGCCTGTCTGGTTTTTGATTGTCAAGGTATTGTATGATTGGGAGGATATTGTGCCCGGGCAGATCGTTGGAGGTTCTGTTTTGGCCAAGTTTTGTAGGTGCTGATGGTGGAAGAAAGCCCCTGTGGGCAATTTGAGAGCTCCACGAAAATATCTGTGTTGTCAACGGACCTGATGCGGTGCGTGAGACCCTACCGAAACATTGTCGTTGAGCATCCTGCGGGCCAACGGCCCGGCGGCCTCAGGCTGACCATGGCTGCCTTAACAAACATGCTGCATTAAACGGCTAGAGAAACCGCGTCGGGAAGCATGTACGTTGGGACTGTTGACATGCTGCAAATGCGGACGTTGTAGTGAATAGATCACCTTTTGCATAACTGGCTCTGATAAGGCTCTACACTAACATTGGATCATAGTTCCGTATGCAGAATTGAATGGACCCCCAATGTGAAACGATTGGACATCCTACTATACCATATGCAGGCAATGGTCTTGTTGAGTGGCCGCGGTTTGATGGAAAGCATCATGGACGCAATCCGACCGTCCTGGCAATTGTCATCAAACATGCCAGGCCGAAGCAGATTCGTTTTGCAACGTATATAAGCGCTAGTCATGGCTACCGGCGCAGGGAAATTAGCTAAATCAAAGATGATCGATCGAAGCATATTCGGATCGATGTGACGCGATCGGTACGTTATCGAACCATATCACTGCACATGCAAACATTGCGTACAGGCATGCCATGATGTTGTTAGTAATCTAGACGCGGATCTCTAGCTAGAGATGCGCATGAATAACAGCAATATAGCTGGTAGTAGTGCAACCGAATTCTGGCATACGTAAGGTGGCCGCCTCTCATGACAGTTTAATCAAAAATGATCGCAAGATGAAAAGCAAGGCGGCTATGGCCCTATAGATTGGGCGCGATTGACGGCCATGCTGCAGAGTCGACCGCGGCTTTGGATTGCAAAAAAATTATATAGTTCCGAGTCCGACGACTTCCTCTCTAATCAAATGCCAATCGACATGAATTTTACTTGAATGCAAGTGAACAAGTAACTTGGATCTACCGTACTGATCCAGCGCTACTACATTGAATATCAAGTTCTATGAATTCCAATTTTCAAGCGACATCATTCTTCGACGTCTGAAGTCCTGGACATGGATTTACAATTCGACCATCGCAAACAAGTATATATCTACTTACAAGCTATCGACTACCGGGCTACCCACTGATAGTACTTGTCTACGGCAAACACTCCTTGCAGACCCATATATCTTTGTTCATATCTACAGGCAAGTTCAATATTCAGCGTATCTCACATTTTCGATTTGTCTTCGAATTGCAATCTGACATAACCCCACATGCACATGCATTGAACTCTAACCTGATAACTTTTATACACCGAGATTTAGCCTAACTCTAACGACAACAACAAGCGAGGAAACACAATATACATGCAAGCGACCCCCCGCTGAATCGACCCCTTGCAGCTAGTCTTCCTTCCGTCCTCTAAGGATAATCAGGCTCCTCCCTAATATTGCTTCACGTCTCCCTAGCCGCACCCAGTCCTTTCAATTTTCCTTGGTATCCTCGTCCGTCTGATCATCAATCTTTATAACTCCTTGCCCCGCCTCCTCTTCTCCTCCGTCATCCTCTTCTTCTTCCTCACCCGCCTCTTCCTCTTCCTCTTCATCACCCTCTTCTTCGTCTTCCTCCGCATCGGCGTCCGTATCATCTTCTCCTTCCTCGTCCTCTTCTTCCCCTTCTTCTCCCTCGAAATCCACCTCGCTGCCTCTTCCGAATTCTTCGCTCTCCTCGACGTCCTCCACACCTTCTTGCTCCCACGATCCATCATCCTCAGCTCCTTCATCTTCATAATCGCCACCTTCATGTCCCTCAAACCCCTCTTGTCCGGAACAGCCGTCACACAAGCAATCCGAACCCATCCAACGACCGAATCTAGCAAATGACTCGGGGCCGAAAGGCTCTGTTCCATCAGCCCATATGAAGAACCTGCAATGATCTGGCTGCGGATACTTCCTGCAACCATAGAACTCTTTTCCAATGTTGTGAGGCAGCCCGTGTCTAACCGTTGCTTTCCGTGCCTTCAACCCGCAATCGCACTTTGGAACTGGGATGCTCTTGTCGTCCTTCCACTGGAGCCATTCAGTACAAGTGCGGCACTTCCAGTATTCCTGCAAGTGGACAATTTCGAGCACGTTCAGCTCGTGCTTGCCTCAAGATCGTTAGTTCCTCTCCACTGAGAGGCTGCAACCACTCTCTAAATGATACATAAGTAATGTGGGATCAGCCAGACCATAATCTCACCCAACTTGTCAACCTTGAAATGGAGAACCTTTCGTTGCTTTGCCATGTTGAGGCCCAAGATGATTCCCAGTGATAGAAGACTGCATTCCAAGTGATAGAAGATTGCCTATTCCAAAACCAGCAGAAGTGGAAAAGTCCGTCAGGGAAGGCACAAAAGCTGGAGTCCTCACCCGCCCTTCATTTTCCCCATACTTGGTTACGAGCAGCACGACTTCGCCGCCACAATCACACTCTGGTGGTGCGCCCACTTGGGGCCTTTTCCTTTTCTGCCCGACCAGAGGCCCCTGCAAAGAAAGACCGACGAAAAATGAATTTCATGGCCTTCAAGAGTATGGCACGCCATTCTAACTGTCCTTCCTTTTCAGCAGCGAAAGGACTTTGTGCAGAGAAAGGCAACTGCCTTTTCTAAATTGGAATTTTTTGAAACTCACAACTGAAAGCCAAACAGAACATCTGCTTCTGATCCAGCAATGTCATATTGAGACTCTTTGCCAAGTTCACTGACCTTGACCATCTTACCTGAGGGCTGACATTGCGCATGGGATCCCCTCCGGGACTGCTTTCATGGTCCATCTGGAGTGGGTGCAGTCTAGAGGACCAAGTTGATCTGCTTGAAATCCAAAATTGCCAAGTTGAAAAATTTGGTGAGTGTCCATGGTACATCCAACTTCATGACAATCCACACATTAGCCCAGTTCTCCTGCCAGCACATGTCACAAAAGCCCTCTCCCCTTCATTCTCCAAGGGATCGGGAACACCGTTGCTTGTGTTGCTTACCCCACCAAGCCTAATCCTCCTTCAATTTCATTAGCTCAGCACCGGGTTCAATTCAACCGGGTAGCTTTATCAAACCCTCTACGCAAGTCACTTTGGTTGGAAGAGTGATATTCGAATGACACTCTAACATACTGGGTGCTTCACATTCGCTTCTGTCATAATCATTGAAGAATTCCATAGTTCAGACTTTGCTTGCTCGATCTTTGCGATCCAGAGGAATGTTGGGACCAGATTCAACAACATTGTCTGCAATCAACTCGCACAATGCTGTGCAAACGGGCAACATGTGAGAAACTTGACCTTTTATCCATGACAGCAGAAGTACCATGCAAGAAAACTGGAAAGGACGGAGTAAACTAGCCAAAGGGACCCAGCAAAAGTACCTTATAAGTTCTAACATACCGTGCGACCGCAAAAGTGGTCCAACACTGCCACCGCCTTCGGCCAATAAGTAGGACTGACACAATGGTTGAAAAGAGGGTGGACCCCCAATGCTCGATCAATTTCGCCAAGCTAAGCGCCTCCCGCCGCGCCGGCGCCCATGGACCTGTGCTTGCATGTATAATGTAGAAGACAGCGCACCTTCATGCCCGTCAGCACTTGGAATCAGAGGACGGTTGCCCCCATTCAGTTTTAACTTTTTGCCCATTCGAGAACGTTCAGCTAGTGGACTGCGCACTGATTGGCGCATCGCGAGACGAATTCATCGAACGGTCAAGGTTCGATGTAATTGAAGCACATCTTCGACGAAACGCACAGCTCCTTCCTTCTTTCCTGTTGGAACTCGGAGGAGCTTTTTTACAAGGCGCTCGGGCGCCATTCTTTTTCGTTCCCACCCGAACCCACCCTATAGATATTTTAACAAACGCTCTACGTTGACTCGACGACCAAACACTTCTAGCGTTCTCCCTACTATGCTGAAACGCTCACCAGTCGGCTCCCGCCCAGCCGATGTCCGCTTCCCAGCGTCCGCTCTCCCCAGGACTTGGCTCGCATGATCCACCAGCATCCCCTCCAGCGGGTGCAATCACGTTATTGCTTAACCGCACATCAGAAGCCCAACTCGCCTGCCACGATGCAGTCGACCACATACTGCTTGTCTTCTAATAATCAGCCGTATTCACCCGGCGCCAATTGCGTCGTTCGCAGCAAGCCAGCTGCAGCTCGCTCTAGCACAAATGCCTCACGAGCGGCCGTATTCACCCGGCGTCACGTTGGCCCGCTTCAAAGTTACGACCCAAGAGCGGCCGTATTCACCCGGCGCCACGTTGGCCCCGCTTCGAAACTTTCTCGAACTTTGGCCGTATTCAACCGGCGGCCGCTTCACCTCCGCCAAAAGCAGTTTTGCCTGCGGCGCGCACTCGCGTCTTCTCCTTGACCCAGGCCAGCTGTCTTTGTAAGTCGGCTATTCCGGTCCCTTGCACCGCGCTGGTACCGTACCGCTCGGACGAACGGAACCTCCACTCCGAGCGGTGCCTAAAGTACCAGTGCCTGCAATTATAGTCGACTTTGGACAGCTGGTCGGGGGCCGCGCCAAAAATTCAGAATCGAGTGCTCGTTGCAGGCAGAACCTGCTTGATGGATTCGATTCGACAAGAATCCGAGAAGCTGTCCTTTGTTTTTAGCTAGGAGAACATCTCACGGTCAAACGGCGGTAATGGATAAGAGCAGCGCTCACGAGAGCATTACCGGTTTGCAGAATCTTCATTTGAGGGCAAGATTGCCACGTGGAGCGTTGTGCAACGTCCAACCTCCAAGATTTCTCAATCTGATGTCAGATTTTGAAGCCAGCTCAGCCTGCCATCATGGCATGGTGCAATCAGGCCTTCCAATATTCAGCTGCTTTGCAAGCACTGACCAGTGCAGCTGAGCTGGGAAAGGGAATGCCATGGCGCCTTCGAGCACGGGAAAGGGAGACATGGCTCATGTGTTCAGAAAGAGGGTTTTTGTTGGGTTCTGAAGCTACTTAGATACACGCGCACTCTTGGAAACATGGCTCTATGACGTTGAGAGTGATGGGTGGAAAGTTCAGCATGGCATTCTACAGAGAGTCTGCTGCAATCAATTGAGAGAATACGGTAAGAGCTGTTCTTCATTCAAAAGAGGTTCTTGCTCTTAATGTAAACTTTTTTGCCTGTGTGATGAAGATGGTAACCTGTTTTGTTAATCTCAAGTTAGACCACTGTTGTTTGCAGTGGGTAGATTTTTGCAATCTTGTGAGTGCACTCCTGCATCTTTTGGGATAAAATTTGGTGCACAAACGCTGTTCTATGGGTCATGTATTGGATTTTTTGAGCTGAGCTCCTTATCAAAAGCGTCAGAATTGCAAAAGATATGAACAATGCCGCAAGGATGCAACTTGAAGACGTCACTTGTGCCTGGGCTGCTTTTTAAGCCAGACTGGCATACGGTTTGCACTTCAATGCATGCCTGATGTCGTTTATCCGTGGCAGGGTTATACCACATGCATTCCGGACATCATTGAAAGTGGGCCAGTTCACATGTTTGCATCGCAGACTTATTGAGGGGCAGGGTCGAATCTTCTGTTAAGAACCATCTTTTGTAACTGCACAAAGTAATCTGAGCTGAGTGCAATCTGTAGATAGCTCTACTGCCATGAGATTTTGCACGTCTTTTTGCTGCGCACTCATACCACCCTGCGGTCGTTATTGGACACGCGAACTATCAGATTCAAGGGTCATTCTTGTACCACCCTGTTCTGAGAGTTTGCTGATCATAGCCTACCCTTGATTGTGCAGCTGCAAGCATGCCGAACCGATAGTGTGTCAGGAATCATTCATTGAAGATGGAAGAAGACAGCGAAGGCGGCGTGGCCTTGGGAGGTCCCACTGCAGCACAAGACGCCAACCTTGGTGGAACGCCAAAGGCGGACTTTCCAAACGGCATGGTTATGAAAGAGATGCAACCGGCTTACGATTGGCAAGCAGCATTCCAGGTACCATCAGACCCTGCTGCACTTCCTCTCATTTGGGAGGACAACTTGGTTGTGAGTTACGGTTTCACAGCTCGGCAAAAGTGGTTTGCCCGAGTTGCGAGAGTGCAGATCAACCTTCAACTTGTTCTTTGAGGATATGGAGGGGGTTGTATCTCAGGATTTTTTGATGGGGCACAGAGGTTGACTATCTGGATGCAGGGGCAAGTGCCAACCAATGAAAGTTACTGGTTTGCATCTTGACATGCCCTGGATTTTGCAGGCTTTTTATGGTCAGGGCCAGCGGCAGGCAACTGCGCCAAATTCTGCTTCTCCACTGGGACCCCCGCCAAACCCGTGGGCAGGCCAGGTGACTTATTTACTACAAGAGTAATTGTGGCCAATCGATATGCTCTGTCATAGCTACTGACAACTTCCACGGAACTTGGAAAAGCGGACCGTGCATGCTTGACCACTCCAACAGGTTGGATATTTGTGCAAGTGGCGGTTGTGTGAATGCTGAAGCCCTAGTATGTGGTGTGGAGTTGCAGTGCAAGGCACCAGCCACATCGGGTCATATAAACATTGAAGGGGTCCCCCTCTGACGGTTTGAGAAGGGGACATCCTTGTAATGTGAATAAGGGCCTCCATTTTACTCATGCTAACATGCTTAGCTCACTCAATGTGTGCAGAACGTCAGCCCCACTCTTTTCGGCGGTAGCCTTCCCGGTCCCTTCTTTCCGGTGAGCGCTCAATTTTGCAGTTTAGGTGGGAAGTGCTGAGAAGTATTGTTTCAGAGAGAGCTCTGATGCTGCAAACAGTGAGCGGTTGTTTCGGCATCTGGTTTGGCTCTTGCGCGGATTATCAAACAGCTGCTCTTACACTCTTATGTCCTTTGCAGGCTGGGTATGGCCCCTTTACTCAGAATCCTGCATCGGCCTTTGATCCCAACATAGCTCGTGTCAAGGTAGGCAAATCTTTCGTCTTTGGCAAAGACGAAGTGCGTGAAGTTGTAACCTCGAAAGCAAAATTACTTCAAGACACTTCAGTCATAGATGTTTGCATCAGCCGCTTGCCTACTCTTCTGCATCCATCTTCAATTTTGGGGGCATACCTGGAAGACGCTCTGAGACCAGGCTGATTCGGTGTACTTTGAAGGATCTTATGCACGACCGCATGTGTGGTTTGGCTGATCCCGCCCCTTGTTGTGCAGGGGTGGTTGCCTGGACAGTTGAGCGGGCAGCTGAGTGGGCAGCTGAGCGGGGGCACGGCCCTGCAGCGAGGCCAGGGCAGCCTGGGCAGCCTGGGCAACCTGCTTAAGTCCAATGGGGAATCGCAGAGCCACAGCAGCGGGGGCAGTGAGAGCAGCCATGAGGATGATAAGGCCCGAGTGGACATGGACCTCGCACCGGGCCTGCAGATCCTGAGAAAAAGGAGCTACGAGCACATGGGCATGGATGGTGAGCACTACGTGGGGAGGGTGCTGCTGTAGCAAGTGCAAGTAAACTTGTCAGCATTTACGAAAAGGTCACAATTGCGAACGATGAGGATTCGGTTCTAATGTGTGGTTGACATTGTTGAAGAGTAACTGAAAGTTAGCTTGCTGAAATCGGTTGCGCGAATTGTGGCAGATTGAGGTCTTTGTGTGATACTTTGCATTGAGATTATGCCCTTTGCTTCCACAGCCATTGCAGCACGGGGCACAGGCCTGCCTCCCTACCAGGGGAGAGGTGCGTTCGCCTCCGCATCCTCACAGGACTTTGCAAACGGCCCCAGCAAACCAACCGCAAGCGTCAAGGGCTTGTCCATGATCCCTGGTCTGCAGACTGGGGATCCAGGAAGCGAAAATGAGATGTGGTTACGCATGGGCCAGGGGGCTGACTCGGGAGGCGGCGAGGGGAAAGGGGATGTGGTAAGGGCTGGAGGTCACTCTTAGAGCCAGAGCTTTTTCGATGGAAGACTGCATGCAGCGTCTTGATATGCCTTACTTACTCTGCCTGTGCATGATATCCAAGCCTAGCTGTCTAGAGTCGTGCCTTGTGCGAGAACACTAGTGCCTGGCTGAACAACCCCGTCGGTTCTGCAGGACGATAAGGAAGTGAGAAAGCAGCGGAGGAAGCAAAGCAACCGAGAATCTGCACGCCGGTCTCGACTCCGCAAGCAGGTAAGGGCTGGCAGCGTGTTTCTTCCACAGAGCGTTCCTTCCTCCTTTCAGAGCAAGTAAAGGGGCCATAGAATGATGCACAGAAGCAGCGAAGGCATGCTTGTTTTGCTTTGAAAGGCCTGGAATCAATGGGGGTGCTCAGCGGACTCTGCGGTGCAGGCGGAGTGCGAGGAGCTGAGCGGGCGCGTAGACCACTTGAACAAGGAGAATGTGGCTCTGCGCGGAGAGCTTCTCCGCCTGAGCGAACAGTGTGCGCAGCTCGCAGCCGACAACAGGGCTCTCCAGGTCAGCATGCACAGGCCCGTCTGGCCATTTTTCGCCAGCCATTGGTAGCAGTTGGTAGTCTCTGCCAGGATGGGACTCTGGCAGTTTTTAGCGCCCCATGTCCCGGTTGCAACGTACTTGCTGAGTGCCTTCTTCAACCAGTCGCGCACTTTGCAAGCCGAATCCAGCCTTCGAAAGGCCATTGTGTTTGCCAAGCTCAACAAGCCCCACTTGCTGCGTCGGACAATTGGATACGTACTTGGAGCGAATCTGCCAGTTCCGACCCTTGGAACTCACTTCCCCTTGATTGAAAATGAATGAAGTCTTTGCTGCATCAAAGTCCTCGAGAATGTTCCCTGTACCCGACTGACCGCAGTGACACACCGAGGGCTCTGATTTCTCAGAGGGCCTCGAAGATGTGCCGGCTCAGTATTGGAGTAATCTCTTATACCTAAGCCTCCTCGTAGGCCCAGATGCTTTCTGCCATTGCTCGGTCTCACAGTTCTCCGTGGTGTGTTTCAGGAGGAGCTCCTCCGAGTTCGCAGTCGCGGCCCCACCTGGCGGGCAGCGGCGGCCCCGCCTGCAGCAGGACCCAGCCAGGTCCGCAAAGAGAGGCCGCCCTCAAGCGTGCCTCAACTATTCCATCAGGACAGGCCCAGCCCCGACAGAGCGGGACAAACCGCGACTGCAGATCATAGTATACGTGGGGCCAGCCGGCCGCATAGCGTCCGGGCCGCGGAGAGCCTGCAGCCGGCGGCAGTCGCCGGCTGGCTCGAGCCGCGCAGGCAGTGGGCACCTCCGGAACAGCTGGTGTTAGCAGGCCCTTCCCAGGAGCCCGCCGTGCCGGCCCTACACCCCAGCCCCGGTGCGGGAGAGGCGGCGCAGGCAGGCCCGCCCGTTGCAGCACCAGCTGTGCCAGCCGAGCAGGCCGAGCAGCAGGAGCTCCCTGCGCTCGAGGTGCCGAAACAGGGCGGCGCGGCTGTGTCGGGAGAGGCGCACAGTGGGGGCGACACGGGGCCGTCCACCCCGGGGCCCACGCTCACGGGGAACGCGGCCAGTCCCAGGAGAGACGGCGGTGCGGCAGAGGAAGCCTGGCCGTCGGATAGCAAGAAAGAGAAGATCCAGAAGCTGGAAGAGCAAGCAGGCTCTTTAGAAACGCAGGAGAGTGATAGAAATGACGGGGACGGCACAAGGAGTGAGCCGCCACGTGAAAGCTCGCCGGGTGAGGCGCACCAGCCCGGGGCTGAGGGCACACCCTCCGCCGTCTCTTAGATAATCAGCTACCTGTCAGCTAGTTATGGTAGTGCTCGCAAAGTCGCTCCATAGGTTCAGACGGCCGTGCAGGGGGATGATGTTTAAACAAGGAGGTATGCTTTACAGGCTGCAGGTTCGACTTATGCTTGGTAAGCAAAGGTTACTGGAAGTTTCAGGGATACACGGTCTGCATGTCAATATTCTGCATCTAGAACGTAGTCGTGGAGGCTCCCCTAACAACAGCTGTTTGATGCACTCGAAGAGATCATGGTCAGTTCTTTCGGCACGCAAAAACTTTGCAACATATCCGCCCGGGCCACATTCTTAAAACCTTCAGCATTCCTTACCATATAACTTGTAGCGTCGAAGATGCGGAGGCTACATGGTTCTATGATTTGCAAGTATTGAAAAGCATCATTGTTCTGCATTCCAGTCACACCCGAGTGATTGCAAAAATATCATCTACATAGGTATAGTACGTTTTGGTTGTGAAGTAACAACCGCGCATCGATACCAGGTGTTCAAGGCTAGGCTGTAGTAAACTTCAAGTTCTCATCCATTGGTCAACGATGCAGACTGCGGAAGCCGTCACTCAATTGCGCCAATGGTATAGCACAGATTGAGACATAAGATATGTTGATCGACCCTGGCACGTCGATCATCAAGATTATGTGGTACGATGGCATGATCGTGTACGTGGCAATTGAAACATATTCGGTCACTTCCGCCTAGCCACTGCAATTACAGTCTGCCTGCATGCACCATTGAGGATCTAGTTTCAAAGGGTGCATGTGTCCCAGGTGCCGTCCACCAGCTTCGATTCACCGAAGCGCGTCTGCCTGGCAATCAGCAATCACAAACGGCCGATCCATACAGGTCAATATTGCTAATTTCTAGGTACACTGCCCGGCCTTGAATTACAGGAGTTTTAAAACAATAGTTCTTATTGGACATCACTTGCAGCCGACATGCCTCGTTGATATCGGTTAGAAACAAGGAAGATTCACGCGCCTCCGGGCTTCAGGTTAACACCATCCTCAACGTGGCTGCTCTGACAATGATTTGCTACAAGCATCGAGAAGGACATAAAAACTCTGCCATCGATCCCTGACGCCTCATGCACGTTGCTTGGCAGCAAATCTCGCTCCCTACAGTAGTCAAGGGTAATACCCATCTTGTCAGGCGAAAGATGATCAAACATTATTCCTCTTCCAGACGGGCGGCGTCCAAGTCTGCCTGCACGGCTCCCTGGCGGACGTAAAACCCATCTAGCATTGTTTGCGAGATCTCCGGCAGTGCTATCTCGAAGGCCAGGGCCGCTTTCACGGCCGCCCCCTCGTCTTGGGACGCCAGCCAATATTCCATAGCCATCTGCTTGACGTCGGCGTCACTTAAGGTGGGGTTGGGTGGAAGCACAGTGGCGCGGCGCTGCACTTCTTTCCGGAGGTGGAAGAACCTGCGGGCAAGGGTCCGACTACGAAGCTCAAACCAAGGCCGTCCTTAAGGCGTCCGGAAGCAGGAGCCTGCAGTGCGACAGTCCTGGCAGAATGACCCACCTGGCTGATGCCGATTCCAAATGTCCGCTGCGTCTACGAGATCTATTGCTTTCATCGCCGTTAAATCAGGAAAGTCCGAGAGATCCTGCCGCTCTGATCAAACGCAAGTTGAGGACACCATTAAGAAATAGGTCGATGGCAGTCGTCAAAATAAAGCGCGCGGCTTTGTGTGCCCCTCACATGCTCATCACGTGGCGGTAGTCCTTCTGGAGCGTCAAGGCGAAGTCTTTTTGCAGTTCAATGTCCTTCACCTTCGTCCAGGCCTCCAGCACTACAAACGGCAAATGAGCAATGAGGCACAGGAAGGAGAACGTCATTTGGAACAGGAGAGCTAAAGAATGAATCTGAGATCGACCGAGCTGCTGAAGGCACCTGCACGCAAACAGGCGAACTCAACATTCAAGGAGTCGAGACGACGGTGGCATCGTGAGGGTGTGCGAAAGCAACTGAATCAAGCAAGAACTTTGGCTGCTTACCGTGGTCGAGCAGCTGGTCGAGAGCGACTTGCATTGGCTCGAAGAGTGGGCCGATCCCGGGCAGAAGGGACGCCTCGCTGACCTCTCCCTGCAGCAGCCAAAGAGCGGTCAGAGCAACTCAAAAGGTCTTGCAAGAGATACACATACGGCCGGGCGGAACAATCTGACAGAAGAGGGCTGTCCTTCGTCATTCGATCTTAAAAGTCTACTGCATCCACAACCGAGAAGGAAGCACAGGTTGGGTGGCAGAGATTGACCTGTAGGAGGACGTTGAAGACCACGGTACGCAGGTCCTTGCTCGGGTTGGAGCCGGCATGCGCCAGCCACAGGTAGGCGGGGCTCTTGATCTTGGCGCGCCGGAACATGGAGTCTACCGCCACGAAGCCCTCCTGCGATTCGCGCAAGCTGTCGAGCAACTCTGTGGAGAGCGATCGCGCGCGAAAATTTGGCTTCTTCGTACTGGGCACACGCACTTTGCATAAACTATAGCCCGGACCTGAGGTTCTGCGGAGGTTCTGCTTCGCATAGAGTACCTTCTCAAGAAACCATCTGCTATGCTTTCCTCAAGAGGGAGGGTATACTTTCAGATGCAGCTCAGTCTCTGAGCCACTCGCGCACCTCCGAGAAGGGCAGCTTGGCGGCCAAGGCGAGGCAGTCCTCCTCGGACGCGATGTCGAAGCGCTGGGGCAGGTCAAGCCCGGGGACGGGCAGGTCCTCGGGGAAGACCTCCCGGTGGGTCGGCATGTGTCGCGCGCCCAGGTACACCAGCCGGCCCTGCGCGTGCGGCACCACCACCCGCGTCTCAGGATGGCAGCTGCAGCGAAAAAAGAACAACAAGAGGAGCGTTCAGGAAAGGACGCCAGATCATAAGTCGTTTCGTAGTCAAGAGGTGAGCCTTTTCGATTCTACCCATGCTCATGTTGAGCGTTGTGTCAAACGGTTGAAAAGCTGGCGATATAAACCCGGTCAGCACCCGCATAAATATACTGATATTATGGCAACGAGCAGGCCCAGACGTTAACCCGAAACTGTAGCTCCACAGAGAAGCACATGGTAATTGTTTCAAACTTCTTTCGAGACTGAACGTGCTCCCCTGACGCCTGCTAGTAAAGAAGCAATCCATGGATCCCTACCTTCTCTGATTTGAATGTGTGACATCAAAGGATATTCCGGGGACGGATCACATACGTGGATCGTGACTCTACGAAGCTCAACGAAAGTTCCAGCAACTACATCTTCTCCTCAAAGGCATACTGCCGCCTTCTTCAGATGGTAGGTCAATCCCCTTACAGCTCGAACATGTAAGTATAGTCGGGGTGCAGCCCCGCCGGGAACTGCGGCCACGTTTCGTCAAACACGTCCCGGAACGTCCGGTCGCTAGATGCCATGTGGATCTTCGCGTCCGAGGCGTCCACGGTCCGGTTGGTGGCGACCCGCCACGCGCCCTGCCAAGCCAAGCTGTCGCTGTCAGACGCCGTTGGGAGCCGTGGACAACCCTCTGAAACCGTACGCGGACACAGTCGATGAAGGTTTTGGATGATTTCGGAGCACCGTTATTTAAGATGTTTGTAAAGCACGCAGAACGCCAGTCTATAATCTGGTTCTGATCCAGAGGTGTGGTCTCATGAGCAATAACGTGCTTCCCCCCACCTTGTAGAAGTAGGCTTTCATGAGAGAGCCGTCGAGCTTTTCGTAGACGCGCGCCGTGGCCCAATCGAGAGGATCTCGCTTCTGGTCCGGCTCCCCCGCGTTGAAGAACTTGTCAAACGGCCGGCACACCACCCTGCCGCAGACCGAGCCGCCATGGGAATGAGGCGTTTGGTTTGCAAAGAAGACCTTAGGGAACTGCCTCAGACAGATGTCGGAGGCGTCCTCGGAAACCATCGTTATGAGACAATAGTATGGCGTATGCCGAAAACTCTACTCCTCTTTGCTGAAAGCAAGAAGATAAATGCGCGGCACTACTGCTCCATTGTCTTCGATATTCCCTTTCGCTCAAACAAGCAACCTGGTGCTTGGTCTGTGCACTGAATTTCGCCGTGAACCCAACTTTCTCCAGACTCTGTGCTCAAAGGAGGTGCCACTTACCTCCTCAGCTTTACCTATAATTGATTCGAGCGGCCCGCGGTTCTAACGCCTAGCCAGCAGCAAGCGAAAGGGGTTTTGGTGAGACAGAGTTGGCCCTACCTGTTGGTTTCCTTCTCCAGAATGATCCCCCGCGCCTGCCGCACCTCGGGCAGCTGCCACGTGGACTCTTTGCGGATAATGGCGAGCATGTCGTACGACACGCTGTACAGTTCTGGCAGCGCCACGCTCTCCCGCACGCGTAACCCGTATGGCGGACTCTCCAGCAGGCGGCTGACGTCAGCAAAGGACCGGCCCCGCACCAGCTGCTCCAGCTTGATCAGGGGCCGCCCGGTCTCGTCCACAGGGGCCGGGGCGGGGGCCGCGCTAGAGGTGCATTGCGGACGAGACGCATGTACGGGCGCCCGGAGAGAGTCACCGTGTGGAAGATGAGGCGTGTGGAGGTCGGCCGCCATTGAGCTGCAGGGGGAGCCGAAGCTTGTTCAGTAATCTTCAAGTCATCAACGGTCAGCATTTGAAAACTCGTGCTGAATCGGCCGAGTTGAGGGGGCGAGTCCTTTTTAGTCACGAGCTACAAATATTCAAAGCGGCGGTAACTAGACAATTGCACGACAACTCACGGCTTTTATTCTAGACAGGCCCTGAGTACTGAACAAAACGTCCCACAATTCTGAGGGCAAGGAAAGGGCCTATTCAAACTTGCCATGGCTGGCGCAGTGCTCGCCCAGAAGTCTGGGGGGTTCGACGAGTGATTTTACCAATTCCCTCCATGTTACCGGTTGGCCCCCATCCTAGAGTTGCTTCTCACAAAACCTGCATCTTCAGCTAGCAAAGAAGACAGGTATGAAGGGGGAAATCATGCGGCCTTGCTAGACGTCCACTTGCCTGGTTGCCAATGGACTTCTGAGGCAACAAGCCGCTTGTGTTTTTCCCCCAAAACGAACCCTGGTAGGCAAAGCGTCTTCCTTCCTGTTGGGGCTGCCCACTTTACTGGCCGTCGTTCTCAACACTCGCCAGTCAAGAGCCAGCCTGCGGAAGCCTTCAACAGATAAGTTGGATTGCACCAAGCTGAGCGGCTTCTGATTGCAACGTTGAGGTCCGGCCGGCGTGAAATGCAGCCGGCATGATTGCTGTATTGAAGATGTGGTGACACAAGCCATCTTCAAGTTCCTCAGCAACACAGAAAACATACGCGCGCAAGAACACCTTTGCAGAGATACGTCACTACGTTGCTGCCTTCAGCTCTTGGCATTCACGTTGGTTTTGTGACGAAACGGGGACGACACACCGCTTGGAAGCAAGATAGGTCTCGGGATAAGATACCTAACTTCCCCCGCACTCGAATACTAATGTAGGCCGGGGGCCCCCGGCACGGCGCAAAGGTGGCAGCCGTCGAACGTGACCCAAACCCTGGGGGAACGCAACCCCTAGGTTTTATGAACTCCCACGTGGATTTTTGCTTGAAGCCTAAGCCGTCGATGATGCTCATCGTTTGGTTGGTGACAGGTCCGGATACAGCGCCTAAGTTTTGAAGCCTGTTCGGACTCAGCGCCGCGGGCCCGGCCGCGTCTAGCCTGCCCCCGGGGCGGACCGCGCGACCGGCCTAGCTACGTACTGGTACCGGCGCGCGTCAAGGAGACGGCTGCAGTGTCCTCAGGGCAGGCCAGCTAGGCGGGGTGCATGCGCTTTTCGAAACCGGCTTCGTCCAAGTTCTACAATAGAGAGCTGCTTGGGAGCGCGGAATAGACAAGGACCGGTGAGGCATCTGAGGTTGTTGCACAATCCAAGCAATGTGAGGGAATGGCTGCAAGGTTTGCGAGGCTGCTTCAAGAGTGCGCGATATCAGTCTCATCACATGCCTGTGACGCTCAGCGACACCGAGCGGCAATCGGCGCCCACATTCTCCGCCAGCATTACTCTCCCCTGAGCAAGTCGCATTTGCCCGAGATCTTGACTGGTGCTGCAAAAGGTGGTGATGGTGGTGGTGCGGGGGATAGTGGAAATTGTGCATTTAATCGGACCCCATCAGTCCGCCCAAAGCACACAAAAGACCTGGACGCGCAGGCAGAATCTGAATCTGGAATCAGCTTTGAGTCCCCCCCTGCGGGACGCTTCCTGCGAGACCCGCGAGAATGGGTGTGGATGCCCCCTGTGCCCCAGAAGCTGGACGAGTGGGAGGCAGGCCCGAATGCAGACAGCGCCTCCAGCACTACTGGCGCCTTCCAGTGGCTGCGCAAGTGCCAGCCGCAGCTGCCCCACGCCGTCATTCACAAGCTGTTTCGCAAACGGGAGGTGCGCCTTGTGGAGACAGCAGAGAGCCCAGATCAACCAGGTGAGGTGCACAAAGCCCCCCCTGCGATCAATGGAGGAGATGACACAGCTCATTACAGGCTCTAATGACAAGTGGCACCAGCTGCTCCAAAGTGGTGGTGCGCGAGAAAACATTGCCGAAACCGTTCTCCAGCTGCCGGCCAGTGCTTTCAGCTCAAGCTGCACCACCACCAACATGTGACTCCTGCTTTCCCCAGACCCCAAGGGACGCAATGTGCCAGTACTCGGGCTACTATGCTGTCTGGGGCCCTCCTTCAGCCGCATGACTAGGCTATCCCTTTTGTTTCTCCAGCTACACTGCGGCGCATCTCAGATGCCGAAGCCCTGCCCCCTGGCAGCGTCCTCGTGATCCATGCTCGAGCGATGGAGCCAAGAGCAGCCCCCAAACCAGGGCAGGTCCCAAGAGAAGAGCCGGCCCTTGAACAGGCAGCCAGGCGGTCGGGAACTACAAGAGTAGCGGCTTCCAAGGGCGATCCTGCGGTGGTACGGCCCGAGGTTCAGGAGCTGCGGGAGAGGGTGCTGTTCCGGGACGAGCATGTGGTGGTCATCAACAAAGCGCATGGGCAGGCGGTCCAGGTGAGGGCCCTGGGGGTCATGGCTGGCTAGTTTATTGTCAGAGTAAACTGGACAGAAACTTAATGTCTCTGGAGGCTAGAAGTGAGACGCCCTAGATGGGAGAAAGGTACCTTCACCTTCTTTGGATGCTGACATCTTGACTGGTTCCAAGATTGAAGAGAGATTGGACACTCTTTCTGCTTCGGAGTCGCTTGTCCGGCATGTCACATGACCAAGGTCATCTTCCCTCTGCAGGGCGGCCGCAACATCCGAGAGTCTCTGGATGACCTACTGCAAGAGGCATTCTCAAAAAGCGATGGAGAGCGGCCACGGCTAGTGAGCAACCGTCTACCTCACCCCCAATCATTTGAATGCACCTTGACCAGGTGGCTCTTTGCGTGAACCAGATGCAAATACCCATATGCCAAAGGCAGGGTTCCAGATGCTCAAAATGACAAGCGTTTCCCCAGTACGAGCCCAAGTAAGACATCGTCGTCTCGACTCCGACCCTGGTTTTGAGTCCCTCGAAAGGTCCCCAGTACCCCATTTCCGAGTACGTAAGATACCAAAGCAAGGACCAGGTACCTGAATGGGCTCGCAGATCAGTCTCCGGATACTTCTTGTGCCGAAAGAGCACAATCCAACTGCTTCTTTACAGTTTCTAACTGTCGAAGTATGACCTTGGTCGTATGGTAGAACGAGGCCGTGTTCGACCCCTGCTTTCAGTGCTATGTTTTGTTCAGTGGGCACCGCACATTCACCTTCTGTTTGCTGGCACAGAATTTCGGCGGATAGTCGATTTGGTAGCAGAATAGGCGGTCGTTTTCACACAAACTCCTGGCGGGCGGCGCTTCGCTTCCGCAGGTGCACCGGCTGGACAAGGACACAAGTGGCTGCCTCATCGTGGCCCTCTCAGAGCAGAGTGCGGTGGCCGTCACAGGACTGTTCCGTCACAAAACGGCAAGTGCCATAAGCAGGGATGTCGGTGATGGGGAGGCTGCAGAACGGACGGGATTGCAGCGCGCATACTGGGCCCTGGTGGAAGGGATCCCTGCACAAGCCGAGGGCGTTATCGATGCCCCTGTCAAGAAGGTAGGTTGCGCTTTACGGTTGCCTTATAGCATAGGCTCCTCTCGTCGTTCCTCTCCGCCTATATTTCGTTAAAATTAGGCTAATGTTCTGGCAGGTTGCAAGCAGCTAGTAAGGTGTTCTAACAAACGTTTTCGTGATATTCAACAACTTGTCGAAGTCAAAGCTTTGCAGTCTACTGTCTGCAAGAAGCTCGTGGTTGTGGTGCAACGCCTTGTATTTTCTGCTGCGTCCTCCTTGTCTTTCTATGGGCCCAATGCTTTGATATCAATGTTCGGTTTCGCGGTTGAGAGCTACCTGATCTGAAACCTGCTCTCATGCGGCAGTGCGTAACCGGAGCCAGAGGGGAACGCATGGTGCTAGCCGACAGGCAGGACGAGGCTGCGCTGCCCGCCCTGACGCGGTACCGCACCGTGGCCACCTCTCCCCAGGGGTTCGCCTGGCTCGAGCTGCAGCCCCTTACCGGACGCAAGCACCAGCTACGGGTGCACGCCAGCTCTGTTCTCTCGTGTCCGATTGTTGGGGACTATAAGTACGGCTTCGTAGGGCAGGTTCGAAAAGGGCGGGAAAAGGACGGCACCGTAGGGGTGTTAGATGCCGACAAGAAGGGCAGGGGACGGTCGGCTAAGACATCCGGCGAAGCAGTGGGCGATGCCGGCTCGGCCTCGCCGCGCTTGCATCTGCACTGCCGATGGGTCGAGCTGCCCAAGCTGCACTGGCTGGGCACACGCGAGGAAAGCAAAGGTAGAACAGGCCACACGAGTAGGACAGAGGAACGGACGCGGGTCGAGGCCCCTCTGCCGCCTCACATGGAGGCTACTTGGAAGGCTCTTAAATTCTTGATTGGTCGATTGTAATGCATTTGTGTTCTTCAATCAACACCGGCACGGTGTAAAATCTGTTAGGATGCAATTTCATGTAATTTCGCATATGCAGCGTGCATGCAGCATGTGAGCCTGATTGCGCGATGATGCTGCGATCATTTGTTAGGTTAGAAATGCAGCCTGAAACCCACACGCAGGCAAGATGTGCGGTTGCGCGTCCCACACGCAACCGATGGCCACATGCGAAGCAGATACTACCGCATGCTTAGAATTTCGCGATATTCTGCATGCCTACACTGCACTGGATGATCCATTTGTTTACCAGACTCTGAACTTAATATTGCCATGAGTCTCGACCGTCTAGTTGGCGGTGCAGCTACACGATCAACATGTGGCCACCGCCAAGGCTGCATGAGATTGGGCAGCGCCGCTGCATCATGTGAGCTCTATCGCGACTGCATATAGCTACCGTACTGTAATAAAAGAAACCCATCATGCCAGGATGCGGTGAATGCTACAGGCTGGGCGCGGCCACGCGCCAGGCTAGCTAAGCATAACCCATGTCAACGTTCGAATTGGCGGACTAAGGTTCAGTCCGAACCCGATGTTGGGCGGTCGCGGCCCTGGCAGCCAGACCATGCAAGGTCCACACAACATTGAGTGACCCTGCTCCGGAAGAATAAGAAAATTTGAAAGGGTGCAGCAGCCAGGGGGCGCCCTGACATGTTCTCTCGAATCAGTTCACCAAATGGAGTAGAGAGCCACTCCAGTCCCTTCCAGTCGGCTCGCAGCATGAGGTAACCATGATATATTGTCAGGGGCAGATAACCGCTATATGATGTGTATAACTTGGACGATCCAAGTGAAGTAGCCCAGGCAGCTGCCATGAGCAGCACGTCTCCAGCATTGATTGGCAATGTCTTGTGATGGCCTGCAAACAACTCAGAAGTTGGGTTGGTCCTCGTGAAACCCAGGACAGTCATCTCGGATTATAAGTAAGCCTGCCCATTTCCTGCAGACTTGATGTCGTCGAATTGGAACCTTAACGCACGCGGCTGGGGACAAAGGCAAACGCTACTTGTCTCTTTGACATCTACCGAAAACAATCTTGACAGCTCGTAGAGCCTGTAGTCCTACAAAGTGATCACTCGGCTCCAGCTCGAGCTTGCTGTTGTTCCAACGTAAGAACGGTTCTGTCCTTGACTCCTCGACCTCTACTTTGAAGCCGCGTGCGGCTGGCCCTCATTGCTTCAGAGCCTCAGGAGGAAGTTACGGCTCGGGAACACGCGCATATACCTGTGGCACAGCACAAGGCGTTACGAGAGTTGCGGCCTGCCGACTTGAGAGCTGCAACACGGTGCCTCAGACAGAGAGAAGGAGCGGCTGGTGAGTGTCGCTTGCGGAAGATTTTACTTCACACCAGGAACTGAGCATCAGGCACCTTCTGCTGTATCTTGTATGTTCCAATGCGCCCATTCCAAGGAAGAGCAAGCGGAGAGTCAGCTCCCTGACATAAAAATTCTGTACGCAAGAAGAGAGATGGTGAGGTGTGTGCACCAAGGCTTGGTCCGCTGCGCACCTGGGCTGTTCGTGGAGGCGCGCCGGTGAGGAACGAGTTGGGCCGGTTGTTGAAGTTGGTCTCCGGCTTGCCGGGCTCGCCTTCGGGAGATGTGAAGTGGTCCACCAACGGGTCCACCTGCGCACGCCGCCAGCCAAAACAATGTTCTAAATCAGAACGGGGACGGTCGCCCAGATGGGTTACGCGTAGCTATGTCGAGGCTAAGGCACTGGGCATGCGCAGCATGAGGGCCGGAACCTTGAAGACAAGAATACTGCCAAGTCGGCAGATAGGGTCATTATTCAATAGCAGATAATTTGGCAACTAGAGCGAGGGGCGGCCGCTGACCCTGCCGTGCCCCCCGAAGGCTGGGTCGTCGGTGTCGAGGACGACGCGGTACTTGCCGGGGACGTCGCAGCCGACCTTGTAGCCGTCGTAGCTGTTGCTCGCGTGGAAGTTGAACACGAACACCAGCTCGCCGCGCTCAAACACGATCGTCTGCACGCAGCAAAGGGTCGCGATTTCAGTACGAGTCGAGGGCCGTCATCACTTGGCACACAGCAAACGGAATCAACTTGAAGATCGAGACACCTGTTTAAATTTGAGGAGTAACGTCTTGCAAAACAGTCGGTGTAGGGCAGGGAATGAAGGGCGATTGCCCGCGCGCTGACCTTTTCCTCCTCGCTGGCGCAGGAGACCAGCTGGTGCGGCGAAGCCAGAAAGTGGTACTGCTCATCCAGGGCTTGCATGGCGGCGTCAAAGGCTTGCATGAACTGCAAGTGGGGAAGGGCTCATTGAGAAACAGAAACAGTCACGAGCACTCCGGTGGAAAAGTATTTAGAGAGGTTCCTAAACAGTGTTTGCGTCTAATCGAGCTTTCCAACGAGCCCACCAGAAAACGGAACTAAAACAACAACCTCAAACGGGTGTGATGCAAAGAAGCTGCAGTAGAGCCCAAAACGATCACAAAGAAGGACGATAGCCATCCGGGAGAAGCGTGTGCTTCAGGGCAAGATTGTCGAGCTGACCTTGTATCGGAGGTGATCTGCGTCGGCCAGGTCCCAGCGGCGGCGGCACTTGTCGTGGCTCCAGTTGTTGCCCTGCCGCGGGAAGTCCACCCACTCCGGATGCCCGAACTGCAGACGAGCAGCAAAGGGAGCACGTCATGCGGAGAGGCGCCGGATGAAGGAGGCCATATGGAATTTGAGGCACGGACTTGAACAGAGCTTTGGATTGAGTGTGGCCCAGCGCCGACTATCGTTCACATGATTGCGGCAGCCATGCTATCAGGCTGCGTTTTCTTTTCAGAATGAGCTGCAGAAGCGGCGTCGTTACCTCGTTGCCAATAAAATTGAGGTAGCCCTCGCCGCCCAGCGCCATCGTCAGGAAGTGGATCATCTGCACAATAACACGACAGCAGGCATCAGCGGTGCGCTCGGATCCCTGGGCTCAGGCAGCCATCGGATGCATTCCCTCACCTCCTTTTCAGGAACTCGCGTATCTTTACCACGTTAAACCTGATCGCCGAGATGCTATCACGGTCAGCAGTGGCGGCCAGAAGGGGAACTAGTCGCAGCTAGGCGAACAGTGTCCAGGCGACCCACCTTGTGCAGCGCAATGCCCCGTTCCACGGCCGGGGGTGGCGCGGAGAGCGCGGACATGCCGTCGTACATGGCCGAGTCCATCAGCCAGAAAGCAATCGTTTTGTCGCCCACCATGCACTGCAAGAACAGCGGCTTATTAAAAGAGTGACGAGAGTACCCGTTTTGACTGGTGCGAGGACCTTGGAACTAGTACCAGTTAATCTTGCACGTTCCAGGAAGGATGAGACCGCTAGCCTCTATCAAGCTTGGCAACTATTTGTCGGTGTTGCCTACATAAATCAACAGCTTGCGCTATCACGAAGCCGACATCGATATCTTGGGACTTGAAGAAGCATCATTGAAAGCGTTCTCCAGTGAGCAGTCCAGCTTGCAAATAAGCCACGCAGGCGTCTACGGCGCCAGCACGCACTGCCCGTACCTGGTCGTGCGACTCGGCATACGCGATGGTCTTCTCGGTGTAGCGGCGGTCCGTCAGGGCATGCACCAGCTCGCCCATGCTCCACTCGTCGTCCTTCCGATGCTGGAGGCACACAGTCACGGCGCTCAAAATCTCGTTGTTTCGGGCCCGTTAACGAAGCAAACCACTCGCAAACAGGGTAAATCTGCGGTTGAACTTGTCTACATTCTGTGTCATTCGGATGATGGAACTGTAAACAGTGATCTCTATTCGTAGAGACGTAGTATAGCAGCGGGCGGTTCACCTTGAGTATCTCGATCCACTTGTCGGGGAGGCCCATGCCCAGGCGGTAGTCGAAGCCGACGCCGCCTTCCGCCGTCGGCCGGCACAGTGCAGGCATGCCCGAAACATCCTGCCACAGCACACAGCCGCCCAATAAGCAGGCTGCCCCTACTTTCATGAGCACAAAACCCTGTCCAACTATTTGCAAGAAGCGCTGGAAGGGGAGCGGACACCTCTATAAGGACTTCCTCTTTTTGGCGTACTTCAATCCATATCGTGAGCTTTCCGTCTGCCAAAGAGACTCCGCTAAGGCGCCTTAAACAGATGAGATTTGGCCCGGCGTGTTACGGAAGAGGTGCGAGCCGAAAGAGCGCGCGCGCGCACCTCTGCGATGGTGGTGGCCTGCGGGTCGAGCGCGTGCACGAGCTCGTTGGCGAGCATCATGTACACCACCGCGTCCACGTCCGTGTCCAGGCCGAAGTACTCGCCGTACCGCCCGCTGAACGACATCTGAGCACAACAACAACACAGCGCGCGCGGCTGAGTATGGGGACTCTGACTCTCAGACAGGACGTCATCACGGTTAAAGCAGCGCAGACACGGGTATGTACAATTGCGTACGCTCGATGCAAAGTTCAGAGAATCAACAATAAGAAAAAGGACGGAGCAAGGTAGCAACAATTTCCCGCCGAAAAAGCGAAGCGTAAGACCTTGCTCTCTGGCTTGAAGGGGTCCGCAGGGTAACAGAGAGTAAGAAAATTAAAGAGCGGGCGTGGGCGGCTGCTGACGTTGATGCCGTGGTGCAGGTAGAGCATGGAGGTGACGCCATCGAAGCGGAAGCCGTCGAAGTGGTACTCTTCCAGCCACCACCGCAGGTTGGACAGCAGGAAGCGCTGCACCTGCAGCCGGGCAACGGAGGGGATCGCTCCACAGGAACTCAGCAGTGTGCAGTCTTGAAGACAAACCGGACCAGGTAAAAAGAAGAGGGGGGCCTCGCGGATCGTTCAGCAGAACTGCAGCGGCTTGGCGTCAGACCTTTGTCCAAGACACGGATCAGGAAATTAACACACATTCATAGGACTGAAGCAAATTCAGCGGTAGAACTGACGCAGAAACCAGCGACACTCAAACCAGAAAACGTCGCATGAAAGTGCTCTGCGGGATGACAGCACAGTGGGGTGTTAGCCGCGAGCCCAGCCTTACCTCCCAGTTGGTGTAGTTGAAACACCGGCTGTCCCAAAGAGAGTGGTACCTGCACAAGCAACCACGAGTTCATCTGGACTACTCGACTTTCCATTGGACCGGAAAGATCGCGACGCCATAGCATGCGCGCAAACGAGGCAAAGACGGAGAGGCGGACGCAGCAACGCCCCATCGAAAGGACCATTGAGAGGTGCGGTACAAGTGACTTGCCCTCTGGCTCCCGTGTGGAAGTAGGAGTCCGCGGCTGTCTGGTTGAAATCGAAGCCGTTCAGGCCGTCGTTGACGTTATTGCTGCGAGGACGAGAAGTGTCGAGTCAGCAAGTGGTCTGCACGGTTGCATACATTTGAGGGCATGCCGCAGAAAACATACAAAGGCACGAGGACTTATGTCAAAGTGAGGGCTGCAGGTCGCTGACCTGGCGTGACTATGTACAACGTCGAGCAACACGCGAAGCCCGAGAGAGTGGGCGCGATCGATCAGAACCTGCACGAGAGGCACATGATTTGAAAACAGTTAAGAGTAGAGCATGAACGTCTGGAACCTGAAAGATAAGAACGATTGTAATCAGGCGCAGAGTTCCAAGAGTCATTGTCCTCCCCCGTATCCAAGAGAAGCTGCTAAAGACACTTAGCTCGATGACATTATCGATTTTTGCGAAAGGAAACGAAGCCTGGTAAGATCATCAGCAGAAGCAACAGCCAACATCCAAGTATATCCAGTGGTCAGTCGATTGGTTCCCGAAGCTATCTGCTCATCTAAAAAGAAGCGAAGTCGTGGACGGGTGCGGCATGGTGCGTACCTTGAGGTCGTCGGGCGTGCCGGAGCGGCTGCTGACGGCGAAGAAGTTGGTCACGTGGTACCCGAAGCTGCCGTAGTACGAGTGCTCCATCACCGCCATCAGCTGCACACGACCCCCCGTAACAAATCAGCCCGCTACCCAACTTTTTGAAGCCGCTCAGCGGGACTGATACTCAGCAATCTTGACGACATGATCTCTCTGCCACAATGGAAGCCTGGACTTTTCGGGAAAATAGAGCAAAGGGGGGCCTGCTTTGGCTGACCTGGATGGTGTTGTAGCCGAGTGCGGCCACCCGCGGGAGGACTGTCTCTGCAAACTCGCGGTAGGAGGCCACCTTGGGCTCCACGGAGCTCATGCCCACGTGGGCCTCGTAAATGCGGGGGGCCGCGGGCCGGGGAGGCTTCGGGTGCTTGAACTCGAACCTGGGAAGAGGGGACTGTTAGACACGCTTCTTGTCGACCAATCACCACTTCCTTTAATTTTGCAATTAAGAAACACGAGGTTGTATGAAGATTATGACAAGGATTCGGGGCCGCAGACCTCTCCTTTGTCTGCAATTTGACAGCTCCAACTCCAAGACGTCCTTTCTGAGGGTTTGGATCAAGAGGTATCAACCGCGCTGCTCAAAGCAGCCGAGGTTTCGAATGTTGATGTTGGAACTACTAACTTTTCTGGGGGGTCCCAGTAGACGCCGTCGTATGTCGCCCCCATCTTGCCCGGCTCCACGGTGGCCCACTTGATCCACGCAGGGATGCGGTCCACCCACATGTCGCCGCTGCGCTGCATGCGGATCTTCACCCTGCCGAAAAATAGCCATGTCAGACTTAAGCTCATCTTGTAACACCCCCAAAGAAGTATTGACATCCCCTGCCAGTAAAGAGCCACATCAATATTGAGCCCACCATGTTACACTGCCGAAGACGTGTCACAATCGTCGGAGGCCAACATCTCACAGGTCTCATGGTGTACAAGAAGGACAGGTCCCCTCTCTGTGACATGTTAGCAGGGCATACAAGAAGACCAGCGTCACTCTGCAAAAAAATTACCTTTTAGAAAGCTGGGCGAACGAAGAGCCAGGGGCTGACTTGTGGTGCCCACCTGGACTTGTGGGGGATGGCAGGCTTGCCGTCCACGTCCGGGATGCGCAGCGTCCACACCCCATACTCATTCTTCTGCATCTGGTGGCCCCACCCATTCCAGTTGTTGAAGTCCCCAATCAGCTGGGCCGCACTGCAAGGCCGCCAGACCTCTTGTTTGTACTTCCCTGGTGACAAGCCGTTCCAAGTGTTGCTCAGATGCCGAAGCCCACATCAGCCTTCATTTGCCTGGGCTTCACTAACAGCGCGCTCCATTGCATCATAGTCCCTTTATCCTCACCTGGCGGCTGGGGCCCACTCTCGATATACGATGGCGCCGTCCTCCCGGTTGAATCCAAAGCGCTTGAAACCCTGAGAGAAGTTGTCAAGCCCCCCCTCATTGGCGGTGATGGCTTTCTTGGTCTCCAGGTACTTGTGGTATTGATACTCCAGGTGCTCCCGGAAGGGCGCCAAATTGGGGTCCGTGTCCATGATCGCTAGACCATCATGAGCACTGGCCCGCACCGGCACCGCACCGCTCTGCTGCCGGGGGCTGACACCTGGCGGCGGCTGCACAGAAAACGAGAGCCAGCAAGTTGCCAACTGTCGAAGCAGCTGCTACAACCAGTATGTCCCGAAGATGTTTTGAGCTGCACACTTTGACGTCCTCGACCTTTAGTCTTAGAGACGTCACGCATTGCTCAACAACTCAGAATTGTAGACTTATCTAAGCACCACCTCCCTTTGCACCACTAATAGAGTACCATCATCTAGTATCAACACACTAGCACAGCGCTACCCGCCATGGCAGACATGGATTCAGATCCGTGTGCATGCAATCATCAGCATCGCAATGTTGTAGGTGCTCAAATCGGCAAGAGGGCAATTCTTTTGACAAACTGACCTTCGCCAAAGAGATCTGCACTCCCGCAAATGCAGACGCTGTCAGATCAGGAGTCCCCGAACGCCTCAAGAGAGTCGGTGCGCTTCCAGTGGGCGGGATCACGGCATTGAACACGGGGGCAGCTCCTTGCCCGGATCTTGCTAGCACTAGCTGAGTGGACGGCTTGAGAACGAGGGACTGGCTGGAATGTGTGATCATGCTGCCTTGCCAGCTGCTCCCCTCTCTCGTACAACTGCGAATGCGGCAACTTTGCTGCACACGAGCTTGCTTAGATGTAGTGAAGGTTCAGGGTTCCGAGTTTTCCGTCCCCTAACCGGGAAGGATTTGCCGAACGAAACCGCCTGGTTTCTAGTAACCCGCCCTCTCCTCCAACCTACAAGGTTGCAACCTGGCGCCCACTCAAGTTGGCGCATTGCCATTGGCGAAGCCTGGAGATCGTTCCAGTGGCAGGAGAGGCTCCAACCACAGCAAATCGCTGCAGGGCGCAGCGAGAAAGCCTACGTAGCCCCTCTCCTGCAGCCCCCTTGAAGCACCGACGTGATGGTGTGAGGCATTCCATGTCAGCAATGGAGCCAGAGGTCGCTGCGGAGGACTGCATGCTCCAGTTCAAGCTGCGGGACTTTGTGGATCGTGCGCCCAAGTTCGATTATGCGGGGACGGCTCGCCAAGGTGATGCCCCTCCTCTAGTGGTTGACAATGGGTCATACCGGTGCCGCGTGGGCTGGGGCACGGAGGCAGAGCCCCTGGTGGACGTGCGGAGCCTGGTGTCAAAGCCCCGAGTGAGGGCGACGGGGCATGGCGGCACAATTGTGGGCGAGTATTCAGGGGAGGCTGTCAAGGTGTTTGATTCGTCCCGGTCGACAGCAGTCAGGTCCGCCTTCGATGGCAATGTGGTGTACCAGTTTGAGACGCAGGAGGCGGTGCTGGACTACACCTTCGAGCGCCTCAGTATCATGGTGAGTTGGAGGGGGACAACTGCCCCTTACTATAAAAGACATGGTGGCACTCCTGCAGCTGCTGGCAAAGTTTGAACAATCTATGGAAGGGCCTCGACCCCGTACAATGCCCTCTGTGGTGGAACAAAGTTGACGAGAAAGTTCAAAGCATCACTGTGCCTTGTCCCCCCAGCACGCATTGGATTTCACACCAAGTGGGCGCTCTTGATTGCAGGGTGGTCGTGTGGCGCACCCCGTGTTGCTGACGGAGTGCCTCCTGAACCCGCTGTACGTGCGCCAGAAGATGGCTGAGCTGCTCTTTGAGGCCTATGGGGTGCCGTCGGTGGCGTTTGGCACTGACGCCATCTTCAGTCATGCGTTCAACCAGGCAGCGGGGCGCTGCGGCCCCGATGGTGAGGGGCACCTGGGCAGTCTTTTGAACAACACGTGCGGCTACCGTGCTCTTGCGACCATCACTGAGTGTGCCCAGACTGTGTAGATTGAAGGAGTTTCTTTCCCTTTAAGCCCAGCGAAACTGATTGCCCAAGTCCGGGCTCAACATGTTGGCGCGGAGATCAGCATACACGGCAAAACTCTTCGATGTATTAGCCTCAGCTAGGAACTGTTTTGACCTGCCCAGCCTGCCACTAACACATCGTGTGGTGATCGGTTCAGGCCTGGTTGTAAGCTCTGGCCACTCTGCATCCCACGTGATCCCAGTGGTGGGGGGCAACCCCATCCTAGAGGCCAGCGTGCGGCTTCCCCTTGGCGGCCTGCAGACAACCAACTACCTGCAGAGCCTCTTGGCGTTGAAGTACCCCCAGCATGGGTGAGCCCCCAAATCCCCCAGGAAAGAAAATATCGAGCTGATGCCAAAAATTGTTAATCACGCCGATTTTTGAGGTTTTATGATCATTGGGGCACAGTATTTGATGCTGAAGTTGATATCCTGTCTCGCAAGTGAGGCACGCTGTGTGCGGTGTGCAGGGCGGCAATTTCGTGGGACCGAGCGGAGGAGGTGAAAGAGCGCCATTGCTACGTAGCTGAGGACTATGCTCAGGAGCTTAAGAAATACCAAGTAAGGCCTTGATCTCGTGTCCTAGCCTGATCCAAGCGAACTGAGTTGGCCCTCCGACTTGTGCTTGTTTCAGCAAGAGTTCCTAAAGCATGAAATGATGGCTTCTTAGATTGTATCGTTCTAAATCGCTTGTCTCGTCAGCTAGTAACTAAAGCACTCAAAAGCGTTGTTCTTGGCATGATACATGATATCGGTGTTCTGTTATGCGGCAGGAGGGCGGTGCGTGGGTGGCGGGCCAGGGTGTGACGTACCAGCTGCCGTGGGTGGCGGCGCCCCTGCCGGTGGAGCCGAGCGAGGAGGAGAAGGCGCGCAAGGCGGAGATCAAGGAGCGCAACAGGGAGCGCCTCAAGGAGATGGCCGCAGCCAAGAAGGCCGCCAGGGTGCGTGCCATAGGATCCAGACTGTTCACGCAATATTCGTCTTTCGTCCTTGACAGAAAAGTTCTTATTCTCCAAAACTCTGAGAGGATTTGGATGCTGTGCGGCGTCTTGTCGTCGTTGTCACCCACCAGCATAATTCCGTAGATTCCAAGTCTATGGAGTCATGTGTCACCCTCTCCCCGTGCTCCACAGACCAGTCGCCACTTTGCCTCTCCTGATACGACATCAGCACTTCGTGTTTTCTGACGTCAATCCCCGTCCCCTTCAGATCACAGGCCTGGAGTCGGACGTGGCGGGCCTGGAGCACCTGCTGGCAGTGACGGAGGGCGCCTCCGAGGCGCGCGCTCGCGCGTTCCTGCAGCAGACGGGGTACCAGAGCCGCGTGGAGGTGGGCGAGTACCTGGCCAAGCACGAGGCCACGCTGCGGCGCCTGCGCGGGGAGGAGGTCACGCCCACCAAGGACGACGACGACCCCGCCGACATGGTGTTCCCGCTGCTCGAGGTGCGCGGGCCGTGGGCAAGCATATTGACCGTCCGTTTCTCGTGTGCGGTATCCTGTACCTTCGCCCACAGAGCGAGCGCTTCGCTGGCAATTGCCAGAGCCTTTGCTGTTGCTGTTCTTCGAGCATGCGTTGGGGACGAACCTCTCCAGGGCAACCTTTTCGATCGACTCGCCTGCTACTGTCCCTTGCCAACCGGAATGAGTTCCATCATGGGGTGTACTGTGATCGCAGGTGCCGGACGAGCAGCTGGGCCTGGACGAGTTGGCGGAGAAGAAGCGGCAGCGGTTTCAGAAAAACATGGCGGAGGGGCGGGCGCGCGCCCGGCAGAAGAAGGCGGAGGAGCAGCAGAAGCGGGAGCAGGAGAAAGAGGAGGAGGACACCAAGTACAGGTCAGGGCGACCGCCTCTGGTACACCATTGAAGTAACGGCCTGAGCCGTGTGAAGTTGGAAACGTGTCTGCGGGTGTGGAGACTTCGGTGAAAAGTCCTAGTCCTGACGTAAACGGCGCTTCTTAGGACCCCTATCTGGTTTGCCGCCTTGTTGTCCAAACTTTCCGCGTCTGTTTCTTCAGAGAGGATCCCGAGGGCTACACGGAGGCTCTGCGCGCCAAGCGGCAGGCGCTGGCCGAGCGGGTGGAGGCGCGGAAGCGACGGCGGACGTCACGGGCGTCAGAGGAGCCGGAGGACGGAGCAGGGCCAGTCACCGGAAAAGGGGCCACCGGGCGCGGGGAGCGGCTGAGCGCGGCGCAGCGGGAGCGAATGCGGCTGCTGGCGGTAAGCGCGGTCCTCTGGAACTTGCCATTCCGGTGCTCTTTCAAACAGCGGACACTCCACAACTGCCTCTTAGAAACTACGATCAGGAAGCTATCACGTTAGGCACAGCAGGTTTCGTCGACTGTCGTTATGCGAGTGTTTCTGGCGGGGAGAGCAATGACAGGCCTGGCAGCTCAGTGACGACAGCTGGTGTTGTTGCACATCGCCCCTCTCACGGACTGGCGTGCAGACGGCCGCGTTTGATAAGGGCAAGGGCGAGGACACGTTCGGCGCGGACGACGCGGACTGGCTGCTGTACCGCAAGATGGCGCCGCCGTCGCAGGGCGCCGACTCGGACGAGGCCGACGACGACGAGGCCGAGCTCGCGCAGCTCACCGCGCGCCTGCACCAGGTCGACCCCGCCTTCCAGCCGGGTGAGCAAACAGCCGCCTTGTCTGCTTTCAAAAAGAAGGCCCGGGCTGGAGGATGGGCTGTGGTGTTGCCATCTCGAAGCAGTGCACGGCGGCAGACGGAGGCGGATTGCCGGGTGGATGAGTGCCTGACCTCGCTGGTCTCCTGTTCGCTTCGAATGACAGACTGTATCGCCAAGCCGCTTAAAGCCCAGGGCAGGAAGGTGTACGGACATGGTCAAAAGCGCCTTTGTCCGGTTGAATGGTCTCCAATTTTGGTTAACTTGTGCGCAGGCCCGTCCGGCAACGGGGCCGCGTCCACGCCGCTGCCTCGGCGACCCACAGCAGAGGACTTCCAGATCCGGGTGGGGACGGAGCGGGTGCGCGCGCCCGAAATAGTCTTTCAGCCGGCCATGGTGGGCATCGACCAGGTGCGGCCGCGTCACACACTGCACCCTCTATAATGCCTTACCGCCTGAACGGAGGTTCAGCTGTGCCTGCCCCGTCCTACGGCTGCAAATCGGTGATGGAAGCGCTCAAGAATCCACATGAGCACAATTGCAACTTGAATCGGGGGCCAGGTTCGATCGCCCCTCCCGTGCCCTGCTGCCCCAACCTCCTTCTGCCTGACCTGGTTTCCCTATGCGACGCTTGCTTTGCCCTTGTCCCGTCGTTATCTGGAGCTTCGGCCTCGACCTATGCACCTCCGGACATGGCCGTGCTCGGCAGCATTTGCGTACTGCCCTCCCATTTATATTCCTATCTTGCCATCCCCCCTCTGCAGGCCGGGCTGGGCGAGCTGTTGGCCGTCGTGCTGAGGCGGCTGCCGGACGTGGTGCGGGAGCGAGTGGCCAACGGGGGCATTTTTCTGACTGGGGGAAACACGGCGTACCCAGGTCAGGCTCCGGAGTGCCTGCAGTTGGCCCAGCAAGCGACTTCCAACTTTCATGCTACTCGTGTTCCGTCCACGTAAGCCCATGATGGGCGTTGCAACTCTCCGCAGGCCGAGTCAGGCTTTCGCTCAATGATTTAAGTAGCCGAGGGGAAGACAAGCTAGCGGACGACGTTGCTTGCCAAGTTTGCTATTGCTAACTCGTCTTGTTAGAAGGAAAGCTCTTCCTTTCCTGCAGGGTTAGACGTGCGAATAGCTGCAGAGTACAGGCGGGCCCGGCCGCTAGGAGCACCGGTGAAGGTGGGGCCGACTCTGTCTACTGGTCAACGGTCTGCTCAGGCGTACTGTTTCTTTCCTTCCTTGCACCTTTCTCTGTTAGCCCTGGCCTGATGATTGCAAGACCGTGTTTGTGGAGATATCCTACTAATATTCCTGTGTACGACTTTGTCTTCAGATCTGGCGCGCTGCAGATTGCACCCTCGACGCATGGCACGGCGCGGCCAAATTTTCATGCTCAGCAGATTATCCACGGCAAACATTCACAAAAGCAGAATATGAGGAGCGAGGGCCGGACTGGCTTCGAACTTACAAGCTTAATTACTCCATTGGGTGAAATGAGGTCCACGTGCGTTGCATGCGTTCAGTCTGTTCTTGACCTTGCAGGACTTTGGACTCTGCATGAAGCCATCATATCATTATTGGATATTTTGCAGGGCCTCGTGACATATTGTCAAAAAGGGGCCAGTCGACGCATTAAACACACCCTGATGATACGCACACCTTGCAGCATATATAGCCAGCCTTGTATGAAGATCGTCGGACGAGGTAGAGCTCTTGCTAGCTCTAACATCGAAAACATTGATGCAGTGGAAGACTTCGATAAGTTCCCTTCCATGTATAGAAATTATTTGAAAGGTGTATGGACCGAGTCGAATATATGAGAATCGATAGAAAAAAGAGCGGCATGGCAAGATATCCGCACACACATACAGCATGCACATCTTACATGGCGTGCTCCTGATCAGTTCTACTTACGCTAGAGATCCTTGAGCTAGCTCAGTGAGTGCAAGGTAACCTCTGATTGATCCGATCCAACGCGCACGGGCGTTGAATTGATTGAATGCCCATCGACGACGGATCTCCTCTGGACGAGTATAGGTACATGAGAAAGATTGTGAAAGCAGGCAAGCCTAACATTCATGTGACTAGCCAGTTCTCAGGAGCCACCACTGCCTGGGCAACAGCTGACGCCTTCCTCAATCTACCTTTTACCACAAACCAGTCCAGTCACAAGCATAGCAGAACGCGGTCGCTAAAAGCGTTTGACCTTGCCGGCTCTGAACTTGTTGAGCCCAAGTGCCGCTCAGAGGCACTAGAAACACCTGCGAAACTCGATCTACGAATCTACAATTAGATCTCTGTTCCCGATGGCTTCACGACCTTCAACACCTGAAAGGTGGCTGTGCAACATCAGATTGTGAGCTGAGTTTGATTTCACAACCGAGTGAGAAGCTTGCATCTTTTTGTTATGGCGACTTTTCAACACTACAAGAACGTCAAGCGATGGGGGAGGCATTCCATGACATCCATCATCGATGCCCAGCGCATGATCCTGACTCTTGAGTCTCTAGTGGAAACCTCAGCTGTGCTGGGGCAAATGAGTCGTGAACTTGGAAGATTCTCAATAACTGGAAGCGAGTAATGAGAGACAGCGGCTTGAGCACTATTAAGATGATGACAAGTGAACCCGCCAAAAACCCCAAAATGCCGCACCAAGTATCAAAAACAGGTCTACTTAGTTGCAGATAAAGTTCCGCCAGCCACTCTGCCAGAAAAGGATCAGTGAGAACAGCACCCACTATTTCAGCCAGATGAATATCTGATAGAGGGCTGCATAAAAGCGACGCTGTCGTGTGAGGATGCGAAAACCTTGGCAGAGAGGGTAAGAGGACAACTAAAGTACCATGATTGGACATACACCATCAAGCAACAAGAACCACAGACCGAAAGAATGTGCGGATCCTACTGACGAAGCTGGCACAGAAGTACTCGCAAGTATCTGCCGGCATCGTAAAGCAAGGAGCCACCAAATTCTACGCATAGTCAAATTGGGCACATCTAGAATGAGTAGCTTAGAGTGCCCCAGTACTCATGCGAACACATCAAACAGGTTTACAAAGCCATGGGCCCTGCAGAAAGTAGTGCAAAAAGAGTCACTTTCTTTTCCAACAACTGCTTGCATGACGTCCAAACCAATCCTCAAGAGAGTAAAAATAGCTGAAAACGCAATAATGATTCAGACAAGCAGCGCCTACTCACCAAAAGCACGCCCGATGTCACTTCCTGGATTTCTGCTTACTGCTCCGTTTCCTTCTTCTGTCGTCTGCCTCACTATCAGTTCCCTCACTCTCACTTAGGTCACTGCTTTCGTCACTACTACTCATATCCTTTTTGCGCCTTCTAACGCTCCTCTTCTTCCTATCCTTGTCATCGGGATCTTCACTGTCGCTGTCAGCTCTCTTCTTATCATGCTTTGCTCGCCCCTTCCGCCTCCTTCTACGATCCTCCTCAGAATCAGTCTCCTCATCTTCACTACTGCTAGTATCCCGTCTCCGCCTCTTCCCGCCAGAACCTCTCCTTTTCCTGCGCCTGCGCCTGTCCCTTTCGCTCTCTGAGCTGCTGACATCTGATCCATCACTCTCTGATTCGCTGCTTCCTGATTCGGAAGTTGTGGTAGATTCCTCTCTTTCCCTCTTCTTTTTATCCCTCTTGGCCCCCTGCTTTGACTCATCAGCACGTTGCTCCGCTTCTGCTTCCCTTGCATCCGGTGGCAACTCTTCCGGGTCCAAAAACTTCTGCTGCAGCTTCGGATGCTTCAGTTGCTGTGTTCTCGTTGGGCGGGCTATATAAACACGCTCGTTCTTACACTCAAATGTCCAATGGCCTGCTTTCAGGCACTTTTGGCACACCTGAGAGCCTTGCCCCGCACCAGGCCTCGTATCTTTTCTCCTGATTCCCAACCCAGGAGCATGCTCTGTGCTCATAGCATACATGTTGGCCTTGGCTTCCTTCCTCTCTTGCCACCTGCTCACTTCAGCACCAGGATCTTTCTGTCCATAGGCGTTGGTTGCCTGCAAGCGGGACCCCGGTGGGGGTTGCAACGCCGACCCCCTCATATTTGCAGTGTCCGTCTTCTTCCCCTTCAAGATTTCAGCAGCCTTGGCTGCTGCCAACTCCAGCTCTTTCTGCTTGGCTGACGACATATTGAAAAATGGTAACGGTGCAGATTTTGTTGTCGAGCAGGGTACAACCTCCTCCAGATCACAGAAACTCAATCGTTGAGGCAAGTCGAACAGTAAATTGCAAACCTCTACGAGACCCAGGTTGCGTGCCGTGCTTCTCTTTCACTGTCTGCAACTTCTGTGCACTTCTAGCCTTGTGTTGGTCCAATGGTAGGTCACCGTTGGCGCCCCTTTCAACTGTTTCTCTCCCAACTCTGCCCAGGGCGAAAGTCCATGGTACGTCCTGTGACCTAGGTCCTAGCTGTCTTGACTCTTGACTCTTGACACTCGAGTCTAGGGCCAATGGCAAGAGGCGGTCGAAGTACGGTAGGTGTATCGGCAGAGTATTATAGGCAAAGTCTACATCTACAGTAACAAGGCCTTCTCACATACAGAATCGGACACCGCAACGTCGGCCGTCGAAGCACAAACCGGTCAGGCAAACCCACGGCAGGAACGACGATCTTTCGACTTCTGAAATATCTAATGACAATGTACAAACTCATTCAAAACCAAGACTTCAAGGTCCATATAATTTTACCGAACAACTGGAGGGATCGCCTTGATGCTAGGTAGCTGCAAGCTGTGCATGCCCACCTGCGCCAACGCTGGAGTCGTGAGCAGACGTGAGCAGAACCTGCACCAAAGTTGGTGGTGCATCGTGGAAAGTCGTTCTATGAACTCTCAGTCATGGCTTCTACATCTGCTATTCGTGCCGCTAGCAGCGCTTACTTGCAACATTGCCTAGGTCACACACTACACACACCTCAGCAAAACCGTGCTCTGTCAGGTAGTGTGAGTTGGCTGCCTAGCTGCTGCAGGCGGAAAGGTCACGGAGTCCAGCGGTCTGGTGTTCGAGCCGTCCACGGCAGTGACGATAAGCCGGAGCCTCCTTGGAAGAGATTGCAGAATGCTGCCTCAAAAGAGAACACGGGTAGACCTCCGAACCCAACATATCTTTCCTATTTCCGGAGACTTTGGTGGGAAACAAGCTTCCTGTAAAAGTCTCTGAGGTTAGAGGACATTCATGCGTTCTCATGAAGCAACATTTGCAGGAGCTTTCAGCTGTACGCTGTATCTCAAATCAGGGGCTTGACGGCCAGTGTCATCAGATAATCATGCCGCAGGGAGTTGGGGGCCAGAAGCCGCTCCACACTTTTGCTTTGTGGGAAGTTCACCTCCTAAAAAGTCAAAGCCAGGGGGAAAGAGTTGAAGTAGGGATTCTGGGTCAATCTTGACCCTTGCCTTTTTGGTGCTTGGTAGGATGGGTCTTCCTCCAAGCCAAAGCCCTTTCTCATAGCGATCTGGACTCCTTTGAAACCATTGGTCTCAGCTTCGTGACCCAGGCCTAGCGACCTCTCAAACAAGGCTTCAAAGCAATGATTGGTTTCTTGCAGGCAACGCGTCCTCGACGGGAAAATTGGGGGAAAATTCGATACCTGTTCTGGGGGGCGCAGCTCCGGATGAGGAATGGCGAAGGCTGGATGCAAAAGTAAGGTTCTGTGAGTTATTTTCTTGCTGTGTTTGGCATGGACACTGGTTTTAACACAGTGTTGAGTTCCTCTTCCCTGTTGATTTTGTCCTGCCCACTCGGCTTTGACAGAAGCTTCAAAGCATGCTGGAATGGAGTCAAAGGCAATCTTGATGTGCATCAGCTGATCATCTGCTTGAGCTCCATGAGAGGCAACTTTCCTGCCTAGTTCTGCTTCATATCTGGGCAGTTGCTCCAGCCTTCGGGCCCCACGACACTCCAGCAGATCCTACCAGTCGTACAGTGGCTATCAGACTTAGAAACTGATGCTGGCTAACCCAATGCTTCAGAACTTTGATGTCTTGAGATTTTGGGCGCCCAAGCTCTGGTGGAGCTGCCACCTGTATCTTGATGCCCTTTTTGAAGTGTTCTATCTTGAGTTACGGAGTCAATCTCTGCCTGCAGGTCCATGAATATCCAACACCACGGTTTTTCACCTCAATAGGTACAGGGGATGACGATTTTGCGAGGTCCATGGTGACTGCTGTTGAGTCCATCATCGGGACTTTGCCTGAGGTGAGCGCACTCAGAGGCTGAAGGGATGAGGTACAGGCTTGAGCCTGTCGGTCTTGTCTATGTGCTCGGAAGGGTGTCATGTTTGAACCCTCTGTGAAGATGGTCGGTGTCTCTTCGAGCAGATTTCAAACTTCTAGCTTTCGCTCGCAAATTGGCCATACCTTATCAAACGTGCAACTCATGGATAAGCTGGGTTGATGTGCTTGTTGTGATGTCAGTCTTCCTGCCCTGGTTTGTCCCCAGAAAACAGGTCAGGTCCCCAGAGAACAGGTCAGAACGTTTAAAAAGACTGCTTATGTCTTCAAACCTCACTGCTTCGTCCGCAATGTGCAGGAACGCGTCGTCCAACGGTACTCTGAAAAGGGCAAGTATATATCTGTGAAGATTGGTCCCATCATGTGCACCTCATCAGACCAGGTAAGGATAGGCAACGGACGGGATCTCCTGTTGTCATTGTTTGGCGGGGTCATTGTTCACTCTTGAAAGCGAACCAAACTGGTATCCTGGCACTGAGTGGAACTTGCGGATTTATTTCAACCAATCAGCACATGTGTGAGCTTGTGACGTCTCCGCAGGTGGTGGCTATTTACCAGGCCATGCGGGCGGATCCGAGGATGCGCTTCTTCATCTAACGCAGAGTCTCGTCCTGTCCGGTCTCTTTGCGGGGACAGTTTATTGCCAGCTGTTCAGAACATTTGAAATTAGGTGACGCTGCCAGGGTCACTCGAAATCTGAAAAGGATGAACGAAGACGTTCAAACACTTCCTAGTCACGCTTTAGGCAGCTATGCTGCTGCTAGCTATTTCCAGTCCCGAAGAGATGGAGGGCCGGTCAGGCAAAAGCAACTCCAACACTGCTTCGCAAGAGGAGCATGTAGAAAGGGCACTTTACCTATGTGGCTTGCAGCCTGCACGCTAATCTGTGCTTCATAAACCAGTCGGACCAAGAGCGAGATGCTACGCAGTCATAGACTCTGATAAATCGAACCGAGGGAATTACGCAGTCGTAGACTCTAAGAAATCGAATCCGCGAACTCCAGAATGTTGTTTGTTTTGCCGGGCGGCCGTGCATTGCAGGGTACACTAACAGACAATACTAGTTAGTCTGCAAGAGGCTCTGCCATTCGTCTTGTGTTGCCAACCGACTTCGGACACAGTGTGAAAATGTTGATTGACCAAAAATGTTGGGGCATCATATCGTACTCTGTGCCAAGATCTTACGCGCCTAGCAGCATTCCTTGTCGATCGAAGACAAAATGCAGCACTGACTACTACGGGAGTCAAGGCTGGCAGCCATCGCTTGAAGCAATCCTCGTGATGCATATGCAGGCCGGACTCATTTTGCAAATCCTCTTTCATATACCTATACGATTCGCGGTATGATGCCTCAAGAGCATGTGGGTGGTTAAATGATCGAGGGCCCGCCGGTATAAATGTTGATCGAACAGCTGTTGATGAAACCTGATGCATTCGACATGATTTTACGCCTGGGCGTTAGGTGACCGCAGGTCTACCCGTCACGTACGTCGCGTGCACATGTAGGACGGACCCCCCCACATATCACAAACACATGCATGCCTTTAATCCTTCTCAAGCGAGAAACATGACTTGATTCATATCATCATGCTCAATGCCTAATGCTCATGACTGTTGGCCGGGCACCATGGTTCCTCCATGCAGGACCGCGTCACGAAGCCAGTTGACGTTGGCTCAACTATTACTTCCAGCAAGCTGATCGAAAGGAAAACTTTCCACAATGATGCTGGCAGGAAGCTTTAAGCTGGAGCTTTTGGAAGGAAGAAAGGGTGAAGAGGGGTACAGGTTGTGCACGGCGTGGACATATCTTTAAGCATTGGGCTGAGCAACCGGCATGCAACCAATCAGATGGGAATCACTCGGACCTTGCGAGTTCAAAGTATATAAGCTGAGCACGTTTTATCCCAACGTGACACGCTTCCAAGGTTCCAGGCTTGGTATGTACGGGAACAATCCTTTGTTTGGAAGCTAGATAACAAATCAAACATTCGTACGGTTGAGGCGCTCCTCTCCTCACAAGCCAACTCGACAGAGGCACGCTGGCTCCATAAGGTCCGTGCCTGCCCCCGCACCTCCTACACAACGAACTAAGCTTGGTTGAAGGGTCGCTTCATAGCGAAGCCTGCTATTTACAGCTGTTACGTCTATATATTTACAACGCTGTCCGGCAACCGACTCAGCCCTATCCGCACAAGATCACAGTCGCACAATATTCGACTCAATCATTGATACCACTTTGAGCCCTCCGGCTTGCTTCGATCAAAGTGACTCCGTAACCCAAGCCAACACTTGTAATAGTCGTGATCGAGCTTTGGCGATTTGAGAGCGGTCCAAGTAATGCGGGGCGTGAACGACGACTCGAACATGAAGGCAAGAGTATCGTCTGGCAGCTTTTCCGGCTGATTTGGCCCTTCGTCAGCCACCGCCTTCTGCACAAGACAAAGCCGACGCGAGATTGTCAGTCCTTGGAAGAGACATTCGAAATTACCTTGCCTAAGTCTACAAGCTGCTCAATAGGCGTCTAAGCAGGCGACGAACCAAAAGGCGATCGTAAACAGTTGCTCACCTCGTACGTGGACGTATCTGGGCCGTGAGGTGTCATGCAAACGTGGAGACTTCCCCCGCCAGGAACGAAGCCAGCAGCTTTGGCCTGCACCGAGAGGGTCGGCAACATTGGTGTCAGGTGTCTGCGCTCAACGTGGAAACGACCCGTGGCTATCGGCAATCATGGACGTGCATCAAGTAGTCCCTTGGACCAATCAAGACAAGCGAATTCCAGACACGGTCATTGAAACGGATAGAACACCGTCTTCAAAAGCATACCGCGTCGATTACGTGACCTTTGAAAAGAAAGCCTACCTGCCGCGCTATGCACTAGAACTTGCACATGCAGACGGTCCGTGTGCGTACCTCATACCGGCCCCGGACCAGCCCCATGAACTCGTTCATGCAGTTTCGATGGAAGTACGGAGGACGGAACGTGTTCTCAGCCACCGACCAGCGGGGGGGGAAGACCACAAAGTCGACAGCCGCTGTGCCAGGCTTGGTGGTCGGACAGGTCAGCACTGCGACGAGGAAACGAACAAACTTGGACCAGCACCAAAAGAAGCCAAGGCGGCCAGATCCGATTCTACCGGTCGAGTGATGCGATGTTGAACATTGCCGACTCGCTGGATTTGCATACCGTTAAAAGAGAAACTTGTGCTTCACCAGGGAATATTGAGTGGCCGTTGAAGCGCAGCCAAGGCAGCGCTTATGGACACTAACGTACCTGTGAAGATGGAGGGATCCATGTGGTCAAAGGCGACCGCATTGACGGGGCAGAACTTCGCCAGGTTGTACTGCAACACGGAACGAGTGTGATCAAACCATCTGGAGCACACACACGGAGAAGGTAACCACGGTACCCTGCAAGCTGCATACTGCGTCCCACCATCTGTGGAAGAGGCACGAGCCTTGGATCTCGCAAAAGAGGAACGTTCCACCCGCATCCTCACCTTGTAGGGCGCGTAGTTGCCATGCCAGGCGACGACGTTGAAGGGCGAGAAGTCCTGCTTGGCTTGAAAGAGCAGCCCCTCGAACTTGTGCACCACCACATAGCCCGCGTGCTCCGAGTCATCGAACCAGGCCACGGGAGTCTGGAAGTCCCGGGGGTTGGCCAGCCCATTGGCGCCTGCAAACGTGGCCCAGGGATGGTGTTGACTTTCCTATCATGCGGCCATTATATCTGCCTTGAACAGCTTTCACGTATTCTGAAAACCAAGACCCTGACTTACTTTTCGACCCAAGCTCTCATGTCATTTCAAACGGCTCACATTGTATCGTAAGGAGTCTTGACTTGGTCGGGTCGGCCGCTTGCCTTGCTGCAGAACGAGCTTCAGGCAGAAGAAGGTCGAACCTCGTCCAGTCTACTTCCACAAGGGGCTACGGTTTCGGAGGGTACAAGGCATTGACAACTTTCCAAAACGGAGTAGGTCGAGGGCAGCTGCTGATACCATAAGCCGAGAAGATGAGGCCACTCACCAATGGGTCCCAGATCTGGTAGCCTGAAGTGATCCCCAAAGACCTCGCACACGTAGCCCCTGGACGGGCCATCAGGCAGCCCGACAGAGAAGCGCATGCCATGCTGGATCACGACAATCTCGCCTGGGGCAACTTGAAGAAGACCAAACTCGGTGCTGACGTGTAATCCTGCAATGATGGATCAGTCAGCACCCGAAGATTCGTTATGCAGTACCTTACATCCTCAATATCAAGCGAATGCCGACTCAGGTCCCGGGTATCATACAATCTCTTCCGACCAACAATTGACAGTCAAAACTGGACCGGTGAAGTGATGAATGACTGTCGACAGCTACTCATCAGGGATACTTACGTCCTTGCTGAGGAACAATCAGAAAGTCTCCATCAGCATTGGCGAAGGCCTTCCCGTCCATGGATGTGTTGGCTACGAACATGTGCACGGCATAGCCCGTTCGTGATTCTGGACTGCCTGCACCGCACATGGTGAACAGGCCCTGCAAATATAAGGGCCCCTCAGTGTCTATTACAACCGAACCCGGCCCTTCCAACTCCGCACCCTCCAACTTGAAATGCTACATCCAACCCCATATCTTCTTTGACAAACTTGGGACCGTCAGCAATACGACGAGATCAGTTACGAAAGCAGGGCAACAAGATACACTTGGAGTGACTTGAAAGCAAAAGGACTCAAGAGGAGAGTGCAAGGATACTGCTTCAAAGCTCGAAGGGGTGGTAAGAAATCTCGGTCTGCTTTTCTTGACTTTGATGAACGACTACATGCATTTCTTTTCCTCAATTATGGTTGCTGAAGAGAGTCACCTCAACAAAGTCGGTTGGTTCTGCAGGAATATCGGGCGGCATCCACCGGAGTTGATTGGGCGTGATGGTTGCATTCTTCTCCGAGAAGTCGCTTGTCAGGGAAGTATTCGGAACCTCCAGAGGTGTGAAAGGCTCATGTGTGACGGAGGGTTTGATCCGATACAGCCAACTGCAAGATGAGCAGAGACTTCAATATGGTTGTGGCAGCAGAAAGAAGCTTCCAAGGAGGGGGTAAGCAAAAGGAGGGGAGCTGGACAAAGCATCATAATCCAAAGGTAACCCGGTGCTGAAAAGTGACTCCAGGATAAGTCAACTGTTGAAAGTCAGCTGAAGGGATCAGAATTCCTTTGTTAAGGGGAGCAGCAATTGAAGCACAATTGAGCACTCAAGATCAAAAACTGCTTGCCTTCGCTGGTTGTGTGAACGGGGGACGGTGAACGCGGTACCCGTCAACTGTTCTGCGTACAATCCATACGGACAGACTTTTGGGTTGTTCCGCACTTTAGGCAAGGCCCCTGGCAGTGCCTCCGACTCGAAGTGGTTGCTAAAGCCACTTTGATACTCCAGATTGTCAAAACCAGCTGGAATGTCCGCTTCTGCACCTAGAAGATTTTTTCTTGCGTCATCCTCGAAGGGCGCCATTGTATTGTTGCCTCAAAGAAGGAAAGATGGCACCAGCACCCAAGTGGTTGCTGCCACTAGCTTCACACCGTAGTGGACACTTCTGAGGAGGCGCCCTAAGTTCTCCAGAGACCGAGTCCTAGCTCGCTTCACTGCATGAGCTGGTTCTGCAACCGAAGCTGGCCAGCTGAGCGCTGAGCTGGCGCAAGCGCAGGTGCATGACACATGTGACATGAGACGTTTGCATAAGCTATGGTCGCTTTTGACCAAGAGAAAGGCCGAATTTTGATGTGACGATAATGTCAAAGCTCGCGCGCTACAACCCGGTTGACAGAAACGGGACTAGGTACATAGCTGGCTGTGTCGAATGCATGCTGTATCAAAGCTTTGATTTTGGTACGGTTTTGGAGAACGGTAGCCGGGTACGCCTGACGTCCTTGATCCTTGCCGAGATTGGTTAAATGCTGACCAAAATTTCATTATGACTCAAAGCCCATACGCGTCCCCGCCAAAACCTGCTACGGCAGTCTTAATGCTGACGTGGATGTCAAATTGCACCGACGTTCATACCGGCCGGCCATTGCTTGCACAGAATTCCAGCTGGTATCCAATGATCCTTGGAACGGCCCTTGCAAGCAGACAAGCACATGTCGGATGATGGAAGACAATTTCCAAAATGTCTGACCATGATGTAGAACCATCCACTGTTTAGTCATGTATTTTCCCCGCAGGACTGCAGCCAGCTAGATGGAGCCCGGTTTTTACCGCTTTCACCGCTTGCTAGAATGATATGCTGTAGACTAGCTTTACTGATCGACGTACATAGGTACCTATAAGTTAAAGGAAAAGCACAAGTGCGAAATGGGCACGGAAATAGCATATTAGATATAGCTTGGTAGATCTCTATCAAAGCGGATGCATGTCACGTCGATCTTAAGATTTCTTTGATCGATCATGGTGAAATTTGACATATCCGGCCAACACGTTTATATGTTTTCCACCAATGCTGGTTTAAAGAACACAAAAATGCACGGTACCCGCGCTCACGTAAGAGAGCCATACTTTTACGAGATCGCACTCATGAGGCGGAAATGCGACCTAACTTTGGACATACGACGTCAAACTTCTGATTTACGGAACATGATGCACCTTAGAACGTGCTCTTTTAGCTATCGTGTCTTCGAACACCGCGAGCAACTTTTACAGAGACTTAAGGACCGCTTTGGGTGCAAGTTTTGGAAGGTTCGATCTGACGTGAGCAAGTGTAAAGCCATGATTTGGAGAACCCAGACAACACGCCATCAAGGGGGTGCAAGATTTTGATATTTGCGCTCAGTACACTACGAAGCGATAAAGGAAAAGTTGAAGTGCCCGGTTTGAAGTGCAACAGAAGCACAGAAGGCCATTGGGCTGGATTCAATACAACAAGGCTTACAATAGATCGTAGAAGTAGTCCAATCCTTGACCTAACTCCCAAATGGAAACGCCCGCACCCCATCTCTTGATCTCGCTCAATCTGCTTTCTATAGACTGCAAGGACAATGGATTGAACCTCTCAGTGCAAAGACATAGGGATGCAAATACAACAAAAACACATTTCTCAGCAGAGAAAAGAGATGTGTCTTCACCTCTTTGTCGAAGTAATTCAAACAGGGCAGAAAAAGACACAAGACCTGCCAGACGGGGCGAACAACCTGGCAACTTTGGAAGCCCGCCGTCCGCTTCGATCTGCAAGGTCTTTCATTGAAAAGAACGCTCGTTCAATCCGCTTCAAGCAGAAAAGCGCACAGTATCGAACGGGCAAGTGTTCTTACCTTCAAGGTCGGGTAGTACACTTTATGCCTGGAGCTTCCTTTTGTATACTCGAAGTAATGCTCTTCACTCTCTGCGTCCCATATAAGCTGTATGTCGAGTGGCGTAGAAGTCAGGAAATGTTCGAAGCATCCAGGTTTTGAACATTGATACCAATCAGACCGGGTGCAGAGACAAGAACGATTAGGACGGACAAGCTGGAACGGACCTTTGCTCATCGTTATTAAGACCAACAAATCGGTGCTCGATGCCGCAGATTCGATTAACTGCTATCTGGGTTGACGCAGGGGTGCAGTCGTACCTTGGGTCGCTGCTCGGCCAACACGTGCAGGTATTCGTGCCCTACAACCGGACCGCCACCTGGATGCAAGGAAGCTGGGTCAAGCTGCAGGCTCCAGTGCATGACAACGAACTGGTAGAGAAAAACTTGGTGTGCAGAGACGGTCTGCCCACAACATGATTTTTCGCCTTTGCGGACTTACAAACTTTGTCGTAGGTGCGGTCTAGATGCCAGAATTGCGGCCCGTTTGGAATTCCGTACTGAAAGGTCCGCCAAAGAGCTAGTATGACGGCGTGAAGCTCGAGAGCGGCGCGGGTGCGGGCCGTACCTCTGGGCAGCTGGAAGTCGTTGCCGAAGAAGTTGATGCCCGCCAGCACCTGGTCCGCGATGTCCCGGTTGGTCTCGTTCCCGGTGAGCACGCTCTTGAGCTCCCGCTCATGCGACGGCCGCTGCGGCGGCACCTCCTTGCGCAGCTTCTGCAGCCACCCGCAGCAGCTTTAACGTGAAACGCTTTTGAAACGTTCGAATTGCATTCAACGGGCAGCGCAAGAGTTGAAGCGGAGTCAAGTACTCGTGCGAGGCTGGTGGGCAGGGGCAACGGGAAAGGCGTGCGATAATGCAGAGGAGCGTGCAGACTCATGAGAAGCTGACGGCCGCACAAAGAGAGGGCCGTACTTTTGCCATTTGCTGGAGCTCCGGGGGCGAGTCGATGAGGATGTTGAGGCACAGCGACACCCAGGGAAGGGGCGCGTTGGGGCCAGGCCTGCAACCAGGGTCGCAGCGGGTCATCTCGGCACCAGCAGCGCGGCAACCAGTAGCGAACAGATGTTTGAGCCTTTGTGCAGCTTCGGATTGGGGACTCTGGCAGCCAGCGATGCGAAGATGAGCAACATGCTCGAGGCAGCTCGAAGTCGCTGGTAAGGAAGACCTCACCTGGCCGGGTTGCTGAAGTCGTAGGTCATGAGGGAGAAGAAATGCACGTGGGGGGCCAGCAACGCCAGGTCGGCAGCCCCGAACTTGGTGGGCATGTCCAAGACCGGAGGTGGCTGAAAGAAAACAGAAAGATGGGAAGCACAGGTGAGCTTGAAGCATGCACACGGACACCCTCGAAGGAAGGTGTCAAGCCTCTACATAGCTTCCAGGCTCGTGAAGATTGCTCCGCAGCTACACCGTTGTCTTTGCCGATCCCACCATCTTGAATGTCAAAAGAGAGGCTTTTGTACGTTGCTGAGATCAAGCTGGTGCAACGGTATGAAAGACATCTCGTGATGGTCAAAGAAGAATGATGCGATTTCCTTGATGCGACATTGAAATCGGGAGAGCACGTTGGAATTTGAGTTTGAAGCCGCCCAAATAGGAAAACGTCGGACCGTGCTGCACCACGACCTTGTCAATGCTCTAAAGCTGCATCAGAAGCACTACAGGTGACGGTCGGGCCCCTTACCGGGATGACAAAGACCAGCTGCATGAGCTTGCCCTCCTTCGTCTTGATCTTGGCCAGGGTGTCGCCCAGGGCCCCCGCAAACATGAGCGCCTGCAACACAGCAGCCCTAAGAGTGACTTGGGCCCGCCAGGATCCAGCCCATCAATACAGATCTCACCGACTACGCTCTTCAGAAGACAGACTCTGCGACTGCGCAGGGCCTACGTAACGAGGATGTGGGCTATCGTGAGTACGGCTTACTTTTTTCCGCAGCTCCGCATCCGAGAGTACGCCAGCTACTGACCAGCCCATCCACGCCTCCAGGGTGACACCATCGAAGTTCTGATTTCTGTTCAGGTGAAGAGGAAAGCGTTGCGGTGAGCTCGAGGCAACTAGGCTTGACGCACCTTTTTGGCCATTTTTTCGGTGGCGCTCGATTAGAAGCTGACCATCCATCGAATGGACTTACATAGAGTATTTGGAGGGGCCTTTCAGAGCCGAAGCGGACTTGACTGACAGAAACGACTCCGTCCTCCTACCTGGCCCTGTCAGCTTGTACTTCAGGAGCCATCTGATGCTTGATTTGCCACAGTGAATACTAGGTCAGATGACCTGCCGATATGGATAATGTTACGTGGAGAAATCCCCATTGGTAGGTGGCAAAGCATCAGACTAAAAGTTGCTGGACCTACATTTCCAGCCTTTTCAAGTGAGGACCTGTGTGTCAAAACAGCAAAACAAAGCTCACATGCACTCTTTGACAATCAGGTCAATTGCTTTCTTCATGTTTTTGAATTCCAGCATCGCTGCTCCTTCATATCCCTCCATGGCTCCTTCAGAGCCCTCCAGGATGAGACGGGGCACAATCTGCAACCAGGCAAAGATGGGTGACTATCAGTGGTTCGAAGCGCTGGGACTGCAGTGATATTACTCCTTGGCAGGCATACGGCAAAAGGTGATAGCTTTCAGTCCGCGAGGGGCAGCTCTTAGCTCGGGTCTTGGTGAGGTCAAAGACTGGCGCTCACCCGGGGGCTGGGCTGTCCGTTGCTGCGGACATCTTTGATCCAGCCCTGGTCCACATCGTGACCCCCCTGTAGAGTTGTGGACCCATCGGCCCTGAGGGACAGAGCAGCAGACACACCCCCTGAGCTGCCAAACAATCAACTTACAACGCCTGGAAGCCAGAGGATTGGTTGGGCAGCTGCAAAGTGCACTGCCGGCGGCATCCCGGGGTGGAAAGTACTCACGATTTTTGCAAGATCAGCAGAACAACATCGAAACCTGGACTGCATTTGCTCACCCGATTTTGACTTGGTACCAACAAGGACTAATGTGGGTGAACTTGCTGGCGAACTTGGTGGCAATGTCATACCCTTTTGAGTTCCTGCATTGCAAGAGGGCTGCATCAGATGGTTCTCGTGCAACTGTGTTCGGAGTTTTTATAGCCTAAGCAGGACACTAGATCTACAAGCAAGTCAAGGATGGAAGAGATAGAAAATCACCATTGGAGACCAAAGGTCTGATCGCTTACCAAGGTGTGACATAACCAAGCACAGCGCGGGTGAAGTGTTTCGCACTTGTGTTGCTCCAATGCCGTGAGTGCTCTGTAAGGATCGAGCGGTACGTAACCCTCTCTGACACAAGCCCTCTTTCGTGCACCGAGGTATCTGCTGGCGCCAAATATTCGATGGTTGCAGGAGATGATGGACGCTTCTTAGCTGCAGCCAAGCCCGCTTGCACAACGAGGATGATGCAAAGACACTCTGCAGCAGTCGCGAAGCGCCCTCGTGGAGGCGCCATGGCTGTCTAGATTGAGAGGAGATTAAGCACCTTGAAGTAACTGGACGTCCGACTCTGATGACGATCAGTGATGCATCAGTGATGCACGTCGTCTTGATCGTCAGCATCCACACCTTCTTAAAGTTATGTGGGAAACCTCCCTCTACTGTAAATCTGGTATAAATTATAATACCTTGTCCTATTGAACGGAATATTCTTTTCCACTCCGAGCACTTATATGTAACTGTGTTTGAAGCGCCGTCTTCTACTGCAAGGAAAACGGTATTTTGTTAATTTATGGCGTGGAAAACGGCGCCGTGACGAGAAGCGTCAGGCGACGGTGTACCTTATCCACTTTTCGATGTCAGATAAGCTCTGGCTCTCCACCGACTTTTGAGCCACACAGTACACTGGTAGGTGGATTTCTAAAGAACTACTGGCATCTGGTCACTGCATTTGCAGCTTCAGAGCTCTTGCTCCTGCTTCAAACTTTTGTCATCAACCAGCTTGGAAAGCGCATCTGTATATGATTCATATTATGAAAGACAATCCCCAAGTGCAGTGGTGAAGCTTTCTCCAACCTTGGTGTCATCAGTGTCGATCAGCATGGCTGCCACAGGCTTGGGCTGCTTCTTGCTCCCTGCAACAGAACCAGTAGTAGTGGCAAATGCAGGGCTGTCGCCAGCAGCTGGGCTCAGCAGCTGCTTCCAACCAGGTCTTGCAGCCGGATCTAGCTTGTCTGGGCATATTGGACTTCGGCATTCTGCTGCTTACCTGAGTCATGAGCAGCACGTATGCTGCAGAAAAATGGTCGAGCGGGGTGCCTTGAGGCATCATTGCCATGCGGCCAGGTGCGGCCCTTGATTCCCTGGTGCCTGCATGTATTTCAACCCTGGTCAGCATGCCTAAGTTTTGACACTCAGTGACATGCTGCGGACGGCCTGTTGAGTCTATGTAAGGTGATAGGCAGTCAGAAGCAAACACGACCTCGCATGGTTGCTCTTCAATCTGAAAAGCTCGCAACTCATCCCCATGGCAGATAGCCCCAAGGGTATTGCAGGCACTAGTGGAGATCCTCTGAAACCGATGCTGATTGTTGGAGTTGCACCTTTGCAGTTTAAGAGCCCGGGTAACCTGTTCAGCACAGCGAGACAAGAAAAGTAGGGGCTGGTGGCTGGGCAAAAGACTCTTTTCCAGTCCTGAGATGAAGAAAGGCAACCTGCCCTGGACGTCATTGACAAGAGAAGAGTTGGATTCCAATGAGCGGCCCCAATGGGTACCACAGTGGGTGCCAGACTCACCGCCAGAATGGTTGGAGTCCTCCCTGAAGCAACTTGTGAGTCTCCTTGATCAACTCAACCCTATAGGCAGGAGATTATACACTGTCCTTCGACTTGCTTTTCCAACTATGGTGGCATGTCAGTGGTTCTGCTTGGCATGTCAGTCTTTCCTCTTCCTCGTTCACCAGCCCTCCTGTCCAGGCCTCCTGTCCCCTGATTGTTGTACCCTGTTGTGCTACAGGAGCGGGCCAGCAAGGTCGCCGCTGCCTTAACACTGGCCTTGGGAACTGCGGCAGTGCTTCGGGTCCTGGTGTTCAACCCGTCGTGCGTACCCTCTGGGAGTATGGTTCCTACTCTGCTGGTCAGGACACACCAAGTTGGAGGTGGTGTGCCGCCTGTAGTTTTGTCTTGTGAATCGTCTGTTGTCAACAGTCGATGCAATTCTTGCTGTAAGGAATTCCAATGACACTGTCGGATGCTGAAAGTCATAAGTGCTTCTCAGCATGGAAGATTCTAGGACTTGATCGACCCCAACTTGCGGTGCCTACAACTCAAAACTGTAAAGTGTTCAACTCTTGTGCCCCTTCTGCTGCAGCCAGGAGACTGCGTCTTTGTCGAGATTGGCACGTACCGGTTCCTTCGGAGACCAGCTCGAGGTGACATTGTGAGTCCATCTGTCCCTGGGAAGCCGGTAATCAAGCGCCAATATTGTCACCATCTCAGCTGCTCGCCCTTGTTGTGTCGCGCTTGCTCGCTGGTTCTTGCTCTTGTCCGCGGGCTTGCAGTCCTTACTGTCCTCTTGTTGGTCCAGGTAGTGTTTCGGCCGCCCTCCTCCTTCAACTCCGCTACCATGCGAGAAGAAGGCGATCTGGACGAGGGCAGCCCTCTTGACTCGGCCATGACCGACGCGCCTGGCGCACAGTATGTAAAACGAGTGGTAGCAGTAGGGGGCGACACTGTGCAGGTGAGTTTGGACTTCCGTCCAAAAGCAGCTTCGTCTCTGGCGGACTGGTGCTCGGCCCCTGTACCCTCGTTGCCACCACAACAAGGCAGAGCGAAGTTAGACAGGCCCCTCCAATCGATGCACTTCTCACGGCGGCCGCCCATTGGTCGAGCCAACCGGCCCCTGTATGTTGTAACACATTCGCGTCGGGTGCATTGCAGGTGGAAAGAGGAGTTGTCTTGGTGAATGGACGACCCCGTTCAGAAGAAGCGAGGGGGATCCGCTCGGCGAAGTACAGTGTTCCCCAGCTTCGTGTTCCTGATGGAACTCTCTTTGTCTTGGTGAGCATTCGCAGTGACCAAGGCTGCTCCCTCGGCCAGGGACAACCGGGTTTACAATCTGCGAGCCACATGGCTTGTGGCCAGAAGATTATGCTGCTGCTCTCTCTGGCTTTCTGCAGTTTAAAGCTTCGTTAACAGCAAACATAAATGCTTAGGTCTGTTGCCATCTACAGGGCGACAACCGAAATCGAAGCGCCGATTCGCACGTCTGGGGTTTTCTTCCGGAGGATCGTGTGGTTGGGCGCAGTTGGCTGCGGTGGAAACCTCTCTCGCGCATCGGTGTTTTGAAGTAAGGGTCAAAACCAGTTGCTCAATTCAAAATCGTGCGAGAAAGAGGACCTCAATCACTCATAACATAGGATGCACGCAAAATACTATAGCACCGGCTTCTACTCTCAATTCAAACCGCCTAGGTGGCAGGCACAACGGGCAAAAGGAACACGGAGTGTGTGCATGCACTGCAGTAGGGTGCACCCATAAAGTAGCGACAGCGTTCATCTCTCAACCATTGGTTCCGCTGTCGACCCTAGTGTACAGCGACTAAGCTACGTCGTCAAGCGCAGGCTGAGTCGAACAAGATCAAAGCGTTTAACTGGAATGCGAAGGGTAAACCTTGTTCACCTTTCGGGAACGACATGCTGTTCAGCTGGCCGCTGTAAGAAATGTCCATACTGGGTTTTCCGAAGCTGGGTGGATGCTTTCTTTGAAATGTTATTGCTTTGGGCATGAGTCCCGGGCTTGTCTATCCGGCCGGATATCAAATTCTCCATTAGTAGCCGTCTGCCCGGGGCCTAGGCCGCCTTTCAAAAGTTCAACCCGCCATCAAATTATTATAAATTGATCGTAAACGCACATGGTCCATGCTCCGAATCCGGCATATCCGGCCTGATCGCATGTCACATGAGATCTTTTGCTATGAACGGTCACGAATATGCAACCCTTTCAACGAGTGATTCGTCTCCCGTGGGACGCCCTCAAGAAACTTGAAAGAAACAAGCAACTGCATGTAACCTTATATAATAAATTGCATCGAACGGAACTTTCTTTGGAGCGACGACAATGTCATCTCGCTTCGATAGTATAGGGTCCTTATGACCTTGCCGACAACTGAAGCGAGGAATGTCGAAGCTGACAACGTCACATGCCCAAGGAAGCTATTGACCTCAGATTGGACGAATGTGCTGCAGTGCTAGGATACGGTGCTAGTCCAAAATCATTTGAGCATCTTAGTTCGACGTGCCTCAAACGACCCTGCAAACGTAAAGCTGTAAACCGACTTTGGGATTTGAGGGTTTCCATCGCGCCAGCCCGCCTCAAGCGCGATCGATTACATCCTACTTAGTCCCAGTAGCACCGTCTGGTTCGCAACCGCTGTATTGAAGCAGAGTGTGCCACCACCCGCATGCCACGTCCTGGACAATGCCCAGGCCTCTAACTTCTTCTGGCAGCTGGTGAGCCGGACATGCGGGGTGCCCAAGCTGGCCGTACTTGTTCCATCCCCAACTAAACACCTTGCCCCCACCTACAATAAATCGGATTTCTTGATCGAATTTTTCGGTTTGGCACACTGGCTCGAACGAGTGTTTGGACGCTCTTGGCGCAGTTGTCGAAGCAAGCGCCAGAGTAGTTCGACGAGCAGCTCAAAGTCAGATGTATGCACAGACAGCGGCACCTGACGGTCGATACGCTAGCAGTGCCCTACACTTGACACACTCGAGTGCAGTATCGGGAAGGGTGGTGGGCTCACCTGTGAGGGCGACTGTGTGGCGGGCGCCGCAGCTGATTTTGACCACGTCTTCTTCAAAAGGCAGGGCCTCGACTAGCTGGGGCGTTGACTGCAGGAAAGAGAACGTGGCTGGAGATTGCTCGATGCGCCTTGTAAGCAAAGCTTCGAAAGCTAGTTCCCAACGATTAGATCAAATTGGGGCGTATAAGCACCATCATGCATATCGGGTCTAGGCAATTACAAAAAGCATCTACTACCAAGCCCTGCAACATACACTTAACCTGGGGTCAAAACAAGGGTTGGAAGGTTCCTCAGCAATCTTCCCCAGAACGGGCCATTGAGCACGCGCCCCCCTTCCAATCCCCTCACCGCGCCCGTTGGCAGGCCCGTGCCCAGCTGGCCGTCAGCATTGCCGCCCCAGGTGTAGACTGCGCCATCCAAGGTGAGGCACGCCGTGTGCCAAAGGCCGGCGGCCACCTGGCGCACCGGCACACCGTGCAGGTCGGCGACGCAACACGGGCTCAGAACATCCTCGGTGCTGTCATGGCCACACTGTACAGCCGGGGGCCCCGAGTGAGAGACTGGCCCAATAAGATTTTCCATTCGAATGGGACACTTTCAGATTTTTCCAGGTTTAAACCGCACAAACCGCCAAGGAAAAATAGAAGAAGCTGCAAGCGCACTGTTGTTGCTCGAGTTCTCAAGAACTGACGCAGTGTTGTACAAGAACTTTGCCTACGTCCTCCATTACTCATAGGCGTGTGTAGCGCAACTTTTGGGCAACAACATCGATGGAATTGGACGCAAGGTTACCAGAGCACTTCGCTCCACCAAATTCGGATGGTATGGTCCAATAGCATTGCCTGGACATTCTGCAGCTGACAGTACCAAAACCCCTACACTCAAGGACGGGACCTAATTTCAAACACAGTAACAACTGAGAATGACTGAGTTTGGTTGCCAAGCACCCTGGGCTGGGAGGCTTGTTTGCCAGTCCTCCTACCTGCCCATACAGGCCCCAACCAAACGTGAAGAGCTTTCCATCATCTGCAGAGGCACAAGACAAGGTCCTTCCTTCAACCAGAGTGCAGGAAGAAGCTCAGAAGCAGAGACTACATTGGTCCCCTTGCCATGTCAACAAAGTACTCAGCTGATGATGCGTGCGCTCTGCGACCCACTCACCTGTGATAAGCGCGCTATGCAGCGCCCCAGCCGCAATCTCTGTCACTACAGGCGGTTCCGCAGCGGTGCTGCCGCTTTCGTCAGGTCGCGCCCCAAAGCCCGCAACTAGCAGTGGGCTTGGGGCCTGAGAAATGCGGCTGCCCTGCCCCAGCTGGCCCACCGCGCCGGCGCCCCACGCCCACACAGCACCACCTAGAGAGCAACACAAAGCTGCATGACATTTGGGAAGACACTAAGGCTGCTGCTGACAGTCTTGAAAGCAGGCACTGCGGCAGGAAAATCCAAACAGAGGGGCTGCAGACTAGCAGAAATTGTGGACCAGGAAGTCTTTTTCCAAACGGCTTACCCGCCAGCGCCAGCGAGTGGTGCTCGCCTGCGGCCACCATGGTGACCGGCACCTTGGGGAGGGCGGCGCTCACACAATGGACAAGAGCATCGCTGGCACGCCACTCATACAGCTTGCCCTTGTCTGCGAGAATAAAAGGGGTGCATGACTCTGAGACCCTGCTCTAATGTGGACTAAGCTGTCGAGAACGTTAGAGCTGGTCATGTAGCTTCGAACACTCTGACAAGCCAACCATTTTCCAGACAGTGTCAGATGAAGGGAGCTGGATGTACACGAATGCAGGGGTCACCTGTTGCCAGCACCACGTGTGAGTAGCCTGCTGAACAGCAAGAGGCTGCCTCACTGTCCGGAAGAGACAGGGCATTTGAAGGCGCTCCAAAGAAATTGGCGCCACCGTCACGATCTTCCGTGGCCCTTGTCCTGACCAGAATGCGTCCATCACCTGCAGAATGCTATGAAAGATGCTTCTTGTTAGGAGAAGGTTAACTAGAAATCAAACAACAAGAAGCCAGCATCGGCGAGTTGAATGACGGAGTGGTTCTACACAGCAACCAGCCTTCTTCAGCTCAAAGGACCTTTATCTGCTCATTCTCCGGTTGACCAGTCCCGGCTGGGAACACAGCACATTTATCTGTGGCATTCGCTTCCTTCGGAACAATCAAGCTGGACTGACCTGAGCGGGTGATTGCAAATCCAAAACCACCAGCACAGATCCCAACTTCTTGCTCTCTGCCACTTTCAGAAGGAGTTGTGCATGCTGGTGCTTCTAATACTTGCCTTTCTCGGCCTCCTCCTAAACATCCCCATATGGCAAGTTGCCGCCCTGCCATGATCGATTACATCCGCAAAGTGCTGGCGATGCTCCCAAGACTGTGAGCCACAGACCAAGAGCAGCTTGATCACAAGCCATCGGCTTGCAGCTGCACCGCACAGGGGGCCTCGTTCACGCGGTCATCACAACTGAAACCACCGGCCCAGCCTCAGGGCCAGGCCTCCGCAGCTGGACGAAGGGGAGGAAACGGCGACATAATGATATGTATCACTTGCCCTGCAACAATGAGCTTCACTCAAGACTTTTGCAAACCCTAATGTCAGCCGGGTATGCCTAGCGAATAAACCGGAGCCTTTTGATCCCTGGGACAGGGGGGTTGAAGATCAGAGTGCTCATATACTTAGACTGTAGACCCCCAATACAAGTGGAGGTTCTCATGTGAAGTGAGAAAGCGGCGGGTGCTTGGAAGCAGATGGCTAGCTTGCGGAGCCTGGTTCCCAAAAGGGTTGGGTCCGCACGTGTTGAAACCTTTAGCTGGGCTGAATCTGGCTGCTTGAAATTCTTCTTCGACAAGATCGTGAGACAAGATTGACCGTGGATTGAGTATGACATTGAGGCCCAGGGAGTCTGTAAAATGGCGCCCCTCGCTTCTGCAACGCATAGCTTCCTTTGCAGGCCAGCTTTTAAGTAATGTTTACCAGCGGGTAATCTGATTCAGTGCTTTGGCAGCCTCAGCTTGGTCATTTTGAGCACCCGTGGAGGTCTGATTATCAATTGGCACTTACTTTTAGCACCAGCTCATGACGGGTTGAAGATGCGCTATGCATGCATAGAAGGGATGGCCTGCACACAGTGTGGCCGATTCCTAAGCGAGGTTGTTTGGATCATATAGATTGCCAGTGGAGCTAGTTGTGTTGCGTCTGTATTTACCCTAACATTTGCCCAATGGATCCCCTCCACAGCTTGCTAGGGGCTATGGCTGCGTTGCCTGGGAATCAGGAGGACTTGTCTGAAGCAGAGGCAGAGATGAAGCTGGCACTTGAGGAAGCATGTCAGGAAGCAGGCGAGTTGGTGGCATCCCTCCACATTACCCCGCTGATGCTGCATCGTGCACTTTCAAGGAAGCGCCTGTTGGTCTTTTTCTTCACTGCCTGCTCAGAGCTGCAGTATTAGGGTACAGGTTGCTGAACTCAAGTGCTTAATTTCCTGTGCAGGAGTCATCCTCTCCCCTGCCATGTCGCCCAAGGCCCTCTGTGTGTTCAACTACAGAGAAAACATGCCAGGTACAAGCAGGCTATCGTATCTCATTCCACATCTTCCGTCCCTTCATGTTGCCTTTGAAGCATTGCTTCATTGATAAGGCGGACTTTGTTTGCTCTAAATCGTCTGTTGAATGCAGTTGCAATGTAGGGGCAAACCTAAGTTTGGGGCTCTGATTTGCAGGTGTTGGGAAAATGGCAGGCTGGCTGCGCAGGTGAGGACCACCTCTGCTCTTCATTGTCTGTTGAATTGCAAGGATCATAAGAGAAGGGTGGAGGAAAAGCACCAATGAATAATTGAGCTTTTGTGCCAAACATCTCAACGACACACGCAAGATCACAGCCTGTGCTTAGCTCCCTGCTTTTGAGGGCATGCTATGATGTTTCCCAAATACACAGTCTGCCGCCAGGGGTCAGTTCCGTAATGACCTGTCAATCTTGCTCAGAGCTGCCATTGTTCTTCTGTTGCAGCACACGCCGCCAGCGCAAGATGCCGGCGTTCCAGCGCATTGCCTCCCAGAGGCGCTGCAAGAGTGCAGAGGAGCTGCCCCGCATGCAGGCCATCAGCGAGGAGCAGATCCAGGTGGTGGGCCCAGCTGCAGGAGGCCCTCAGCGCCTGCCTTCGCGCCTGCAGCGGGGCAACAGCGAGCCAGAAACGGGGCGGGCCGACCTGGAGGATGCAGACCTCGACGAGGGCCTGGGCCAGAGTAAGGGCCATGCTGGGAACAGGCCCAAGGAGTGCAGGCCTGAAGTTGCACGCGGGGCCGAGGTTGAAGTCGCATAGCTCCAGCCAAACACATTCCGACCATACTAAGAGATCACTGGCATTGCGAGGGCAGCGGTTCTCACTGCGAGGATCGCGCCATCACTATTTTCCAGCTTAAGTCACCTTTGACCGGCCTTGTTCCTTGCAGCGGTGCGACCCCTCTCCCCCCTCTCCCCCGCAAACATCCTGGAGCGCCTGGGCAGTGCGCGTGAGCTGGACATTGCCTCCGAGAAGCTAGACTGGTCTGGCCTGGCGGCGGTGTACCGTACAGAGCACGCGGACGACCCCAGTGATAGCGGCAGTGACGGCGTGATGGAGATCAAGATCAACAGCGGGGGGGTCGTCTACTTTGCTGCGTTCCAGTACGCCAAGCCGCCTCGAGAGCAGGGCGAAGGTGGCCCTTCCGAAAGCGGGGGCACACACCGCGGCAGCCTCGGCTCTCCCTTGGGGCAGCATCATGCGTCCCAGATGGCGGTCACCACTTCTCAGGAGGGGGCAGCCGTGGTGGTGCGGGCCTATGGCAGCCAGGGCGTGACTCAGTTGACCTTCCCGTCCCCCACAGCGGCACCTACCGGTGCCACCTCTCCCGGGGCTCGGCTTGAGCCTGCTGCGCCCTCCTCCCCTCAGGGGGGCTCCGGGCAAGAGCTGGACACAGGGGCAGGGGTGGAGAGAAGCGAGGCCGCGGGAGCAGGGCTGAAGGTCCGCATAGCATCCAGGATGTCGAGACCTAGCCCAGGTACGGCCAGGGTGACATCCTGCACTATCAACGCCTAGGTGCATTCTGAGAAAAGTTAGAATGATGCTTGAAGTCCCGGCACATGATGAGAATGTAAGAACAAATGCGCTCAGCTTGACCATGACGACGTAGGGGGAAAACTCGACGAATCATCATCCTGCAGACATACACGCTACTGAGCGCAGCAGCCTCGGACCGCCCGCCAACAGCAGCCGACCCCTCGGCGATGGTGCCCCCTGGCAACGTCCAAGCCCAGTGCGGCAGCCGCGGGTGGAGGTCGAGGAGTTCGCTGCTTGCATCAAGTTCGGTCCCAGCAGGCTCGCCACCCAGGTCAGGATAGAACCGGCAGCAAGGATGGGACTGCGCAAGCCTAACGACTTATGCAGTGCTTGATCGACGATCTTAGAGTTCCCCAAGTGTGCAAGGCCTTGAGCGTTCATGTGACCTCCAGCTCGTGCTCATAGAAGACGGGTCGTCCGACCTGATTTGCTCGTGTGTTGTTCCTCAGAGTGAGCGCCTGGGCAGTGAGCTGGCGCGGCATCTGGGGGTGCCCACCCCGCAGGTCAGGGTCATCCACAGCGGCTCCGAGGAGTGGGCCGCCATCCAGGCTGCGGTCAACAAGGCCAAGGTGAGCGCCCGTCGCCGGCACCTCACCGCAGTGACGGCATTTCCCGTCTCCCCCGTGTTAGCTCTGAATTCCATCAAGCCTTCTCGTCGATCGGGCACTCACAACAAACGAGACAGAGCAATGCAAGGTACTGCATTGGTTGTATGTTATAGTGGCCAACCTTCTCCGTAGGATGGTGTCTCCGACAGATTTTGGGACTGCTGATGCAGAGCCGCGCGGTGGACAAGATCCAGACGCTGGCTGCGGAGGGCCGCGGTCAAAGCCCTGCGTACAAGGCGGCGGAAGACGAGGAGCGCACGTGCGAGGAGCTGCTGGACGCGCTGCGCATCTTCCGCTGCCTGCTGCTCATGGGGTCAGCACAGCGTCCCTCGCTCGCCTGGAAACTCTACGTTCTTGCAACCCGCATCTACAACCACGGATTTGGCAAGCCGCAAATACATCTATATTTACACCTTGGTCACGTGTCCTCTGCTCTGAGATCAATGCGTACAGACGTTCCTTTTCGATCTATTGTGTTGTTTTACTCGCTCGGGAACGTCGTGGCACTTGTAAGGAAATGTTGCTCCCTTTTCCTGTGCTCCTTGCCGACCCTCGACGCCCCATGTCAGGTACGTGCATGGCAAGTCGCTCAAGGACAGCCCGTCTGCCTTCGAGGGGCCCGTAGAGCAGGAGGCGACCGCGGCAGCGCTGGGGCGCGTGCTGGTGCTGGACCTGGTGCTGCGCAACGAGGACCGCCTGGCCGTCAAGCGGCTCGGGTGGCAGGAGAACGCGGGCAACCTGCGCTACACGGAGCGCCCCTTCGCCACCCCAAAGACGCCCGCGCAGCTCGCCGCCGATGTAACAGCGGCGGCCGACCTACTGCGGATCAAGAGCAAGGGCAGGGCCAAGGCGAGGTCTGCGGAGAACAAGTCGCGGGCGGCAGTGGTTCGAGATGCCGGGGGGGGCAGTCCGCCGGCATTAGTTCTGCACAAGCGCAGCATGAGTGCGCCAAACGTCCGCGAGATCCAGGAGGCCGCCATACTCGATCCCCTAACCGTCCCTGCTCCCAAGCCGTCTGCCCGTGGCTCCGTGGTGGTGATCGACTCGGGGATCCCCCGACGGCCCCCTGCCGCTAAGATGGAGGCAGACCGCGAAAACTTTCCCAAGCTCATGGAGTTGCTGCTGTGCGACGCGGACGTGGCGGCCGAGGTCCTGCGCGAAGTCAGCAGCGGGTACCTGCTGGCACCCTCTCCAGCTACAGACGGGGCTGTGGCGGGCCCAGAAGAGGCACCGCATGATGGCGCACAAGCAGGGGAGGCCCCGCTGGAGCCGACAACATCGTCCCTCTTCTCTGACGCCAACCAGGCCGTCGACCTTTCGAGCCTGGATAAGGCGGCTGCGGAGCGGCGCCTGGTGGAGGCGTTTCAGCGCGGGGTGCGCGAGACAGTGGAGGCGGTGCACGGGCTGCGGCCGCTGTTGTCGCGGCTGCACCAGCGACTGGACGGCCTGCTGCGCGCCTTCATTGCGTGCATCGGGGAGGTCGGCCGGGCCGAGCCACGGCCCTCGCCCAGTGCGCCGCGCCGCCTGTCCGGGGCGGGCCTCGGCCACAGCCCCTCTGGGCGGAAACCCCCCTCGCCCAAGGATGCCAAGAAGCCGCTCTCCCCCAAGGACCCGCGCAAGCCCCCCTCGCCCCGTGACACCAAGCTGCCGACGCCCCCGGACGCTGTCCGCACCTTCAGCAGGGCGGGGTCCGGAAGTCCCGGGGAGAACGGCCGGGAGCCGGGCAGCCCGCTGAGGGGGTCGCCACTGCGCTTCACGATCCGGCTGAAAGACTGGCAAAAGGTCGCCAAGGTGAGGGGCAAGAAGTGGCAGGAAGGCTGGGGAGGATGCTACGCTACAAAGATTTGGGTGATACAGTCGCAGTGAACATGTTCCGGTCGTGGGAGACGGGGCATCCCAAGTATCTCTCGCAGCTTTTGCGCGTTCTACGTGTGCCCGTGGCTCATGGAACCTTGTGTCCGTCCACTACCGTATTGCTCCTGTGCGTAGCCGCTGTCGCGTCAGGCCCCTCATGTGGTGCGGCCGCGGTGCAGGTGGACGACATGGTGTCGGACATGCTGGAGGAGTGGGACGCCAAGCTGCGACGCGAGGCGGCCGCCGTGTGCGAGGCGCACGGCTTCGTCACCGGCTTCCTCGAGTGGGCCGGCGGCCACTCCCTCGTCGACAGCTACGAGCTCAAGGTGAGCTCAAGGTGGCCTTTGCGCAGCTCCCGCTCATGCCGGAAGGGACAGGAGCTTCTCAATTCTGTGTACGTTCTTGGAGGTCCTGCTACGAGCAGCGGCTACAAGCCTCGTCTCTTCTTGACTTTCGGTGCCAAGTCTTCCTCCAGCTTCCTCAGGCGGGTGTCTCGAACTTGACTGATTTGTGCATGTTGTTGACCCTCCATGCCCTGTTTCCGGCAGGTGCGGCTGGAGCACGTGCTGGAGCGCGTGGGGCTGATCCTGGCGGGCGCGGAGGCTCAGCGGCCGTCGGCGGTGCTGCCGTACCTGTACGTGGGCGGGGTCGCGGCGGCACGCAGTCGGCACGTGCTGCAACACCTGGGGATCACGCACATCGTCAACATGGCGCCCGAGGACACCCTCGGGGAGGACGGCACGCTCGGCGAGTTCCCCGACTGCTTCAAATACACGCACTACCAGGTCAGCGTGCACGATGCAACCCCTCACGCACCCCCTGGAATGAACGGACAGAGCGTCTCTCCTTCGCTTTCCGTACCGGTGGTTAGCTTTTTTGTCAATTACACTCGCGCTTTTCGTTTCCAAGACTCGAGCGGCTCGTCTTCTGACCTCGGTGCATGTCCATCTTGCGCAGGCTCGTGACACCCCGACGGAGGACATTGGTCGCTTCTTCGAGCCCGTGAGTGCGCTGATCGACGCTGCTGCCGCGGGTGGGGGCAAGGTGCTGGTGCACTGCTTCGAGGGCAAGAGCCGCAGCGTGGCCGTCGTGCTAGCCTACCTCATGCTGCACAAGGCCAGGAACCTCGCGCAGGTCAGCCAGCACACGCGCACGACGCGCTCGGACTGCGCCGCCACCTGAGCACACACACTTTGCTGCATATACAGACCAATCCTGGTTTGCAGACCGTCGGAGGTGTTGGAAGCGCCTGACAAATGTCGTGGACCTTCATCGCACATATCTGAATCTGCAGCAGGTTCGATGGGCGTCTTTGAAGCAGGCGACTGTCTTCCGCTCCCTTCCCTCCCTAAACACTCTGAGCACCGGTCTCGTGGTGCAGGCATGGGCGGAGGTGAAGGTGGTGCACCCGCGTGCGGCGCCCAACGACGGCTTTGCGGCGGCGCTTGTGCGGCTGGAGAAGCGGCTGCACGGGCCGGTGGCGTCCATGGAGTGGAAGGGCAAGAAGCCGTCCGGCCGGCTGTGCCCCGTGTGCGGCAAGAGTGCCGGCGTCTCCACCGACTCGCTGCGCGTGCACCTGCGCAAGGTGCACCCCGAGTATAGGGCAGCCCCGCTGCCGCCTCCGGTGTGCTGACCCGCAGGCGAGTTTGTATCTACATTGCTGCGCAGGTAGACCAAACAGGTTAGGTCGCACGCTCGAGCAGTAGGTAGAGCTGACAAAAAGAGCAATTGGTTCGGGTCTGCAGACTGTAGAGACGAGCTCGGACCCAGAACAGGGCAGATGCAGGTGAGATAAGATAATTGTAGTACAGTCACTGAAGTTTGTATACCTTTTGGCAAGCAGCAACTATTGGCCCCTATTTTCCAAGAAGGTGGTTACATCAAATTAACACACTGGATTCCAGTGCCTACGGCCGGTTCTGCCGATTGACCAGACGCTGAATTATAGCAGATACATTGATTTTTTTGACAGTGTTCCGTGTATTCTAGTAGACTTGACATGTACACTGATTTGAAAACTGCAGAATCATAGCGTAACTAATCTTAATATGCGCTCTTAGCAGTGCCTAGCTAGCTCGGTCCATAGGCAGGCTTATCATAAGATTTCATGGCATCAGAGGTTGCTTTGTATAATTGCATGCACTAGGCAATGCAGTCTTAGCTGCGACAAGCACAAGAATGTAACGTTGTCATAATGCAGTGGTCATGTATATGATTCGACGAGCTTTCAACAAGCTATAAGACGATCTGAGTAGCTCAACCATGAGCGTCAACACATAGTATAGCAAGATCGTCGATTGCAATTGCGATCCAATCGAGACCGGAATGAAAAGTGCACTGGCGATCGTAAATTTGATATACAACAAGCACAGTCAAACCACCTCCTAAAGTTCAATGCATGATCTGCCACCTATAGCCATGCCACCTAAAACTAACATGCCGGTCGACATATGTGCCATATGACGTACAACATACATGTACCGTTGTAATGTGCAGCTCTAGCCATGGTGCCTTCATCTGCGTCACGCTGTGCACATGGGTCGGACTAGGATGCGCACCAATAAGCGCCTGCTCAGATGGCCTACCTTTGCTCCACTACTGTGCAGTTTGCGGCCATATACCATGTCACTTGCATAATATCAACTTAGGTAAGGCTTTGATCAGTTTCACGAATCCCTAAACTTATAAGATGTCGCTTTCATCTTGCAAGTGATGAATCTAAAGAAGCTAGTCCGCTGAAAAAAAATTCAGACTAATTCCTGCTTGATACGGATAGTTGGCTGGATTCGAAGACTTTCGGAAGACCAGCAGTGGCTAGTATCTGTGAGCTGGTAGTGACAAGAAGGAAAGAACCGTTGAAGTTCCTCAACCGTAACCAGATTACTGAATTTCTCTATATACAATGCCCGCGGCCGAATCCAGTCGGCCCGCACTTTTTCGCTGAGAGAGCCGGGCAGTCCTCGATTCAAGTCTGAGTGCTGACGCCGAATTTGCGGCTTTGCTACACTACGTATCTCTAATCGGAAAATAGCAACGGCAAAACCAGCCTAGGCACAACTGGGACGTTAGCCGCTATTGATCTCTTCCATTGGCTTTTACCTTCTTACAGTGCTAAACGTGCTAAAGTGCGCTGCAAATTATTTCTGTCATTTGGGAGGGGTTGTCACTGGCGGTGGCAGCGGCAGGTTCTTGCTGGGCGGCAGGAAGCTGTCCGCGAGCGGCGTGTTCAACTTCACGGGCAGCGGGGGCATCGACGACAAGATGCCCGGCATGGATGTCATCCTGCAAATGGAAGGCCGAGAAGGACGTGCCTACAGGTGCGCTGTCGAAAACGGTACGGACATGTTCGGATAAAAACGTCCCAACGAGGGGGTGCAGGACTAGGCCTCTTCTCATGAACCTCGAGCAAGCTTCACATGGTGGCACGCTGCTCACCCGTTGATGATGGTGGTGATGTTGTCCCGGAACTTGACGAGCAGCTCGTTGTTCTCCTGAATCTGAACACAAACACACAAGCCCACATGGCCGATCCTGGTCAGCCAGTCGACCTCGGCCAACACTTCGACGAGTCAACAGGCGGTCAACATCAAAGAAGCAGCCGTTATGACGGCTTGTAGTGAAGAGCTTTCGGAAAACCCATTTTACTTCTCTGGCCAAAGTGACGTTGCCAGAGGGCACCCGGGGCCAGGCGGGACTCACCTTGCAGTTGGCCAAGTTCTGCCGAATCTGGTTGACCATGCGCACATTCTCGTCCAGCAGCTGCCCTGTCGGGCCCCCAATGGCTGCACCCACGACACGGACACAACTCAGGAGGAGACCAACGGGAGGCTACCGCTTACAGCTCCGTGAACACTCGCGGCAGAAACTTCGGCGCAAATCACCCGAGCTCCAGACTTTTCGCTCAAATTAACGGATTGTAAGAAGAGCGTGTTTGACAACGAATCAGAGCAGGTCTCGCTAAAGAAGCTTCAAGGCTACGCCAAATTCGGCGCTATGTACGTCACAAACTCGGAAAGAACTAGGACCCCAGAATGTGAAGCTTTTGCCATGCTTGAACATCTGTGCTGAGCAACCTCACTTAACCTGCCCGCCCTGCATTATGACGGCCTTACAGGGTGCAGAGACAAAGCAACGGCCTTGCTGAGAAAAGGCTTTTCACAAACAAAACCTCCAGAATCTGGGCAGAGCGTCTGGAACACAGAACAGGTGGCTGAACGACATCACGCAGGAAGTTTTCTGGGAGCACTCACGCGGTATCTTGTCATCGAGTGGTGGCATGGGCGGCGGCGCCATGATGGGCACTGGGGGCCGCGCGGGGGCCAGGGGGCGGTGCATGTCGCCCGGCTTGTCCTGACACAAGGCCAGGTATCGCCGTCTCAGAAGCATGGCTACAGCGGGACAGCAAGCAACCACGAACACGCACCCACAAATTTGCAAATTAACCAACAACTGCAGACGCGTCCAGCTAGTGCCTTGACGAGCCACCCTAGCAGCTGCAATAAAAGACCATGAGAATCCAATTGTGCACCTGCGTGCACGTCTAAGAATTTCACGTCCAAGCGCTTGCCGACTAGGCAGAGAGAGGATGCCCACCTTTTTGCTTTCTTTTGACTTCTTGGTTTGGCTCTGCTGCTGTTCATCTTTTCTCCGCTTGCCAATCTCTTTCTTCTGCGGAATGGAATGTAACTCATGAGAAAGAGTCATCGCTATCCACACTGTGCATCTTACGGAGTATTTGGCAACCTAGATTGCCAACGCGTTGATGCTTGCGATCGAGGCCATCCCCCGTCTCAGTCCCGGTTGGATCAGTAAGAAGCTTATCAACTGAAGCCAAACACTAATGATGTCCAGGAGTATTTTCCAGCGCATTGCACTGTACCGTCGAAATGCATTCATTCAAGCGGCTGCTGTCCAAAGACTCACCGACATCCAGCGACACCGCATGGCAACGTCTCGCACGGTCTTGTCCGCCAGCATCGCCGCTATCTTTATGCAGCGTACTATGTTGGAATATTTGTCACCAGGGAATCTGCGCAAGGGCAAAGCACCGTAGTTCCACAGTTAGAAGCACTCGTCGCAACCATAGCTCTTTACATTTCATCTGAATGTCCATCGAACGCCCTAACGCAAAAACTGATGGCATGCTAGTCACTCCAACAGAAGCTGGGGGAACTCTGTATTTGAGTGAGAATGTCTAGGTATCCGGAGCACTCCTGATGTGCAAACCATCTGTGCGGGATGTGAAAGCCAAATCATGCAAAATCCTCAAACCGAACAGGAGCGACTCGAACATATGTAGCAACCCCCCCTCCCCCCCCCCCCCCTCCGCCATCTTTAAAGCATGACTGAAGATGCCACTTCTCAATTGTCAAGGGGCCCACTGGTCCCAGCAGACAAGTGCCGGGCCCCTCACCTGGTCAGCCCTTCCTCTAGCAGCTTCTGTTCCTCCGCTGTCCATTCCACCGCCAGGGCGGGCTCATGCATCTGGACAGGCATGCCGGGGCCTTGCGCCCCCGCTGGCCCCGCACTCCCATTGCTCATGGGGGTGGGGATCATGCCACTGACAGGCACAATTGGCCCGGGGGCCACCAGCGTGCCTGCGCTGGGGAGCAAAGCTCCATTGGGATGGGCTAAGCCAGCTCCAAAGGACGGGGAAGATGACGTGGACTGCAAGAGGGGGAGAGCAGGAAGAATGAGGTTGGATAGACACGCCCAGCTTTCACTTGCACCATGAAGAAGCACAAGCTCGCATATTTGCATGGTCTATACACTTAGACAACAACAGCAGAGCAGGCCTAGAACCACGGACAATTGGTGAAACAATTGGTGCAATTGAAAGGGAAATAGTGCACACTTGACTCACAGCGGTACCACCATTTGCTGAGTTGGCCTTCTGGTCGTCGCTGGACGTCCACATTGAGGTGGCGGGCAAGACTCCAGTGCTTTGAAGACCATTACCAACTTCCAGTCTGCAACGGAGGGTAATCAAGGCAACGAGTTTGAGGTGAGCTGAGGAGGAGCAAGGCATTCTTGCAGCTAGTGCCAGAAGACATAAACTCACAATAGGGTTCTCACAAATTAGACAAAGAAGGGCATGTTGTCGGCATCAACACCCTCAGGCAGGCAGGTCTTCCTGGCAGCACTCACATTGGCTCTGGGTGTTCAAGTTTGGGCTGCAACAATTGAGCTGCCTGGGGCTCGCCGGGAGTTGGGCCAGCCAAGCTCTGCACCAGAAAACACCCCGTCCTTAAACGAGCGGTCCAAGTGGCAGCCGCAATCAAAAACGATGCAGGGGGTTCGAACAGGAGCACCGTAAGTGCACTCTACTGCATAGACCAGCTTGGCTTACCGGGTCTCCAGGATCAGGCATAAAATCTGAAGAAAGTGCCATTCCCTCCGTGATCGTCCAGACCTCTAACCGATGCAGAAGCAAAGGCAGCAGAAAGAGGTGCAAATTTGAAATGCCGGGGCTCGAGGGCAGGCAAGGCGGCACCGGGCTCAGGAAGAATGACAAGGGCCACAGCCTAGCTGTACGTCCTAGGCTACACGACCCGGACTCTGAACGCCATGTGATGAACGCCTTCGAACGTGACGGATTCCCCCTTCCACTGTCCGTGATGGCAACGGGCGCGCGCAAATCTGGCCCATAGAAGATTCGGATGTGGTGTCAATCGCTTAGGTGCCGTTTCCCTGACCAGAGGGGCTGAAGGCAGCACTTTGACTGGGTAAAACGCCGAAACCGGCTCCGTGCATGCAGCGTTGTGTACAACGGTTGAACACTTCGAAGCGGGCAACGTGGAACGATTGCAGCCCTCCGATAATACAGGCAAAAGGGCACCGTCCGTGCTTGTCCGCAATTTGAAAGGCCTTAAAACTGAAGTCTGGACTCTGAGTCTATTAAGGCTAGAACCGAGGAGAGCTGAGGTCATGTCACACGCGTGCCGTTCAATGTGCCGTTAATTATGCCGTGGCACACGTACACCTCGTGGGCTTCTTTTGAGCTCGATCGCTTTCAGGTAAATTGAATTTGACCAGCCACCATTGTTTTCAGGATAATATTACTGCTTTACTATAGTGAGTTTTGTAATCGATACCTTACATGTTTGGCGGGCGGCGCGTTGTGTTGGAATATCATTAAAGTATGGCTGCAGCCCGGGCCACGTGCGGCTGCTAGAGCCTTATAGTATAGTGCTGAACAATATCGCCACCCTTGGGCATCGGTCCCACTAAGCCTTGCGGATCACCTACTCAGTCAGGCAATCAATGTCCATGTTGCCATGCCACCATGTGCATATACAGCTGTCCAATAAAACGTCCTCTCTATCACACCTTTCGCGCAGTACGTCAAATTTTGGAAAAATCGCCACATCGTTGGTTTGTGTCCAAGATGGCCCTCAAGGGCTGTTGTCGACCTGATTTTGGAGTAAAATTTGAAACGATACGGTATCAAGTATATGTTGCAAGTCATCTCGAACCAGTATGATTGAGCTGATCAGCCGCGAGCAATGACATTCAACGTCTGATTATATCTGTAAACCAAGCGCAACTCCCAAGAGCCACGAGGAGCCGAATGCTACCATCGGCTCTGGCACGACACAAAAAACCATCCTCTATGCGAGGAGGGCAAGTAAGTGCGTTGCATCCGCTTGCCAAGTCGATGTGTGGATGCAGTGAACGTAACGGCGGGGAAAGGTAATCTCTTGCAAAGGACAAGCCCTGTTTATTACAAATTTTGGTGGTGGTTTTCCATGAACGTCCGGCATAGCTGGGCCACCTGGTCCCGTTGCTTGGTCCAGCCTAGCGTGTTCAAGTACAGGGCGGTGAGGAGGAGCACCTTGCGACACACGGGCTTCGCCTGCACCGAGAGGCAGGGCATGCGTCGGCCTTTCATGATTCCCCTGCATTGTCACAACGGCAACAAACAGTACGTCCACAACTCGCGCAACCTCGTCAGAGCTCGAGTCGCTGTTTACGAAGGCAAATTTCTTTGGCTTCGCTTCTGAAGAAACCCTTTTGCTCCAATCTGCGGCAACCCCGGCTCACCTCGAGATCTCGGTAGGCTTCGAAGGCTGCTTGGAGGGGCTCCAACACCACAGCGGGCGACTGCTTCCCTGCACAGGGACAAACACCAAAGACGGGGCACCTCAGGCTCGACGAGTGTCTCCCAGTGTCATCCACAAGGCAGCATTTCCTATTCATAGCAGTCAGTCGACTTGAGTTCAGCCACCAAGGTACATCCGCGCTCGTTGCTGTCGTCACAACCAGCAACGAGAGGACGCAAAAGCCAGAAGAAAAGAAGGCGGCATGTCACGGCAGTCGACTCGAACCGGTCGTGTTCAGCATGCGTGGGGTGCCGCACCTTGTTGTGGCTTCAGGGCGGCCAGCCAGGCGCGCGCCAGCGCGAAGTGGGTGTCTGCGCGCAGCTCCAGGCTGCCGTGGGCCAGCACCACGGGCAGCACGCGCTGGATCTGCAACCAACGTGCAACCGCGCGCGTCAGTAAACGGCACGCCGGAGAAAGGCCCCACCAACCAAGACTGCCCGCCCGAAGTCAGCCGGAGCAGATAGTCGCCGGCACAAGGGGAGACGCTATGCGGGTTGAGAGCCAGGCCTGCGTGGGTGTGTACCTGGCGGATGGCAGAATGTGCGTGCGCGGGCCCCCTCAGAAGGGCCAGCTCCGCGAGCGTGAGGGTGGCGCGCGCCGCATGCAGGTCGAGGTGGAAGGCCCGGGCCAGAGTGAGGCCGCTCAGGGCATACGGCAGGCCCGCGGCAGGTGCACCCGCAGCCAGGTGCACCTGGGCAAGCAGACAGGGGGCAGCATGAGTACAGGGGGACAGCCGGGGCGGAGCCAGGGAGCGAGGGGGAGAGGCACGAGGGGACCACCCTCAATCGAGAAGAAGGTCGTGCTTCCACTCTGTTGCAACTGCGACTAGGAGACTGACCAAAGCGGGTGACCAACTTCCAACACGGACATGATGAAGCACGTCGGACTTGGGATCCGCAAGATGCCAACGGCGGAACTGATGTTGGGAACCCGAAGCCCATCCTCGGAACGATTGAGCAGCTGACGCGGATATCCGTCCGCGGGCGCTTGTCGAGCACACGGGTTGCGCGTGCTGACCTTGGCGAGCAGCAGTAGCGCGCGCACTGCGTCCAGCTGCAGGCCCGCCGCCACGGCCAGGCTGTGCACCGCCGCCCCTGCTGCCGCCGCCTCCTCGAACCGCTGCCCCGCCACTAGCACCGCCGCGTGCCGAAGCCCCGCGTCCACGCACAGCTCCGCCTCCGCCCCGGGCCCGCACGCGAGCGCTGCCATAAAGCACGGGACGTCAGCAGGGTACACGGTGCGCTGACATGAGCGGGGAGGCTGAAAAAGGGTGTTCGGGACGCAAGTGGAGACGCCTGTGCGCAAAGCCAGGTCGCGAAGTATGCAGTGCCCCAGAGGATCATCTTCGAACATCGGCCTCAACCTTTCCCTGCGGCAGGCCCGTGAGATTCTTGCACCGCTGACCTGCCAGCTCGGCGACCGCCTCCTCTGCTGCGCGCAGGTCCCCTCGATGCAGTGCCTGGTCGTGCTGCAGCCGCAGCGCCGCAATGCGCAGCCGCCGGTTGACCGCCTGCCCGGCTGCGGCCGCCAGCTTGGGCCGCGCCGTCGCTGCCGCCAGCACGCGCAGGCCCCCCGTGGGCCCGCGCGCAGCAGCCGCTTGGGAGGCCAGCTGGCAAGCGGCCAGGCAGAGGTCGTCCGCACTGGCCACGTCGTCGTAGCACGCTGCGTGAACCAGCGTCGAGGCGTGGGCCAGGGGGGCGCTGCCAAATACAGACACAAAAGGTGTTCTGAAAGTCTTTCCTATAAGTAGACCTAGGGCGGGCCACACGTTGTTGATTGACATGCAAGGGTTGTGGTCACCCGCCAAGGCCGTTTTGGGAATTGCTTCTGACTACCGTGCACACGCCCGGCCAACGTGGCGCCGACAGGTGCTCGTCCGGCCGCCCGCATCTGAGGCACGTGCCCCCCCCTTCCCTCACCTGGCGTACAGGTCCCAGGCGGTGGCCTTGAGCAGGTGCGCCGTCCCGGCCATGCGCGCCACGGCTGCTGCGGCCATGCTGGGCTTCTTGCCCGGCCCGCTGCCGAGGCCGTCCGCCCCCACGCTGAAGCTGGCGGCCAGCTGGCTCGGGGCGCGGCTCAGGGAGTCGCCCAGGCCGGACGCGCTGGCGGCCAGGCTGAGGGAGCCGCGCACGCCCGAAGGGGCAGCCGACGGCAGCGCGGGGCTGCTGCCAATGGCGTCCAGCAGGAGCAGGCTGCTGCTGCGGAGCAGGCGGCACACCTGCCAGGGGGAGCGCCAGGCATGCGTCGGCAAGGGGAAGGACAACACAACGACGTCGGAGGATGAGACGCAGATCAGACTGAGACGCCGGATAAAAGAGGAAATCCGGAGTGTCGCCGAAAGAACACACGTCTGGACCCCTGTGGAATTCGTAGAGCCTTGGGGAGTTGTCAGAGCGTGGTGGCTCACCTCGACGGGGTCCGTCCCGAGCGGTCCGGCAGCGGGGAGGGAGGGCAGGCCGGTGGGCAGGAGGCGCACGTGCTGCATGTCGAAGCGGGCGAGGGCGAGACGACTGCAGAGGACAGCGAGAACTGGCTTCCTTAGTCCGCTGAGGTATCGGCCAGACGGAACACAGCTGTTTGGGCACAAGGAAGCCCAGAAATCGAAGTGATTGAGGGGGGTGTGATGCAGGTGGAAACAGGAAAGATTTTCAAGCGCAGAGAATTCTCGAGGCGTTCCAACCATTGAGGGGCCGCACCTGAAGGCCACGAGGTGCGGCAGCCGCAGCTCATGCGCGCGACGGAAGCAGGTCCGCAGCAGCAAGAGCAGCTGCTGGCGGTGTGCCTCGGCCGGGCCGCGCTGGTCGCCTCCAGCGGCTGGGGCACCGGGGGCGGTCCCTGGAGACGGCGCCTCCGCCAGCAGGTGGCACAGGGACGCCAGCGCGTGCGCCAAGCACACGTCGTCGCTGCTCTGCTGGGCCACGCGCACTGCGGCGTTGAGCGCCTGCAGGGGGCAGGACGAACGAATTTACATGCTGCGAAGATACTGCTGAACCGAATGAGAAAGCTCCTGATGTCGATGTTTCGTCCATCATGGCAAGAAAGGGTCCTTTGAGTAATACGAGTAGAATCGACCTGAGTGGCTCGAGACATCTGAGATATCTAATCGAGGTTTATGAGTCCACTTGGGCAAGCCGACCAGACCAGGCGAGGTGATTCTAAAATAGAGGAACAGAGTCTCGTTTGCAACATCGTTGCTCGATTAGCTCAGGGGTTTCCCCACATGGCACCGGATTGAAGGCGCAGAAGTAGTTCCACCAAAGGGGCACTTCATGGTTGAACTCTCCATCTGAACAAGCTCGTTTCCCCCCTTGCCCCCTCCCTCACCTGCGTCGCCTCAGCGGCGTGGCCAAAGTGGACGTGCATGCTCCCCAGATTCAGCAGCGCGTTCTGGAAGCGCCCCGTCTGCCCCTTAGCCCCGCCTTCCGCAGTGAGCGCGCTGCCGTCCTGGCCGGTGCCATAGTCGAAGTAGCGGTGCAGGGCATCGGTGGCAGCGGGGACGTCCCCCGCATGCATGTGCGCCAGGTAGCGCACGTACTGCACCTTGGGGAAGCCCGGCGCCAGCCGCTCCAGCTCGCTCAGCTGCGCGTCCATCGCCGCCACACTGCCGCACCCCACCTCCCTGCACAACGAGCGCCCCGCTGCTGACGTCAGCACCCTCCAGGTCGACACCTTCAATCATACACACAGTACTGCGATGAATCAAGCAATAAACGAGCCCTGAACCACCGACGGCTGAGGACGAGCTGCCTGCAACCCTGATCTATGCACGTGCATCGCTCGCGCACCTCTCGATGGCGTCCGCTTGCTCCTGCAGAAACGCCTCCACCTGCTTGCTGGGCCGCACCGCTGTGCCCGCTGTGCGCAGCGAGCGCACCCGCTTGCCGAAGGCCCGCCGGAAACCGGCATCCCGCAAGGGGGGGCGACCGCTCCTCTGGGCCTCCTCGAACTCGTCCTCGTCCTCCGGGTATTCGTCATCGCTCTCCGGCGCTGAGGCCATAGCAGGCTCCGGCTGCGCATTGGCTGGTGCAAGGGAATCCGCGGTGGGGCTGCCCGAGTAGCGGCAGTAGGCGCTGATGTTGGTCAGCAGCCGGCACGTCGCCTGTGCAGGGAATGGAGGACAGCAGGTGATGGACTACCCCACTTCAACTGTCTGTCCGTACCTCCTACTTCTGCCCCATACTACAGAAGCATACACGTCCCCTGCGATTGTTAAAACCCAAACCTCTTCCCCGATTGTTCATGGTTGACAAAAGGCGTCAGTCTTTGCCAAGGGCTAAACGATTTCCTGATGGACTACTAGGGTGGTCAAAGCAAGAGCTGCTCAAACGAGGGCCACTCTGGTGAGCAGATTGCTGAAAGCACATTCGCTGGAGGGGAATTGCCCATCAAAACAGTTGGCTCTATATTTGAAGCAACTCAAAATTCAAAACGAATGTGTCAGCGAGGGTGATCACCAGGGACGACAAGTTGACGGGGGGCTTCAGGAAGGTCATGTGGGCTGTCAACCCAGAGCCTTCCACTTCTGATTGCTCCATCTCCAGACGCCCAAATGAAGGGGTGCCAGCCTTCCACAACAGCTGGACCCAATTCCACCAGATATTGTACAACCATCACTGCCAACCCTGGACCACTGTCTAAGCCTCACCTCAAAGGAGAGGGAGTTGAAGGCCAGCAGCACGCGGCGCACGAAGATGCCAAGCGCGCTGCCCGGCTGCAGCAGGATGGCCTCCTCATCCAGGACCTCCCCGGGGGGGCCGCTCGTGCTCAGCAGCTCTGGGGGCAAAAGGGGGGAGCTGAGGGTCGCCACCACCAGCATTTAAGCAATTAAGCCAGGCAGCTGAAAGGAGACTATCGAGGGCCTTCACATGACCACGGTGCTCAGGGAGGAGGCAGCTTTCTGTTGACAGTAGCAGGCAGCCTTTCACTCACCCCTGATCTTGACGAAGAACTGGAAGAGGTCGTCTGGGCAGGTGGCCAGTGCGAGGCGCGACACGAGGTAGTCCTGCAGCGGCAGCGCGTCCTCTGCGGGCACTGCGGCGTGCAGGCGCTGCAGCAGGAGCGGCAGCGGCGGCTCCTGGAAGCTGGCGCTGGACAGGGCCTCGCGCACCAAAAAGAGGCACAGGTCCTGCCCCAGCGGCAGGTTCTGCTCCGGGTCAGGCTTCACGTATGCGTCTGTCAGGATGCACAGCGCCACCTGGTACGGCGTCACCTGCTGCGCCATGGTGGCGCGCAGCAGCTGGCCGGGCAGGGGGAGTGGCGCGGTGCCCCAACGATGTCAGCAGCAGGATGGTTCAGTATGTGTGCCGCACACTGCCAGCTCACGAGTGACGTCCAATGCAATTGGGTCCTAAGGAAGGGCTGCCAAGCTCAGACAATGCACACCGACTGGTCTGACTTGGTTAAGCGCCAATTATGACAAGCTTCTACGTGTGCCCGCCGCACAACCAGCAATGGGGCTTGGACTGCTGCCTGCAGTAGCTGATTCATGCAGTTGACAGTTACAATTCTCCAATACAGCTGGCCCCTGGACCGGGAGCTAGGATCTCATGTGCTCCCACAGGAGGCTCCACAAGGAAGTCTTTCATCAGCCTCGGCCCTCAGGGCCTCTGAATACGCTTCTGCTTGTGCCATGCACATTGCGGGTTGATCGCATGGCAGCTTCAGTCTTCTTCGGGAGTAGGGGGGTTCGGGGGAGCTACCGCCCCCCCGATTTTGGTCAACAGGTAAACAGATGCATGGCCGGTGCGTGAGTGTGGGCTCGTGCCCTGCAATGTGCATGCCATGGTAACTCGTAGCGGGGGGGTTCGGGGGGGCGGCAGCCCCCCCGATTGTTTGCAGAATCGCAGAGAGGGTCTTACATTACCATATGATATTAGGGCCGGCGCCCCCTCACATCCACCCAGCTCGCTTAGCTCAGTTGGTTAGAGCGTGGTGCTAATAACGCCAAGGTCACAGGTTCGACCCCTGTAGTGAGCAGTTCCGTACTCCACTTCCATCTTTTCATTAGCGGTTTTTCTCTCTTTTGCTCGAAGTTTGCACTTGCCAGTACTGAGTACAATTGACAATTGAATTTGTGCACCTCAAGCTTCATTTGCGTTGTACTTCGCTCTTCCAATCCTTTGTGCTCAGCACTCGGCCTTTTACTCCTCCTGCACTAGGGAGTTTTACAGTACATCGCAGCTGTTCTTTATCCAGCCAGCTTCTTGGCAGAGAAGCCATTTGCTCACCAGCCTCTTTGACACCTGTCAAGTGCCCACAAGCTGCAAAGCCCTTGTGGTTTCCTAAATCATCTCTGCCAGCTGCTTGTCGTTCACCCAATGATCCACAACCTCTCTCCTGCCCCCTGCTTTGATTTGCTAACTGGCAATTTTCTTGCCCCATCTTCACATTTGCTACCCAGGCCACCAATGCTGCAGCTGGACAGCTGTCATTGTTGGCATTGCTAGACAATAACTGAGTCCCAGGTTGTGTGCTCGTGGTGGTTTGCTGCCAATGGTGCAAGTCTGGGCGCCAGCATGGATTCCAGAACTCATATGATTGGCGCATTTGTGGCTGGGACTTGCCTGGGTACCTGCCTGGCGCTAGCATTGGCTAGATATAGTTTATCAAAACAGCGGATACGAAACTGGCAAGGTACACCACCCACATTCAGCTCTGAAGGCATCAAGGAGCAAGCAAGGCAGGTTCAAGGTGAGCCACCATATTTGCAGGGAGTAGTTTTTATGCATTGTCGAAGCCTGCGAGATTGGTACCGGCGCTGTTGCTGGCCACACCACCACTCTATCGAAAGCTCCAAGTTACTCAGATGCGTTGGGGCAGGGAACTTGAGGAAGGCCACCACCTAATCAGCGCCCATCGAGTCATACCGTCCACATTAGGCTCTGAGATCTCCAAGGAGCAATCCAGGCACGATCAAGGTGACCCACAACTACTTCAGGAGGTATTTGGTCTCTGTGTGTTGTCCAAGGCCTGTGATATCAATTCTGGCACTCTTGCTGGCCACACCACCCTTAATTCAGAAGGAATATGTGAAGGCTTCCACTGATCAGCGCCCATCAATCGCAGGTTCTCATGGTACCATAGATTTGGCGTCACCCCCGGTGCAGCTAGACGAAGCAGATGAAATCATCCGAGAACAGTTCACAAGGTGGGCAGAACAGCCACACTTGCAGGCCACTTCTGTGTTGTCGGGCATACGTGTAGCTTGGAAGCTCAGCTTGGGGCAACTGGAGTGGAGTCTGCAAAGCTTGCCTCACTGAACTGCTTCCTTTGCTATTTCCAGGAACGTCCAGTTCTTTGGGGATGAGGGGCAGGCGCGAGTCCATGGCGCCTTTGTGGTGAGAGGCAGGTGGTGGGCATGACAGTGCTTGGCTGTGCTTGTGTTTTCATACTCAACTCACATCGCTACTCACAGCCTAATGGTCTTGGAAGCTCTCATGACCAGATTGGAGCAGTGTGTTCTAGGCTTGCTGCAGGCCTCAAGGCTACCCAGATGCACTTTGCCAGGGCAAGCTCGTTCACACTATGAAGTTGGGTCCAACGGCATGGTGTATGGCTCTTGTTGGCAGGAACTGGTTTACGTCCAGAGCATCAGCACCATTTGACCCTTCTTTGCAGGTGGTTGTTGGCCTGGGGGGCGTCGGCAGCCATGCGGCCAGCATGCTGCTGCGCTCAGGGGTGGGCCGCCTGCGCATTGTAGACTTCGACCAGGTGAGGCACTACTCAGCGATGTGCAACATCGCAGTTTGTCCGGGTTTGTACCGAGGGCCACCGTCGAAGTGCAGTATCCGTTCTCCTCACCAGCCGGAAAATCTGTGCCCGTCACTTGCCCCCCAGGTGTCGCTGTCGTCGTTGAACCGCCACGCGGTGGCTGTGCGGGAGGATGTGGGCACGCCTAAAGCGTTGTGCCTGCAGCGCCACTTTGCACGCATCTTCCCGGAAGCCCACGTGGACGCCCGTGCGCTCATGTACGACATCACCACGGAAGAGGAGGTCCTCGCTGGGAGCCCGGACTTTGTGCTTGACTGCATCGACAACATTGACACCAAGGTGGGCCCTCGTAACAGTGATACGAGACAAGATTTCCAAAGGCTTTGACCTCGTCAGCGGACAGTTCAGGTACCGTGTGTGGATGGGTACGTTTGACAAGTTGTTTTTTGAACGCGTCTTGGCCCCCAAGAATTTGGTCCTTCCGTATGGTTTACCCGAGCCTGCTGGTTGTTTCCAGGTCGCGCTCCTGGCGGCCTGCAAGCGGCGTGGTCTGCAGGTCGTCAGTGCCACCGGTGAGTGCTCCCCTCGACTGGCGCTCCTCCATGTTAGCGACACCACCTCACCTCATTGTTTCTCAACTTCGTGACCACCCTTTCTTCGCCCTCACCCTGTCCCCTTTTTGAGCCTGTCCCGTGGTCACTACAGGTGCGGGCGGCCGCGCCGACCCGACCCGCGTGCGGCTGGCGGACCTGAGCGAGAGCACGGAGGACCCCCTGAGCCGCGCGGTGCGGCTGCGGCTGCGGCGCCTGCACGGCATCCAGGACGGCATCCCGGTCGTCTTCTCCACCGAGAAGCCCAAGGCCGGCCTGCTGCCCTTCGAAGCGCCCGGTGGGGTGGAGGCGAACCCGGCCGACTACCAGGTGCGGCAACGGCTCTGTCGTGCTTCAGCCTTCGATCGTGACAGCTGTGCGGCGTCATGTGGTCACTGCCGCATCCTTTGCACCCCAACTTGGGCGAGCCGGCTTGGCTTTATGACTGGGCCGGGACAAGCCGCTCGGCTTCCAGCTACAGTAGTCTTCAGGCCCCCTTGCCCGGCGTCTACCCCTGGTTTGGTTGCTGTGCAGGTGGTGCCTGGCTTCCGCGTACGTACCATCCCGGTGATGGGTGCGCTGCCCGCCCTCTTCGGCCTCGTCATGGCCGCCCACGTCGTAACCACCCTCGCGCGCCTGCCCGTCGCCCCCGAGCCCGTACTGCGCCTCGGTCGCGAACATTACGGCTTGCTGCATCGCCGCCTGATCGAGCGGGAGGAGGTAAGTGCACCGTGCGGCCAATCGGTGCGTGCTGGGCCCGCCGTGCGGCAGCAGATGCGGATGCCCGTGTCCTCGCGCGCCACAACTTGGAGGCCGATGATACCTTCCATCAAGAGATTCCTCACTCCGGATCCGCGTTTGACAAAGTGCCTCCGGTAAATCTTAGCAACAGCTGATCGGCTCGTTGATGGTCGCACGCTGCCCCGTGCCTGCGGCCATGCTTAACGTGCGTTGCGCGTGGTGCAGTTGCGGTTCGGCAGTGGTGCCGCAGTGGACGTGGACGAGGACGAGGTGGTGTACATTGCGCGCGAGATGTGGCGCGGCCGCAGCGCGCGCGACCAGGCCGCACGGGACGTGGGGCGGGGCATGTACCGGGCAATGGCCCACATGTGCCTCACCAGGTGCGCCCGCCGGCAGCGCCTCTCCGACGTCTCAGGGGCACGAGCGCGGTGTGTGGCAGCAGGCAGGTGGTGATAGCAAATATCGTGTTGCGAGCTAAAGAATCATCGATCGGCTCAGCCCCCCTCCCTGTGCGTCGCAGGTGGGACGCGTCGAAGCCCCCGACGATCGACAACCTGATCATGCTGACCTTCGAGGAGGTGAGAGCCGCCGCCATCATAGGCTTGCCAGAATGCACGCAAAGACGAGGCACGCCTTTCGTCAGTTCGGTCGAGCTTTGACCGAGACGACTTTGATGCAGGATTCGCCTGTGATCCCTGAAGAGGCAGCATGCAATCTTGGGGCTCATGTTAAGGTACAACTCCATTCTGGCCGTACGCCCTGTCAGTGTTTCGTATACGTCCCTCGAATGCCTGGAGAATGTCATCGCCGGCTAGCGCTGCTTTCTGTCGTCTTACCCGGCAGCCTGTTTCGTGATGGTGGCGCAGGCCGAGGCGCACGAGGCCCGCACGCTGGCCGACATTGCCAGCAGCGAGCCGCAGTTCTACGCCATGGTCACGGCCGTGCTGCAACGGGCACGCCGGGACCTGGCGTACCCGCCACGGAGCACGTGACCGCGCACGCTCGTACCTCCATCGCCAGCCAGAGTAGTCCAGAGTCCGAGCTCTAGCATGAGCTCACTGCCCGAGATCAGCCATGGGAAGCATTCAAGAGAGAAGCGTCCAAGCAAAGAAGGGGTTAAAATGTCTTACGGCCACAGCCGCGATAAGGTCCGCGTGTACTCTTTCGAATCGTCTTACAAAGATGTTTTCGATCGATCGATGCATGCTTTTGCGTCCTGCACTGCGTAACTGAAAGTCACCTGCCATGCTGCGGCGTCTGAACGTCACGGGTGTGATTGATCACATGAAAGTAACAGCATATTCGCGTCAGGGCCCCATTAGGGCGTCAGTGCTCAGCAGAAAATACTGAGGCATCCATGACGTCGTGTCATGATCGATTCGTTGTATGGTTCGTCGCCTTGAGCGTGCATGGATGCCGTATAACAGCGGGTTGCGTTGAACCTAGTGTTCCTCGAAGGCCGATTGCAAATCGCCATCCCGCGATCTTGAAAGTTCGATTGCCATGTGCGAAATTGAGCAGCCACCCCCACTTCTGCTTTGGCCGGTGCGCAATTAAAGCTAGGTAATCTGTGTAAACGGCGAGTTCAAGCATGAGGGCTCAATTCGGGCGTGGACACTTTCAAATACAATTGCATCAAGCACCGGCATATAAGGTGATCACTTTCCCGCGGCAGCCATGCATGGCTGCATAGGTCATCCTGCATGTCAGCCTTCAAGTGGTTGCGCCCCTACGAAGCCTATGCTACAAGTAGGCTTATAGGGATTCAGAATTCCATCCGCGGTATATACACGTCTTCTCACAACTTCGTGCACGACAATCGAATCAACTTTCAACTTCGCGTATATACCGGCGAATCAGGTTGCGATATGGACAAGTTTGACGCAAACTGCTGTAGTAACCGGTCATGCTGATGGTGGCCTACCTAGAGCCGTCCTATCGCTAAACTAGGCGCAGCATGCATGCTAGCTGATATACGGTAATCAAGGGAGTTATGGGTTGCGAGGCCGATTCAATCACGGTGAGCTAGCTAGGAAAGGCACGCTCGTGAGCTGATCATTCAAGCTAGCTTTTCACAGAATGGTCAGTGGCGGCAGCGCTTAACTGCGCGAACGGCTTTACACCCTGATGAGTCAGCTCTATGCTCTGTATTGAACATTGCAGTGGCCCGCTATCCCCGGGTCAGATTACTGCATCTCCATTCCCGTGGAAAAGCTTGATTACAAACTCAATGAGGCCCATCCAAGGCCGTTCTGGATGTTCAACCGGATGCATGAAAGACACCACATGAACATCACTATGATACTTTGTCGCATCTTGCACTCGTAGTCTTGGTCTTGGACGTGAATTCGCCCTTGTTCATTGTCCTAAGGGTTCGAATTGCTGGGGGAGCGTTTGATAAACTGCGTTTGTCCTCCCAGACACCTGATTTATTGGTTACCTGGAGCCTTCAATCGTTGATCTCTTCCATGCTTCGGACATTGGTGTTGCGAGCAAGCTCCATCGGGATTACATGAATGCTGTTGGTCTTCCGCCCCGTCGTGAATGTCGTTCATACGCAATGTTGAACTTCTCCACCAGCTCATTCAACGTGCTTGTCCCCTTCGTGATTCCTGGAAACAAAGCAGAGCAAAGATGGGTTCACTGAGGGCCTGAACGAACATGCCACCACTGTCACGCAAAAGCGCTACTGACCTCACCACTGATTCATTTCCAAGACAAGATCAATGTTAGGCAACAATCAGCTGTTAGCCCCTGATGAAGTCGTAACCTTGTTGGAAGACACTCGGTCATGAAATGACCAGCAAGAGCGGTGGCGGCTCACCTGCGAGGTAGGTCATGAGCAGCGTGTCATTGTACTCCGTGAGGAACTCCTCGCGGAAGTGCGCAGAGTCAATGGCTGGCAGGCGGCGCACCAGGCTGGACACCTGGCGCAGCAGGGAGTGGTCGAGGGGCAGCTCGCCACGGGAGAAGGACAGCAGCAGGTGGTGCAGAACCTTGATGCGCCTGCAAACCAGACAAAGCCCCCGAGAAGAAGCGCCAGTCAGAGGAGTCTCGGCCACTTGTTCCGAGGAGCATCACAACTCCATTGACATCCAGGGAGCAAGGCCGAGGATGATACGCGCAAGGAGGGGGCATTGCGCGTATACAGCCGCCAGCACGTAGGGCTCACCTGCTCAACATCTTGATGGCACTGTGCAAGCCCATCAGATGAGCGGCAACTGCAGGACAAGAGCGGCATCAGCATAACAAACTCAAGGAGGGAGAATGTGTATAGGGTGAAGAACCAAAAATGCGAGCAATCCTTATTAAAGTGTACTGATGTCAGGCAGCGGTTGGTGCCAAGCTGACTCAATCTTCCAGAGGTTGGTACTGACGACAGCTTTGATTGCAGTAAGAACTGGGTTGCAATTGAAGATGCAGCCATCTTACGCTGCGTTGCTCCAGATGAGCCTCCAGACGGCGTGATGCGTGCGACATGATCGACCGAGATGCGCTCCGCCTCCACCGTCTCCACAGTGTATCCTGACTTGACAAAGATGGGGGTGGGCACGCCCTCAATGACGTGCAGCTCGCTCTCAAAGATGGTGATGGGGAGGTCCTTGGCGCCATGGTGGATGGTGGGGTCCAGCAGCAGGTACAGCGGGCTTTCGTTGATGTCGGTTAGCGCCTTGTGGACCTGCATGTCCGCCACCTGCACCCCGCTGCCCGTCGAGTACCACCCCAGGATGTCATACTTGGGGAACACTTTCTTGTACTGCTCCTGCTTCTGCGCCAGAAAGCCGCGGTCCAGCACAATCAAGTCATCCAGCACATCGTACTTGAGCTCAAACGAGTTGAAGATCTCCACGCTGCGCCCTGTCTGCACCCCCAAGAGGCAACCTAGAACGCGGGGCACGTGATTGCCCCGCGTCTGTGCTTTGATGCGGGTGAAGTGGTCTGAAACATTCACAATGACAAGGGGATGCAGCTTAAGCTCAAGACCACTGGCGGACGACATTGTGCCCCCTTCAGCGCAGCTCAAAAGTAAGTAGTCTTAAGAATAGCACCACCCTCAATTCTTCGTCGATCGACACTGCAATGGCTACTGTTACAGTTGTTCGAGGACAATTGAACGTCGTCTTCAAGTTCTGCCAGAATGATCCGCTTTTGCGCCTTGCTAGGACTAATGCAATGAAGCTGGACAGAAACGTGCCTTTGAAACATTCTCAGCAGCTTCTCTACTGCAGCCACTCAGCCTAGCTTGGTGTCAAATCGTGCATTTTCAAAGTCGACCGAGAGTCTATTTCGCAGGTATGGAGCCGGTTTTTTGCTCATTTTAGAGCCTGGCCAGCTTGACACCATAATTGCCCGACTTCTGTATCCCTGTACCACCACCACCATTGTCCATCATCATGCAGCACCCCATCACACATTTGCTGGTGCAAACTTCAATGTAAAACAAGTAAGAAACTGGATGGTCTAGAAAAGGGTGGTTGATTCTGTGCCTATGCACGTGAAGAAACTTCGTTGTTTCTTTATTTTGTTAGGGGCTTTTGGACAAGATGGCACCATCCGCAGTGTCGTTCCAGAGCTTGGAGCCGCTGGACGTTGAGAGTGAGCAGGCGCGCACTGCGCCGCTGCCCCTTGATGCTGATGGCCTGGCCCATGGGGTGTTGTCTGGCAACAAGCTAACCTACTATGTCAAGAAGAATCGGAGGCCCTCGCAACGAGCGGCGCTGGCTCTGGTGGTCAACATCGGGTGAGGCACCACGGTACTTGCATTTCTGTTAAGGACAGCGGGCCCACCCTCAACGCAGGCGTGCGCACACAGCAGCCTCCCATGATACATGTGTCTAGATTCTTTGAATGGTGGTGTGTTGCCCTGGAGCTCTGAGCGACGCAGAAGATCGACTTTTCTGTTCAAATCAGCTCAGTCAATGAACTTCTGGAATCATTTTGCCGTTTGGCGGTGGTGCTACTTGGGTGAAGTGCAGTGACCAGTGTGTAAGCTGTTTCCGACAGCAATTGTTCATCGCCTCATTGTTGAGGCAAGACCAACAAGGACTCGCTTGTGAAACAGCCTGCTTCTTTTTACTGAGCAGGTCTGTTGTTGAGGAAGAAAACGAGCGGGGTTGCGCCCACATCTGTGAACATCTAGCTTTCAACGCGACTAAGAACTATAGCAACCATGACATCGTCAAGTTCCTCGAGACAATTGGTGCCCCATTCGGCGCTTGCCAGGTCAGCAAGTTTCCCTGTGAACTGGGATATTTCAGTCCCTGTTGCTTGTGAGGCTGTTGACCTATGTTTATCGCTCCATTCTCTTCCCTGCCCTAGCCAGCAACTCTTTCCCCTGCGGGGTACCTTCTCAACCGGACTTCCCTCAGGAGGGTGTGTCTCAGCTGCCGCTGTGCCCCCTGCTTGGCAAGATGCGGAACGGTTCACTTCTGTATCCTCCTTTTACTCTCCTTTCAGAACGCCTACACCAGCGCAGACGAGACAGTTTTTGAGCTGTTCATACCCATTGACAAGCCGGGCCTACTCTCAAAAGCCCTCTCCGTGTTGGCGGAGTTCTCCGTGGAGGTAAAGCCATCAAACCCAGACTCTGTCTCCCCATCTTGTGTCCTGTATACCGGGGGCCTCTCTTCCAGTGCATCTCCAAGTGATGAGCAGGAGGCAGGATCTGCTGACATGCTAACGAGGAGCCTGTTGGCGTGTTTGTTCTTCAGATCCGCATCTCGGAGGCGGACCTTGCCAAGGAGCGCGGGGTGGTGCTGGAGGAGTGGCGCCAGCACCGCGACGCCACGGGCCGCATGCAGGAGGCCTACTGGGCGCTCCTCACCAAAGGCTCCAGGGTGAGGCCCCGCCTGCGCACGCCCGTGCCTAGAGCCACAGCCCTCCCTCGTTTAGCATGCCATCCAACAGCAGCTTCTTTTAGGAAATGACGGGGGTTGCCCTTGGGTTCCTGCCGCCCAGCTAACGACATCAGTGACACATGGCTGCGCAAATGAGGGATTCGTAACTGGCGTGCTGCCTGGTGGTGCAGTACGCAGAGCGGCTCCCCATTGGGACGGAGCACATCATCAAGAGCGTGCCTGCGGCTGTTTTGCAAGCGTTTTACCGCCGTTGGTACCGCCCGGAGCACATGGCAGTGGTGGCGGTGGGCGACTTCGAGGACGTCCAGGTGAGGCCGCACCCAGAGACGCCAATCCGCTGCTTGGGGGCTGCACGCTGATAGGGAGACAAATCTGTTAGGCGCTTTGTCCCCCGTCAAGTTGTATAAGGAGGGCCCGAAACTTCGAACTTTCGACTGCTGTGCAGGGCGTTGTTCAACTGATTGAGGAGCACTTCGGCGAGAAAGCCGCGTTTCCTCCACCGCCGGGGCAGAGCCACCCTTCCATCCCCAAGTTCGGCTTCACCCCCCACTCCGAGCTCCGAGTGTCGACGTTTGCAGACTCCGAATCCACTTCGGTGAGTCCGTACTCAAAACGGCTTGTGACCCGCTTGTTGATTCTCCTCCTTTGCCGACAGGAAGCCTGGTTGGTAATCGTTTGCTGTGTGCTTTCAACGTGTTCTTTCAGCAATTTTCTGGTCGTATATGCATCGAGGAAGAGGGCTGACAGACACTCCCTGGCATCTGCGTTGCTAACAGTCTCTCTCGATGGCCGCTTGCTGAGTCCCGCATGCTGTGCTGGCGTGGCCGTGCAGTCCGCCGTGTTGGTGAGCTGCAAGTTGCCGGAGCAGCGCATTGACACAGTGGCGCAGTACCAGGCGTTCCTGGCGCACGAGATGGCGCACATGGCCATCAACCAGCGGCTGTTCAAGATCTCCAGGCAGGTCAGGCCATGCGCACAGCGCCTCGACCAAGGAACTCACCACATGTTTTGTTGTTGAACCCGCCATTCGGCTCTTTCGAGTGGCTTGCTGTCACAACAGGATCGGTTTTGACTGTATGAAATCGCCGCCTGCCTGCAGAACACGCCTCCTTTCTACTCGTGTGAGTCTGGCGGCCAGACCATTGCGAGGACGATAGAGGTGAGGCCTGCCTCCTCCGGCTTCCGCCCACTTCCGCCCCTTGCCGCTGTCTCCCTCCTGGGGTGGCGCTAGCCGCCGTGTGTGCAAGCAAGGCCCCTCTTGACACCGCTGCTCCTTGGGTGTGTCTCCGAGCCCCTTAATGCCTTCTCTCGGGGTGCCTGCTTGTGTGCGCTGACTGTGCGTGGCTGGCGTCGTCCAGTCGGTCACTATCTCGGCGTCCTGCCAGGAGGGGGGCACGCTCCCCGCCCTGCGAGCCATGCTCACCGAGGTGAGGCCCTGCCGTGACCGCCCTTCTGGGCCAATCTCGAACCTCACGAGAAGGATCTTCAATATCGAAATCTTGCCACTCTCGAGCTGTTTTTCGTAGTTGGCCTACTAATCATCTGCAATGGCGTTCCGCGCCCTGCCCCTGATGCCTGACTGGGCATGCTTGTCCAGCTGGCGCGCATCCGTGTACACGGGTTCAGCGCGCGCGAGGTGGCGGTGGTGCGGCGGCTGTACCTGGCGGACATGGAGCGAGCCTACATCGAGCGCGACCAGGCGCTCTCCGACGGCCTCCGGGCAGAGTACGTCCAGGTCAGCACACACGCGCACAGCGATTGCTACTTCAATGCAAATCGGGGCCACGCTGTCGCCGGTCAGGAACCAGGCTAAGGGAAGGGTCGAGGCACCCCCCTGTCGGGAGGTCAGGACTGCCCTGGGCCCTCGACCGACCCCAGTCAGCGTGGAGATGCGGCCCAAAGAACGGTTTCCTGGTCACCCCCATCTGTGATAGTCCAGTGGCGCCCGCTTCGTGTTGACGCGGCAGTGTGCACGGTGCAGCACTACTTGACGGGGGAGCCGGTGCCCGGGATCGTGTACGAGGCGCGGCTGGCCAAGACGCTGCTGCCGCTTATCACCGCAGAGGACATGCAGGCCGTGGCGCACGCATACCGCACCCACAACAGCTGCGTCATCAAAACGGTGAGCACGCAAGCAGGCCAAGCAGCACGTGCCTCTCCGGGGATCCGCGTGAGAGAAAGTATTTGAAGTGGACCTTTGCGGACCACCTAGTCTGGGCAAATCTTTGTGTTGTGCAAGGTGGTGCCCCCCACCGATGCTGTCACGCTGGTGCCTGTCCTTCATGCGCACGCTTAGAAAGGCCTTGTCATTCTGGAACCTCGAAATGAGGTTTCCTCCACCGCGACCACCGCGCGATGCTCGAAGTCTGGCCGAAGCTTTGCTTGATGCAGATTGGGATGTGTTTATTGCCAAGCTTGCTGGGTACATGTAGGATGTCTGGCTTTTTGAAGAGTCTTTAGCTGTTCCACAAGGAGCATTGGGAGCAGGACGTTCGCCAAGAATCGGTAGAGGAGCGCGACTGTGTGCACAGACGTACGTTCCCGGGTCCGTCAGTCGATGCTCGAAATCTGGCCACGCTTTGTTGAACCGCCCTCGGCGTGTGCTGTCCTGACGTCCGTGGCGGGTGCGCGCAGGTGGAGCACCGTGCGCGTACGTCGGAAGCCGCGGTGCGCGCGGTGGTGGCGGAGGTGGAGGCCGCGGAAGAGGGCGGGGCGATCGGCCCCTGGGACGACGGGGACCGCCCCGAGTCACTCGTCAGCGTGCCCCCCACCCCGGGGTGAGCGCCCTGCGGACCGCCACTGTGCACGCGTGCTCCGAATGGGACCTGGCGGGGCCGTGGCATAAGCACGTCGAGAAAACGCGTTTTTGCACGGCGGCCTCTTAGGAGCACAGCCCGTGGCTACCTTACGGAATGTTTTGAGCACTGAGGTCTCCCTGAGAGCAGTGGCGGACTGCCAGTAACCGCTGCCTCTCTTTCTCGCTGCGCAGGTCCGTGACATCGCGGCGGGAGTACCCCAAGCTGGGCGGCACGGAGTTGACGCTGAGCAACGGGATGCGCGTGTTCCTCAAGAAGACGGATCTGCGGGACGACCAGGTCCTCATCGGGTCAGCCACCACCTGCCGGCAGCGCAAGGAAGCATGTGGCCTGCCGATGAGAGCTGACGTGGGAAGACCAGGGCAACCGATTTTAAGATCGCTGCGTACAGATGTCATCTTCTTTCTCCTTCGTTCTGACTGCGTCTGCCGCGTGTGCCTGACGGGTTTCCGCTTTTGTTTTCCTGCCAGGGGCTTTGCGTATGGCGGCCTGTCGGAGATCCCCCCCAAGGACTACCACTCCGTCAGCATGGCCGCCACCATCGCCGGGGAGCTCGGGGTCTACGGCGTCAAGGTAAGGCCGCCCCGCGCTCCAACCACCGCGCTCTGGGGCCCTTGCTCAGGCACTGGCCCACTGCCCTCTTCTCCCTTTTGCCTCCCGCTGAGCGCGTTTTCACAACCGTACATCAAGTGTGAATGTGCGGCCCGTGCAGCCGGTGGCGCTGATGGAGCTGCTGGCGGGCGTGCGCGCGGAGGTGGGGCAGAGCGTGTCGGCGTACCAGCGCGGCGTGGCCGGGGAGGCCTCTCCCGCGGACCTGGAGGCCGCGCTGCAGCTGGTGTACCAGCTCTTCGTCACCGCGCCGCGGCCCACCCACCCCGACGAGCTGGACACCGTCATGCGCATGACGCGCGAGGCGGTGAGCCGCACTGCCCTCTCTGCCAGATTACGCAGCAAGTGCTGGCAAGTGCGACAAGGAGAGCAATGCGAAGGTCCGGCTCGTGCCGGCCTCAATTGGTCAGACCGCTAGGTGTTGGGGTGAGGCTGACTCCGAGCCGTCTCCTTGTGTGGTGGCCAGGTGAAGGCGCAGCTGCGTGACCCGTTCACGGCCTTCTCCAACAAGGTGCGCGCGCTCAACTACGGAGACTCCTACTTCTTCAGGTGAGCCCCCCCGTCAGTCCTTTAAAGCGTATTCTGAGTGTGCACCCTCCTGGCATCCTGGTTATGCTACCTGTCGTGGCAGGCGCCTGGCGGGCCGGGTGGTTGACGGTGGGAGTGGCGCGCGTGCAGGCCCATGACTGATGCGGACATCGACGCGGTGGACCCGGTGAAGGCGTGCCTGGCCTACACCGCCGCCTTCCAGGACCCCGCCTCCTTCACGGTAAACCGCTGCCACCCAGTTGGGGAGCAGGGAGATTTGCTTGCACATCGCCACAGCCGTGCTGCGTACTACATGCGGGCAGCACTGGGGCTCGTGGATTGCGCGCGCTGTCTGTCTCTGCGGGACCTGCATTGCCACAAGCGGGTGAACGTTCCTCGTGTGTGGGTGTGCCTGATTCCGGTGCGTGCGCGTGCAGTTCGTGCTGGTGGGCACCCTCGACGAGGAGGCCGCCCTGCCCCTCGTGCTGCAGTACCTGGTGAGCCGCAGCGCATCCTAAGCCCAGCGCACGGCCTGCCTCGCATGGCTGCGCAGCCATGACGTACACACGTCGGTGCCGGAGGGTCCGTCTTGATGCCAGCTTGTCCGGAGTGCCCTCCTGCCCCCGCCTCACGGGTTCCCCCCTGTGCGTGGCTGCAGGGCGGCATCCCCGAGCCGTCGCCTCCCCCGCCCCGCTTTGAGCGCGACACTCTGACGCAGCTGCCCTTCAACTTCCCCGAGGGCGTCATCAGGTGCCCCGCGCCCCGCTTGCCCTCGCCGGTGCTCAGCCCCCGTGGACAGGGCCGCCCGCTTCTTGGCATAGCATGAAGAGTCCATTCAAACATACGCTGGTCTGGACATCGAGTGGTGGCAACGATGGTTGTTTGGTATCGCCGTTATGACGGATCCGGCGTCTACAAAACATTCATTGGAAGTGGCTCTTCACTGATCCAGCCTGAAATTGAACACTCTTCCTTGTCAGGGCCTCTTCAATCCCTCTTTGATCCGTTTAGGTTCAATATGTAGGCCACTATGAGTTCGATGGCTCAGGTATGAATATTCATCAGGATTCACCATTCGAGGCGTGTCTCTTGCTACGGCTCACGCGTGGCTGGCCCGGTGCAGGGAGGAGGTGCCGCAGGTGATGACGGCTGCCCAGAGCACGTGCCAGATCACGTTCCCGGTGGTGCTGGACGGGGCGGCCGTCAGCCACGAGGTGCACTGGACCATGTTCGCGGCCATGCTCCTGGAGCAGGCCATCATGCGCGTCCTCCGCTTCAAGCACGGCCAGGTGCCGCCCCCGCCCTCCCCCCTGGGACCTTACGGACTCGCCTGTGAGATAGTATGCACGGATTGTCTTGTACTGCTGTACGGTCGCTTTTGCCCCTGCCTCTTTGCCTCACCGGCGCCGGCCCGGCATGCCCCTGAAACCCCCTACCTCTCACCGGTAGCCCCCTAAAGAGTATTCGGGCGCTGCGGTGCAGATCTACACGGTGTCCGTGTCGCCGTACCTGGGCGGCTCGCGGCCGTCGCGCTCGGGGGGCCTGCGTGGAGACCTGGCCGTCAGCTTCTCGTGCGACCCGGACGCCGCGTGGACCCTGGTCAGCAGCCCCACCTCATTCTGCCAGCAAGCTTGGCCAGGCCGTGCTCTCGTGGGTGCCGTGCAGTGTGGGCGGCGGGGTGCAGGCGGGCGGCTGAGCGGGTGCGTATGCGGTGCGCTTGGGTGCAGGTGGACCTGGCGCTGGCGGAGGTGGCCCGCCTGCAGGAGGAGGGGCCCTCCGCGGACGACTGCGCCACGCTGCTCGAGCTCGAAAAGCGCGCGCACGAGCTCAGCCTGCAGGTGACCCCTGCAACCCACCGCACATGCTGCGCATGGGGCAGGCACGCCCGGTGCACAGCGGTGCGCTGCCATGCGCAGCTGCTCGCCTTGCTGAGGGTCCACGTCTCGTCCTGCTCAGGCTTGCGGCTGGCGCCCCCGTGGCCGCACCGTGTGCTGCTGCGTGCGCACCCTGGTCGCTTGGGAAATGACGTTGTGCCTATGTGTGCGTACAGGAGAACGCGAGCCACCGGGACTTCGTGCTGCGCGCGTACCAGACCCGTTTCTACACCGGGGACCTTGACGCCGCGCACGAGGTCCGCCCCTGCCCCGCCGTCACGTGCTCTGGCAACTGTCACCCTTGCGACCGCGTGGGCCTCTCGCGGCACGGCTCTGTCTGTTGCCGCTGCTTGGCCCCCTTGCCCGTTTGCCCTGGCCCCTCGTTGTATCACTGCTAAACCCCTTAGGCTGCCAGGTGCTGCAATCTTTGGGGCCCCTCCGTTGTATCTTCGGGGGCGGCCCTGACCGCCGTGCCACGTTGCTGCAGACGACGGAGGCCATCCGGGCGGAGGTGCTGGCCGCGGTGTCCCCGGGAACGCTGCTGGCCGCGCTGCGGCGCGTGCTGCCCTTCCCCGCCTCAACGCAGTACACCGCCGTCGTGCTCATGCCGCGGCCCCCTTTCTGGCGCCGCCTCCTCTCCCCCTCCGCTCCTGAAGGCCGGGTGAGCCCCTCCCCTTGCGCTGGCTACCCTAGCGGAACGCGACTGCGCCCTCTGCCCTGAAGGTCGGGCCCGCGGCTGCGTGCCTGCTTTCTCGCGCGTGTGGCCTGACTGCCCGCTCGCGTGTGTGCAGCTGGTGCTGCTGGCCGGGGTCCTGGTGGCGAGCACCCTGCTCTGGCGGGCCTACCGCCACTGACCCCCTCGCCCCCCCCCCTGCGCGGGCCTGCCCCCCTCGGCCTGCCTGGCGCACCAACCGCAGGTCAGGCATGGCGGGCCCGCTCCGCTAAACGTATAAAAAACGCGCTCTTTGAAGCACTCCACATGAGCACAATCTCTCTCGCAATGACGACTTACCATCATCAGGTTTTGCTCGTCGAGGTTGGCTGCTTGGTGAGATATTGTCCCAACATAGCTCTTCAATTCGTGTCTAGCCAGCGACCGGAGACGTCAGCTGTGGGATCGTTGCGACATGCTACTTACCGACCACGGTGTGCGTGCTGATACCTCGGCCTACGCTTCTTGCAGGCCCTGGTTCGCCCGTCCTGGATTGGCGTCTGGCCCGCAATCTCAAGTGACAACAGCAGCACGTGTTGCCGTGGATGGACCCAATCAACGCCTCAGGTGATCTGATGTCTGAAGGAGTTACTAATCCACATCATGGACTGTGTCAGATCCGTCATGTATACTATCTTCCGACAAACAACATGAGCGGGCCATCTAGGTTTTTTGCTCTCCATGGATGATCTTGGACCGTCAGGTCCGGTCAGGGAGCCCTCTTGGAGAGAAGATGCAGGAGTCGTGACCTCAGATCTGGCGTTTTTATTTCGTTCTTGTGCAGTAGCATCACATCCGCACATGGGCAGATTGAGCCATGTCATTGAAGTGCATGGTGTGCATGCTCAAGTAGGTCATCGGCATGGTGCAGAGGCGCTTGACTTACATGTGGTGCTACGTACCTAGTGTCCAGTTTAGCATTACACAGACTATGCGCGTACGCATGATCAACACAGAATAACAACATATCTGCACTGGTGATTATGTGAAGTATTGCGGATTGGCCGCCTCTAAATTCGCTCTGTGTAGCGCCTGCTTTGTGAACTGATCAAAGTGCTTGTGGACTAGTGCGAATATGCAGCGGCCGCTCTATAGTGCATCCGGCCTTAGGCGCTAACTGTACATGTGCGATCACAATTTCTTCGAAACGCTGTGAGGAGACAACCATGAGACGCGAGCAATAATGGACGGCCTCAATGATGCCGAAATGAAAGTATCATCGACTCAATCCATGAGCTGTGGTGGACGAACATGGCCTTGATACTCTGTATTCAACATGGTCCTTGACGAACATGGCTAGGCCAACTGGTGCGGTCGCTAAGGTTGCCCCGATTCAATGATAGTAACGAACAGCGACCTTTGACATAACATTCCAAGCCCGACAAGTTGGTGATTGAGGTACAGTGACCCTTAAATTAAGCCTAATCTAGAGATGCGATACCTCAAATCAAAAAGATGGCAGTATGCAGCTTAACTTTGATTGGCCTTGAAGTGATTGGAAACTCAATTTTTTACCTTCCAAATGTAGCAATGAGCACCTTATTTCAAACACAGTAAGTGTAACTCCTGTTTGTAAAGTCGGTTCGTGTTAAGTCGCTTGCGTCTCTGGCCAGAGTCCTTCACTCGTGTCACGGATGTATGTCTATCGGGGTATGATTATACACATTCAAATCAGCTACTTTTGATGGGCTCCATCTCATGTGCTTTGGAGATGTGGAAAGCACTGAACTAGTGTGTTCTTTGGATGCCTATTATCTGCGTGTTCTTTACATTTTGCCTCACTCATTGTGCACATGAATGTTTGCATACAAATTTTGCACTGCAAGGATGGGGAAAACAAGGTTAGCATTCCGTCACGCTGGCCCCGGTAGACACTCAGGCCTGGATCCATAAAGGGTCCACAGCCAGCTAAAACTCAGCTCATCAGTTCCACCACAAACACTCTGTTGCAAGTTGCTGTGCCCTGCAACCAAAGGAAAGGCGAGTACAACACTATCAAAGCCAAGAGCGATGGCCAGCATGTTCGGGGCAGCGCAGCGGACCGGCTCACCTGGATGGTCATGGCCTTGGCGTTGTCCTTCAGCTGGCTACCTGCACAGCGCGGCATGGGCAACAACGTCAGCAACTACAGGCTTCTACCCCCAAGCTTCACTGACAGTAGCATCCCAGTCATGTAGGACTCCCTGGTGGCCATCAGCTGTGCCAGTGAACCCCCTGCGCCAGTGCCACAAGCTGGCCAACCTGACCGGGACTGCAGGCTCCAGGCTTCGATCTATACGGCGGAGAGATCTGAGAAAGCATCAAACTCATTCTCGAGAGACTCGCACCGCGGTCGAGGAACAGATCTGCTTATACAGGTTAAGCGCACCACGGCAACAAACAGAAGCATCCCTAGAATGATAGAGGGCTTTCTACTGCTGCTTCTTTCTCAGCCTGAAGGCTGCACTCATCTTGCGGCCCATGTGTTACTGCAGACCCCTAGTGCCGTCAGAACCAAGCAGAAGTCGATCAGGCAACGGCCACTACCTTTGCCCTCCGCCGCCTTCTTAGCCAGGTTTCTCTCCCGCGCAGTTTTGGACTTCTGGGCATTACCGCCACCCATGATCTTTGTGCTGGTTGGTGGCTCCACCCAGGCAAGCTCCCGCCTGGACAAGTGGTGCTCTTGAAAGAAGCAGTCAGCTAGGTTTGCCCAGATTTGATTTGCTCAAGGTCGTCCTGGCGCCTTCACAGAGATTCTCCTAGGCAGTAGGTACCTATCACAACAGCAGCTAGCTCAGCTTCCCTGCCCGGCAGACGTGCACCGGACGCAGCGCAGAAACATCAGTTGCATATGCTACCCAATCTATGCCTTAATATTGGCTTCGTCACATATATTTGAGCATTGCTCTTACCGTTTTCTACGTCGATAATTTTGCGGCATTGTTCAAGTCAACCCCTATTTGCGTGTATGAAGGCCGTTCTTCGCAACGCCGAACGGCGGTTGTGCCGGAACAGTCCGCGCTTACTGTACTCACCAGCATATTACAGTAGTTTCTCGTTTCAAAGTTGAAAGGATATACCGTACATAGGAGGGCATACCGGTTATTACCGTAGAGTAAAAGAGGCACAACATGCGCGCGTAGTTTGATATAAGGCTTTAAGTGAAAACTGAGCTCGAGCGGCCGCGAGCGACCTGGGCCTCTGAACATCCTGACTCAGATTCAGAGGTCTGAACTCTGAACAGGTAGGTACCCTAGATGCTGCTGTCTGCGCAGAGAGCTCTACGTAACCGCAGCTAAGTAGGCACCAGTACCTATTGTCGTTCACCATGGCGGGCGTTGCTTCGTTGTCCAAGCAGCTATGCTCCGCGGGCAGTGTCCACATGCTGTCCGCGGTGGAGCAGTCGATGCACCGCTGCCTCGCAATGCCCGTGCGCCTCTCAAGAGGGCCCACCCGCAAGGCCATGTTGTTCTGCGCCCCCAGCATTGCGCTGGGCACCAGCTTCTTGGGAGGGGCAGCCGCGCAGGTTCGATGATCTGCACCTCGCCCCTTGCACAGCCTGTTCGCGCAGACTCTCAAAGGAATGGGCGCCTGACTCTGGCTGCATGCATGCAGCGGCAGAAGCACTGTCTGCGTTGGGCTGGAGTCAATTGCAATGCAGCGCATGGGCCATCTGTGCAGCAGTGCAAACCCATGCTGCCTTTCCTGATCTTGGATTTATGGGATGCGTGTGGCGCCCCCGGGCTTACTTCCCTCATTGTGCGCTTCCTTGTGTTGGCAGGGAGTGGCCAGCGTGGGCCGTGTGGCGGCCGGTGGCGGCGCGCGCGTGGCCATGGTGGCGGGCACGGCGGTGGACACCAAGGAGTATGTGGCGCAGCTGCGCGGGGCCAAGGAGGCGGTGCGCGAGCTGATCACCAGCAAGAAGTCCAACCCCATCCTGGTCAGCGCCACGCCCAGCCAGCCGCCACAGCTGCGAGATGCTAAGTGGATTCACAAAGAGCGGGGCAGACTGGTGACAGGCATCAAGTAACGAGTCAAGATCTGAGTATTTGCCATTGGCATGATTCATTCCCTGGTCAATGGGCTGTTCATTCGCAAAAGTCAAGAATGTGTCTGCTATGCGTCTCCATGTTTCTTTTCATGCTTTCTCCTCAGTCCAACAGCTATTGTGCAGGTGCGCCTCGGCTGGCATGACGCTGGTACGTACGACGCAGAGCAGGGCATGGCGGCGTGGCCCAAGTGCGGCGGCGCCAACGGCAGCATGCGCTTTAAGCCGGAGCAGAGCCACAGCGCCAATGCTGGGCTGGCCAACGCAGTGCTGCTGCTGGAGGACATCAAGCAGCGCTTCCCCCAAGTGTCCCACGCAGATCTGTACCAGATGGCCAGCGCGGTCGCGATAGAGATCGCAGGTGAGCAAGCAGAAGGAGGCGCAACCTGGCCTCCCTGCGTGACACCTGGCACCTCTGTTCTGGTTCATGGTGCTTGTATGAATACCCCACCTGCTCCCCACACTGCGACTCCCTGATGCACGATGGGTCAGCTTGTGAGCCTGCCTCCGCCTCCCCTTGCAGGCGGCCCAGTGATCCCGCTCAAGTACGGCCGCGTTGATGCGGCGGAGAAGGACGATTGCGTGGTGGATGGCAAGCTGCCGTCCGGGGACCCGGAGAGCACGCACAAGCAGTCGCCCGCAGACCACCTGCGCAAGGTGTTCTACCGCATGGGCCTCAACGACAAGGTGAGGCAGGCGGCAAGGGAAGCGGTTTATTGAAGTTGACCCAAAATCCCGCAAGTTCCAACAAGAGGCCCCAATTTATCTATGACTCGGGCAATATGGCTATAGCTGTGCAAGGAAAGGGCCAGCTTTCGTCTTCTTGAATACAATCCCGGACTATTCAATCAAGCGCAATGCGTTTCGAACCTTTGTTTGCGTTTCGATGCTTTGTACCTTGTTCGGGGATGTCGCAAGGGACACGGCCTTGTCAATATCGTTCCATGGACTTTAAGATCAGGCGCCTTCAGACCGCGCCTGTTGTCGTTGTCTCACATGCTGGCTACTGCACTTAAAGGTACAAAAGTAGGTCAGAACATCCTGCAGAACGAAAAGCTAGAGGAGAAATACTGAGGTTTAGTCACTTAGATGTGCAGATTCGCAGCAAGTCGATTGTGCAGCTAGAGGTTTGCGAAGGTTCACGGAGGGTCAGCCCTGTTGATTCTTGCTGGTTCCCTGGCAAAGCCAGCTCGGAGGCTCGTCATGAGGAGACATGTCCAGCTCGTGGCCCCATGCTCGCCCCGTCGCCCCTGCCCCATGTGCCGCTCTCACCGCTGTCTGCTGTCTGCGCATGGCTGTGCGTGCAGGAGATTGTGGCGCTGTCTGGCGCGCACACCCTGGGCCGCGTGTACCCCGACCGCAGCGGCTTCGGCAAGGCCAGCACCAAGTACACGGTGAGCACGCGCACGCACGCAGCAGCACACACCGCGGGCAGATGCACTTACCCAATGGGACGAGTCTTGCTTGGTGAGCTCCGTTGTGGACTGCTCGTCCCGTCCGTCTGAGGTGTTCCGCTGCCGCGCTGTGCAGGAGAACGGCCCCGGCACCAAGGGCGGCCAGTCGTGGACCGCGGAGTGGCTCAAGTTCGACAACAGCTACTTCAAGGTCAGCCTCCTCCGTCTGCCAAGGCCTGCACGCGAAGCTCCCGCGTGAAAACGTGCCATACGCCCCGTTCTTGCAGGACTGGTAGTCGACTTGATCTCGGCCTCTGTTGCGTCTCATCATCTTGCTTCTTGAGCGCGAGTCTGTGCAGTGCTTCGAAGGTGCACTGTACGCGCAGCCGCCTCCTCTTTGTGGGGCCGTCTCTCTGTGCGTCCCTTGCGGCGTGGCTGCAGCGTAGCTGGTGGCTGTGTGCGTGCAGGACGTGAAGGCGCGCACCGACCCGGACCTGGTCGTCCTCTCCACCGACGGCGTCCTCTTCCAGGACCCCGCCTTCCGGGTGAGCGCGCGGTGGCCCCACACCAGGCCCGGCCCTGTACTCACGTGCCACGGCGTCTGCCTTTTTCTGGACACCGGTGTTGCTGCCTGTGGTGGACTTTTGTATTTTTGGCTGCTTATCTGAGCTGGTACGTGCCTGTGCTGCAGGAGTACGCGGAGAAGTACGCCGAGGACGAGGAGCTGTTCTTCAAGGACTACGTGCTCGCGCACAAGAGGCTCAGCGAGCTGGGGTCCAAGTTCGACCCGCCCGAGGTGAGCCCCTCCCCCACTCCAAGTCCAGTGCATGCGGCAGCTCTTGCCCCGGGCTGAGCTCGCGGGTGGCCTTCCCCTCTGCATGTTTCCCCCAGTACGCATACCTGCTGTGCGCAACAGTATGTGCTCGATGGCGGGTGCCATTGTCGTGGCTGGTCACGTGCAAGAGCCTCTTTGTCCACATGAGAAGCCCGGCAGCCCCCTGTAGGGCTGCCACGTACGCTTGCCCCATTCACGGTGGGGGCTGGCTCAGTCGTGCGCTGCTCTGTGTGCTGCGTAGGGCATCGTCCTGGATGCCCAGGCCGTCAGCCCCACCCCCGCCGCAAGCAACAACGGCAGCAACGGCCCCGTCGCCTTCTCCGCAAAGGACTACTACTCCGAAGCGTCCGCCAAGACAAGCAAGGTAAACACCAGACAGTTTCCAAAATCTGCACATGTCTCATGTCTGCTGAGCTCAATAATCTCACTCCTGCCACCCCTTCCCATCGGCTTTGTGGCAATATCTCCAACAGACATGGGATACACGCTCACCTTCTTTGCCGGTGGGTGCAGTCTGATCTGTCTCCCGAGATGAAGGAGAAAATCCGGAAGGAGTACCTTGGCTTCGGAGGCAGCCCGGACACTCCGGTTGCTGGAGGAACAAACCCTTTCGTTGTCATCAGCATCATTGTTGCTGTTTTGGCGTTGCTGAGCAAAGCGATTGGGGCCATTTGATTGAAATGGTTGTTCACAGATTGCGCAATTTTGTATGTTGGCTTGAGTACTGAGTTGAAGGCTGACAATAAGCAACAATTACCATGCAATTGTAAGCATAGTCAAGACCTTGTCGGACAAATTGTATATGTTGACCAGAGTTCCTACATATCTTGCCATGTAGTTTAGTGCCTGTGGCATGTTTAATGTTGTAATAAGTTCTGATATAGTGAGCGTTATTGCCCAAAGCCAACACAAATCCCCATATGTGTTCCACATCAAGTTCCTCAAAAGGCAAAAAGTTATGTATATTTTGATAATGTCAGTGTGACATGCAAGAGTAGTTGACCATGTATGCGGTGCCGCTGACATGGTCACTTGTTATAAACCTTGAGCTACGCTGAGCATTCGAGAGACCGGGATACAATGAGTTCACTCCGCAGCTTGCTACCGCTGCAAGTCATGTCCGATGTCTAGATTCTTACTCTATGGGAAACAAGCATCTCGGAAATTACGATGTCATGCAAATGATTGGAAGGTAAGTGATAACAATTCGTAGGCTGTGCATATGACTACCACGAGGTGGCATAATGGCGAGTGTGCTCTGGTGGACTCGGCACTTTGCAAATGTAGACTTAACGCAAATACCGCTACACTTGGTCTTCTTTGTTCTTGTGGATCATTGATGTCTACAAAGTTGTGCATCGTTTTGGGTCTCTCGTCCGACCATGCGCATCTGTACTGCATGAGGTCACCAACGGGTTATGATGAGACTTTTATTCAATGTCCCTGAGGACTTTGTAGGTTCATACGTGCCAAATTGTAATCGGAGCATGCTGGCAATACAGACCGGACCTTTTATCAACGGAATGCCAATTCATGAGCAAAAGCTTTGTCAATAGGGGCTCAGGTTGAAGACGGATTTGTTTTGTATTTATAATGGCTCAATCCTATATTACTTCATTGTGCACATGTGCACGTTAAGAAGGTCACATGTTGCCACCAACAATGCAATGTGATCCCCAAAGTTGCAAGAAGACAATAACGTCATCAGATGTGACCGATATAGACATATAATCTCAGACGCGGAGAGTGCGTTCAAGGAGTCTGACACAAAGAGTGTGGCGTCGAAGGATATCGTGCACGCAAAAGAGGAAGACTCCGGAGAGGCGTACGCCGCGCAAGAAGCAAGCGCCAATGAACTAAAGGGTGGTGCTCGGAAGAAGCCGCACTCAATGGTGTGGACTCCGGGCGTCATAGGGGTGGCGCCAGAGCTGAGCGAAGTGATGGAGCTCGTTGCAGGCGGGGAAGGTGAGTGAAGACGCACGTCGGAAGAAGGTGCGCAAGGCACGTGCCGGCGGCTGCAAGGGTGCAAGATGCGCCGCTGAGCGGAGGCGCGGTCCGTGCCAGCAGCCGAAGGAGCGCAAGTTGCATGAGCGGAAGGGGTGCAGGAAGCACTAGCAGCGGCGTAACGCGGAGGTGGCGGAGACCCCGCGGAGCACAAAAACGAAGGTGCAAAGCGCGGCGGTAGTAGCGACGCGGGAAGCACCAATGGACTTGGCGTGGGGCGCAACGGCAGAAACGGTGTCAGTATGCGTCGGCTGAAGTCATAGAAGGCTTCAACGGAAAAGGGGTTTCACTGAGTGCCAAGACCGAGGATGTGCTGCTGGGCGTGGGGACCCACAAGCAAAAGGCGGAACCACCGCCGGCGGAACACACGAATCAAGTGCAACGCGCAAAGGTTCAGCCGGCGGGAGCTAGCACGCAAGAGGAAGCGCCAAAGGGCCGGGCTGGAGATGGTGGTAAGTGCAGGTTCTGGAGGTGAAAGTGCCAAGAGCCAGGGAGAGGGGAAGAACCCGTTGGAGTGGAAGTTGCTCTGACGGAGGCTTCATGCGAGCGCATTCCAAGGATGCCCAAATTTTGGGTTTACTCGCTGAATTTTAAAGTACGGGGCCGGAGTGAGATGGAGAGCCATATGGCCAAGTTTTAGGGAACTTCGAGCGGGCCCATCCACGGGACCCGTACTGCGAAGCGATGGTGACGCCGAATTGGCATCAGAAGCGGCCGGGAAGAAGGCCAACGCCGTGGGAGGACTTTGGTGATGACGAGCTCCACGACTACCTCAACCGTCTACCATGCGTTCGAGTTGCTCAAGCATCGGGCTCTCCAAGCGCTTGAAGAGTCGAGGCAGACGGGGAGAGACGAGGGCGAGCGTGTGTGGAACGAGTACGTGGTCAAGGCGCTGAAGCGTGTGGGCGAGATCGTGCATGGAATATTCAAGAAACGTGGGCCGCCAAGAAGATGTCAAAGACCAGCGGCCCGACTTCACGGAGATGGTCGATCGGTTGGTGGGAGCCCGGGGAAAATTGCAAGTGGTGCAGGCGGGCCATGATCCGAACGACGAGTTGGCGCGCGAGCTTGGGAGGTGTGGGCCAGTGGTAGAGCTATCGCGTGACCGGTGGCGTAGCGGCGACGTACTATGGGACGGACCTTCGGCGGGCGTTTCAACAGCGGTGAAAAGTGAACCGTTCCGGACCCTCATGTTTCGTGCCAATATCTGCTGATGGGGCCGGTGATGGCGAAGCGGATGGGAAGCGAGCGTTGGCGGAAGTCAAATAACGCACGGAGGCAAGGGGAGCATGCCAGAGGAGAGGAGCGATGGGAAATTGAGTGCGCCTTGTGGTCCGGCCGGCAAAGGGCCAACAAAGGCGGCAATTCGGGTGCGGGAGTCGCAGGAGGGGCCAAAGGAGAAGCCAAGGACGCAGCCAAAGTTGAAAGGACCGGCCGGACAAGAAGCTAGAGACAACGCGGAAGAGAGCCAGGAGCCACTGAGTTTGCAACCACCCAGAGAGGGTGCGGGGACGTTCTTGGAAGGAAGCGTGGAGAACAACGCACATGACAATCTAAGGAGGAGCTCGCAGAGACATTCATGAGCATCAACCGGAGCATGGCAAGAGCCGTAGGGCAACCGTGCAAAGCGGCGGTCAAGCCGCAAGGCTGCTGGCAACCAGTCCACCGAACTAACTGCGGCAAGGGAGTTTTAGGGTGGCGGAAAAGGTACCAAGGGAAATACTGCCAGCTTGAGTGGTGCGGAAAAGCGCTAAAGGAATGAGAGGTCGGAGCGGAGAGTGATGACTTGGAGAGCGGCGAAATGGAAAGCGCCGAAGCCGATTTGGAGAGCGATGGGACGTTCGTGAGGGGTTGCTGCCGGGAACGAAAGGCCACCCGAAGTACGGGCCAGATGAGGACACATGGGGGCCGGACGGGGTCCGGTACCGAGATGGTTTTTGGTACCCACTATTGGAGTTGCCGGAAAGGGGGGCGCTCCAAATTCGAGGCTCATGTTCGACTCATCGAGGAAAACTATGACGGGCAAAAGCAGCCATTAAAGTAAAGCCATCTTGATCACCCGTAGCTCGGCAATGTACAACAAGCACGGACGAGCAGGGGAGCCAAATGGTCATTTGGGAAGGTCGAGAACCTGTAAGGGTACTTGCTCAATTGGCAGCGCGAGTCATTGGCCGAGGAGTGCTCAATATGCAATACCAGGAGAATGGTCAGGGGGGACGGAGTAGGCGAAGTGGAACGGGGGTTCCCAAGGATATGTTAGAATTGGGTGATTATAGTCAGCCGAATCACTGCGCACAAAGCGGCCCTAAGAAGGCTTTTATAAGTTTGGTAAGTTGGGCACGTTGCGAGAGTGTGCCGGTCCGGGTCTTGGTCTTGAAGCAATTTGGGCTACAAGCCCAACTCCGAATCGAACCGAGTCCTTCGTGAGTGGGATGGCAGGGTGTTGACGTCCCGCGACGTCATCGTGGATGAGCGAATCCTTCATGATTGATGAAACACAACCTTGCTAGAGATTAGATCCAATTGATCACGTTCATACAATGTATTGGAGTGTTCCAAGTCACAACCTATTTCTGGGTCTACCCTCTAGCTTAGTAGGCTCAGTGGAGCCTCACTATGTAAATCTAAGATTTTCAATTATACCGTGCATCGACGGCTATTATCGAACCTACTTCATATCGACGATTATCGAGATGAGTCATTCGGTTCTTACCGTCGAAATCCTAGCTTCGAATTACATTCGAACGACCGTCGACGTTTTTAGCGCCCAATCTCCAATTTGCGCTTCCAAAATGGAATCCATGCGCCCAGTGCGCTCATGAATCACCAATCCCTCACACACTGTAATGACATATGCAATCTCTAACTCACTCTTGCACTTCTTGAACTTCCCAGGTGCTAACGCCTTCAAGTTGGTAACATGTCCGCTTAATGTCTTCCGTACTGCAAAACGCGAATCAACCTCCTTGTATGCCACGCGCTCTCGTGCAGAGTGATGAATTATGTTGATGTGCTTCGACCGCTGTGAAGCGATTGGGTGTTGGAGGAGTCGTATTGCCCCTTTGTTGTCGCAATAGATCCAACACGTCCCGAGGTTCAAGTCGAGATCTCGTGCAAAACCACAGCGGCTCCTTCATCGCTTGCGTTGCGCTCATGTACCCCGCCTCTACAATCGAGGCCGCCACCGTTTGCTAGAGCTTGCTCGACCAGCTCACCAACCCCCGGTACATTGCGAACACGTTTCCGAGGAGTGAGGGTTTTCATTTTCAAGGGGCATTGGAAACTAAATAAGAAGGTCTCGACCTCCTTAATTCAAAATCGAACAAGTGGTTTGGCTTTTGGAACCTAGACATAGAAAGAAAACCTATACCTTAAAAGTGAGCAACTATTCAAAGGGGTTAAAATCTAGTGTGATTTCACTGCATCCTTCAGTGAGGGCTCGCGAAGGGCTTTATCAACGAACCTGAGTCCCCGGCACTGCAGGTCCGTTTAATTGTGACGCGAGTTCCAACATCCACCGTTGTGGAGGTGACCGGTAGTCTTTACCGCTTCAGTCCAGTGAAGCGGGGGATTCACAGTACATTCACATCGAGACCTTTGACTCCTCAAGCTTACAACTCCAAAGAGTGACTTCGGTGGACCTCCAATGGAAAGGAGATGGATTGAAATCGTTGGGTTAAACGGATCAAATTGTTTGTGGGCTTCAAAAGCTAGAACCTCACTATATAGCCCGGCGCTAGTCATGCGTACGCGAAACCTCGAAAGTTACGGAGTTGCCCGCTTGACGACCTTTTGCGCCACTTCTCCGCGCCGATAGGCAAGCACGAGGCTCACGTGGAGGCACACGATACCTGCAATTATTGGTAACAAGCGGGAAGCTCGTTATTATTATTTCTCACATGCTAAGGGTATCTCCGAGGTTGACACATTGAGCCGATTTCATGGCCTGAGCAAGGCGATTGCCCGGCTTGCCAGAGAAAGCTTTGGGGCAAGCTCAAACGATCGGTTCTGCTTTCAATAGAGAATTGGAGTGGGAATTCCACATATTGGATAGCTTCTTGCTGCAGCTTTGTCAAGTTTGACGCACTTACCGACCCAAAATTTGACGTTTTTGACAGCGGCTGATATCCCGCTTTCGTTCTTGACCGAGCGGAATGTGGCCCGGTATTGCCCATCCACCAGAGCGTTGGTTGCAAGCTGCCCGGTGAGTGATCCGCACGCCACTCTTAACGCATCATCCAAACCTAAAAGAAACGAAAGCAGATCACTTACCCTACAAAACCACTGATCAAGATGCAAGCTTGTAAAATGCTATCAAAGAATTTTGTTCGACCGAGAAGCTCGATTCTCTATGGCTCGTCCGCGAAACACTTGCCGTATGGCGGGAAGATTTGGATGACTTCCAAGTGTATAAGAATCGTATGATCACGTATCGAAAAACGGCTGGCGTTTTGTTGTGTCGCGAAATGCAGATTCATTTTTGCTTTTTCAACTCGACACTGTTTAGTAGTTCAAACAGGTGCTGAAAAGAAACCAAGTATTATTTCAAGCACATGAAGGCCTGTAACATGAACTAGTTAGAAGGGGCAATGATAGTGGAAACTTAAAGAGCGCTGGACGTACCTGTAGCGTGGGGAGCAGCGACGAAAGGATGGCGAACTTCGTGACCGCCTTGTTGCGCCAAAGATGGTGCGGTGGAGCTGGATGGCGAGCAGGGTCCGCACATCGCAGGCGTTTTGGGGTTTAGCAATCCGGGATAAAGGGGATAAAAGAGTCAAGAAATTAAAAGGACGCGAAGAATAGGTTTGTCAGAGAGCGGATGCGGGTCACCAAAGCAAAGAAGCTGCTTGTTGGCGGGCAACAACAGCTCGATGAATGCCAATGTTGGAAAGGACAATGCAACCAACCTTGGCTCTCAACAAATTCTATGTTGTGGCATGTGGGAATAGAGAAACAAGATTCGATTGTGAATTTACCACTCAGCGCTTCTTGTTTTCGAGATTGTATAGAAAGATTATTCGAAAAATGCCGCAGCAAAGGTTCCGTGCTATTGAGCAATCTTTCCAGGCGCTTTGTCGCCTTTCCCCAGTGCAATGGGGTCCATACTCACCTTTTGCTTGAGCCGCCTCGCCCTGGTGCACAAACTATATTACCGGAACGAGGTGCGCGTGCGCGCCGCTCCATTGAGACTTCAGATCGTTCTACAACGGACAAGTGGTGGATCCACGTGGGATTTTCGAAAGCAAAAATAAAGGAAGCAGTCGAAATTCAAAGCAGAACTACGGGGGTGTCATGCACAGGGAACAATGTGCATGCAACAAGGAGGAAGCTGGGAAGATGCCCTGTGTCGTAAAGAGGAATGAGCAAGTTTGGCATGTGACAGGTACTGCAAAAGCTATTGGTGAACAATGCTTGGCAGAAGTTCTGACTAGATGAGCATGAGGGCTGGAAAAGCACAAGAGGTTTAGATTGTGAGATGAAAAGGAATCTGTTGTTGCAGGCAAACGTAAAGGAAGCCGTTGAAACTCAAAGAAAAAGTAATGGGGGTTGCATTGCACGCACAAGGAACGGTTGTGCATGCAACAAGGAAGAAGCTGAGAAGCTTCTCTGGGAAACGGCTGGTAAAGAAAGATTGGCAAAAGTTGTAACTGGAATGAGCATGAGAGGTGGAAAAACAAAAGAAGTTGGGACCAGAAGGAGAAATTGAGATTAAATTGAGGTTGAAGACGAGAATGTTTCGAGCTGGAAAAGAGGCAGGAGTCAAGTGAGACCAAAGCAGTGTTGAGATTAGGAAGTGTTAGAAATCGGTGATTATAGTCAGCCGAATTACTGTCATTAGGGTTCGGCCCGAGTTAGGGTTTGAACTAGTGAGCGCCGGCGTGCGTGTACGGCGGCTGGACGGTTAAACCGTTAGGCGGTTTGGAGGTTAGGCGGTTGAGAGCGGCCGTCAGTGTAAGCCGTAGATGAGGGTATCCAAGGCTAAGATTGAGTGTGACT